TCCAGCTCCCTCAGAACCCTGAACTCGTTGTCCTGCAAGACGTCTTCATCCTTGAACAGTCTCGAGTCGAGTTCTGCAAAGAACCTCTTGCTGTAGCATATCAAGATTCAAGAACGTTCAATCAGTTTGAACGTTCCGGAACGTTCAAACGGCATGGACTCACACGACGATCTCGTTCTCGATGCACGCCTTGACGCACTCGAACGTCGAGTTCCACCGGGTCACTATGTCGACGGGGATGGTGTGGGCCCCGGCCCTGATCTTGTTCTCCTGGACGAGAGCGTCGACACACTCTCCCCAGGCTTGTCGGTAAGACGAACGGTATCTCAACCGCTTCGCCAATGTTCGGACCTGTAAAAGAAGAACACGTTCATACGTTCAAACGTCAGAACGTGCCCGTGACGTTTGAACGTTCGAACTCACCTTCCACAAGGCCTCCTTCATCACGACTTGACTCGCCCTTGTCATAGCCGCACCCGTATCCCCCCCCGAGCCACCAGCCGCTGCCGTAGGTGCCCCTGCTGAACGGGTCTGCACCGTTTGCTGGCTTGCCGGCGTTTGCTGGGTCTCCGGCACCCGCGGTAGAACGAGGTCGTCGAGGATCGGCTGATCAACGACGAAGTCTTCCTCCTCGGGCTCCTCGACGTACTCGATGTCGGCGTCGTCCCCAGGTAGGAAGACGTGGGCGACTTCGTCGTCGTCGCTCGACCATCTGAGACCGGTCGCACCTTCGATAATGGCCTGAGAAGTTCAAACGTCAAGGGGTGTTAGCTCACGTTTGACGTTCAAACGGGCGAAACGTTCGAACGGCTCACCCCGACGACCAAGTTCAGCACATGGGCGAAACATCTCACCCGTCCCCCCACGTTCAACCGTTTGAAGCCTATCTGCCCCAACGTCTGCATCATGCTGTCGTTGTTCGACGCATTGTCGCAGATGATCGACAGAACACGGTCTTCGATCTCCCAATCGCGAAGAGTCTTCGCGAGGAGTTTGGCGAGGTAGGCCCCGGTATGTTTCCCGTTTGCCCTATCGAAACGTTTAGACGTTCAAACATTCAAACGGATCAGTATTGTGTACCAGTTGAAACGTGTGAAACGGACTAACGGGATGAAGTCGATCAAACACGACCTCGGGACGACCACGTTGCCATCGTACGTAGGAGTCCAATGGGCGTAAACCCCAATGAACTTGCCCCCTCGACGATCGGTCCAACCGTCGGTAGCGATGTGAAAGACGCCTTCGTAACACTGGAAGGCGGTCTTGATCCTCGCAGTGTTCACCGTGCAAACGCTGTCGACGTCTTGCGCTACTAAACGGCGCGAGGGAAGGACCTTGGCCATGGCCGGGAAGGATCGGGTGAACATGTCCTTAAACTAAACGTGTGCAAGCCGTTCGAACGTTCAGTACGCGTGAAACGTTTGAACGGGAAAAAAAAAGAACTCACCCCATCTTGTTCGACCACGCTGAACGGATGGTTGTTCCGGGCAATCCAAACGGCAATGGCGTGTCGAGTCGCCGTGGCTCGAACCTCCGGACCCAGCTCAGTCGCCGACGTGAGGGTGGCCTGGTGCAGACCGTTCTTGTTGTTGGCCGGGTTGCTGGCACATTTCCCGGGGTGGGTGTTCAGGCCGGTACCGGAACCGGCGTCCTTCGCGACCTTCAAACGTTTGAACGTGTTGCAATGGCTAAAACGAGTTCAGACGTTCAGACATGTGAAGAACGTTCAACGTTCAAACGGTTAGAACGTTTACTCACCGGCAGGTCCAACACCACCAAAACACGGCCTCATCCTTACCGTCCTCCTCCACCTCCTTCCTCGTAGCCGGTCGTGGGCGGTGGTACTCCCTATTATAAAGGCTGGCGGCACCGTTATCGTACCACCGTTGACACCACAGCTCGAGATGCTGTTCATGCTTCTCGAGCGAATCCGTTTGCTCAGGGAACGGGGGAACCTTTACGGAAGGGGTGGAGGCTGAGCAGAGGTTCAGAACGGTTAGCAAAGAGAACGACACCTGAACGTTTGAACGCTGAACGGTTCAACTTACGTTCACTCTCACTCGCCTTCTTCTTAACTTTTTTATTTTTTTGTAAGACCGTAGCCTTACCCTTACCCCCCTTACTCTTCTTAGATGGGGTGCCTACTCGTTCATGAGGATGTTGTTTAGCTTGGCCCGTTACACAATTGAGAACGTTTGAACGTTGAAACGTACTCGCGAGAAACACGTCCTCCTCGAGCTCGTCTGCCTCCTCCTCCTCGTCGTCGTCGTCCTCTATATAATCGGCCGCTGCCGCTTTCCTCTTCCTCGTCGAACTCGAGGGCGTTCCGTCGACACTGTTCCATGTCGGTCCCTCACGTGGCGAGGACCCAGGGGGGGCCGTTTGACCGCTTGAAGACGCGACCGCGTTTCCAGTCATCGAACGTTCTGTACCGGCGGGAATTCGGATCTTGAGGCGAACGGGCGTAACGGCCATCGGGAGAACGTCGTTTATGCGTTCATGGTGCTTTTGATGTCTATGTTTGATGAACAGGTGATTACTAGAACGTCTAAAGAAGGTGTAGTAGGTTACTTACTCGTTTACCGTTTGTTCGAGTCGATTAGGCTTCTCGGCGCGGAAGCAAAGTCTTGACGTGGACGTTTCTCACGTGTTCTTATTAGCAGTTGACGTTTTTCTGCAACCGTTCTGAACGTTGGATCAACGTACGTCTCTGTGAACGTACGTGATGATGTTATACGTATCTGAGGGGTGTTGGTCACTCTTGTAGCAGTGTTCTGGAGTCTGGTCGACGTTCTGCCCGTTCGTTCACGTTTGAACGGGGAAATTGCGAGCGAGAAAACGTGAACGGGAAATCTGAACGACGGAAGCAAAACGCCGTTCACGTTTGAACGGCGGAAGCAAAACGGGCCGTTTTTCGGCCGTTCGTTTTCGCGCGTTCAGCCGTTCAGCGTTCACGACCCGCCAACACTAAGTCAGACTATGGGCATACCATGGTCACACCAACTTGGTCATGCTATGGTCAGACTATGGTCATACCATAGCACACCAAGCTAGACCCCCGACTCTATTCTGAATTAGTATATATAGCAGACCAAACCAGAGTGATTGTACTCTTCTACTTTCATGTATTTCCTCTTCTTTCCCAAGAAGAATTATCATATGTTACATCCCTAATACTCTACACTACTCCTCACTATCAACACGCTCAACAACCTTGTGCTCTTGTCAAGCACTTCACGGATCAGCAACAGACTGTGATCCAAGCCCTGTCTCGGTCAGTACTGACTTACAGTTATCGTTGAGCTTACTTGCCTTTGCACAATTACCTTCGACATATCCACCTAGGCTACACCTTTGCTAGCGCTAGGCACGACCGTAACAAACTCCTACCACACCATTGCGATTGGCAGTCACAATTTGCGTCTGAGTCACACTTTTGCGACTCAGTCACATTTCTGCAACTACTCTAGTCACGACTCTTGTACCCACACCACTAGACAATTCATGTATATATAGGAGTCCCAAAAGGAGGATTGGGTCATCCCTTTTCTCTTTTGGACTCAGACCTCTTATCATTAGATTCATTCCCATTACCTTTACCTTTCACTTCAACCCTTTCACCCTTTCCCTTTCTACCTTCACCTCTTCAACATCAACAAGGACTAGCTACCCTTGTTGCATAACAAGCAAAGGGTATCAAGAATCACCAAATAGGACAGTGTTGAGACAACTGCGACATATCCGGTTATGAATTCAGTTGTGAGATTTGCTCCTCTCCCACATAAGAGTCGGCTTACTTCACACAGTGCCAATTGCCAGGATTGCCAATACCACATCTGTCGCTTCAGACCCATTCCTCTGTTACGGAACGCAACAAGAGGGTTGCCTGGGCTGATCCCAACCTTCAGACCAACTGGAAACACTGCATGTTCACCAACAAATTGGCATTTGAGATTGGGGATTGACAAAGAGAGTGTAACATGCAAAAGCATGGTCAGGAGTATGTTTCAGAGCGCATCACAGTTAAATTATGTCATGGTCAACAACTATTATAGTCATCACAAGATGCGCGACTTACTGTGCGCGTTGCCTTGTAGTCTCTTTCAAAGGCCCTCTTGGAGACCCTCTTGAGGATTCTTTAGGAGATGTTCCTATAGATGTCTGACTGGTACCTGTCAGGCTTGCAGTAAGCCTGGAATTATATCACATTGGACTAGAAGGTAAGGGTAAGGTAATGAATGTAATGACGGATGTAGTACAACTGGTACTGCACCTCCCGTCAAAAACCTTCCCTACACTCACCCATCCATCTTGCAGTGCACCGCGGGTATGTTATTAGCGGCTTACGTAAGTGTCTATAACACTACATGTTGCACCTCTATGGAGTCTCATGCAGGGTCATGTCAAATAGGGGAAGGAGGGAGGGTGATTTGGTCAATGTGGTGGAAGACTGGGTTTCAGTCACTTCAAAGGGGCAGACAAAGACATTTGACCATTCTGTACTAATCCCAATCACCCTCAATCCTTAAACCCTATCAAAGGGATATGGGACCGCACCGATGGCACCTTGGATGGTAAGCTTAAGCATACCACTTCTCTTGATCAGCTCTGGACGGATTGACAAGAGCCTGGGTCGTCATGCCCATCAGTAAATCCAAATGACATGATCCTCAGCAAGCCTGACAGAGTTCAGGCAGTACTGGCTGGAAATGGGGATCACACCAGATGGTGAGTCATTGTACATGTAGTTGATGTATTCTCGAGCAGTTACAACTTGTTTGATGATGATCTGGTGTGACGTCGATGATTTGTACACACCTGTGATCCGAGTCACTCCCGAAACACGCACTTCTGACGGGCGCGAGTATCATCAGCAGCAATTCAGCAAAAGCCGCGTGCGCCAAGGCCGCAATCGCGCAACCAGGTTTCATGGGCGGCCGCAGCGCATTTCAGTAGTAGTAGTAATGATGTGCGATCAAGCCATGTAGTCAGCTGATTCGGCGCCCCAGGGATACGTATGTAGCCTGCCTGACACAGAGATAAATATGATAGATATACGTCCAGCATGGACAGGAATCAGTCGTCTCAAAATGATCAACGACTGTCTCCGCCAGAACAAGCATCCCACGACCGCCTTCCCATTCACATACAAATACCTTACGACTCAGCATGACGTCCACCTCCCCCATGAAAGGTTCCCTGTTCAATCATAGCGGGTTTCGAGTGGACGACCTGGAGACATCTGTCAAATTCTACACCGAGGCTTTCGGGATGCAGCAATTGGCTCGTTTCGATTCGGACACGGTTTCAATCGCCCAGATGGGATACGAGGACTCGGCAAAAGAACCAGGAACCCCATTTCTCAAATGAGAGGGCGTGCTCGAGCTTGTCCACGCTAAGGTATGTCAGGCTGTTCAGAAGTATGTCTTGGTCTGTCGTTGATGGAGACACATCTGGAACAGAACTCGCCGGTCAATGTTTCAACGCAAGTGAAGCAGAGCTTTGTCAAGCTTTGTTTCACGGTTCCCGATATTGCTGCGACGGTCAAGCGTTTGAAAAGCCAGGGTGCCAAGTTCTTGCTCGAGCTAGAGGACAGGGACACCGAGGGTGTCTGCTGCAAGTTCTTAGGATGCGATCATCCCGATAATGGAAAAGACAGGATGTTATGGGACGCGGCTGAAGGCGTCGCGTTTGTGGAAGATCCCAACGGGTATCTGGTTGAAATAGTTGCGATGGACCCGACGGTGGTGGTTGTCAAGTAAGATGATTCGTAATGCACCTGATGCCTGTTATCATGCATATCTGCCGAAGCAATCTATTCCTTCCAACATTCACGTCTTCAGCCGAAGCCCGAGTCCCAGAACTTGGCTTCTGTACTTCTGTCGAGGTCGACTGAGAACCGATTGGCAGAATGCGAGCGCGGCGGCACTTAGCTTAGAGCTTGCTTTGTGCTAGTCGCACGGTATACCACGATCACGAAAGATGGGATGCAAAGGAAGCCACGATGATTACCATGTCATACCATATACATGCGGTTGATCGAGTGGCTTAAAGAGCGGACGATCAGAGGCCAGATGTTGACGCTTCGACGTCGACGTCTCGCGACCCTTCGGCCGGAAACCTAAACTTTGAACGGGACGTCGGGTGGCGTCTAAAATACAAGGCTCGTGGTCAGCGACTTGGCCTTGTTCCCCAACCCCTCGTCCAAATCACCAGGGCACTGAGAAGCTGGAATGACCGTCCGTCGAGACTTGCTTGCTGAATCGCTGACCAGAAAAAGACGCAATCCGATGATGGGTACGATGGCGATGATGACCCGTTTCTTGCTTATCGATCCGACCTTTTGTTGATCATCATCACGATCATCACATCATCTGCTTCCGAGCAGGCGATACCCGTTCGCCGCGAGCCGTGACCCGCGCGCGCGTCCCCCTAGTCGGCTCGGCTGGCTGACTGTTCCCCCGAGTGCGATTGCGCATCGATCGAGTCATCGGGGACGGGCGGGCGGGCGATGGCGACATTTGACTTTTGTTTGCGTGACCCGATAACCCGATAGAGCGAGAGGCGAGAGGACATCAGAGAGAATATATAATCAGCTTCCTCTACACCATCATCGACCCCTTGGATAACTTCCACTCCGTTGATAATAAAGCGTTCTCTTGCAACCCTTTACTTACAAACCTCGATCAATTCCGCACGACTGAACATGTCCTGCTAGACACAGCACCGTCACCTTTAAAGGACCTTCCGATCTACCCTACAGATATTCGCAACCGCAACTTTTTAATCGAACCACCAATCCAATCATCCTGCAGCCTTTCGACGTTTCCCTTTCTCTCAACTATTATGATATCTGAATCAAAGCAGCAACATCTACCTCATCATCATCTCACACACGTCACTCGATCGAGCCGCACGTCGACCAACACACAACCACGACTCGAAGAACAACTAAAAACCCACGACCACAGGGGTGTTGACCACGGGAAAGACATCGAATTGGCCTACCACGCACCTTTTGGGGATTGACGTCGTTGAACGAAAAAGGTGAGTGGACCGCGACCTCTGATGAACGGATGATTCGGATCGGTCGGCTGATTGGACTCTGCAAATCATCACTTGCAGCTTACGCGACGAGATCTCACAACTACTATCAGTATATATACGGATTTGAACCCCGACCTGGACATCAACCCCCTTCCTTCATCCAGTATCAGTCGTCACCTCTGCCAGGCGCCCGATACGACCATGTCCTTTACCACCCGAACCCGCCTCGCTGCGGGCCCTTCATTGGACACCCTCATCGCCATCACCTATACCAAGCTCGACACCTTGTCCCACCTCCTTTCGGGAAACAAGGACGAATCGGACCTTTTGCGTCGGGGCGTGTTGCTCCAAAACGTACTCGAACGGGGCGTAGATGCCAGGGAGAAGGAGAGAAAGCAGAGGACGGAAGAAAGCATCTTCGGGATGACCAGGAGGAAAAGCAGTGCCACCACAGGAGGGTGGAAAGGGGCGGCTTTTGAAAGTGGTATGGACGCTCTCTTCGAGCAGGACGGTGATGAGGACGAGGACGAGGAAGATGACGATGATGCCATCGAGATCGTCTGCCAGCCGAGCCACATCAATTCGGACCACGACACAGCACAGGTCATGGATCCTACCCAATTTACCATGACAAGTCCGGTTGAGGAAGGGGAAGAGGCTTGGTTTGAGGAGACTTGGAACGAACTTCAATCCATGACCTCGCCCGAACACAAATCGATCGCCATCACCATCATGGATCAGGAGGCCGAGGTCTACCCGATCGAGGACGACGATTCGATTTTCTCCGCTTCGACCTCGGAGCCTTCGAGCAGGAGCACCACCCCATCTCCTCCGCCTTTCTTCTTGGCCCACGATATCGCGCTGCCTCCCTCGCCGAGGCTGAAGGCGACCAAGATCGCCGACAAGTTGGACGGGCCCATGGAGAAGGGCACTCTCGCCCCGGCTCTCGAATGCGCAATCAGCGTCGAGCAGGTCCTGCTCCGCTACGAGATCTTTGAAGACGAGGAGGAGGCAGAGCTCGACAGTATCGACCTACAAGGCGTCAACCAGTCTACCGACTCTGTCAACAGAGACTATCTGGATGTAGATGACGTACCCGATTTCGAAACCGATTTCGATTCAGATGAAGACGATCGTGACGAGGCTGGACATGATCGCCAATCTCATACGCCCTGGTTGGTCACGCCCACCGAGGACGTCTTGGATGACTTCGGATCTGGAGGTTCTTTCGAGGATCTTCACCAGTACGGTTTCGAGCACTCGGATGAAGAAGGAATATACGCGACCGATGGGAAGAACCGCCAGCACGAACCAGAGCGAAGGATGATTGAAATCGTTCGATGATATCGCCGGTTGTCTCGGTCAACGGAAACGCAACAAAAAAAGCCTTTCAATGGGCAATGACGTGGACTAGATTAGAATTGGACGATGTTTCAAGTTTGTGAATACATACTGGACGGTCGACAACATGTCAATGTTGTCGCGCATTTGTAAATCGGGTTTTAGGCCTTTCAAGATGATGATATTTTATGCACTATTCAGCTATTGCCAGGCTTGTCCGCTGCCGGCTTGCGATACATGACGATATATAGCCAGTACTGCAGGCAAGGTAAGGTAGAAAGACTGACTTGCTTATTGATCTGGGGGAATCAAATTTCGATGCGCAGTGCTATGTTGTCAGCATGGTGATTGTAGCGCTGTATCGATATGGCAAGGATGTCAGTCGTTGGAGATCGATGAGCCGATGAAGTGCCCATGTGAGCGCACGATATGAACTATACGCGAACGGACAGAATTGTGTACTACAGGCCTACAGGCGTATGATTTGACCATGAGGTACAACGGTGCATATATTGAGCATTCAAGGACGGGATTGAGAGTTGCAAGATACGGGAAGATAAGGCGGTCACGAGAGGCGGACAAAAGAAGCTCTATCTGATATTTATGTTATAACAATCTGCCAAACAAGTTGTTCTTCGTAGCACAGTGGTAGTTGCACCGAGCTGTTAATAGGGCTTAAACCTTGTCATCGGTACTCGGGGGTCGCAGGTTCGAGCCCTGCCGAGGAAGAATTTTTTTGCCCTTTCTGTGCTGTTTTCCCCCATTCCGGCACGATAGACCAATTCTTGAAACGATCCTTGCTCCTTGAGCCTGAACGGACAGGAAGCGCTACTCCAACGTAATGGGCACTGGCATGAGCACGGTGCCCCTGCAGTGAATTTCCCTGCACAACAAACGAAGTGGATATTGCCACCAATCGGGATAACGACAATGCTGATTTGAACCTGGATCACCTTTCACATGTGAGAATCACTTAGAAGATAATATCTCACCTTCAACGGGGTTGGCTTATAGGAGATTTGACAAACATGACCGCCAAGAAGTCGGCGCATCGATGCTGCCAGCTGCGCCTCTCGGAGCGATGCAATGCGTCCATAACTATACGCACGTTTCAGGTTGCCAGTATCTGCGCGGATCACTGGATTCCCGGTCTGATCGTCCAAGACGAAAGCCACTTTGATCGCATCCTCTACCTTCGATGTCTTGCATGCCTTGTGATAAGCATATTCTCGGCCAAATGACGTCGCTCAAACACGTCTGAACAGGTATGGCAGTCTCAATCATTGGCTAAGCGATTAAAGATATCATCGAAAGCGGATACGTATCCGAGGGGCTACAACGACTTGATTTATACACCTATCCTGCAATCAATTGACGACTCTACATGGAACCTCGATGGCTGGATCCGCCCGTACTACTGCTCTCAACCCTCTTCACGCCTCTGGTACGCCCTCGCTCGTTGTCATCGTCCTTGTGAGGTACCCTCGGAAGATCTACAAAGGCGAGGACGACCTGTGCGACGACGATGATCCCGGCAGCTACCGCAAAGACGGCCGGCGAGTACGTTCCGACGGTCCTGGCATACACTAAAGAGAACACCAGCGGGCCAAAGAAAGTTGTGCTCATCGCTGGGGAGATCAGACGATCAGCGACCTGTGCTCTGTTCATCAATCGAATCGACTCACCGGTGACGACTGCCAGACCCCCGAATAGTCGTCCTGTATCTCGACTCGAGTCGACGAGATTGAGTGCCAATGAATTGCTGGCAGGGCTTGTGCACGAGCCAAAGGTGACAAGGCAGGTCAATAGCACGAACACTGGTGCCGGTACCAGTATTGCCATGGCACTATAGCCGATGATGTCGACAGCAAGGCTGTAACGAACGATCGACAGATCGAAACGCGTATCGGCGATCGCTTGCATCGCAGCGACGTCCAGATTGGGTCGGGATGGATCCGCTTTGATTATCGGCTTGAAGAGGCGGACGACCACTGGCAGAAGAGGAGGCTGTCAGATGACGCAACCATATGTTGGCCGTACCAGCCACGGACTTACATGGCATGAAAATCAGCAGTACAAAGGCTCGAGTACCTGCCATCAGTGTCAGGTATGGACCCAGCTTTGCATTGATATAGCGAAGCGGTTAGCATAGGTCGATAGGCATCAGCTGCCGCGATGCGGCTCACCTCGGCTGAACTCCAACCGTAGCGAAAGATCAGGAACTGCGCCTTGACCTGTAGAAGAGCCTGTTTCGAGAATTTTCAGCTTTCAGCGGTCCGCGGATATTTCGCAGCCAAACAGATCGACCTACCATGACCGAAGTGATCAAAGCCATAGCCATGACGAGGAGCAGCAGATTGTAGTCCTTTTTTACCAGGACTCGACCCCCTTCCTCGATGACCTTTGTCTTCGGGATGAAAAGACGAAGAGGCGACAAGAATGCAAACATCCTCCTGCGAAGCCTCTTCATCCGGCCATGGAAACGTCTTTTGCTGCGCGAACTCTTGGCGGTGACACCCGAGATTCTGGACCAGCCAGAAGCATTGGTGTCTGGCTCGTCTGCTTCGGCATCAGACTCTTCTTCCCAAGCCCTCTCGGCAGCCTCGCGCTCAGCCATTGCATTCTTCTTGGCGGACACGGCTTGTCCAAGAGCGTGTCGAGCTTCGCGGGTGAGTGATTCAGGAACGACAAAGGCGATGAAGAGGATGATGCAGGTATTGAACATGGCCGCCAGATAGAATACACTCATGCTGACAACGAGAACGGCAGTGGGTTGTTTAGTTCCAGGCTCGCGATCGGTGTGACACTTCACATCACAACTCACATGTCTCGCGTTGCACGGATCAAGGCGCTTCCAAGGATCGGACCAAGCGAGAAACCAAACATCATAATTCCCTGAACTCGACCGAAAGACTTGGCTCGACTTCCGTCCGGCGTGACGTCCGACAGGTAGGCATTGTTGGTAGCCATGATGGTCGAAAACCCACCGAGAAGCCCGTCGATGACAGGACCGAGCAGGATGAAACGGTATCCACCTGGAACCTTGTGCGGATACGTGGCGGTAATGATGAGAACGACATCGCTGCGAGGTCAAAGCTATACGTCAGCCTTCATGTAATAGAGTGTTGAACATCCGGCTGCGATCCGACTGACCTCATCACCAGACCAAGAATTGCGACACTCATGACTTTGGTGCGTCCAAGACGATCCGAGACGGCTCCCCAGAACCCAGTAGTCAGGGCCGACAAGATGCCCATACACAAAGTCATTGCTGAAAAGAGATGTGCAGTCAGCATCGCTCGGCTATTGGGTAGCCATTGAGCAAGACTCACTCATGGTCAATGTCGCCGCGGCGGCTTGCGTGTTGGGACTCTTCTTGCACAACCTCGGGTCGATGGGAGGTCGAGGTGCATCCTCAGGCCCCCCCGTATGTTCATCGCCTGGTGCCTTGTGTCTACCACTGTCGTCATCTTGACCGTCCCCTGCTTTGTCCCCTCCACCTGGTCGTCCTCCTCCAACGGGCCGATGAGGGACCTCGCCATCCGGCAAGCCATCTCCATCTTGCGGCCGAGGATCCCTTCCACCCCGTATGGGTCGACGTCTAGCTGCTTCCTGGCGGGCACGATCTTCCGCGATTCGTTTTTGCAATTCGATCATCCATTTGTCGGCTGGAGTCAGGGGAGGCAAGACCGGGGGTTTGGTTTGGTTCACGGCGAGGTTGATGTAGTTCTGCACGTCGTTGTCGCCGGCCTGTTCCGCGTAGATAGCATCCAGGTGCTGACGGGAGACTGACGGAGCGTTCCACAGAGATCTGACCATATGCATCATGCTCATGTCCGCTTCCTCAACTACACCGTGACCAGCTGATTGAGTCTGGGGCGGATGAGAGAGACAAGCGAGGTTGATCATGAGTTCTTGCTTGGGAGCGGAACCCATCCCCACTGTCAGTGCAAAACAGGTAACGACGGGGATCAACCTGATAACCAGGTGCAGGTGAACGTTAAGCAGTCATCCAGGTCTTGTTGACGGAGAAGACACAGCATAAAGCTTACCAGGTCAAGCACGGCTTTCTCCAATTAGGGCGGGTATCTACATGTTCCTCCTGGGAGACGTTCTCAGCGGCATCGGCATGAGGTTCGGCCTGTTCTCCAGAACCAAAGGAGACAGATTTTCTCCTCTGTCCGTTGTCAGGTCCTCTTGCTAACAACCGCGTCCGCTCGTTCGCCTCTGCCTCGGCGTCTTCCAGGTCGTCTTCCATCAACTCTCTCTGTTCCGCCGCGACGAGCGAGTCAAAGTCCGGCATGGTATTGCCGCCGTGCACGGGCACAAAAATATCTCCATGTTGTGCATGCAGGTGATGAGCTTGAGAGTTGGTTGGAGCCATAGTGTTCCCAACGATCGAAGCCGAAGGATCGTCCAGCGAGTAGTGTGAATGATGAGCTCTTTGGGAGTGAACAGATCGACTGGATCGAGTGGACGTCGACGAGTTGTTCCGCTGAAGCACGGGCGGGGATAGGAAGGGCGTCTTTCCTTGGTGTTGGGATTTGGGACCAGTCATGATATAGTGCCACCAGGAGGCCGTGCCTTTGAAACGGTATCGAAGAGTCCTTCAATGAGCGTATACGAGCGCTCGATCGATGTGCACGAATGCTTCGATCTGGAGCCGACTGGTACGGCGATGATGAAGCTGTCGAGGCCAGACCAGCCTGATTTGCCTGCGATATCAACTATGAAGAGTGTGGTATATGATCGATCGTTACACTATCTACCGGTGCGAGAGAGAGAGGTCATGGGGACTCTTGTACTCTTGAGCGTGGGGTGGCACCATATGCATCATCATCATGCATCATGCTCTTCTTGCTGCTTATCGAGCCAAAAATCTGCTTCCGTACGCGCGCAACTGGCTGACGATAGCGAGCATCACTACCTACCTCGAGTCCCATACAGATCTGGCAAACCAAAGCTGTAAATCCAGAGAGGACAAGAAGAATCGAGGAAGCGCTCGTATGATTGCAGCGAATCCCCCCGATTCATTTTTGGGTCAACTTTACCATCATTTGCACTCGCAGTCCCCATTCTCGTCTTCGGCCGTTGCCCCAGATCTCGATTCGACGCTAGCCAACCTCGAGATCGAGCTTCGGACATGGCCGACTCGGAAGGAGATTTCGAGCGTTTCACGTCATCACATCCTGGACAAGAGCTATTTTCTCACTCCTGCGCACCGCGGCCCCGCACGACTCTACATCGTATCGCATATGGGACATGTCTCGAAAGTTACTTTCGTGTCGTTGGAAGTCATAGAGTGCATCGCTCTGCATTCGTCTGCATTCATTCGGGTCGTCTGCCCAGGGTCAAGACGTTTCTGACCCAACCCTTCGTATCGCGATTACCTGTAGCTCGAGGTGGAGCAGTCCTGTTTGCCTGAACAGGCCTCGATCGGCTCCCTGAAGGTCTTCCACTCGGTCGCGGGACTCCTCCGCCGGACCGTCGAGGGATCTGACCACCTGCAGCTGCCCTTCCAGTCGTCCTTCTCCTTCCGCTCGTTCCGGGGTTGGGCGCCCTGGGCACGCCTCCTGGCCCCGACCGACGAGGCATACCAGTGGACGGGCCTGGATTAGATCTGCGCCGACGACTAGACTGAGGGATTGCATCTCGATTCATCGCAGGTAGTCTCGCGCCCGAAATTTGTCTCTGGTCGGATCTGTAAACGAGCGGAATCAGCATGGTGACCCGGAAAACGGATATCTCCTCGGGCTTACCTGCCCGCTGCCTCTCGCCTCATCCTGCCCACGCCAATTCCCGGTGCCATCGCGCCCCCAACACCCATCCCATTCATCGCACCACTCATCCCACCTATTCCAGTGGGGGGAGCCGAGATCGATGCCCTATTCTGCATCGGGTTCATTGGTGACATCCCTGACATCGGCCCCTGAGGCATCCAACCCGTCATAGGCGCCGCCGGCGACATGCCTCCCATCCACCCGTACGCCTGTTGAGGCGGGGGCATGATCGGCGCAGGTCTAGATCTGGGTACCATGGGCATGACGGGTGGACGAGGTAACATGCCCCGAAAATTGGGCATCATCGGTCCTATCATCGGAGGGTGTACTACGGGACCTCCCGCAGGCGCAGAGAACGGAGGCTGCATGTTGTTCGCGCCGAGGTATCCGACAGGTCCTTGAATAGAGATTCGACGACGAGGCGGAGAAGGCGATCGTCTTCTCGACCGCCGGTACGATCCCGTATCCGATCCCGAACGATGCCCATCACCTTCCCGATCCCGGGATCCGGGTCGTCTTCGACGGCTTTCCGAGCCACTGAGCATGGTATCGGTCCACGCGCTACCATGAGACGAGTCCCTGGCTCGCTCTTCAGGAGAGATTCGAGCAGCTGATGGAGGGTTTGGTTGTACGGGAGCTGTATGTTTCGTCTCTTCAGGTCGACGTTCAGCTGGACTGGGCAATCTCATAACCGACTTGTGGGTCGTAGCTCTCTTTGACTCTGAAGGAACGGTCGGAGGAGGTAACTCGTTTACCTCGACGGGAGCTGGTGCATGTTCCACGACTTCGACCGATTCCCGCACGTCGGGGCGTACCGAGCGAATCGATGGTGCTGTAGTAACCCGTGTTGCCGCCTTCGCGGTAGGCTTTTCGGCATGGCCATGGTGCGAATCACGCCGAGTCACACTCGGAGCAGGCGACTTGTTGGAAGCATGCGGTCTGGACTCTGTGACAATCGGTTTCACATCCGTTACAGCTTTAGACTGTGCTTTTGTTGGTTTCATGGTGGCTCTAGAGGCAGGCCTCGATCCCATCGTATGGACTTCCACCCTGGTCGGCTCGTCCATGACCCTGGATACCTGTCTAGAGACGTTTGATCTGACGTCGGTGGTTCGAACGGGCACTCGAACGGGCGCCGGGTCGGGGTACCTCTTCCTAGGTGCTGCGCCGATCGTTTCTTCTTCCTTGTCCGGGTCAAACGTCTCCTCCCGAGCGGCTCGGGATGGTGGACCTAGATCCCGCACATGTGTTGTCCGGTCGATGATGCGCTGACGACACACAGGACGATATCACGATTCAGACGGGTTGTCGTCCACGAACCAGCTCGTTCACTCACCTGCACGGTCGACTCGCTATCCGCCGATCCGATCCTGGTTGTGGTTCCAGAGTCGCTCGGACTGAGGTTTCTCACGGACGGGTAAGGCGTTCCCTTCCTATACCTCGCAGCATTGTTTTCCTTGTCATCCCCCGTATCATGGCGTCTTTCGAGGATCGTATCCAGCTTAGCTATGGCCGAATTGACCGGAGGGACAGGTCGATACTGTACCGATTTCTTCGTAGGTGGTCGAGGCGTCGAATCGGGTGAGGTGGGATTCGGCGTCGAGGTCGGGTCGAACGAGGGCGGGATCGGCTGCGACCTTTCAACATGGGAGGGCTGTCTCCTCGCCGTATAGAACGTGCCTTCGGAGGGGGGCAAGGGCGGCAAGTCCCGATCCATCACCGTACGCCTTCTCCCGTCATCCTCGACCTGATACCCTACGATCCTCCCCTCTGCTTCCCCCCGCCTAGCCGTATCCATGCGGTAAGGTTCCATAATCGGGCCGAGTTTCCCTGCTTGACTGGCACGTCGCGTATAGAACGTCCCTTCTGATGGTGGCAGCCTGGTATTACTCGCCAGATCATGATATTGGCCGTAAGCTGCTCGGTCGTTGTTGTCGGGAACGAGCCCGAGGTGGTCGCGACCGACGTTCGTAGGAGTGTTTCGAGACGTGACGTCCCCCTTGGTCGCTTCTGGATACACCCTCGCCTCTATCCCATCGCCCATGTCGTACACTCTGACAGTATCCATCCTTCCATCCTGCATGATCCTCGGTTCTTCCCTCAATAACGTCGCTCCCTGCTCAAACGGCGGAATCAAGGGCAATGGGTTGTTCACGGGTCCCAAGCGAGGACTCGGTCGGGAAGAGATGGATTCCTTGGGAGACACCGTAGAGGCCACATCGTCCGCTCTGCTCGTGACCCCATCTTGTCTTCGCGCATGGCTGCTCGGCTGTAGGTACGGAGAGAGACGATCCGGCTGTCCGCTCTTGGGAGTATTGGGGGTAATATCCTTTCTCCAGGTGTCGAGACGATTGTACCATCTTCGGTTGACAGAGATCTCCGAGGCGGGAAGGTTGCTGTACTCAGAATAGCTATAGTAAGAGGCTTCCGAGCCCTGATCATTGTCCTTTTCGGGAGGTTGTGGTTTAGGCATCTTTTGTCGAGGTGCTCATGGGTACGGCGGTCGCATTGAAAGGTCTAGGTGTGTACTTGGTCACCGTTGATCCGTTGAGGACTAGTCGCGCAGGTCGACGGGGTCGGAGCTCGTTTTATTGCCTTTGCTGCTGTCTTGCATGTCTTGTGCTTATATCTCATAGCCATATAGCCCCTGGTTCCGCCTCTTCTCGCCCGTTCTCACCCGAGGTACCCATCCATCAATCGGCATGCCCTGGAAAATATCTGGATCGGGTGAGATTAGAGCTGGAGCTGACCCAAAGGGGTGTCGGGGTGGTGCAGTGAGTGCGAGACCGGCTGGGCGATGGGTGATCGACGCGTCCGTGCGCTGTCGCTCTCGCTCCGTCTCTCTGCTCCCGCGTCATCAAAAGTGTTTCAAGCCCTCCTTTGGTTCAATTGTTCTTCGGCTCCGGGAATACCCAAAGGAGGGGCGACGCGCATGGCCAGAAAATGATGAGGATGATCGAGATAAAGACATCGTCGTCCGAGCAAATACAGGGAGCGTTCGTTATGCTTGGTCAGGCGGTGACATCCATACAGTCTGGCATTTGTGATGGATCATGATGGCATGTACCTCAATAGGTGAGGTAAATGGTTATGTGAGAGGGTTTCTTCCCGCTCCCCGCAGGATCTGAGCCGCGATACACCTGAAGAGGCGAAAGTGGGATGATCCACGGAGAGGAGCTGATGTAGGCCTCGAGAAGAGGCAGGATAGTCTGCGAAAGAGAGTCAGTATGATCTCGCATAAAGCTCGAAATCGATCGAAGGAGCTCTTCTTTCACCAGCTCAAATCCGGGCTTCATCCGATTCCTGCTCGTGTGGTCTCGTGACCGAGGTGCCTCTCGCTCACTAGTCGTAGCCCCATGCATAAAGACGACATGCCTCATACCCTGCTACAATATATCCTCCCGTATGAGACACACCGTCGATCGTCATTTCCGTCTCTCACCACAACCCCTTCCTCAACTGCCTCGCTTCCCTCGATACGCTCTTGTTGAATCCCCATCGGTCCTTCTTTGCCTTGAGTTCTTCCGCTAGTCGTGTTCGATGTGATTCGGGAGTAGGGGCGAGACGGGCGAGGAGGTATGATTGGGTTTGAGGGATATCGAACCTGGAGGTCGGAAAACACGGCGTGACGGAAAGGCTTGCTTTAGCGGAACGAAGAGAGATCAGATGGATGTCGCACTTGACTCACTTTTGACAGAGTGCCTTTCTACTCCACTTAATCGGATCCTCCAGCCTCAACCTAGCGATCTCTTGTACGACCTCCTGGCTCAACCCCAAATCATGTGACCCATTCCCGACCGTCTTTTTCTGCCTGACCAAAGGAGCTCCCGCCTGGGCACTCCTCCTCACATCGCTCGAGCCTTGAGCCCAACGGAGGACGTCCGGGATGGTCCCCGTCGTATAGGTCGGTGCAGAAGGAGGAGGAGCGTGATGGAATTCGAGACCGCTATCTTCCAATCTCGTCGATGCCTTCTGATAGATTGATGCGGGAGATGCAGACGAGGATGACGATGAAGAAGAAGAAGAGGAGGAGGAGGAAGGGTTGGTACGGGGAGTCGAAGTCCCGGCGGTAGGTTTAGGTTGCACGGGATCCAGCGGGGATGGAAACGCGGGTTTTCTGGCGGGTCGAGCATGGTGCAAGACACCTCGAGTGTAAGGTATCCGAGGTGTCAGCTCGGACAGTGAGATGGCAGCCAAGCGGAATGAAGGCATGGTAGGATGGGTTCGGTAAAAGTATACTAGGTGTATGATCAGGTGCAGAGAACACTATGACGACATGTCGACTGGGTAGTTGCGTAGTTGAGATCCGAGATGGTTGATCGGTTGATCAGGTCGTCGAGGGGGTGCGGTGCATTGAATGAACGGGGGATGAGGTGGATCACGTGAAAGAGGATTTCCCCGATGAACTAGCTAGCTGATGACCCGCATTGAACGCGTCGGAAGAGGCAAGCTAGGCAAGCAGGCAGCTAGACTTCGAGGTTGAACGACAACCTACAACTTCCCTCCAGCTCCAGACGTATCGTGCCGGATCCTCGCACACAAAAAGATTGACGACCACACGACAGCAGACGACACTCATGTCACTCTACATAGATATTCCTCTTCTCATTCCCCATACATAGCCTTGCGATCTATTCTCGATCGACCACCTCCCGCTCTCGCGCGGCTTTTCCCGAGCAAGACGATATCCGGGAGGTGTAGAGGTCGGTCATGTCGCCCACCTCTCCCTCCTCGAATCTAGCCTCCCTAGATCCAGGGGTGAAGGAAAAAGTTGATGGGGAAGCGGATCCTGTAACGCACAATCAGGGCCAGGTCGACGCGTCTCACGGGGATGTCGACATGCAGGACGTTTCAGAATTGGCTTTGGGCATGGAGGACTGGGCTTCGAAGCAGCTCGAGCTTTTGGCTCGTCAGCTGCAGGAACAGGCCGAGCAAGAACGGACAGATCAAACAGGCGCTCCTCAGCCAAATGAAGAATCAGGCGGCGATGATCCGATGGACATGACGCTCACTGGCGATGATCATGATACGAGCATGCTGGTTCAATCGGGTAGCACCGACATCTTTAGCAACACCGCTCCGGAAGATCTTATGGCAGCCATCATCAGTCAGGCTCAACAAGGTCACAGTACCGATCACGGAATGATGCTACCGGGCTCGGCGGGCGGAATGCAAGACGAGACCGAGAACATGATCAACTCGTTCTTTAGCTCGGACTTTCTGGATCAGCTAAACGAGTCTACTGCCGAACAGATCGACCTGGATATACTCGGCGGTCTGGGTCAGATGCAAGCTGCCGGTTCGGGTATGGGTGGAGGCGAGGACCATGATCTCAGTATTCTCGACGAGATGGATGAGGAGGAACAGGCAGCTCTACTGAGAGACTTGGTCGCTCTTTCCCGACAACCCTCAATCTCGCCCAGTTTCGAAGAGCCAGGCTTTCAGTTGCCCGAGGCGTCGAAAGAGGACGTGGGGATACCTCTGCAAGCTCAGCCTCCCGCGCCTGAAGGTCAGATTGTTTCCAGCATACAAACGCTAGATTCGGCTCGACCGCCCTCAGAGCCCGCGACCAATCTTGAAAAGACAGAGGTACAGCAACCGACGGTCGCCTCGTCTCCTCGTCCCAGAACGGCTAGTCTGCCAGCAGCTGCGGAGGCTAAGACTGCTAAGCCGATCTCGGCCCTTTCCGGATTGCCCAAGGACTCTCCTCCTGTACCGGCTAAACTACCACCAGAGCCTGTCACCCCTATCTCGAAAGTCTCGACCGATCCCTCCGCACCCACACCAATGCCTGGAATCGAACCAGTCAAACCAGCCATACAATCTGCCCCGGTTACAGCACTTAATGATCGAAGTTCAGCACCTGGTACGCCTGCGTCGGGATCTCCTGTTGTCAGACCTCTAGTGGTATCTTCGACGCCTGGCAATCAAGCTGGACCTCAAATAACCGCCCAAAGGCCCAAGCCTCAGGTGTCCGCACCTCAAAAAGTCGGTCCCTTGCCCTCGACAGTCAGACCGCCAATGACTCCCGGTACATCCGTCGCTCCAAGACCTCCACCGACGGGGCCGCGGCCACGACCTATGCCGTCAGCCAATAGGCCGCCTGCTGCGCGCCCTTCACCATTTATATCGAGACCTCATGCTGCATCGTCTACAGCCCGGCCTGCGCCGCTCGGCACTTCGTCTGCGAGTCCCGTACCGAGACCTATACCAAGACCTACACCGAGGCCAGCGAATGTTTCAGCCCGACCTGCCTTGTCACAGCGGCCTGCATCGGGGCCTATTACGAGTGCTGGTGCAAGGCCGGCACTGGCAGGTCCTCCTGGTGTACGACCTGTCTCATCCGGCGCCGTTTCATCCGCGACATTGAACAGGCCACCAGCTGCCTCACCTCGACCTCCTTTCGTCGGGCCTGCACGGCCGCCATCAACGATACCCAGACCTCCAATATCGGCGGCAGCACCCAGACCGCCAGGATCGACCGTGACGCCTAGACCGTCAGGACCGATGACATTGCCTAGACCTTCAGGATCAATGCCTTTGTCTCGGCCATCAGCACCGGCTACGTTGCTTCGACCAGCAGGTTCAACAACGATACCACCTGCAACGGTAACGAATCAGAGACCCCTTGCAGCAGGAGTCTCGCCTGTCGCGCCGACGCCTAGACCCCTCGGCTCGAACTTCCCGCGAGTAGCCTCTGCTGGCCCTTCATCTGTTCTTCCGAGGCCGACAGCGACTGCCGGGAAGCCTGAGGAACCGGAACAATCTCACCAGAATAAACGCCGGCGGCTCGAGCCCGGACAGGATGCAGTTGAAGGATTAGATGCTGCTGGCTTCCAGGAATTCGCAGATATCCTGTCCATCCCGATTCCGGGCATGTCTCAAATCAACGGAGAATTGCTGGGAGGCTCGGGAGGTGAGAAGCTGAGTCAAGCTCAGATCGACGAGATTGTCGGTAAGTCTCGCCTGCGTTCCGGTTCCAGCTTTTTCCGTCAGGGGCCGTCATGGCTCAATGCTTGATGTTGTCACAGCCTCCCTTGGACGGCCGCCAACGATGAACGATCCCGCGGCGGAGAGTGAAGCTGGCCCCTCCATAGCGCCAGCGAACGCTGCGGCTGGACCTAGTCGACTCACGCCTGAGCGTGAGGACCAGGCCGACGCGAACAAGCCTGCTGTAGATGACGAGATCGATGAGCTGGAAGACGACGACGACCCAGCCGCACAAGCGCAGGAGTTGCTGGCCATGATCAGCGCATTGCTGCCGCCAGGCGAAGAAGACAGCAAGGATGACATTGGTCAATCCGAAGACGAGCTGGACCCCGATACTTACAAGATGGAGGATTCCCCGGCTCCCAGTATTACTGACGACAAGACACCAAAACCAAACGAAACGCCTGCGGAGAAGAAGGAGAAGAAGCGGCGCAATAGGCTGGTCTTGTTAGTACAACATGATTCGTTTGAGCGCGATGATCTCGACTGATACCGCCGAATATGCTTATCTTAGGAGTTGTACCGAGTGTCACAGAAGAGTAAGCCGACGTCCATCTACATGTGTTGTCCTAGCCTCTGACCGTACGCTTCTTCACAGAAACGTAAGAAAAATCGCCCAGATTAGGAAGGTGAAACTACTAACACTCTATTTTCGATCACTTGATACAATTGTCGATACAGAGCAAGTGAGTAGAACTGTCACATCTATAATCGGCGTTGTCACCAAACTGATAGACGTTTTGAGCAGTGCGATCGTAACATACCTTGCGCCCGATGGTTCGTTCACTCTTCCATCAGTGCTCATCCTGCCTATCCCTAAGTAATGCTCTGCGTTTCAGTGTTAAGCGAGGCGTGCCAGAACTATGTCACATGGAGGCGCCTTTCATGCCGAACCGCAAAAACAAACGGAAGTCAGTATCGCTTACAATAACACATCGAGTTGAACAAGGCGGCTGATACCCCTCGTCACCAGACGCGATGATGGCGCCTTCTTGCAGGCCATGTCAGAACCAGGATTCGATTGGAACGCTCGGGTGCGAGCGCTAGAGGATCTACTGCGCACAAATCCAGCCGCATTTGCGGACCTAGATCTCAACGGCAGTTTAGTGAATGGAGTATCCAGCCTTCGAATGCCAATGTCCGATATGCCCACAGCGGACGAGCAAGAGATGCAGAATCAGGTTCAAGCCGTAATCAGTCTGATTAATCAAGCTCAAGCTGCGCAGCAACAGTTGGGACTCGATGCTCAACAGAGTTTATCGGACCTGGGTCAGCTTGTTTCGACAGGGCCTATGCTACCCTCGGCGCCGTCTATGCGATCCTCGCCTATCCCTGGCCCGACGAACTCTGTACCCGAACCTCTGGCCGTCAAGGTGAAGGTCGAGGAGAACATGTCCGTGCCCAATTCGCCAGTCCGGCCGGACCGCCCGCGATCGCCAACTCGACCGCCTTCTGCATCCGCGCTAGCAATCTCTGACAAAACAAGCGAGTCTCAATCATTACAGCCTCCTCCTGGACCCTTCCGTCCAAGCGTTGTTTCACCTGTTGCAAGATCGCCGTCAGCACCAGTTTCGAACAGGCCAGGCATATCTCAACAGGTGAATGATCTTGCAAAGGCGGATACTCGTCCGCATACTCCCTTGGCAACTCCGCCTCCGCCGCCACCTGCTCCAACAAATCTTCCTCCAGGACCATCCGCAGCCACGCCTCCTCTGCCAAAGCCAAACCTTGTTTCGAAAGATGAAGTTGTCGGTGCAAAGTCGCAATCTTTGCCAAAGGAGAACGGTGATATGCAGGTTGACACTCCCCCACCTGTCGAGGAGCAACAACCGCCAAGCGAAGATGTGACTACGACAGGCCCGACCGCGGCAGACTCTCAAACGGACGGCGAGTCTGTAGTGCTTGGACCGTCAGGCAACTCTTCCGACCAGCCGATACGGATCGATTCGTCTCCTGTGAAGGCGGGACCACTGTCAGAACCAGCGGATCAGCCTATGGAAGCGGTTGTGCCGGATCAATCATCACATCCGCAAGAGAAGCAACAACCGACTGGAGGGCGGATGGATGAGGACCCAGTCCCAATTGACGTTACGCCGACGCCGACGGCCGTGCTACCAGCCAAAACATCGGACCAAAGCGGCAACGACGTTGCTCCTAAGCAGGAGGACAAACCCGCTCAACTGCTGGTACCTCAATCCAGGAATGACAGCAATCGGAATACTGGAACGCTCAATATCCCTGCCAATCTCCAAGCTGAGTTGGCCAAATTGGCCAAGGGGGTACAGGATTCGGCGTTTGGAGACGATATGAACGACAGCGGGATGGATATCAACATGGAGAATATTCTCGGAGACCCCTCCGCGCTCATCGCGCAGCTGGCTAGCACGATGGGGCCACCGGCAGTTCCGCCGTCATCTGTTCTCGACGATACTCAGAATGCGATGCTTATGGATATGATCTCGCATCTCGCCAACGGAGGCAATGCAGCGCAAAGCACATCTTTGCCGAGCGGACTGGCTACGCCGACATCTTTACCTGTGGCTGCGCCCGCTACAGATCTCTGGAGTCAGGTTCCGCAGGCTATACCAGAGACGTGAGTAGCTGAAAATTGGAAACAAAAATGACACAGAGAGTTGATCAGCCGTTTGACGCTTTGAGCAGGAATCAGCAGGTTGCCAATTCTTTCATGACTGACCTGGGCCACAATAAGCTCAATCTTGGTCTGTCAGGCTTTCGTCAAGACGATGGTAGCATTTTTGTCCCGCCGACTACCCGATCCATCGAACGGTCGATGCATATGCGAGGAGGTCTCTCGCACGATGCCCTGCCAATAGAGGGTCATGCACCGTTCCTCGAACTTGGGCTGAAGTTTGCATACGGCAAAGATGGTCATGCCTTTAAGGATGGCAGAGTGAGTCGCTGGATTTGTCTGAACATTCTGAGCATATTCTGATCTGCGGGCCCGTTCATAGATTGCCGCCGTCCAGGCAATGTCCTTGACCGGGGCTCTCCGGATTGGCGCGACGTTCCTCTCCCGTTTCCCCGCTGCATCAGCCCCGAAAGCGATCTACATACCGAATCCGACCGTTGAAGAAGAGGCGTTTGCCATCCGGGATTCCGGCCTAGAGATCAATCTATACCGTTTCTTCGACAGACGGACAGGCGGGGTCGACTGGGACGGCATGCGTGAAGATATTCGAAACGCTCCCGAGCAATCGATCATCTTGTTGCACGTTGGTGGCAGTACTCCTACCGGTGCAGAGTTGTCGACAGCGCAGTGGCGGCTCATAACGGAAGTCATCAAGGTAAATCTGAAGTCTGGTGGGCGAATAACGCTGCGCCTTTCTAAATCTGTTCGTTTCTCGCATGATAGCAACGACGGCACATCCCTTTCTGCATCATGGAGTATCAGGGCCTCTCGAGCGGAAACGTGGACCGAGATGCTCAGCCACTACGCACCATGGCCCACAAACGAATACCCCTTGTCCTGGCTCAAACCTTCGATGCCGTAAGTCTTAGGCTTCACTCGATCCCGTTCTAGCAAGACCGGCAGCTTACGCACGATGTTGATTCTCTATATAGGCCATGGGTTTATACTCTGACAGTCCAACAATCGTCTCTGTTGTCACGAATGTCTCTGCAGACAAGCCAAGAATCGAGTCTCAACTGCGAGCCATTTCGCGTACAATGCATGCCCATCCCCCACCATGGGGGGCGCACGTAGTCGCGAATATCCTCGGAAACGAGACGGTCTACGCCAACTGGTCGCAAGAAGTCAAGGCCATGGCGGATCGCTTGAAGAGCATCAGGGACAAGTTATTCGATCAACTGACGAACCGCTTGAAGACGCCCGGGAATTGGTCTCACATCCGCAAGACCCAGGGAATGTACTGGTAAGCCGTGCCTGTCAACGTATGCAAGGCCAAGACTCGATCGATCGCTCATCTGCGCCATTCTCCCAATTATAGCACCACCCTCTTCACACCGGAGCAACTTCAAGTCCTCGGGTATCGAGAACATGTCCACCTATTACCGGATGGATGCTTCTCTCTGGGCTGCCTGAACGCCGCCAAGATTGAACAACTAGCAAGGGCTATCGATAATGTCATCCGACATCCACCACCGGTGGAAGATGACGATCTGGCTGCACAAGCGGCGCTACAGATCGAAATGGCGTTACGCCAAGGTTTCGGTTTGAGCGCTGGATTCTAAATGACGGAGCGAGGCAGTTATCTATCTGCCTGGCTCGTCCAAACACCCATCTGTATCTCACTTCGATTTCGAGTCTATCAGACCGCTGAGTATCACACGCCAGCTTCACAAATGCATTACTTGACTACCGAATACAATTTCGCATGGTGTGTAGTGTACAACTGGGTCATGCTGATCAAGCCCGCCATCAAGCCCGTCACATTCTGCACAAGTTCTCTCTGTTTCGTGATATCAAAGACCGTATAGCCTTCACGTCGACACATCGGTCTGTGAGCTTCGAACACTAGGTGCGGACCCGAACGACAGTACTCACTGGCGAATATGATGTCACAGGCGAGTTTTCTGTACATCCACCGGTTACGCCGTTCAAAGTCGATCAGGTCCGTCCCGGATTTGGCACGGGAGATTTCTAGCTTGTAGAATTGGTTGACGCTCTTCATCAACCAGAATCGGTTCGCCCACTTGTCGGCCCAAAGACCTCGTCGTTTGCTCAATAGGCCGAGTCTTGATAAGCAGAACATGTCATCCGCTGGAAGGAAATAACGATTTGCGACTGATCAGCTAGTTGAATCGGGCTGATTGTTGCATATCATCCTCCTGCGCACCTATCCCGTTGAGAAGGGCGATAAAGGACGCTATCAGAGTGGTCGGCGCCGTACTCGAATCCGATTGTAACAGCAGGATGAGCGGCGTCAATGGAGAAAACAGGATCATACATTTTCTGTAGAATTACGTATCGTCGAGTTGAATATGAGTTGGCCTACAACTCGAACCGAGACAAGCGTAGAAACTAAACGAACCTGGCCAAGGATAAGCTCCCGACCGCTTGTCCCAATCTCTGTACATGGTCGCGCTTCATCACATGAAGCCCTAGTACTAATTTGAGGAGGTATAGATAGTTCCTAGCTCCATACTGCACGACCTTGAGCGTCTTGTCTCGTCCTGCGCTCGTCTCGACGATGGACGAGAGGACGGTGAGTTGAGGGTAGGCGATCCTCGGCTTGCTCGATTGGACCTGCTCGTCATGAGAGGCGTGGGTCTGAGCGGCTTTGATACTGTCTGTCATGGTTATGATGGCCCTGTCTAATGCAGATTGGTCGTACCCTGTTGATAGCTGATAGAGATGTCACCCAGACTGCAAGGATATGATGATGATACGCTCGAGGAAGAGGTTGATCGACCGGCTATTGTCGACCTGCGGGGCGAGGTTGAGAGAGCATGAGTCATCATTCGTGTGTGTGGGTGGGTACCCTCTAGCCTCTAGCCAGATGCGCGTCGCCCATCACGACACTGTAGAGGGCTACTCTGTTCAAGATCCGTTGCGAGCGTTTCTGTTCAGAGTACCTAGAGTAGATCGAGCATGTCCTTAGTCGGCTTGGCCTAGTGTTGATCACAAACAGTCGCCGTCGTACTACAGATACATAGTAGTATCAAACTGATAACGGGCGTGTTTTCAGGACGCCGGAACTTTCGAAATCACGCCGGAAACACACGCTTCAAACAGTCAGTCCACCTCTGCAGAGATCCGAAGCCTGCGCAGTCACGGAAATGTAAAAGTGAAAGCAGAATAGGCTCGCTGACGTTTTGTCAACGTTGCGCTGACCTGTTAGATCGTATCATGTGCTCGGCTTGAAGCGGTCCATCGAAATAGATAGCGAGACTAGGGCGGAACTGCTCGTCGACCATGTCGTCCTGGAAGTATCGAGCTCGTCAGCCAGAGACGTTTGCAAGGGATGAAGGCTGGAAACGACGAGACAATGTTCGAAACGAAACGGAAAGACGCAGCGAGGTAGATATAGAACGAAAGTCTGCAGACGATAGGCGGGACGATCGCGATCCAGTAATCCCGGTCACGACTCGATATGGTCAAAAGACGGAAGCGGAGAGCAGCACACGTGAACGTCAGTATGCACCTGGTTCGGGCAAGTGGGACGATCGATGGAATCAACGGCAAGAAAGGGCCGCTGTTACGTCTCATACTAGGCAGTCGAGAGGAGATGATCGTGCTGACACGAGAAGAGGTCCGGACCGATCTAGGCGGTCAACCCGATCAGCTTCGCCCGATTACAAGGGCGAGTACAGCAGAAAGGGAAAAGAGCGATCAGATCGCCAGCAAGACTCGCCGCAGCAGCGCACTCCATCACCTGAACCCGTCAGAGATCGCAATGGCGATGTCCACCTCTCGAACCATGCGGGAAGGGACGATCAGCCTCATTCTGCGTCTAGCGTCGATGCCGGTCAGTCATACGGGACGCGGTCGATACCACAGGAGAGAAGGCGAGAAAATTTTGACGTGGACGCAAGGGAACGTCGCGACGCGAGACCGTACTCGAACGACCAGTCAAGAGGTGATTCTGGTGATCAGTATGACCGTCGGAGAGAACAATACGCTACAAGTAGTTCTCGAGGACAGTTCACACGGGACGAACGGGATTATCGACCTGCAGCGGTTCAAGATCGAAGGAATCGCCCGAAATCGTTGACTCTGGATGATGAACATGCTGCAAGCGGCTCAACACAGAGTCCGTTGAAACGCAATGCAGGTCAGGAAGGTTATGAGGGGTCCAGGAAGCGTCAACGCCGTTCGCCCTCTCCTACAACCCCTTTGACGGCATCCGCTGCGGTAGGATGGGAAAGGTGGAGACGTGAGAAACAAGTGCCTCCGATCTCGGCCGGACGAGACGAGAGTTCGCGCCGTTCTCCAGACAGGGATGAATCTGTACGCAGGCCTGACGATAGGGAACACCACGCCAGTGCTGTACGAAACGCATACGGATCGAGGAACAAGTATGATGGCGGCAGCTATTCTAGAGCCGACGATCGAACGTCATACCGTGGGAAGCAGAGGGATTCGTATACGACTAGAGATCGGCGATCGATGTCAAGATCGCCTTCAAGAGATCGATATGAGCGTCAAAGTGTGGCCAAGCCAGGACCTCGACGGGCATCGCCTTCACCGGTGGATAGTCGGAGTCGCGCTCGAAGAAGGGCTTCGAGCACATCCCATACCTCTTCGTCCCGCTCGCCTTCCCCTGAGCGATTACATCGGACGGCTCACCGGTCAGAAAGGGACGCATCGCTTGGTCGAAACCGCCGTTCACCGTCACCTTACACGCGACGCCATTCACAATCTATCAGTGAGAGGAAAGGTCGTGCACGGGACCGGGACGACCAACGAATCGATCAAGGTGGGTCGCATCGCTATGCGAGACCGGGTAGTCCCGCAATACCTACAAGCAATCAGCTCGAGAGAAATGCTCGCGGTTCCGCTCCCGAGCCGAAGAGTGCATCAACGAGATTTTCAAGGCAATCATCCCCCGGAACCCCACCACTTCCAGAGGAGTTGTCCGCCGGTCAGGACCGAAACGTCGATGACGTGCGAGTTCTTCCGCCGAGCGAGATGCGACCGAGGGGCCAAAGACGCGGTCGCACTCCGACTGGACCAAGGAGTGATGTTGCAAGATCTGAACAGTCTCCGCGACCCAATCTGGGAAGGAACGTGCCGACTGGTCCTGCTGCGGATCGCAGGGAGAACAACCCGTCGACAGATTCCGCAAGTGCGCAAGGTCAAGCAATAGATGCTGGTGCACTGGCGGGCGGGAGGGGCTTCGTCAGCATAGCGTTGCCAAAGAAAACGCCTACTCAGCCTCGGCGCGATCGGCTATTGGCTTCTCACGCCAACGAAGAACCATTGCCGGTGGTAACAGGAGATCAAGCACCGAACCAGCTGAAACTTTTGAACATTCGACAGCAGCTACGAGCTGACCATAGCCGCTACAACCAGCTCCTGCAACAAGCGCTTCCGTATATGAAGTTGGCGATCACCATGATTCAGAAGAAGGACCCCTCGCTCCAACAGGACGTGTTCGGTCTATTGCAGACCAGTTTTCGACGTGATCCCAAAGATCACGAGTTGCATGCTATCGGAATGCTGCATAGACAGCTCAAGGATATCAAAGCCTTGGAAGGTCGGGAGCGCGAACTGACGAGGCCGTCGGGCGAAATCAGTCAACCTGATGTGGCTCGTACCAACTATCCCCGCGAAGGTGAATCGAGAGGGTATGTCGGGGACGAATCCCCTACGAAAGGACTGCGCAGCGGAGGATGGACGTCGAAACGAGCTGGCGATAGACGGACACAATCGCCGCGCCATAGCAGGGCTTCACGCCGTAGCATATCTCCTGCAACACCTCGATCGTCTTCACGTCGACGCGACCGGACGAGGTCGCGGTCGGTCGATCGAAACCGAAGTAGATATAGATCTCCGTCTCGATCTCGATCTCAATCGCCGGACCGGTATCGACGCCGATCCCGAAGCGCGACTCCTCAAAGGGAATTTGCGCATAGGGACCGCGAAAGAAGCGCTCAGCCTGACCGTATGGATGGTCCCCAGCGCAATGGCCGGTCCCCACCCAGCAGGGGTAAGAGGGATCGAACCGAAACGATTCCCGCTCAAGCTTCAGAATCTCAACCTATACCGGTTGAGCCCAAGCCCTTGCGAGGTAAACCGTACGAAAAGGTCGTCCAAGTCGGAGAGGGCACATACGGCAAGGTGTACAAGGCGAGGAACAGGGAAGGCCTCGGTCTCGTTGCCCTTAAGCGAATCAGGATGGAAGGGGAAAAGGATGGCTTCCCCGTAACGGCGATGCGTGAGATCAAGCTGTTACAAGGCCTAGAACACGAGAATGTGATCAGGTTGCATGAGATGATGGTCTCGCACGGTGAGTTGAAGTGTGTCGGCGTATCAACAGCGGACAAAACCTGATGACAATGACTTCTGCAGGCTCGGTATACATGGTCTTTGACTATATGGAGCATGATTTGACTGGAGTTCTTAACCAGGCGCAGTTTCACTTCTCGGAAGCTCATCTAAAGAGCTTGTCTCAGCAGATGCTTTCCGGCCTGTCATACCTCCATCGAAAGTCGATTCTGCATCGTGATCTCAAGGGCTCCAATATCCTGTTAAACAGCCAGGGGATACTCAAGCTAGCAGACTTTGGTTTGGCTCGGTTTTATAACAAGAAGAAGAGGAACGACCATACCAACAGGGTCATTACCTTGTGGTACAGGAGTCCCGAACTGTTGATGGGGGAAACTGTCTATGGAGCCTCGGTCGACATGTGGAGTGCAGGGTGAGTCCCGGAAAGGCATTTCTGCTGTGATGCGACGATAACTGATAGCTTTCCCAACGTTGTTCTCCAGATGCATCATGCTCGAATTGTTCATACGCAAACCCGTCTTCCAGGGCAGCGACGAGATTCATCAGCTCGAGGTCATCTTTAGTATGATGGGCACGCCGCATGTTCGAGATTGGCCAGGACTCGGAGGCTTGCCTTGGTATGAGTTGGTCAAGCCCAAGGTGGAGTATGCGAGTCGCCTGGTGGACATGTTCGGGTCGTGAGTATGGTGGAGCATCGGCTTTTCTGGCATGTCTCGTAGCAGACAAGGCTTGCCACTGATCCAGTCATACACCATAGAACGATCAGTGGGCCAGGTCTGACAGTAATTCAAGGGCTGCTAGAGTACGATCCGGCTCGACGCTTAACGGCAGACGAAGCCCTGTCGGATCCATATTTTGTGAGCGAGTTGCCACGACCGGAAACGCCCAGCCAGTACGTCTCTACCTGCCCGCCTCGATGCGATACCGTTGCGAAACGTCACTGATCCTGTATACGTCTCGTCTGATAGCATCGCGGAGGTCAAGGGAGAATGGCACGAGATGGAGGCGAAACAAGATCGAGCGAGGAAACGACACCAAGAGGGACAGGCCTTAGCAGCCGAGGCCGCTTCCCAGACGAAACAGGCATGAGCACGACAACGAATAATACCAGATCCAAGAGCCACGGATATTGCAGGTTGGAAGGGTTGTAGCATGTTTCATCATGACCGGATATCATCACGAAATAGCATGCATGATTTGCCGCACATTGCATCGAGACTCATAGCATAGCAAGCAAGTCGTTCCACGGTCGCCAACCAGAGCAGATGGACCTCGCTGAAGGTATATCCAGATTGAAGTTTTTGATTCTTGATTTTCGTTTTACATGCGGTGGCTGCGAGTACAGTGCATACAGTTATACACACGTAGACATCGACCTTGCGCGAGGGGTTCGGAAAGCGCATGTCAAAGTTGAGACATGAACGCTGATTCCGTGGGGTGTATCGTGTGCCAAGCCGAGAAGACCGTGACGGGTAAGTTGATGACTTCTCAATGCTTCCACTTGATCTCTGAAGCCTTTCCCGTCCGTGTCCCAGCGGTGTTAATCCTATCCATCGTCCATCATCCGATCCGTGTTGTCGACGCGACCACATCCTCGTCCCTCTACCAGTAGGCCCCATCGGTCCTTCTCGTTCACTCCTCATTCATTCCCGAAATCTCGACCTAATGATGACTTGAGGGCTTCTTGGCAGCGATAAAGTCGTCGTAGATAACGTAGAGGGTGAAAGCTCCTAGACCCCATCCGAAACCGGGAAAGAGGTTCCTATACAGTACGTTCGCGAGACGGCGTTTCGTATCAGCTCGGTCGGGTCCTTCCATGCACGGCGACCGGAAACATTGATCTGGGGATGATCTGTGGCCTCACCTGAACATGGACTTGTTCTGGAAGATGGGGGACTTTCGCCATGCCTCCCGCTTGGCCCAGGGATCTCGGTAGAGTTGAGTCATGGTCGAAGTGTTGCTACAGCAATGTCACCGGAACGATTAAGGTTCAGCGGGATCCCGGATTGAAACGGATTTACATATCCCTCGACTCACTCTGTTCGGCTGTTTGACTGGCTGAACGGCTCCTGCCTCTGTTGTCTCGAGATCGTGTACGTTTCAGGCTCGACGTATAGACGGGTCTCTATTGCATGTTCATGTGAGGGGTAGATGCTAAATGGGTGAAGCTTCGATTAATCGCGTCCAACTTCAGTAGACGAGCCAATCGATAAAAAGTTCCAACAGTTGACCCAGCAGCTCAGGCCTTGCAGTCTCCCCCTTCCCATAGCCACTACTTTGGGAAAAGACACATCATCATCGATATCGTCCCCAGGGGAAAGAGAGAGAGTATCAACGTCAGTCACCACAATCACCGGGGGGACATCAACTTCAACATCATCATCAGTTCGTCTGTCGCCTATAGTGAGTCTGACATTCCCCATCTCTCTGGCAGGTCCGTGTGATACTAAACATCAAGCCATGCGTCGACACGCTTCAGATGGAGGAACAAGGCTGGATCGCAAGCTCGACGGAAGCCAGCAGGCAAGACGTCGACTATACCGATCAGGGGAACAACCGTCCGGACCCCACCCTGTCGGATGCCTCGATCATGAACTCGATCACTTTGGCTCTCGCCAGTTCCGGAGATCTGGCTGCGCACTCAAGGCAGCTGGATACGGTTCTCACCGAGAACGAAACACTGAGGACCAACCCGAGGATCGACGCTATTCGCACGGACGAGATACCCGTAACCTCATCGTCTTCAGGCGATGCTATCGGATCAGAAATCCCTGAACAGCCTACCAAACGAGGTCGAGGTAGACCGAAAGGGTCGTTGGATCGGAATCCTCGAGCACGCCGGGAACCCAAGGCAGCGGGAGGAGGATCAGACAACGGCAGTGCGAACGAGAATGTTCCGGTCAAGGCTACTGGTGCTCGAGGTCTAGCAACTGCGGAGCCTCAGGAGGAGCCCATCGTGAAACGGAAACCCGGTCGACCTCGCAAAGACCGTACCGGCGAGCCCCCGACGCCTCGTACAACCAAAGTCAACCGTACCGGACCGAACGAAGCAAGCTCGAAAGCTACTGCCGAGAGTTCTGAGAACACTGCTATTGCGGCCACTCTGCCACCTGTTGTTCCCCCAGAGAGGAAAGAGGCCAACCGGCAGGCCGCGCTGCGTAGTCGTCTCAGAAAAGCGGAAAGGGCGTCCATCTTGGAGAAGATGGCCGCAGGGTTGATGAAGGAGAATGTCGCTCTGAAAGAGAAGATCCACGCGTTGAGTTCGCTGGGCTTGGAAGACCGATCGAAGCCGGATGAAGGTGATGACACGCTCGTCGATTGGCATCAGACGGGTTATTCTGTGGAGGCGCCCATTGATGGTAGTCGCAGTGCCTCGCAGACAGTCGATGAACCGCGAGGGGGTTCGCCATCTCTCCCTGAAGCCATACCAGGTGACAATGCACTTCCTGCCACTTTGGCAAGGCCGGATGGGCCAGCTTCCGGCTTTAAACCTTTTCCGCACGACCCCATCAGCCCCCTGCAGGCAGATGTTGAGCGCCATCTCCAGGCTCAGATCGACCATCTTCGCTCGTTCCTCAATGCGGAAACTGACACGAGCGCAGGCTCCGGCTTGGTCCTCCCAAGCGGGTCGTCCATGGCCAAGCAAGACGTACTCTTGCTCAAGGATATCGCCAAGAGACTTCGACGAGAGAATGCGAACGCCACGCGGACAATCAGAGAGCAGAGAGACGAGCTCTTGATGCTGAATCATAGTGGCGATACGAAACCTGCCGAGGGCAACGATGAGGCAGACATGATGCAAAGGCTTCCTGGTGAACGTCCACAAAAGCAACACGCAGAAGTAGAGTCTGCTCTAATGAACCTGAAACGACATATAGGACAGCTCATGACGGTAAATAACATCTCTCTCTATCAGTCGCGAGCCATTTCGAGATTATCGTTGAGACCCGCTCAAATCGTTCCGTAGCATTACGAATTACCGCCCATCGACCTCGATGAGAGCCGAATGTTCACGCTTCCTGAAAAGTTCATGCCCATCCCGCTTCCACAGCCGATGAAACGAGGTCGGCCAGGCAAACCGTCAGATGCGGAACCTCCTGCGAAAAAGCCGAGGCGCAAGACCGCCGCGGCTACCAAGGAAAAGGAAACCAAAGGCTCGCAGGCGAAACGACCCGAACATGTCAAGCGGTACAGGGTGGAGGGTGATCCTGGCAACATCTACATCGAAAAGAGACAGGCTATACGCGGTTCAACAGAAGAAGAAGTTGTGGAAACCTCGAGTCGGAACGCGCATAATCCTCGGGTATAGGCGCGTTTAGCTTTGCACATACTCTTATGATATTGTGCTATAAATCAGGTTGTATGAATATGCGGCATTGACTACAGTACCAGCCCCGAAGCCGTGGAAGTTGCTTTGCCCTCGCTTACAATCTCGTGATTTGGAGGGCGGTATGCAGGCATGTTGGCCGTAAAATCTCTCTCGTTGTTCTTGTAGGTTGATTGCGTGGCATACCTAGTCGGAACAGCGGGCTTCACGTCGCAGCTTTTGGGACAAGGAATCGGTGATCCAGTTGCTGCTGCTACTGATGATGAGATGGCGATACAAACATGACGTACCAAGTGACTAAAGCGAGCAAGCGAAGGAGGCAGCTGCGGGACATACCTAGAAACAGCCGGCTTTATGTCACAGTTTTCGAGACGGGAAATCAGCGACCCAAGCGTTACGACAGGGGCCGGCTGGAGGGGGTCGAGTTCTCCGTAGTCGAGCTCATCTACCATCCTCTCGAGTTTAGCGTGGCGTTGATCCCTCGGATTGGTCCACCTTTGCATGTAGATAGCAAGCATAACGGGAGAGTTTTGAAGCATGAACAGCCTTGCCACACCTTCTTGCTGGTACCTCTGCTCAATGCGTCTCAAGTACCTCCCACTGACCCGCCCCAATCCGTGTGTTCAAAGGATGTCCGCCACTTGACGTTGAAAGCGTCTGCTGAAAGATCCACCTAGACCTTGTACCCAGGCTCGATCGTTGTGTCCTGTGTGTGTCTCAAGCTATGGATGGGAAGGGGAAGGGGCAAGGAGCAAGGGGTGTTCGCCTTGGCAATCCTCCCTCATATATACAGGTGACTATAAAGGTTCGATTCGCTCAAGCTCCAGGTCATTGGGTGTTGTGGTGAATTTACTGCGTATTGCAATCAATTCACAAGGGCGGGCGATCTGCCACTGTAACATTCGTGATTCATTATGCATACGACGTGGGGTTCAAGGTATAAGATGGTGTCACGGCGACAGAACGATATCGTGACCAAGCCGTGTAGAAGACGAAAGATCGGAAGTCCATCTCCACATCGGTGCGCCGGGCTTCTCGACGAGATTGGTAATCAAGGCATTATTCTCAGCTGACTCCCGCGTGTAACTGTGCCAAGTTTTTGCACGAATCCCTGTCCAAGGTTGCTATGATCCAGCGCTAGATGCCTCAGGAGGAGGTGTTCGTGATTGGGGTGCTTCTTTGATCACTCCTTTAGTCATTAGATGTCGAACATGGTCGTATGCTGGCCCTTGCCGACCACTGTGTCGCGAGACGAGTAGATTGTCAGCTTTCTTTTCTCTCCATGATTCAACAGCGAACGTACTTGAGGTATAGCTGCAAAACGTCCTCGAGTACGGGTCCCGCTCGCATCTCGATCTTGTCGACGCCAGGGAGACCATCAGCGCGCGTAGGCCCAGTCGACAGGATGAGGACTGGCTTTTTGGCATCGACCGCCTGTTTGATCAGCCTGGGTGACCGAAGACGATAGAGAAAGTCAGGATAGGGCACGAACATCGGTGTTATGACATGAAACTCACCGGAAGGCGCTGTATGTTGCTAATGAAGTTCCCATTGCCAGTACCGAGGAAGCATCATCGATCATTTTATGTCTGCACAGCCGATGTTAATTACGAGCGTTATAATTAAAGAGCATGCTTGAAACCCACGATCGGTCCTTCACTTCTTCTGTGATGGTCTCCCCGAAGAATACCACATTCGGCTTGACTATTGAGCCCTTGATCCCATTTTTCTCGCATTCTCCGCATGAAGGAACCACAAATTGGTCGTATTGTACCTCCCCGAGATCAACCTATTCAGCTAGACATAGCTTTAGACTCTAGAATCTCGGATTCGATCCCTGGTAAGATCGATCGCGCTGTTATCGTGCTTACGTCTCCATCAGGATTCATCTTGACCGGCCGACCTCGAGTTTCCTCTACGATCTCTTGCCATCGCGGATTCAGCGATGCAAGCAACTTTTGCCATTCATCTCGTTCGAGCACGTGGTGGTTCTTGGGACAGTGAACATAGTGTAGCGTGCCATGCAGCTCCAGTGTCCGTCGATCCGTTTCAGTCAGAGGGTACGGGGACGCTTTGTGATGCAGTCGATCCACCTGCAAGGGATTCAGTCATATAAGTTGACCTGCCAACTAGACAGATACGGTTCAGACTTACATTTTGCGTTATCAGCGTTGGCGCCAGTCCTAAGCGTTGAAGAGACGCGATGTACATATGTGTAGGGTTCGGCACGGCCTTCCTGACCGGTACATACTATATCACAGGCAGAGAATTCGTTAGCATCGAGCGTCTTTCCCGTCCCAGTCTCAAGTGCTTACACCAATGAAAGATCGAGCCCAATCTGGAGTTGGACACGGCTGGAATTTCAGTTCCGCGAATTACTGTAGGAAGATGGTTTGTTGCACTGACATCGTTTACTATATAGCAAACGTGTGAGCTGATGACGCACTGAGCGCAGCTCTCGACGTCCTGCCGCTTACCGGTACAGATCGCCCTTGGGACCGGTGTCCATTAACTCTCCATAGAAGATCGGCCTGGATCAGGAACACCGAAGAAAATTAGGTCCTGACGAAGTTGGCCTCTTCCCCTCCCGTCACCTACCTAAAGTTCGGGTTTTGGGTATCTACAAGACGGATATGACGTCAGATCACCAACAAATCTCATCAGATCGACGCTCATGCTATCAAGCTCACAATGTCCCTCTGTTCCTCTGTATGCCCTGATTCCACTATCCACACTTACTCCTGCACCTGTCAGGACGAGGCTCTTGCCTCGACCTTGATCGAGAAACCGTTTGACACGCTGGACCGCATCGTTGTGTGAGATATCGGCGAGAGGGTTGACGAATGCAGGGTTCTTGGCGGATGGCAAGGGTATGTTCGGGATAGAAATCCTCATCCTGAGTGCTACAGTCGTCCTTTGCTGCTACAATGATCGAATTGTGATCCTTCGGCGGAGCAGGTGGTGGAAGTCTGGAATTGATATGAAAGCAGGAATGGTTCATCATCACCTCAATCACTCTGACCTCTGATCACTGATCGACCGATCCGATCGTAAATCACGTGACGAGCGAGATGTACCGGACTCTCAACTGTGCAACCGATCTTCACAAGCTGACCCGCAGACATTCGCGAAGTCACATTAGGCCGAGCACCGAACAAACACGAATTTGCATCGTTGGACAGTAGGTGTATCGTGCCAGAAATGTCATGTGTGAAGGGATATGCATTCATACAAAGACAGAGCTGACTCGAGCCAAAGGCAGAGCGGTACCTTTAGCCCGTTCAGGAGAGTACATCGTCATTTGAACCGAGAGCGACGATGCCAATCCAAGCCGGGTTCCCAAATTCCTCGTAGAGACGAGTTGTTTACGAACGGGGCTTCTCCTGCAAGTCAGATGGCAAGGTGCCGGAGTCAGTATACGTGCAATGATTACGACAAGTAACCAAGATTGTGGACGAACCTTCTTCTCCTTCCACAAAGCCAACAAACCAACACCAGAGACCTTGACGACCTTGAATCGAACCTGTTGACAGAAGGATCGTCAGCGCCGCGCTACTTTGCCCTCTCCCCCTTGCGACTGCGTTGTCGCGAACGTACACCAGGAATATCACCCTTAGCCTTTCCTCGTCGACCGAATCCGGAGATCAAGACCTCGTCGTTCTCGTCGACAAAGTTCAAACAACCGTCATTGGGGACGAAAGCGGTGACCTTCTTTCCGTTCTTGATGAGCTGGACTCGGACACACTTTCGGATGGCGGAGTTGGGCTGCTTGGCCTCAACACCGACCTGTATGGAAAGGAAAAGGTGGATCAGTATCTGTGGGCCTGCTTGTCTTGTCGGCGAGGTCGATAGGCTATCGTCAAGCAAGCATGGCTGAGGGAGTGCCGAGAGGCGTGTCGTCTGGTTTTCTGGCACCCGGATGTATCGGATATCCTGCATAGCGTCGATGTGATGTGAATCCGTCGCATTGTCGGATTGAGGCGTGGGGTCGTAGACCATCTTGTGACATTCTCTCCGAACCGGTATGTGCTAATCCGTTCATCGTTTGCGGCTCGAGCTTGCCCGTTCCTAGCCAGGGTATCACTCTCCGCTCATCCCCGTTGCTGGTGCCCATTTCCCATAATCGTCCGCTGTTCACTCTCTCCTCTTGCTTTTCCCCGCCCATCTTGCTTGCCGATAACCCTAAACGACCTCGTATTCCATATCGCACACTAACCTTCTCCAAAACGATTCCCTTGGCGTGGGAAGATCCTCCGGTGGGGGAGGTCTTGTAGATGTTACCGAGGGCTCGCTTCTTGTAGCTCTTGTCGGCCCAACGGTTGTCACGTCGGGAGACTCGAAGCTTTCGGGCGGCTTGCAATCCACGAGGCTTTCCGGCTGTTTCCAACAAGAGTCAAGTTGTCAAGATCCAGCATTGTTGTTCGAGTGAGGTGCAGTTGATGTTGTCGGCAGAAGGGAGAATTGCAAGTTCCGAGAATCAAGATAGACAGGACAACACCGTCAGCGTCCGTAACCGCCTTTTCCGCCAGTGTCGCCAGAGAGAGTATGCTTACAACCCATCTTGATGTATGTCGACTGGTAAAAGTGAAAAGAAAAGGAAGCGAGACCGATCCGATGTCGAAGGGGTCGTTCAAATCGATCAGGTCGTCTATTGGAGACGAAAGGTGTGGGTGAGAGTGCGTGAGGTTCGGAGATACAAAGCGTGTCGACACGGAAAACGCGCTTAAGGGTTTGTAGTGGGTTCACGTTGAAGCGCAAGATGTCGACCTCGCGCGACTCGACACCCCTGACTCCTTACGTAAGATACTCGACACATATATGCACATATCCATGACACGTCAGATCACAAACATTCCTCCTTTCGACGTTTTAATTGATTACCACGCGCGCCGAAGCCCGGTCAGTATGACGCGGCATCAGGCAGTGTCAAGCAACAAGTACTTGTTCTGATGGAATGCGACGTCCGCATCTTTGCAACCCCGAGAAGCTGAGAAAGTCATCCATCTAGTCAAGCCAGCGATCGCACATACCAGCCATGGACCCATACTCTGCCGCTCTGGATCTCCTGCGTCGTCTGCCCCCCACCAACGTCTCTGCCAACCTGGACGTCATCTCACGTCTCTGTCCGGACATTGCCGAGGACCTCGCCGTCTCTGTCGATCAGCCGCTTCAGCTCAAGAGCGATGGGGAGAGCGGGAAGGAGTATCTCTGTTGTGATTACAACCGGGATGGAGAGAGTTATAGGTTCGTATACCTGCGGATGGTGGTGGTGGTGGAGATGGTGGTAGTGGCAGTGGTGTTTACGTTATTTACTGACTCAACACGACGATACTTCCAGGTCGCCTTGGTCGAACGCCTATTCTCCACCACTAGCAGATGGAGCCGTACCTTCAGAGACGCTTAGAGAACTCGAAGTGGGTATGAATGAAGCTTTTGATACGTATCGCGAGATGTAAGTCGGAGCTATGGTTCTACAAGCGGTCCGAGCCTTACGCTGATGGTAACTCGTCTCGAAAGGTACTTCGAAGGAGGAAGTTCGTCGGTCTATCTATGGGACTTGGAGGAAGGGGGATTTGCCGGAGTCGTGCTGCTCAAGAAGGGTGAGTCGCGTACAAACTTCCATCATTCAATTGCTCGAAATTGATGATCACCTCCGTTTCGCCCTCAGCTCTTCCCTCGGCGGCTCTACAGAAGGGATCGTGGGACAGCATCCACGTCTTTGAAGTCCGAGAACGATCACGTCAAGCTCACTACTCGCTCACCTCGACCATCTTGTTGTACCTCGGGAGCAAGACGATCATGAACGAGGGAGACGGTGATGTGAGCTTGAGCGGGACAATGACGAGACAGGTATGTCGGGTTCGGATTCGCAGGTGCAGTCCGTTTCGGCAGCTTATATCGAGTGACTACGGGTTCGCTACAGGTCGAGCAAGACCAGACGGTCACCTCCCCATCCCAGCACGTTGTCAATATTGGGAGGATGATCGAGGATATCGAGTCAGTCCATCTTCTCTTTTTGAGCATGTCAAGATGCTAAACACCCTCGTTCCTAACGCTCGACAGGAACAAACAACGCAATTCGTTATCGGAAGTCTACTTTGGCAAGACCAAGGACATTGTCTCCGAGTTGCGATCGATCGAGGGTAGCGAGATCAAGAACCGCGAGGCCAACCTCCGGAGAGAACTCTTGGGAGCGTTCGGTCGTCGAGCTCCAGTAGAATAGATTCGAGAGGCGATTAGCCTTGTCATCATTTGTATCCACGTATCTCTCTGTTGTTGGCTCTCTATACCACTGGATCGTAACGATGGCCGAGTACCGGACTGCGAGGTCGCTCGTTACCGAGAACCCGCCGGGCCGTGGTGCGTGGTGTGTGATTAAGCGGAAGCTAATCTCAATCAAATGAGGACGCGGGGCCGCGTACCTTGCAGGTGGGTGGTCACACTCCAGCGGTACAGAGACCGTCGAACGATCAATTACGAGCCAGGGTCGAGCAAGGTTGAGCATGTCTTGTGCAATCACCACCAGCTTAGAATCTCTACTTCACACATAGATAGTATAGACCTTGACTCGAGGATCCGTAGACTTCGTACAATCAAAACCGACGTCTCCCGCCCAACACAATCATGGGATTTGTCGAATACGCCAAACTCGGTAGGTAGATTCTGGATTGACACCTGTACAAATGAGATGTGTTACTAAGGACCATCATTCCATTCTTGTTCAGCGGTAACGCATCCTGTGAGTAGACACAAGCTTGGAAATGTCACATATCACGAAGCCTTCGCGCTGACACGTTGCCGTCTATCGAATTCATCCGACCTCGTATCTATTCTTCTCGCTTCCTATAGACCGAACTCCGATCCCTCATCACCTATGGCGTCTACCACGATCCCAAACGGGATATCACCGACCCGAAAGAATTCGAGACGAGCGGTTATGATCGGGAATCGATGAAGGAATGTTGGAGGTTGTTGGACTTGACGAGTCGGTCGTTCTCGAGGGTGATCAAGGAGCTCGATGGGGAGCTCGCCAGGGTGGTCAGTGCTTTGAGGGTCGTCTGTGTCCGATTGAATTATGGCTCACATGGAACTTGTGTTGCCTGGTTCATTAGGTATGTCTGCAGTACCTCGTGCTTCGAGCACTGGATACGGTCGAGGACGACATGACGGTCGACAACTCGATAAAGCTTCCTCTGCTCGAAGACTTTCACAACAAGCTCGACGTGCCCGGATGGACCTTTAACGGCAGTGGACCTAACGAGAAGGATCGAGAGGTATTGGTCAAGTTTGACCTGGTGATCGAAGAGTACCAGAGGTTGGCGCCCAAGTGAGTACTAGGTCGAGGGTTGGCGGGTGGTAGGCCTGACTTGCCGAATTGGCTTGTTGACTGACGTCCCGTTCTCCAAAAGATACCAAGAGGTCATCAAGTCGGTCACGCAAAAGATGGGACGAGGAATGGCTGCCTATGCCGCTCTGGCCACTCCAGAACAACCCGTCGCCGAGGTCGGCTCGATCGCCGACTACGACCTGTACTGCCACTACGTCGCCGGGCTCGTCGGCGAAGGTCTCTCCGGCCTGTTCTCAGCTTCCGGCAAGGAGCGTGATTTCATCAAGGATCAGTTGACCTTGTCGAACCACATGGGTCTGTTGCTCCAAAAGACCAACATCACGAGAGACTACCGAGAGGACGTAGATGAAGGCCGAGGGTTCTGGCCCAGAGCCATCTGGAGCAAGTACGGGTTCGACAAGATGGGCGACCTCCGCGACGAGTCGAGAGAACAGGAAGCGCTCTTTGCGTTGAGTGAGATGATCCTGGACGCCCTCAGGCACGCTACGCCGGCGCTCGACTACTTGAGCTTGTTGAAAAACCAGAGCGTGTTCAACTTTGTCGCCATCCCCGCCGTCATGGCCATCGCTACGCTCGAGCGATGTTTCATGAACCCGAACGTGTTGAAGAAGAATGTCAAGATTAGGAAGGGTGAAGCCGTTCAGGTCAGTGACCGCGAGCAATTTTGATCAGCGAGACGAGAGAGACTGATCGTCTGGATACTCTGCGTACAGCTCATGAACCTGGCTGTCAACCCGAGGGATGTCGCCTACTGCTTTGTCAAGTACGCTCGGCTCATTCACGCCAAGGTGTCGGTCAAGGACCCCAACTTTATCAGGTTGAGCATCGCTTGCGGAAAGGTGAGAGAGACGGCTCTTTCGTGCGATGAATTTTGCCTGGAAGGAGGCTAACATCCCGGCGTGGCCTCTATCCCTTCAGATCGAGCAATGGGCGGAACACCATTACCCCTCTTTCGTCAACGTCGGAAGCTCTGGTGGCAACGTCACCTCGTCGATCGACACTGATTCGGGAGACGCCCGAGCCGAGATCTACACCAAGATCGCCGAGGACGAGCGAAGGCGCGCTGCCGTTCGAAAACAACAAGAGATGTACGAGAGCATGGTCGAGCGGGGCATCATCAAGCCTCAGAGGAACGCCGAGGGTCAGCTTGTCAAGCCCGACTTTGTCAAGATGCGAGAGGATGGGACGCTCCGGAACAACGCGAACAACGAGCCGGTGCCCTGGTTGTTCATCGCCAGTATCATCGGGGGTGTCTTTGCCGTATTTGCCATCACTGGAGGGTTGCTGGTCTGGGTGATGTTGACCTACTTCAACGATTCCGAGTAATGGAGAGGTCGAGAGTTGGCTTTGCTGCTCCTCCCGGGAAGCATCGTGAGGGGTTTTCGTGGTTGAATTTTGCATACATGTAATTATTTTACGGCCGCTATGATCATTACGCTGTCATGTCAGACTGCGTTTTCGCTTCAAGACCCCATACTAACACAGCAGAAATATCGATCGCAGATTGCTTGTGCGTTCGCTGATCGTTCTGTCAGTACATGATCTTTACAGTGAAGCCGGTATCAGACACTGGTCTTCTTTCGAACCATTAACCCTTGTAACATCGAGGGCCAGCTGCTATCTACGTAGTCAGAACCCATCGAAGCATACTGCCGAGAACATCGAGCCCGTGAGAATGGTAGTGCTAGGACTTGCGCGCAATCTGAAAGACTGCAGATACCCAACATTCAATGATGCCACAGGCACACAGAAGGCTTTTGTCTTGCACAGCAAGTGAACAAGAGAAAGGCTTGGACGGCGCATGCACAGAGATTTTCACGAGCTAGAGCAGTTTCCGTAGATTGTCTGACTGTACTAAAGTATTGTTGAGTCCCACAGGAGACAGCTAAACAGATCGAGCATCGTGCCCTTGTCAAGACCTGTGAGTATGTCGCATCGAAGCCAATCACAGTCCAAGAGATGTCGGCATGCCGAGGGGATGAAACTGAGATTTCACTATCGTCACCATTCATCCGTCAGCGACGTGACTAACGCTGACGGGTACATTTGATACCTCGTTGTAAGGACCTGATTGCACCTCGTTTCTTGTACTTGACCCAGATGACCGGACTGAATTTTCTCATGCCCTGACGATTGATCCGTCCCGCAGTGAAATGCTCTACCGTGGCGACAATGCCTGCCAGACTTTTTCCTGACAGTCTTCAATCCTACTTATTTTATCGTTCTGCGTGGGGATTAATCTGGATGTTGGGAAATTTCAATAGGTGGAATTGGTGGGAATTAGGTTGAGGAGAAACGGGTTGCCTGGATCGGTCAGCTTTTTAGGAAAGCGACCTACTGTAGAGATTCCACTTAGGATCAGGCAGGAGCGTGCATTACCTGTCTACATCAGTGTACTGTTGATCTGCATGGTTTTGGACTGACGCTCTGATCATGTATAATTGCGATAATCATAATTTGTGACTTTGGATGCAGACGAGAGAGCAGTTTGGGAAACGATCCGCAAGATCTGGATTACAGACAGTAAAGGGAAACGGCGTTGGGAACAAGAAGCCCTCCGATCCCACTTCGTAGCATTCGAACTAGCAGATCTGTATTATCTGCCTTGTGCTGCGCTGATCTGAGACCGTCGATGTCTGGATATGCGCGCCGCTAGCAAGATATGCAGCGCGACCAATTTTACGGGGAATACTTACAATTCGAACACTTTGCAATTGGCTGCATCGCAAAAGCCGCTTATCTCGTCAACGACGGCGGGAGTCATGGGAATCTACATATATGAGTTGTCAGCAAAAATCTAACGAAGAGTTCGGGCTCATTAGGCAGAGAACGGAGACTTGGATATATGTGACGTGAAACTCGAAACATGAAACATGAAACGATGTCCTCCGCGCGTTTGGCGAGGAGGTCAGGGCTGCCTTTGGGTGATAGCAGTGGTAATAAAGCAAGGTGAAGCTAAGCTGTCTGCAGACGAACAGTACACACTCTTCCTTAACGATACAAATGCGGAGGTGGACCTTCCTCGCCTTATGCAGGGAACTCCTGCAGTAGCTGATATTTAAGGATTGTAGACGCAGCCACAAACAGAAACATGACAGCCATCAGACGTCTGAGATTTCCCATGTTCCAATCGGGCTATATAGATACAAGTTGTTGACCTTTGACGTCTGTGATGCCCCGGACTAGTAATTTGGGTGATTACGAAGCCGTACAACCAATGTCCTCCTCAAGCCGTCTGAGGTTCCTCTCCCGAGTCCGTTCAGCATTTTTCCGCCGTCTCCTAGCGTCATACAGCTGACATTGAACTTCGTACAGTCTATCGAACTCTTCCCATTCGCGACATCCGCTTGGATCGGATCCAGCTACCTTTAGAAGGTTGCTGATATCTGCTCTGTGCTCTTTGCTTTGCGTGTTATGATGCCACAAATGCGCTTCGAGACGGAACCAAGCCTCTGCCGACGGTAAGGCAGCCTCTGTCCAATCTCCCCGGATCCTGTTGTAGTCGATGTACAAGCCATCCAAAACGGTGAATTTGACGATATCCCTACCGCTCAGCTCAATCTGTTGGCAGCAACGCTGTCCGCGGCCCAACACCAACTTCACTCCGACTGTTACAGTTGGGTCAGCCACCCCCGCAGGTGATCCTTCATCGTGGACTTCGTATGATTCTTCTCCATTCCAAGGCGACGAAGCGTCGTCCGTCTCCACATCACTGCCTGACTTCCCGTTGAAGGTAGCGGCGGTGCTGACTCGATCACTTTCCGCCAACCTGGATGTGCTAGGCTCAGTCCCAGTAGCTTCACTAGAGTTGGCGTAGATCTCCTGGCTCATCTTGGCTCGTCTCAGGTCGAGTTATTCCGATTGCCTAAAGGGATAGGTGATTGAAGCTTTTGGTTGGCTCTCAATAGATAGTGGGGGATCGGGTCCTAGTGATTCCCGGATTTGTAATCGTTGCCCTATATATGGGCGTTCAAGCGAAACTGTCTCCTTTGTTCCCCGTTCGGAACGTCAAACGCGATCACATGACCACAAGGTTTCATGCGACCAGGCTCATTTCGGCCGAAAATCGACTCAAGACAGGGTGAAACGTGAGACGACTGGGTTGCAACATCGGTGCGAGATCGCGTGCTTGACCCAGAGTAGTGTCCATATTTCCGAAACTCTTTGCAAACATGGAAAAATACAGATTCTGCTGTCCTTAAGCTTCAGCTCGATAACGTATGATTTGACACAATATGTGGTCAGAGACAAAATGTCGGAGGGTCAGAGTCTGTATTTGAAACACGTCCTGCCAATGCATCTGCATTGGGAACCCATCTGCCCGCCGGTCCAAGAATGTCGAGCCTTACTCTTTCCTGCCCGCCGGTCATTTGTCAACAAAGGACGACATGTCCGTGAAGCTCACCGTATGGAACTGCATGTCTGGCGAAATCAATCGCCAACAGCAAGTCGTGTCACTCGTGCTGTCTTTGTTCAGAGACCTGGAGCTCCTGCAATCATCGAGACGTGTGAAAGCCTCGAGGGCAGATCTAAGCGGGAAGATCAATAGTAATCAACAAAGCGCTCTGCATTAATGTATCGTGCCGGAAATCTCCTTTTCGTCTCCTTGCCCTCAAACATCCATGGCCGTTCCAGCAAGGTTTTCTATCTCAATGAAGTCTATCTCCAGGAAAAATCCAATTGCCCAAAGTACTTTCTCCCAATGACAAGAGCCTACGCAAGCGATGTCCATTCCTGTCGGACCTTGTGGGTTCGACCTCGGGCTCAAAGCGCTCGAAGCAGACCTTGGGTTTGAATTTGGAAGACTGGTGGATGTGGAACTCCGGGTTTAGGGAGTGGGTTCCGGGTAGAAGCGACGTCTGGGAGCGGCAGACAAGCGTCATGTATTGCTCGGGTCCGCAAGAAAGGCTGGTATAGAAGGGTTAGGGTTAAGGTCAGGGGTTAGGGATTAGTTTGATCAGACAAGGGTGTCGCACAACACAAACCTGACCGATGCGTTTCTAAGACGGCGCTGGTGCGCGACATCATCGTCAGCCAATATCACACCCTATTCAAGCACATATACACCATATACACTCTTGCTGCGCCCGGCTGCTCTGAGGCCTTTGTGGTTCTGGAAGACGGTCCCCTGGAAATCTGTATCTTGAGTTGTCGGAGCAGGTCGTATTCTACTTCCATATGGCCTTCAATACCACGTATCACATGATGATCTTGGTGATTAGAGAGACGAATATACTAAAGACTTTCACGACGACTACTAGGCAGACGATTTGTCCAGCATTGAACCTACAAATAGACTGTCGATGTCACTGGTGCAGAGTCCAGGGTTGTCTCTGCCGGTTGTAGAAAAAAGAGCGCCGGACGTGCGTCCTCCAACAGTCTTTTCCAAGACTTTCGCTCAGATACGGCAGCTGTGGCCGCCATGACTTCAGCCAGGACGAGGGTCTGTAGACAAGTCCCCTTGTGCGCGCCGTAAGCCCTGGCTGCTTCCTTGCCGTCTGTGCCTAGTGTCTGATATACCCCAGTACGAAGGCGTCGACCCAGCTCAGAATTGCCGGTTCGTGTCAGATGGACGGAACCTGTGCGGACGGCCTATCGCCAGGCCGAACAGCCGTTTCTGTCGTATCTCATCGATGGAATTCTCACTTCCTCTTGTTGCCGGGCATCACCCACATCGCGAATTCCCGACCGTATACAAGATCGCACGTACCGCAAGCCGAAAGAATTTATCATCAAATTAGTCTGGCTAACAGTGCGATGTGACAGAAAGTAAATGAAAACCCCCTCGTCATCAAAGGTAACATGACCGAATAACTTGAAGACCGGAGTGACAACTCTTCTTCAGAACCGGGAGACGCACGGACCTCGCTCCGCGCCAGATAAACACTTGCACCACGACCAGGTATCAACGCGAATGAACCCAGCAAACGCATCGGCGAAGACAAATTTGTCGATGTGGTATTACTGCTGATTATGGCATTACTGTTGTCATGTGCTTTGCTTTATTACTTGTCATCATCAAAGAAACGTAAAGATGCGTCGGAAATGCGGCGAGTGGACTAGATCTTTCCCTTCCTTCGGAGCTCCTCCTCCTCCTCCTTCTCGATCTGCTCGTCGATCTTGGCTCCCCTGTCGATTCATAGTTCATAGCAGAGATTCACCAGAGGTCAGCTATCGAAGGTAGAGCGATATCCGATTTGGACAAATGATGACTCACCTTGACGGCTCGTTACCGTGGCTCTTGGCGATGTCAGTGGGCTTGATAGCGTCCTTGGCGGCCTGAGCCTCCTCCTCCTCCTTCTCAATTCGCTTAGCGTCCTGGATGTTGTTGGCAAACGATCGCTCGTCCTTTCCGTCAATCCTAATATTCGTTTCCAATACTAATCAGCTTCACTAGTCTCGACGGTCCCAAGTTCTTCGAGGACACAGGACTGACCTGTTGTGGGCACCCTCTTTTCCGTGCTCGAAAGCGGTCTCGCCGGAGGCGTCGTGGTGCGAGAGAGTGTTGCCGGTCTGAAGGAGCAAGCAAGCGAAAGAGTAAGAATCTGCAGGGAAAAGCAGGTCGGACTCGTCTCGGCTCACCTTGGGGTCAACGGCACCGGCAGAGTCGTGGGCAGAAGCCTTCTGGACGTGTTCCTCAGCAGACATTGTTGTGATGGTGATTTTCAGATGTAGATTGGCTTTTGATTGGGAGAAGTTTTGCTTTCAGACGCTGGCCGTATCTCAGCTTGTGGGGATGTTCATTTCTCGCTGTTCGGGTTCTATATACGAGACTCGAGGAATTTCGTTCCTTTCATCCTGAACCGAGACTCTTCGCCCACCGATGACGTACGTCGCTCTCCTCTCGCTTGATCCCCTGACGTCACGGCATTTAGCAAGTTCTCGTCATGTGACACTTCTCGCTTCTCGTAATTTGCATCCGAAACGCGTCATGATAGCGAGAGAATGATCAGGTCAGCTGCGACCTCGCTGTCACCTATGAAACTCGCGCCGAGGGTATATAAGCCCGAGCACGACCTCATTCCACATCACCTTCCCCATCGCTCGAACTTCATCTCGTCTCTTTCACAAACAAACTGCCCTACTACCTCATCCCAAACAACACCAACGTAAATCAATCTATACACAATGTCTGACATGGCTCGTCAATCTCTCGGTGACAAGGCTGGTGCCGCCTTGAAGATGAGTCTTTTTCCCGACCTCGTCCACTTTTCGACGTTCGCGACCCGTCAATACATCTATCTTACCTTCTCTTTTCCTCTCTATTTACCCGGATAGTCAGAAGACACTGGCGAGTGAACTCCCCTCCTCGCCTTTCAGTATCGTTGGCTTACCTTTTTTCCTGTTGTTATTGATAGTTGGAGCAAGGAAAGGACGCTGTAGTCGGCAAGGCCGACAACGCCGCCTCCGGCGCTCAGCCCACCGAGAACGTGAGTCGGATACGCTCCGGATGCCATGTCATCAGAGCAGCGCTGACCTGCGTGCGCTATCAACGCTTCCAGAAATCCTACACTCAGCAAGCCGGTGATGCCATTGGTGGATCGAGCAACAACAGTCAGGGGTGAGTCATGCACAAGCTCGTGCCATTCGAGCCGATACACGTCATGCATCAAGGCCGTTGCTGATACTGTCTTATCCCTCGACGTGGGTTCGCAGAGGTATCCTCGACTCCGCCAAGCAGGCTTTGGGTATGGACAACGCCAACCGATCCTAAACGGATCGAATCGGACCGTTTCCCAGGATCCTCCGCTGGCGCTCGTGGCCCTGTCCGTAACGAATTGAACTGTCTGTGTTGCGTTCGTTGTAAAAAGACAAACAAACAAATGATGAATGAAATCGTGTCCGTCTGATTATCGAATGTGTGTTCGTTGAGGCTGTGGCCTCCAGCCGGGCTTCGGTCGGCTCATTCGTGACAGTGATCGTCGCCGGTCTCCACGCCTGCCATGCTCGCTGTTGGGGTATATATTTGTTCCTGCCTGAAGGAACGAACGCGAACACGATGAGATAGCGTCCAAAGAGTCTAAGCTCAATTTGTAGGACAGGTCGCACCGAACAGGACAAGCGCATGTCGTTATTGATGTACGGCGGAAACGAAGGCTATTGAGATTAGATGAATGGGCGTTGCGAAAGCGTTATTTGATGGCGCGGTACCCTGTCAACCTGATCGGAATGAGTCGCTTGGCTCCTTCTCGTTGATGTGGCCACATGGGGTAAGGACATGTCAGATTCTAGCAGCCAGGATATGCGATGTATCATTGGAAGCGAGACCTTCCAGGCTCGGGAGACATGCAGCTAACGATCTTGCCCTGCAGATGCGGAGCCCTGTGTCCATGTATCAGACGGAACCGATTGTCCACATGGTAGAGTCGCAAGCGCTCCTGGCTCCGCCTCAGCAACGCAGGTCTGTTTTTGGGGGCGAGAGGTGCGATGAGATCCTGACCGACTCGGCGCACTTACTGCTACTATCACGTACAAACTGTGCGGTCTTTCTATCGAATCCACTCCCATTTAGCGTTTATACCGCTCAGCCCGAAAGAGGAAAAACCAAAGAGGCGGCAGGTCCAGGAGCGGAAGTGAGGCCTCAGTCTGTCCGCCGTTTCATGATCATCAGTACGGAACGATTGTAGTACATACCTGGGTCCAGTTGAGGTCGTATTATGTCCCGGTGAAGTCCCTACCAATCTTATAAGTTGAGATATAACAACCCCTCACTCCGGGTGTGCTGAAACGCATGGGGGAATTTGACTGAAAGAAGGCGATTCTTTACGATATCGCCTCGATCTCAACGCGTGGATAATATTACAGACGTTTTAAATTTTACCTAAAGCGGCTTGGTGTAGTGGAAGCACGCTGGGCTCATATTACTCGTTGATGGAACCCAGCGGTCCTCGGATCGAGACCGAGAGCCGCTACTTCATTTTTGCTCTTTTTCGCACTGATCTTTTGACCGAGCCCGTGAAGTCTTGTTGACTTTGTCGGATGTCCCCGCTCTCAGACTACCCCGTCAGTGCAAGGCGTCAACCCTCTTGAAGTTCGATGCGCTGTACCGACACTGACAACGCCTCCTGAATACTGTAATCCATAGCAAGCTGCTGAGCTCCTGACGATGTTGTCTACCTGGGGCCTTCGGGCGGTTGTGCTCGCTATCTACCTGGGCTCATCATACCTAGTCAACGTCGAAGTGAAAGAGCCTTACCTGGTAAGCAAATATACTAGGTGTGATCTTTCATCCGTTCCGGCTGACAAGATGTGAATCTCCAGGATGAAATCTTTCACATTCCTCAGGCTCAGAAATACTGTAGTGGGAACTTCAGGGAGTGGGACGCGAGCATAACGACTCCTCCTGGCCTGTCAGTACTTGAGAGCGACACCTCCGTGGATGCCAACTCATTTCCCTTTACTCTTCCAGCTACATCGTATCTGCCACAATATCATGGCTGACCAGGACTTCCTGCACGGTCGGAAAACTCCGCTCTCTCAACGTATTACTAGGCTGTGTCTTTTACCCATGGGTCTGCAAGCGTATCATGACCGGCCTCGCTTGTGAACATCTGTTCTGGAAGGGCCACCCGGAACGCCGTGCTTCCAGAGCAATCAACCTTCGTACCCTGATCCCGGAAGCCATCGTCGCATCGACCTTCCCTCTGGTCTTCTTTTTCTCACTGCTTTACTATACGGACGTCGCCAGCTTGTGCTCGGTTCTACTGTGCTATAGTCTCGGTCGAGACAAAAAGTACCTGGCTTCGGCGGTAGTGAGTGCCTTTGTCGATCTCGATTGCGTCCGGACAGGGTCTGACAGCGCATATATCATATCTCACAGGCAGGCTTTGCATCGCTGTGGTTCCGGCAAACGAACGTCGTCTGGGTCGGCTTCACGGCAGTCACGTCAGCTCTGGACGTGCTGGAAGAGCGGATCAGACTCGATCGTAAACAGCCTCGGAAACCGTCCTACATTAGCGAGAGTGAGTTGATCTGGAGGAAATCCACGCAACGCTGATAGTGCTCAGCTGCTGAACCTGCGGTTCCGGACTATAGGCTCCATTTGCGGCCTCCAGTTGACTCCTCTGACAATTGTAGTCAGGACGTACTTGGCCGCCGCTTTCCAAGAATGGAAAGTCGTAGCTCGAATACTAGGCACTTACCTCCCCGTTCTCCTGGCATTCGTCGCCTTCGTCGTGTGGAACGGAGGGATTGTGCTGGGCCACCAAGAGATGCACGTCGCGAGCCTTCATTACGCCCAGGTCCCGTTCTTCCTTGCCTTTTCGACTCTGTTGGGCTGGCCGGTCTTGTTCAATGAGGGGATCTGGCGACCCTTGAACAAGGCGATACGGCTTGTGGCAGGTACCAAGACGTAAGTCATATTATGGGTCAAGGAGCAATCGTCAGCCGAGATGGACATCAAGCTGACTTGGTCCTGGCTGGCAGTCGGACCTTGTGTTCCGCGATCCTACTTGGCCTCATGGTAATGGGTATCAGATACGGCACGTAAGTCGATGTCACCCAGTCTACCCATCGGGTGAATCGATACTGAACGGCATAGATGGGGAGTCCAGCGTCGTCCACCCTTTCCTTTTAGCAGATAATCGCCATTACTTCTTCTACATTTGGCGGCGCATCTTCGGCCTACATTGGTCTGTACGGTACGCCCTTACGCCAGGTTATCTCGTTTGCCTATGGATATGGATAGCAAAACTAGGTGAGCTGCACATCTGGCTGTCTTGATCACAGCGTCGACGTTTCTGACGTTTGAGACCAACTTTCGACGATAGGAGAACGTCGAAGTCTACCCTGGCTCGTAGCGTTCTTCGCTTGCACCGCCGCCGTGCTCGTTCCCACACCGCTGGTCGAACCCCGGTACTTTATGGTGCCTTATACCATCATGAGCCTACACTCTGCCCGACTCGACAACAAGGAGGGAGCTCGATTACCTTGGACACAATTGTGTTTCAACATGGCAGTCAATGCCGTAACGCTGTTTGTGTTCCTGACTGTCAAATTCAAGTGGGATGGCTGGGAAGGATGGATGAGGTTCATGTGGTAGAAGCTGTACGCATACATTTGACACTCGGCATCGCTTCGTTCATAGACAATCCATCAGATTCTGTCAAAAGCATTGATTTGTATAATATAAAGAAACAGGTTGGAACCGATACAATGCCACGTCCAAATCCGAAAGTGTCGCAATTCAAGGCATACTAGTCCTGTCGTACACGCTTGCTGGACGAAGCGCTGGGAGGTACGATACACTTACAATCAGCTCGGCAATTCAATCTGAGCGCGTGTCCACGACGTCAATGACTTACCCCGAAGTATCCAGCCCACGCTTCTTTCCGGCAACGGCATCCCCCATGAACTGGTTGAGTCCGAACGGATCCTGCTGACCTTCCATCCCCTGAACCTGACCCATATTGAGACTGACGTCCTTTTCGAACTCGACGGGCCCACTTCGATCTTCCTTGCCAGCCTCGGCAGCCCCGACAAACTTGGAAGCTCCCAATCCGAATCGATCGTTTTCGAGCGCGTTCGAGATCCCTTCTTCGGTCCCGCCTCCAAAGGCCTCGTCGTTCCGGTTGTTACCTCGAGGACGGTAGATGGCGGCCGCGGCGTTCTGAGCGTTGAAGAGCGGCTTGTCGTAGACGTTGTACGAGCCGGAATCGCCCATGCTCGCTTGGTTGGCTTCTCGATTGAAGAGACGCGAATCGTACATGCTCTCCTTGGATGTGGTGGGTTTGGCGAGACCGAGCGCGATCTTTTCGGAGATGTCTCGGTTTTGTTCCCTGCAATGTGCACGGAAGTACTCGTCAGTGAAACGCCCTCACATCTAGCTCGAAAAGGACGCGATGTTCGACTCACTTCATCAACATCTTGGCCCTCTGCTCTGAACCCATGTTGTTTAACCTCATCTCCCTCTCTCGTTCCTGCCTCTTTTCCCGCCTGATCTTTTCACGCTCCTTGGCGGCCTCATCATCGCTATCCTCGTCCTCCTCTGACGACGCGGCAACCGACTTCTTGCCCGGCTTCTTGGCAGTGGCATCGCTAGCATCGCTATCGCTATCGCTATCGCTATCACTGTCCGATCCGTATCCTCCCAATCCAACCCCTCTTTCGACGGGCTTGACATCCCCTGCAGCAGCCGTAGTGATTCCCGACCTCTCTTCTCTCGCCCGTTGGGCCAAGAGACGCAGGTTCTCTTCCTTGGCGGCCTTTTCCTTTTGAGCGAGACGTTGTTGCATCAGAGCTCGTTCTCGGACTTCTTCACGGGCGTGTCGATCGGCAATGTAGAGCGCTTCGGAGAATTTGGCAAAGTTGTCGTTGATGTGGATCTAGATGCGAGACAAACCGGGATCGAAAAAAGAGAGGATGTCGATATCAGGGTCAGCTTGCGTGCCGAATCGCTTGTCAAAGATCTTTCACTCACGTCCTGCAAACCTCGACCGTCCGCCGCCAAACGCTTGTCCAGGGGGATCGTGTAACCCTTGTTGTTCTTCCAATTACTGATACAAGGCGGGATCTGCCAATCCTTCTGTTCCTGCACCGTCGCCCTCCTCGGCGGACTCTGCATGACGGGTGGAGGTGGCTCATCGTTCGCCCTGGGGATCTTTTTATGTTTAAACCTGGGCGGTTCGAGAGGATCTTCGGCTACGGTGGACATCTTGATGATACGTTGTTTACCCTCATCAGAGGTAGACGCCGGGGTGTAGCGGATGTATTCCGAGGCGGCGTTGTCTTTGAGGGTGACGGTGGATGGACGGGCGGCGGCGATCTTGCCGGAAGTGATGGATTCGAGAGCTAGACGGGTCCGTTCAGCGGTGGACATGACGGCTGATTCCGAAGGTCTTTCGAGGGACTTGTCCTTGAGGTCTTCTCGTTTGGCAAGAGGGACAAGATCTGGCAGGTCGAGGCGAAAATCTCAGCTCGTTTATCGCGGATACTTTGTCTGCCTGACAACTGGCGTGCAAAGACTCACCTCGAGCGCTGCTGTGCACCGTCTGGCCCTCTTTCCGACCGTACTGAGCGATCGCATCGTACCTCACGTTCCCCTGCCCGTCTACCTGGAGAGCGAGCGTTCCTCCGGTCTTGCCCTATCGACGTCGAAGTAACGAATAAAGACACACAGACCAGACCAAACCAGAATGGACGGATCAGGGCGACCGGGTTAGCGGACGTTTCACAACTAAAAGCACGAGAAAACTCTCTCGATGGTGTGAAATGTGCGAGTCTCACCTTCTTCCTGCCCATATCCAAAGGGTACTGCGCCACCCAACATTCAGGATAAGCCCCTCCATCCCCGAAATCCTCGTCCGACTTGGGCTTCCATCCCTTTCTCTTCCCATAAGCTGGGATATGAGAGCCTCGTTTGGGAAGGAGAGAGAGGTCCGGGAGGTTGGACCCCGAGGGAGAGTCGTTGTAGGATGAGATGGGGTTGTGTAGCGGCGCTGGGAGGGAGCTGTACGCGGTGAGAGGCAAGGTCAGCGGGCGTCGTCAAGCAGATGGGTTATAGTCGATTCTAACCACTCACCGAGCTAGAGCGGCCATGATTGCAGCAGCTTATGAGGGTATGAGATGGTGTTGTCAAGCGGATGGTAAGCTGATCTGAAATGTATCGAGTCTTCAAAGTTGTGTCCACCTAGATAATCATCGATGATGGTGGTCGCATGCTGAGGTCGCTCGGATCCGAAGAATTGGCTGACTAAGCGCGCTTGCTCACAGTTCTTTGCGCCTCTGCTCGGTCAATTCATGAGCTTGCGCTGCGTCAATATGGCGATCTTTTCGCCCGGAACACACTTGACTACATGACTAATATGCTTGTAGTACTGAATGTGGACTCTGCTCTATCATCCCATTTGAGGGCACGAAAAAATCCCGGTCTTTGGCGGGAATTCAAGGAAACGCGGAAATGCAGAACGGCAAGAGCGGCAAGAAGAGCGAGCAGGACGAGGAGATGAAGGGGAGACGATCGCTTCCTCGAATTGGCGTTGCCCACGCTCATTTTATTACTGTAAGGGACGCAGGTCGTGTCATCCGAAGGAGGCTTTGGCGAGGGTCCAGGATCTTTCGGCTCTCGAGTCGTCATCTTGATATCTTGATCGAGGTTGCGCTCAAAGTCTGGCAATCTGGGCGCGGTGAGCGTCAACTTGGCGCGTAGTCTTTGCGTCGTCGCGTGTCGTCGCGTGGAAGATGGATGAGGGTGAAGTCCCGGATCCGGATGGAGGAGGAGGAGGGGGAACACAGCTGCGACTGATATACGTCGAGCTCGACATCTTTTCCGTATCATCGCTCAGTACACCTGTATCTGCCCAGACATCCCTGACTCTATAGAACTGGGTACAGTCGATCCATCATGTCTAGTGAGTGCGACCACCAGGAATCGCGGTCTCAAGCCGATCTCTGTAACACGAACTAATCTACCTCCGAAACCTCTCACCCTCTCAGACCCATTCGCAGATACCCACTCCCGACCTCAAGCTCTGGACGACAATCCCTTTGCGGACACTTCCGACCCAGTCAATCCATTCTCCAACCCATCAAACAACGCTTCGGCCTTCTCCCTCGAATCCCAAACTACCCCGGTCCCAGGCGGAAGGGGTGCCGGTGGGTTTCAGGCTCAGCAGGACGATGCGGGTTATAGGGCTAGGGAAGAAGAGTTGAGAAGGAGGGATGAGGAGGTTCAGAGGAGACAGAGGGAGTTGGATGAGAGGGAACGGAGGTTGGATGCAGGGGAGGGCAAGGCGAACTGGCCGTTTTGTAAGTACATCTCGTTCTTGCTCGTGTCTCTACCACGAACACAACCGCAACTCTTGGTCTGTATCTCTCGAGATCCCGTATTCATACCTTCCTTTCATCTCTCCCATCTGTTCCAACTTTGACAGTCTTCCCGATGGTCCGCCATGAGATCCGGGACCTCCCCCTCTCCCACCAATCCACTATGAAACAACTCTACATCCAATGGTTAGGCCTGCTCGTGACGTTGATCATCAACTTGGTCGCTTGTATATTATTGTTGATCGCCGGGAGCTCGGATGGCGGGTGAGTCGAGGCTGGTTTTTTCTCTGGCTATTGATTCCGAGGAATCATCGAAGTTGACGTCTTTCAACCCTGTCGCACGGACTCGCAGGAAGGACACGGCCGCAGCAGGATCATATACGTTCGTCATCACCGTGACCTCGTTCTTCCTGTGGTACCGCCCGATCTACCTCGGGTACAAGAAGGAGGGTGGTTTGGCCCTGTTCTTCTGTGAGTCTCGTTCGAATCTGACGCCGGCTGGGGGGATGAGCATGGACGAGTACGATAGGCTGACGGCACGCCTTTGGTTTTTGCTCGATTCGGGATAGACTTGTACTTCTTCTTTGGCGGTTGGCATCTACTTTTCTCGCTATAGTGAGTTCTCAAGCCGAACGTCTGAAGTTTTGGCAATCGTCGCTGATGTTCGGTCGGGTTGGTTCGTAGCATGCTTATCGGGATTCCTTGTACGTCTCCTGCTCGAGCTACGACCGTCACTCGTCCGCCTTAGAAACGATCGCCCCAACAAGACAGCTGTACTGACACACTTACACACCCCTTTTCCTCCTCCGACCTTGCAGCAACCGGCTCGGCGGGCCTGATCAATACCATCTCGATGCTCTCCCAATCACACGTCCTCTCGGGCGTCTTTGGCGTGATCACATCGGTCGGATGGGCCGCCCAGACCGTCTTCGGAGGGTGGCTGTACAAGCGGGTCTGGGATTTCAAGAATAACAATGAGGGGATCAGTTTCCAGAACGTGAGTCGGGGGGGTTCGGTTTTCGCTAGCAGGAAGTGTCCACCACGAAGGGTAGGGGGGAAGAGACGCAGATGATCTGACGCTGGTCTTGGTCGGTTTTCTACAGGCTACCAACCAGTTCAAGGCGGAGTCATTCAAGACGGTCGTCCTACACCAGTCGAGGATCTAGGCGGGGACGGATATTGGATGTGCGATTGAGAGCGAGTGATACGATATGTAGAGGAAGGAGATGACGTCGATACGATACGAGGGATAGACTGTGTGATGCTGCATGAACATGGAATATATCTGGGCCCTTTTCGAATGAACGCTGGGTGCCCCAAAGGACGGATGAACGCAGACTGATTGACATGCCGATGCATTTGAAAATGGTCGTAGCGTGGATGTCAGATCGATGTCAGGTAAGAAAACTACTCTCAAAAATAATAAAGGACATGCCTATGAGTGAGACGAGCTAGTATACAAAATCTCTATATACGTTTTTGAATGTCTGCTCCAGCCTGCGAAGTCTAGAGAGGTCTCGTAGTCGAGCCCGTCCGCTCCTAAAAACGGACGGGACATCAGGCGGAGTGACCTCTCACACGACCGCGAGGCTCCGTTTCTCACGGTTCAGAGCACCCGGACCAAAACAACGAAAGGTCTTCCTCTTACAAAAGACGCGGTATCAGAGGGTCCCGTGGGGTGGTTTGCATGCTCGATCGGTAGGGAAAGAAAGGACCGGGCGGGTCGGGCGAGATGTCCACCTCTTCCTCGAAAGAAAAAAGGGGACATGATGAGAAGACGACCCCAGAACGGGATCGTCGACCCCGACTCGATCCCAACCTTCTACTCCCCTCACCCTTTTTTACGGGGCAAAGAGAGTGCCCGGTCCTACAAGTTTCGATCCCAATGACCGTCCTTTCCTCCCTATAATTTCCCGCACTGTCAGAAAGATGGGCACAGGAGAGGGAATCGTGGGATGATGACAAGGTAGTTTCGTTCTTCCATGGTTTTGACTCATACATCTGCTTATCAGTAACGTTGATCCCCACCCGCAATGAAGGGGTGGGGGACGTCGACCCGGACTCGGTTGGTGCGATGTGCGCTTCTTTCCCCGGTAAGAGGGAAAGGAGGACAAGGACCGGTGAGTAGGGGTTCTAGCAGGGGATCTAAGGACCGTGGGTGGGGGATGTATTTCGTCCGTTCGACGTTTATTTCTGTTGGCTCGCTTTCATCTTGCTTCGAGATGAGCGGAGAGGAGCGAGTAGTAGAAGGCGACCCGAAGCTGAAGGGGATACCGGTTGTAGCGAGCGAGTGAATGTGTATGTCGCTCGGGACGGTCGGAGATCACTAAAGCTTGGGGTTTTATGCCGGTCTACTACTGCAAGTTACGTTGTCGCTATCGAAGGCCGATGAGTTGCATGACAAAAGGTGATGGTGAGTGTGAGATGAGATGCGAGGTGAGAGCTGTTCGAAATTTCTTATATGCCTGCCCTCCTGGCTGACGCTGAAGTTTGCTTTCGCGTTGTGTGAAGCCGAATCAAATCGAAATAAAAGTACCGGTGAAGCTTGAGATAACAACTTTGAGCCTGGAAAAGTACCACTTACCCCTTCGAGAGGTGTACCATCGGGGATGCCCGATCTGATCTGCTTCCGATGGGGTGACACGCAATCGTCATACCACCTTTCCCACGCGTCACCCTCGCCTGCTGATTGCCCGCTTCGTCATTCCCATTCCCCCCGGTCGCCACCTCGAGAGTCCTCCGGATCAGGTCATATGCCATTCCTACATCCACATCAACCAGCTACTACTACTTACATCAATCTCCCTTTCTCTTTCTCTTCATCGCTCAGTTTGTGTAAATACAATCGAGCATACACTTACCACCTACACCACACGACACCTCCCACAATGAAGTCCGCTCTCTACCTGACTGCGGCGCTCGCCGTCGCTTCGGGCGCTCAAGCCGGAGTACACCGGTAAGCATCAGAGATCGACCCCCCTTTGATCGAATGTCGACGTGGACCAAGGCTGACGCTAACCCTACCTCGCCTTTGACATAGTATGAAGCTCAACAAGATCGAAACCAAGGACGCCGTCTCGTTGACCAAGCCCGCCTACTCGATCCCTCCCGAGCTCGAAGCCGCCTGGTTGGGGTACAAGCACTCGATCGAAAAGGTCAAGGGCAGCAAGGAGGACCACGAGGCCTTTTGGAAGACGGTCGCTGAAGAGGTCGAGGCTGGGTTGGAAGGGTTGAAGCCTTGGAAGCGGGACGAGGGAGAGATGATCGCTCAGAGGGGACATGGGGTTCCTTTGAGTGGTGAGTTTGATGGCTGATCGAGGTTATCTTATACCCCTATCACCAGATCGCTGATCATGTTGTGTTTGGATCTCGGTAGACTACTCGAACTTGCAGTACTATGCTCCGATCACCCTCGGTAACCCTCCTCAGCCTTTCAAGGTCGTCCTCGACACTGGTTCTTCCAACCTCTGGGTCCCCGGAAAGGCTTGCTCGAGCATCGCTTGTTTCGTGAGTTACGCACTACGATGGCAGTCGATCTTCCACGTAGATCCCGTCACTGACGGTACCTTGACGTCGATTCCCGCAGCTTCACGCCAAGTACGACTCGTCCGCCTCCAAGTCTTACAAGTCGAACGGTACCGAATTCGCCATCCAGTACGGATCCGGTAGCGTCGAAGGTTTCATCTCGCGTGACGACCTCGGTATCGCCGACCTGGTCGTCAAGAACCAGCTGTTCGGGGAGACCACCAAGGAACCCGGTCTCGCTTTCGCCTTTGGCAAGTTTGACGGCATCCTCGGATTGGCTTACGACAACATCGCCGTCAACAAGATCCCCCCTCCTTTCTACAACATGATCGACCAGAAGTTGTTGGACGAGCCCGTCTTCTCCTTCAGGCTCGGGTCGTCTGAAGAGGACGGTGGCGAGTGCATCTTTGGAGGCGTCGACAAGGACGCGTTCGAGGGCAAGATGGACTACGTCCCGCTCAGGAGGAAGGGATACTGGGAGGTCGAGCTCGAGAAGATCTCGTTCGGTGAGGAAGAGCTCGAGTTGGAAGGGACCGGAGCTGCGATCGACACCGGTACCAGTTTGATCGTCATGCCCAGCGACATCGCCGAGTTGTTGCACAAGCAGTGAGTCATTATTTACCATCTGGAAGTTGATTGACTTCCGTGTCCTGACTTGCATTCCCCTGTTTGCTTCTGCGACCCGCTAGGATCGGAGCCACCAAGTCCTGGAACGGCCAATACACCGTCGACTGCGCCACCGTCGACTCGCTCCCCGACTTCTCCTTGACGTTCAACGACAAGAAGTACACGCTCAAGGGTAGCGAGTACATCTTGAACGCGGGAGGTACTTGTATCTCGTCCTTTACCGGCATGGACATCCCTGCTCCGGTTGGACCCCTTTGGATCGTTGGAGACACCTTCTTGAGGAAGTTCTACACCGTTTACGATCTCGGCAAGAGTGAGTGTGGAGTTTGCGTGGCCGCTTTTGTAGTTGAAGGTACGGCCGACTGACCCGTGGCCTGTGATCCACTTTTCCACAGACGCCGTCGGGTTCGCCAAGGCCAAGTAGAAGACGACCTTCCGTTTTCGCCCTCATCCACTCGAGATTGTCGCATCGCACAGAACAGGATCTGGATCCCATCCGGACGTCTTTTTTCGAATCACAAGTACATTATATGAATAAAGCAAATTGAAATCAGATTGACAAGAGAAACTCGGAGACGACTCGCACGACCGTTATGGCCTTGGACCGCTTAGCAATTCGCCGTCTGGCGTTGTTATTGCATGCCGCTATAACGGGAGTGCAGAGAGAAACCCCCTTTGTATACCTTTCTTTTTACGCATAGCGGTTCTCGATGGCCGTTCTCTGTGTGTATGCATCGGATTGAATTGGATACCCTTACATCGATGGTTTGTGTTGCTTTGGGCATCCCCAGGTGTTCCGGTCTTGGTCGCTGTGTGGAGGTTGTTTACGGGCGACGCGTATCTTTGTCAAAGTTGGAGATCGACCGAGGTGGTTGATTGCGAATGATCAAGTTGCACGATGGATGATCATATATCGAGGAGCTGCTATTAAACCCCCAACCGTCAGTGATCCCTCTCCGGACCCTTTCAGTGAGCCCATAGATCGAAGCGTCTCCCTGTATGTTCGAAGCCACGCTGACCGTTGTCTGTACAGCACCTCACCAGAAACACTCACCACAATGTCGAGCTCTGAAGACGAATACGACCCAGCAGGAGCCCTGGACGATATCGAATCCACCTTGGATACTCTGGAGACGATCTTGGAACCCTTGTTGAGCGGGAAGATGACGTGGGAAGAGATGTTGGAGAAGGAGTCGGGGGACCATATGGGACGGGCAAAGTTGAACATGATGATGGCGTTTGGGGTGTGTGATCTCTTGTTCGGTGAGTACATAGGGTTTGTGGACGAGGAAGACATCGACTATAGGTGGATCTTCAGTCGCTCACCATGATATCTGTACCGTAGTATATCTGCAGATGAAGGGTCATGATACAACAGATCATCCGGTCATGATCGAGCTCGTAAGCCGTTCAAACCGCGATCGCAATTCAGACATCTCAGCAATCAACTAATTTTGTCTCGCCTTCGCCTTCATAGAAACGGGTCATGGAATACAATGCCAAGATCAAGGAGGCCGAGACCGCACCAAAACGTAAGATAATCTAGATCTTTCCTGACGTTATGGCATTAGCCTGAACTCGTTTAGCTCATCTCCGATTTCGTTTCGCCCTTGCCCTCTCAGCTCGAATGAAGTTGGATACGGCAGCAGCAGGCAGGTTCATCCAAGCTGCTATTCCGAGATCACAACGTATAGCCCCCGGAACTGCCTCTTCTACGCCCACACCGGAACCGTCAAAATCGAATTCGAAAAACAAGCTGACCTACGAAGAGGTGGGCATGAGCAGCCGGTTCAAACATATCGGGGAAGGGGAGGTTTTGGACCTGTCGTAATGGATGGAAAGGTGTTATGGCGGTGAATTATGGTCGATTTGTTGCGGTTGTAAGCGTATTGTTAGCTTGATGTACGGTGTATAGCTTACTGTATCAGAACCTGACCAGCGATCTGCGCGAACTTGTCGGTTGAATTGCGCAGTTTTGTTGTCTTACTTGTCTCGATGTAATGATCGCTCACAGAAAACCCTCGTTTAACCTGCTATATCTGGTTTACCAGTAATCTCGTGGCCGAATCTCAGGGATATAAGTTTGCACCGACCTGGTGAAGAGGGGGAAGGGCATTGACAAAGGCGGAATCGAGGACAGCCCAATCGAAGGGATCTTGTATGCGCAGTGCATAAAGCGCCCCGACGCTTCCAGGGGCTCGATGCCACATCAATCTACAGAAAAATTATCGGGATACGCCACGTCTTGTACTTCTCTGCAGGTATCGCTCCAAGAAGAATTGGGCTCGATCTGACTAAGCAGATGCCTGTAGTTCCGGCGCAGATTCATCGATCTCAATCGATGAGTCGAAGACCTATTCTAGCGATTGGAAGGAGATAGCTTTATGTACAGTAGGTAGACATATACTAGCGAAGCATTGCGAATCCCTATTTTGGGATCCCTCAGATTGGACAGTGTATAATCCTAGCTTTCCTATAAGTAAGCGTTCGTGAGATAATCCTCGTATAGAGTGAGTTCGTCAAACATGCCACCGTTCAAGGAGATTGATTGTTCAGAAAGCTCGATAGTACTGGGAGTGTCGCTGAAAACGAATGCAGGCAGAATGTCGAGATTCAGCAGCCAATCATATGCTCTTGTAGTTGATTCAGTAGCTAGTTGTTTTGCCCAATCCCTGTGATTCGCTTGGAGTAAATCATCTATGGAGGCATTTTCAGACAAACCAAGGAGACATAAGCAGATCAAAACCGATATCTCGGCGTCATGTTGGAGATCAATCACGTCCTTGAGGGGTACTTGTGCAAGTCGAGAGAAGGCTCGCCTGATCGGGTGGCTCTGGTCGGTATTGTGCTTCATCAACGTCGTTTGTGTGGCCTGATGTCGGAGATCCCTGTAGAAATGGAGTAAGTGGCCTAGCGTACGCCTCTCATAGATGGCGTCTCCAGATAGATTGCCGGCATAACGATTCAAGGCTGTGCCGGTAGCCTGAACCGTGTAGCAACCACTGGAAATCTCTGAGACTGACATGGCAGGATACGTGTGCACTCCACTCAGTTTGGATATGGAGTCCGTCATTTCCTGACACCAGTAGTAAGTTCGTTGTTTACCGTTCAGGTACGAGATTGTGTTTGGGGGAAATTCAAACAGCGATGACATCGTGAATCAGCTTTTTCAGGTCGATCGGCAAGTGCGGGTTGTTTTTGGGTTGCACAAATATCGTCGTCGTAAGCGAGTGGAGTGGTATATATCTTTGTGGGGCGTGTTCGCCGGCACTGTGAAGTCCTCTTAATCTGGCTCCTAGATATCGTGATAGAATGAGCGGAGTGAATGATTGATCTTCCTTTGTCGATTCTTGGCGGGCTCCCCAGCAGGCCATGAGTCTTTGCGTTGGCGCCTAGATTCTGCACGCTGACGATGTACTGTATCGTCGATTGACGATCAGCAAGTTTTGCTCAGCGAGACTGAATTACTGAAACTCTCGGATCGAAACTTTGCAACTCAGCGAGCTGCATTTTGTTGATAGCGTACAGAACCCCCTGAGATATAGCCTTTGCGGAACAGGTCGTTGACCTGTGATTGTGCATTGACCTTTCGTTTGCCTGGAGCGAGTTGGATGACGACAGCAATGGCCATGCAAGCCATGAGCCACAACAGGTTACACATCTTGGATGTCTCTGCTGCGAGTCGGATGACGACAATTCAGAGGGCTGCGCGAGATCTGATGATTCGAAGAAAGCACTCAATACGATGGTCCTCCGAGGATGATACCACGAATCACGCTGGTGTCAGTTCTTGGCCGTCGGCTTGCTTCTGTTCGTTTGTATGGTACCGTTTGTACGGGGTTTCGGTAAGGGCAAATGCTGTGAATGCCAATTCAAGAGAACCAGCTGAAAAAGAAAGGTTAAGATGGAGAGGTTCCCCGAGTGAATCGAGCAGCGGACTATACACTCGAACAGATCACTTCTCGCATAAGGCTTGAACTTATATGTACTAGTCACGCGGCGGTATCTTGTCTCGCATAGCTGGAAAGCAGGTCGCATTCCAGGCTCAGGGCAACCAAAACACTGTGGTGTTTGACGGATTAGCCAATTTCGCTTAATCAACGATACGCTACAGGAAGATTAGTTTCAATTCCTACTTCCAACCCCTGAACAGAAACATCTGCAACGTCCCGCTCAGATCGCCTCGCTTGAGTTTAAGCCGGAAAGCGGAATAGGCTATCGATCAGTCGGAGTAAGCCAGAAAAATGGGTAGATGAGAAGGGAATTGATGAGCTGATACGCTTCAACAGCCTGACTTTGTTGAAGTTTCCCCTGAATTATCAGGTTATGTATGGCATAGAAGTCTTGAAGAGTATTATCAGGTGTCAGATTCAGGTGGTCCAGGACCTTTTCGAGTAACGCATGCATTCCGGCTTGATGATCGAGTTCCCATTTCTCCAATTCAGACCTGGACGGCCTTTCGTCCGGTTTCACGAGTTCCTTCAAGCGTTTGTTGGAGATTCGGGAAAGCAGAGCGTCTCGCGACAAGGGGGTTCCATCGGTAGGAATCCGCATGGATGGATCGGATAGCGACCATACTAGACTGATGAGATCACTGATTGATCGCGGGTCATAGCTGATTCTTCCATCGAAGTGGTTTTGACTCGCGCTCTGGGCCAGGATGAGAGAAAATTCAGACGTGTCGGATGGCTGAAAGGTAAAGGGGGGGATCTCCGTAGCTGATGGATTTCATGGCAGTAACTGGTTGCATCTAAATCGTAAGTGCCGGTATGAACGAAGACCGACAAGGTCAGGCCATGGTCATCGTTTTTCCAAGAGCTGGGCAAAGCAGCCCTGTTTGTAGTGCCGCCGCTGACAGCGGAAGGTCAGTTCTGAGCCTTAACCAGAATAAAGGATGGCCTTCATTCACGTCACCTCGCTACTGTAGGACTGTACTAGTATCAGGCGACGAGGTCAGAAAACAACTGAGGACGACTGAGCTTGAAGATGGTGCGATTGTCATTTCGAAGTCCCTCCCCCCTACCTCCAACTCTTTCGAGGTTGTTTGCATAGGTTGGGAAAACATAGAAGAATTGCGTGTTGCGTGTCGAACGTCCTTTGTCCTGTCACAAGCCGGAGCACTATTTCCGACGTTGGATTCTGCTGTCTTTATGCGTTTCAAAGCTCTTCAGCTCTGCGAAGATCGAATGCTTAACCTCCAGAGACTGACCATAGGTTGGCTTGATCAGTGAGGCTCAAATTACAACACTCGATTTGTGTCCAGAGGTGGACGGACCCGTCCCTCATCAAAGGACACGCGCAACGACCCCCATACTATGAGTTCCGATGAAACGCGGCGGAATCAAATTGCGTGCTCACAGGTTGTTCCATCGCGTGCGTCTTCATGACGAGACAATCGATCGAAAGGTATCCTTTGGTCCTTTGTGACATCATCATCCGTCATCAGCGAAAAGCTACCCGGTAAGACCTGATCCTGATGAGGAACATGGAAAGTGGGGAGAAAAAGAAAGGGATCGCTGATATATAGGCAAAGAGGTCCCCCATGTTCAGAGGCATGTCCTCGTTTCCTTATCCTCACCTCTACTGTCCGAGCCATACACACACAAGTATCTTGCCCCTGAACTACAAATATGTCTACAAACGCTTGGAAACCCTTCATCGCGCCCGACCTACTCGAGATCGCCTCAAGTGGTCGTAAGGTCGCTTTCCACACGATCCCTGGGAGCGGTTGGTGGAGGACCGGCCACCAACACAGCTCGGATGGGGGGTTTGTCGGGGTCGAAAGTGCGAAACCGTTAAAGGACGTCGAGTCGTTCAAGATCGAAGCATCTTTGAAGATCAAGGGAGCGGATGTTCAGGTGAGTCGATTTATGGAGTCGCGTTGCGCGTTGTCGGCTCATCAAATAGAGCGATAACTGAACATGTCTCCCACAATCCATTCAATTCGGTCTCACTGTTAATCAGTTGTAAGCCCCTTCTTCCCAACTAATCCTTCACCTAATTAGCGTGCGTGCCTCAGCTCACTCTGCATGATACATCGCTTCTTTGCCCTTTCTACTATAGCGACCAAGGTTGCCTCTTCCTCTACGTGACCGACACGCTCTGGCTAAAAGCCGGGCTGGAACACGTCAACGGAAAGATCAGGGTCTCGTGCGTCGTCAACGACCCCTACGCCGATTGGTCAGTTCTCTGTGGCACTTACCGTCATGTCATTATCTGATCCGTTATATGTTAATGTAGGTCTCTCGACCCCGCCGAGGTGGATACCGACTATAAACAACCCCACACATTCTCCATCGATATCATGAAGCAGGAACAAGAACCTCTGCCCTTGATCAGGTTCAGCTACAACGGCAGGGTCTTGCGAGAGGTTCCTGCGTTTGGGTTGACTCAGGGACAGATGGAGAGGAAGTTTAGGGTCGGACTGATGGGTTGCTCGCCCATGTCCAACGGGTGTATGGTTCACTTCGACGAAATCTCCATCGAGGGCGCCATCGAGCGACCCAGTGCTGGTGATAACTGTTACGAGGCGAGCGCGAATCTTGTATAGCTTGTAGCTCGGACATTCGCGAGCGACAGGAGGAAAGGGCAAGAATGAGGATAATCATACAACCGATACACTGAATAGACCCGGACGGACGAAGCTCAAGCCTGAAGATACATCGAACCCTCGACAGTATCCAGATGCTGAGCGTCAATCTTGCTCACGCCGATCCATTCCCAAATCTACAAGAACGATAGCAAGACAGTCAGCTCGACGTCACAATCCGTTCGAGCTCTCGCGCTCGCTTACCTTCCACGTGTCACCCATGACTTCTTGTTCGCTAACTCGGACGTTGGCATTCGTCTCGATGATAGGCTGGACCTTGACCCATAGCCTCTGCCGAGTATTGGCGTTATGGATATGGTCGAGCACGAAATCCCGCAATTGATTAGGGCGAAGGAAGGGCTCGGGGGCCTGGACAGGGTCGATATAATGCGTGTAACTCTGTGACGTAATGAGATCAGTACCAATATCGTGGTCTCGGTCAATGCGAGCACATACCTGGTCCTGCAACCTTGATAACGCGGTCTTGACCAGTTTCTTGACCTTGGCGCTTTCCTTGCGTTTATTCTGGTAATAAGACCTGAGGTAGGCCAATAGAGCGATTCCGAACGAGCCCACTGTCGAAAAAGGACTTGTCGGTCAGACGGGCTCCATCAATGGATCATGCAATCCATGGCGGAGGACTCACGGCCGATTTCGTTCTTGTGGTCTACGATCTGTTCGGTCGCAGCTATACGCAATCGACAGGAAGCCGGCATGTCCGCCCGGACGGCCGAGTAGACGTCTCGTCCGCTACCATGGTAATACAGTTAGCTTGCCCGTCAGGCGGCATATTCAAGGGCAAAAACCCACTCGATGACTTCGTGTTGAACGATTTTATGAACAACCAAGTCCTTCAAGGCGGCCCTGAGGTTGATCCTGAATTGCTCGGGAGTCACCTTGACCTGTATCCCCGTCCCGAAGTCAGTACCAGAGGTCATTCCAGTCAGTCGATTCGTGGACTGACCATCCTGACGAAATGCTGAAACAGCTGTTCCTCGTCAATCCCAAACTTCTCCACCTCGCTTCTCTTGTCCCCCTTGTTCTTCCTCCCGCCAGCACAGATGGTCTCGCCCTTGCGTCCCGCCAAGCGCTCTTCGACCTTTTTCGCGATCTCGCCGATCTGAGCCTTGGTCCTGACATCGAGTTCGCAAGTCGGAGGAATAGCCACGGGACCGACACCAGGCAATCCGCTGAGCACCGGATTGAGCCAATCGAGCAGCGGGTGAGGTTCGAGGATGTACTCTCCCTTGCACCCGGTGACCTTGCCATCTTGGCACAAGGCGTGACTCGGGCAGGGAGTACACTTGTCGGGCCGGGGTACAAATCCGACCAGCGGCAACTCGGACTCGTACGGACAGGCCGAGAGCTGATCGTCCGGTACCGCGTGATCCCGCCTTTGAGCTTCACGCTCGGTCATGCATTCGGTAGCCTTGACCAATCGCACTTCCTTGGCCCGGATGATCGAGTTGGATGCGCTAGCCGGGTCGCAATACCCAAGAGGGATGGATTGTTGCTGAAACTGATAAGCCCAAGTGAGGAAGGCCAGAAGGGCCATCATCATGGAGAACTTGATCTTGGTCTCGGATTTGGCGGCGAGTGCGCTAGATTCACGTTGAACCAACCGGGACTCTTGCTGGTCTTGAACGGGGGTCGACGCCGCTCTGATGAGGGACGACGATGTTTGCGTTTTCTTCCGGCTTGGGGTTTCTTGTTCGACCTTGACATCGATATCCACGTCGTCATCGGCCATCTCAGGCAGGTCATCATCCGCAACCACACCATTGCCATTGCCATCGTCTTCGCCATCGTTCTCGAACCTAAGCATCTTGCTCGGGCTCGCCTCCACACGCTTTTTACTCCACCCCTCTGGAGTCGTTCTCATCGCCGATGAATCCGGCTCGATCTTTCGTAAAGATGAGGGTGATTTCGTTGGGGTCGTCGCAGTGACAGAGGAAGCGAGATCCAGAATCCGTTTCAACGGCGACGCACTGAGCGTCTTGGACGGGGATGTGGTGTCCGTCTTCAGTGGAGACGCACCGGCCGTTCTTAATGGAGAAGAGATGTCCGTCTCTAAGGGAGACGTAGCGTCCGTTTTCGAGGGCGAACCTCCACTTTGCTCCACAGCAGGTGAATCTGTCACGTTCAGAGTTGAAGACTTGCGTTCCCCCAAAGTCTACCACGCACGCACAATGAAACTCCCAAAATCAGAACCTCCTCATTCTAAGCTTACAACTCGACTGAAAAGCTAGACTCACCTTCCTCTTAGTCTTCCTCGGCGTCTTCCTCCCCATACCCTCCTCTTCTCCATCCCCGCTCTGGAAAGGGTTATAATCCGAAAACCCTGATTCCTCCCTCTCCTTCCGTCCGCTTCCGGGTTGTTGCTGCTTCGAACTGGCGAGCGGGGTAAACTTGTTGGGCGATTCGTAAGACCTGCCTGAAGTGGCTGCTTGGGTAGGTGTCGAGGTGTTAGACAAGGTCGGCAAGAGCCTGGATCGGGAAGGGGTCTATCGTTTTTTCATCAAAAGTTAGTTCCTCTGTACTAGTCTTTGAAGATAGAACAAGCCTGGGCCGGACATACCTTCTCCCATCCTTGTTCTCGTTCCCGCTCCTCTTCCTCCTCCGCCTCCCTCACACTAAGCTCAGCTCCCAAGCCGAGATCGACCTCGTTCTTCTTGCTCTTCCTGCTCGTCTTCTTCTTCTTGATCACCGTCTCCTCCACCCCGACATCTTGCTCTTGACCTTGGTTTCGATAATCAAGCTCCTCGTCTTGTTCGACAAACGAAGAGAAAGACGGTTTAGACTTTAAAGTTCTAGGGAGTCCTTCGACCTGATCGGCGTTTCCGTCTAGGGGCGTGTGGGAAGTCGAACGTGTCACTCGGCGTGTCTATAGTATCAACTTCCGTCAGCCTCCTGCTACAGCTTTTTCTAATGAGCAGGGCAGGGTTGTTCTAGACTGACTCGTCTTCGGACGGCTTCTTCGCGTCCTGCAGCCGCGGACTCTGCATTGGGGTTATATGTGAACACGTCACCTTCCACGGCGGCGGGCTCGTCTTGGGTCGCTGATTGTCGGGATTGGCGAGGACGAGAACGGACGACGGGACGTTGAGGAGGTTCTGGCTATAACATTCGGAAGTCTCGTTCGAATCAGCCTTCATTTCATATACAATCTAGTCGAGATAAAGCAGCAAGCTTCAGGCCCACCACTCCGCTACGTTGCACTCACGCTCATCTCCACGCCATCCTCTCCGATCTCCCTAATCCCATCCGTACTAGGGACAACGCTATTCGCCCTATCGTGATAAGCCGCGGCTTTGGACTTGACCCGAGTGATAAAGAGGTTGACGAGGTCGGCTTTCTTGGATGTCGATGGGATGGGAATGGAATGCTCTGTGAGGATTCCGCGAAGTTGGGCGACCTGCGATTGAGGTAGTGAAAGGACCCAGGGTAATCGGATTTGAGTTTGGATTTCGATGCGAGTTCAAGCAGAAAGAAATGTTTGCGATAGGGATATGATAGAGCATAAACAGACATGAGATCAGCATTCTCGACCAAGTCGTCGTGCAAAAGGAGACTTGAACTTCAGACGTACCTTTAATGAAGAAGGTTCGAACCCGGGCGCGAGGTATACCTCGGCAGTGGGGACCGATGACATCGTAACGACCGACGGCGTTCTTGATACTGTCTGTTTCCCTAGCTCGATGTCGATATCGAGACAAGATACAAGATGATGTCCACGATGAGCAGTGATCTAGTGACGTTGAGGTCGATCTGATGGTCTGGTCGATCAGAATTCCGTTGACCGTGTTGTTTGTTGTTTGTTGTTCTTGTGGGTTTGTTTACAGTTTGGTAGAGTGACGAAAGTAATGGGTGAAGCCGAATTTATTCAAGGTACCATAGATCAAGGAAAAGTACCCCCATCATATCGAGAACCCACCACCGTAACCATCATTGAACCTGACCAGGTCAAAGTATACAGAGAGGGAGCAAAGAAGGTCTCTCTGACTGCATAAAAAGTGCTCACGTCCGTTGTGCAAAATTTCGCCTGGCTCAAACTGAAACGATGTTGTAGGTCACGCGCGTTTCAGGAAGAGGCGGTCATTCAAGGTTATCAAGCGTCAGCGTCAAATCAAGCAGCAAGCGGTAATAGCGTGTCTCACCAGCAATCATCAATAAAACCATCCACCAAGCATACCCCTTGGTCCAGAAGAGGTTATGATATTATCAGACTCTTCCGAAGATACGGAAGTCATCTCTTGACTACTTCAGAACTCCCCAAAGTTATTGGGTCTTATCTCCTCTTCATCACAACATTAGGCCCTGCAGATTGAACCTACAGATTCAAGGGGAAGCAGAGACTGCTGTATGCCATTCTACAACCCAGGATCACAAGCTCTCTGTCTGAGTTACTCATTGATCTGTTTGACCTTAATCCGATGCAAGAGTGGTTCAGGTTTGATCTCAGGGATAATGATGAGTTATCAGACGTACTTAACCAACAACAAGGTGATGAACCGGAAACATCTCGCCAAAAGGACGAGCAGTAGAATTAAGCCTTGGTATGAGGCCGACAAGTATTGACACCGTACGAACGCCTGGGGTGCGTGGAGGTGTTAACCGACAGGATCAGATCAGTCGCGCAATTCCTTAGCTTCGATATTTGTCTTATCCTGTATCAGTATTCGATGCGCACGCCAGAGCCTTCAGCGTTTTTGCCTTTGTTTCCTGTGTCTTGCGAAAATGATGGCCTGAAGGACAAGGTAGGCGGCATCGGAATTGCAGAAATTGGAATGCCAATCAGAGGCGCTGGACAAGCCCACAGGCGGGACTCCCGAGCGCAAAGCTATCGCGAGCGAGGAAAGGAACTTGATTTCTCACCCGCCTGGTTCCCGTGGCGTCGAGCGCTGTTTAGGAGTGGTTGTATCGATACAATTAGGGCTACAAGCGAGTCTTTCTATTATATTACACATTCTCGATTCCCGCATCGTGTCGAGCTATCCTCGCGCTCGAGAGGACGCTCAAAGTCCGACCCAGCTCGAATTCATCCCTTCCTCAGCCGACCCGCTCGTAAAGCTCTCATCCAGGCTCGGCATCGTTCCCGTATCGTCTTCGCTCGATTTAGGCGTATCATGAGCGGGACCAGGATCCGCACTCTCGCTTGGCGGGCCAGATGGCTGGCTGGTCGCGTATGTACGGGTGGCGGGAAGAAGAGGCGGGAGAGCCTCGAGCATGGGTGTGCGATTCAACAAGAAGGCTAGGAATCGGGCGGGGAGGATGGATGCCATGACATATGGCCAGGTCGCTGCAAGATATTATATCGAACAATCAATTTCAGGTCGGGAAAATTTGTGTTTAACCTGTCGAAGACTGACCTGATTTGCCGATTCCCACGACACCCCAGCCCCATCCACCACGCAAAGTCCCACACAATCTCCTCTCGACACGAATCCACTCGTCATCACTCCTCTTGAATTCCAGCCTCAACGCCGAGATCCCCGCCCATAACTGTCTCACGGGCCACGTGATCGAACCGACGACAAAGTCGACTGCCAGCCTGGCAGGAGCGAGGTACCTCACATACCTGGTCTCGTGACTTCTAAAGGCTTCGAACGGTCGCTTGTCGAACCACGGCATCGTCCCGAACCTCTCCGTGACAGGTCTCTTGCTCAATCTTCTCAGATCCAACCCTTGCAATGCGCCAGCCATATCCCCAACATACACCTCGACGTGCCGCCCGAGAACTAACGTCGTCTCCCCCCGCTTCTTCTCCTTGCCTGCCCGTGTCTTTGTCCATGCCGAATGGCTAGAATCCAGTACAGCATTCCTGCCCAACAAAAGGTTCTCGAGGGTGTCTAGCTGGTGATCGAATTCTCTCGGTAGAGGCCAGAGCGTGCGGGTCGGAACGAACGTGTACAACCCGACCGAAGCGTCTGATCGCGATCGCCGAGCAGCCTTTCCCTTGGATATCGTTGTAGTCGAGCGAGGGTCTTCTGATGAGATCGACGTCGGGCCGAGCGAGGTGAATGATGCATACGATGCGGGCGGTTTCATCAGCGCCGGGATGGGCGGTACCCTTGATCCCGACCCCGATCTCGTCGCTCCCCCACCCAGCCCGTACATATTCCAAACGTTCCTGACCCGGGGTAAGTGCTTGGGTAACGGCGCATACCTATCCTTGTTCATCATCCGCTTAGCATCTCCCATCGAATTGACCGCCGAGGCGCGCGAGGGGTCCGAGTCGAGGTCGATAGGTGGGTATGGGCAGGGATAACGGGTGGTCAGTGCCGCGTGGAGTGATCGATGGAACGCTTGGACCGAGGCGGGCTGGCGGAAGAGGATAGCAAAGCAGGCAGGGGTTAGCGAGACTTAACCAAAACCTACGTCGCCCTCAACCTGGATTACGGCGCGAGCGCAATTCCAACTCACATCGTCTACATCCAGAACCCCAACCCAAACACCAGCCATCAGATCCACTCCCGAACCCCTCTTCTTTCCCCCTAACCCTCCTCCCTGTCCAGCATGTGCCGAAGACGATGTCGAAGAACCACTTGCGCCGAGGCCCTTTAGAACCCTCTCGACCTCTTCGACCTCTTCCAGCTCTTTCAACCCGAGGAGGACTACGTGTTGCGATTTCAAGAGGGAGATGAGGAGTGGGAGTAAGAGGGGGTTCGACGGGGGCGATATGATAACTGTTTGCGAGAAATGAGCACGGCCAGAGTCAGGTCGCAGTGGCAGGTTAATATGGCGATCGATGGGTAGAGTTCCATAATGCGAAGGAAAGGTGAGGCCAAGGATCGTAACGCGTGACTTACGGACGGCATCTACCATGAACCCATCGACGACCCTTCCTAGCCTTCCCTTTCCATAGCCATTCCAATCCGGATCATCTTCTGCCTCTTTCGATATCAACCTCTTCAACCCGCTTATCCCAGATCCAGCCATCCCGACGAAACCTCGACCGGTATTCACTCCTAAGCGTGCATCCTCTCGTATCTTGACCTGCCAACCGACCTCGACGGCCAAAGCCGTGACTCCCAGCCAGGCACCTATGAGTCCAGCTATTATCGGATGAGCATGGATGTGATCGAAGAGGTGATTGATGATCTGTTGGTGAAAGACCACAGGTGGTGGTGGTGGTGGAGGTGGGGGAGGAGCAGGTGGCGTTATTTGTAGAAAGGGAGGGAGGGGAAGCTGAAGCGGGATCTCGAAGTCTATGAGCGAGCGGTCTGTGGATTTGTGACGAGTTCGCCGCGTTAGCCGTTACGCCCCTCATATAGCAGTCCACATCCCAACCATCTCTACCACGATTAGAACAGTATCGGGATACTTACAGATCTCGGTAGTAACAGCTTGTAGACTCTCGATGACTCTCCCCGGTACCCTGTCCAACTGCAGGTCCTGTGGGTTGTTGAGAAGACGTTCTATCTCTGTGAGCCAGTCTGCGAGTAAGGATGACGGTACTGGTGGAGGTGATGGAGAAGTGGATGACGACATGATTGAGTGGATGAGAGGATGTGATCGGTTGAAAGGTAATGGTGGTGATGTCCACATAGAGATGTAGGTAGAGATGTCATGTATGGTCAAGGGTCACAGGCTAGGGGATGGCGATCGACGAATGGATGACTAAGCGTCACGTGATACGCGTTATCCCAATGATGATGAAACAGGACGATCGTGAAACATGAAACGTCCGCTTCTACCGGGTCTTGGTCGTCCCGATACCCATTGGAGAAGTGTCATCTCTGAACTCGGGGAATAGGAACCGTATGGACTTGACGTCCAGGTTGTCATTGGCGTTGTCATCCCCGTTCACATCATCCTCTATCTCTTCCGTCCCGTCTTTATATTCGATATGGGCTTCGCGCTTGTGTCCCATCTCCGTGTCCAATGAGATTTCGAGATTGCTGGTGTATCTTACGATACTGACGCATGCAATACACGCTGGGTATCGCTGATTATCTGAATCCAGACACCGGACTTTGGATCATGTAGCCAAGGGCAAGCGCTGGCGCAGCGTTACAGGATCTCGACCTTTAATGGGCAAATGGATGGCTCGAGGTCGCTCAATCGTTCTCAGTCGCTTTTTCGAATCTAGATTTTGAATAGCATAATTGGTATCGTTGCAAGCAGACATGATGATCTTCAATGACAGGATAGAGAAAGACATATTGAACGTCATGTAAGGCAGATCAATCGTCAAGCGGGGGTGGATTGTTCTCGAACACCTGCAAGATCCTCACCTGCAAGATCCTCACCTGCAAGATCCTCACCCGCAAGATCCTCGATTCAATGTCCAGCACCGACGCAGTGTAACTGTCTGAGGGGATCACTCCGGCCCGAGTCCCGGGCAAGTGACCTAAAAGATCGGCTCGTGAGAGAGCAGCGTTACCCATGTTGCGGGCCACTGTTCGTCTGTTTAGCGATGAGGGATTTTAGTGTGAGGAGGAATGGGTCCGCAATGAGGGATATTATCGTCTTACCTGTACATGTCTGTGGGCCCTATCCCTCTCCACCCCTCATCGCTTGTACCCACCGCAGAAGAAATCGTCGACGACAACATCGTCGACGTTCTGGAACGGCTCGGTATCGGGGGCAGTCCCGGGGGCAGGGGACTGCCCAATATCGGCGGCATGGGCGTTCCGGAACGGCTCGGTGTTGACGGCACGGGACTGCTAGGTATCGGCGGCTTGATGTCCCTGTATGCTCTCAAGGTCAATGTCAAGGAACTGAATTGTTCCGGTGTTGGTCTTGAGGAACCGAATTGTTTTGGTGTCAGTCTCAAGGAACCGGATTGCTTTGAGGAATCGAGTGATTTTGAGGACCGAACTGTTTTGAGGAACCGGACTGTTTCGAGGAATCAAAGTGTTTCCAGCAACTGGAAACATTCAAAACTTGAGTTGCTTTGCCTTCGTGTTCGAGGAGCCAGACGGTCTTGAAGAATCGAGTTTTTTCGGCTTTGGGCTTACGGATTTGAATTGGTTCAAGAATCCAAGTTGTTTCAGCTTCAAGCTTGAAGAGGGATCGGGTTCTTTTAACTTGGAGGCCGGGACGACGGTACGTTCCCTTTGTTCGGAATGTAAACAGGGGTTTGTCCGACCTTAGGGAAGAACAGGTCGCTCGACTTTCTCCGGCGGTGTTACAAATCAGACAAAGACTCTAGCAAGCTGGTGTTAAACGACCTGCCCAAGTATTGGCTCATTCCGACATGCGATATACATCACAGATATCATTGATGATCATTCAGAGAAATCGTACACCTGGACACCGTTCCACGACTTGTCTCACACTACAATCGTGTATGTATTCGACATTGTTTCACGAACAGTTTTGAGTCATTCCGAAGCGCAGAGTCTGTCGGAGATAGATGTATCGTCTTGGAAATCACAATAGCATCCAAGTCAACAATCCGGCTAAGAGAACCCCATCCAACCTTGCCCGCAACTCTTCCCCAGCGCTCGCGACGAACGGCGAACCCTGGTTCATATACGTTGTGCCGGTAATCGAGACCGGCCCGGTCCCAGTCGGTGCCGGGTATCCAGGTGCAGGGGTCATCGTTTCGCTAGAGAGTACTGAAGAAGCGCCACCGAACGGGATGGTATTGCTGACCGTCCCAAAAGCTCCAGGTGCGACTCCGGTGGGGGCGGAAGACGTCCAAGGTACCGGAGGAGGAGGTGCCCATACTTGGGACGAAGCCGAAGCTGTCGTTTGCGTCCAGGCGGGAGCGGCGCTGGAAGGCGCTACATTACAGGTCGAACAGGCCGTAGGCTGAGGAGCTGGTTGTCCCTGGTCAGTCCAGGTAGTCTCCGGTCCGTCGATTGTGCTAACAACGGTCTGCACAGGCGCTGTACTCGTCCAGAAGCTCGTAGCCGTCCTCTCCTTTGTAAATGTCAAGACCTCATTGGTGGCATACGTAGACATGACGATCGAGGGGGCGGGTGTGATCAACCAGACGGTGACAGTCTGAGCGCCTTTGACGGAGACTGTTTGGGTCTGAACCTCCGTTGACCAGATCGTCAAGGTGGATGTCTGCGAGTCGATGACCGTTGTCGTTGTGGTGCAGGGAACCAATACTGTAGACCTGTGTATACCTCGTCAGTCATCGCTCTGAGACGAATCGCAGCGGGATCGGCTTACATCATGGTAGTAGTCACGGCAATCGGTACCTCAGGTCCAGCGGTAATATCAGGACAAGACTCATTGGGATTGCAGCGCTTCTTCACCTCGCCCATAGTCGTGGGCGTCGGAGATAAAGTCGCTCTGACCGCAGTATGCGTTTGGGCTGGAGCAGCTTCGGTGACGACCGCTCCTCGTACCATCACAGGTAAAGTTGTGCAAAACGCCGCAGCAAAGAAGCGAAAGGTGGATATCCTCATAGGTTGACGGCCGTGATGGGGGTGGGGTAAATGGATAGGGGTATATTGCGTTACGGCTCGAGCAAAAGCAAAGACAGCGAGTGAGGGTAACGTCGCTGGAACACGAAGCTATACATATGTATCTGCCAGCTAGATGACATCGTGCGCAGGACCCCCAGGTGTTTCAGACTAAGATGAAAGGATGGTTTCAGGGCGGAACAAGGGGGTTTCGGTTTCGAGTCTGTGGCTGTCAAGCGGTGGGAAGCTTGGTAGGGAAACCGCTCAAGTCATCCTGTTCTAGTTTCCACTCAGCCAAGACGTGGTCCGTGAGGGACTACGTGGTATCGACATCAATGCGTCGTCATCAACAGCGTCACACACAGCCCTAATACAAAGTCTTGCTACAAGAAAAAGAAGGACGATGCGCGCTAGCTGTACGATTCTTGTTTTTACTGATCGGATGGATTTGCTCCCCTTCGGGAAGGATCCGTGAAGAATGCAAAGTGGAACCAGACGTCGTCAAAGGTCGATGATAATGATGCTCGTGAAGAGAGGTTGAGATGCGAGAGAATCAAAGAGAGAAGCTGGAAAGGAATGTTGGAGGATAGAGGTGGCGCATGCAAAGAGGCAGGAGATCCGAGCGTCCTTGTTACTTTTTAAGACTGCTTTCGAGCGTCTTGAGTTCTTGTAAAATGGCAGTCTCGCCTTCGATCTTTTTGAGCTGAGTGGCTTCGAGAACCTCTCCCTTGGCCTTGCGCTCCTTGAGGTCGACGATGGCCTTGAGCTGTAGCGGATGCAAATTAGAAGCGATATCAGAATTTCGATAACAACGCGATGACAGCTTGACGACTACAGACTGACCTTTTTGTTCAGGTTTCGGATCTTCTTTTGCGTAGCGTCGGCGTCCCCATCAGCGATAGGAGGCGGTACCTCGACGGCCGGGGTCGAAGGGGCAGAAGCGGCTGGCGTAGCGTTTCCACCGGTAGCTGCGCCGTTCTTCTTGTTCTTCTTGCCCTTGCCCTCATTCCCGTTAGGTTTGGCTGCACCTGGGGGAGCGCCAGGAATGTTTCTCGACCGGGGTGTCCTGGTTCCCGGGACGTAGATCGCTCCAGACCCGTTAGCAGAGGGCATGACCGCGGCTCCACCTTCATCTTCCCGCTTGTAGATCGATGGCGTGGCAGTACCCCTGGCGCCCGGTGGTCGGTAGGCACCGACGGGCTTGCTCGACTCGTCCGTTGTCTTGTTGGCAGGCGTGAACTGAGCAACGCTCGTATGCGGCGCAGGGGCCGCGGGCATCTCGAGCGGGAAAGCAGGGAACGAATCGACCGATCCGGGTCGCCACGAGGTCTAAAGGTCGCCAGAGGTCGATTTCAGTCATCTTTGGTCAATACCATATCTCGTGATTCTGCGCGCAATAACCCACCTGGTAAAGCTCCTCGACCATCTGTACGTGCAAAAGTTTCCCCGTACACCACCACACCTTGACTCCATTATCGACTCTCAACCGGGGACTCAAAGTGCCCGTCAAGATGTACCTCCCATCCGGGCTCCACTCGCACGTCGTCGAGTTCGGCGCCTGGAACTCGGAAACCTTTTTCCTCGACTTCAAGTCCCAGACATCGATCGTCCCTGTCAGATTCCCAAACCCGGCGTTGAGGAACAATCGGCCCTGAGGTTGGTAGGCGATAAAGTTTCGAGGCTTGGGTTCGAACGAGTGGATCGGGTTGGCCTTGAGGTCAAAGAGGACCGTCCGGGCGGGCATGTCTGTGGCGTGCATCGGACACAACGAAGTTAGTCAGGTCGGATACGATGATGTCGCAAGCGGACCTAGGCGACTCACATCCGTAACAAACGCTAAATTCCCTGGAATTCGGGTTCCAAGCGTAGTCATGGATCGGCCCTTCCTTGTCTACAGTCCCCGACGTCCAGCGAAGAAAAAGGCCCCATACCAGTCAGCCTCGGAGACACCAGGATACATACGGCATCGACTTAGAATTCGGACTTACCGAGAGCGACCTTGCACTCGAACTGTCCGTTCAGACCGACGAGATACAAGTTGGTCTCTCCGTAATACGACTTGCCCGAATTGTCCACGTCCGAGGTGGTCAAGAACAGGCCCTGTCAAACGCGATCCCAAGCATATCCGTTAGCCTGACCGATCTTGCGTACATAACAGATTGTGACGCCGACGTCCGGAATTCTCGTCCACCCGGACGTCGCCTCACTTCGCCTAGCCTGCCGTATATTGTCAAACCAGACTCACCATCGACCCGACCTTGTTCCACTTCAAGACGACCTTGTCACCCTTGAAGAAACTCTTCCTCGCCTGAGTTACCGGCAACGCCCCATTCCCGACATCCCTGAGGGACCTCAACGTATAAAGGTTCACGCTCGCCGGCTGTCCCTTGTATTCTCCCACCCAGACCCCCAGACCCCCAGCGAGGGGGTCTACATCCGCCGCGCCCGTTCCGAAGCGTTTCGAAGGGCCGAGGAAGAGCCCGCGGATGGTACTCTCTGAACGAACCTTGCTGACGGGGGTGTAAAGACCGAGAGCTTCCGAGGTCGCTCGGAGATCGCTTGAAGGGTCGGACTCGGATTTGGGAGGGAGGGGGTTAAGAGAGGTAGGTGGGGTTAGGGAGAAGATGGAGATCTCAGATGGACCGGAGAGTCGGATGAGGTGGGATTCGTCGTCGGTGACCATAGGTTGCCTGATAGGTCCGGAAGGGATAGAGAAGAAACCACGATTTAGGATGAGATTTGTCCCGATTCCCTTTCAACTCCGACAAAAAGCATAACCGAGACTCACCACTGATCATAACTCTTCTGCCCAAATCCAGCTACCTCCCTGACCTCTTCCACACTCAGACCCCCACCTTCGACCCCCATCCTGTTCTCCTTGCCCAGGAACCAGACCTTCAGGTTCTTATGCCCCGCCTGACCGTCGTCGACCTTGATCATCCGTTCCCAAGTAAAGAGGTAGGATCCGAGCGGGGAGAAGGCCAGGTCGATCACGTTGGGGACTTCGAAGGACCGTTTAAGAGAAGCCGAGGAGGTAGAGGAGGAAGTGGAGGAGAGGGCGATGACGTTTATTCTACGAAGTCGAGATCCAGGGAGATGAGGAAGAGGTTCTTGGTCAGACGCTGCATCGAACATCGCAGGGAAGAAGAATCAGGAGCGGAAGATGAAGACGAGACTCACGTAGATCCATGGACATAAGCGAACTGTCGACCCGTAGGTGAATACTTGAAGGTCTTTGCTGAGACGGCCTCCCTATCGAAAGGGAGAAAAAGACGACAAAAAAGGCAAGCGAGAGCAAGATCGATGAGTACTCCGCCAGTCTACAGATTGGGGGGAGACTTACGATGGCAAGTCTTCGGAGGGTGCGTAAGAGGGGTCTCCGTTTACGAGCCCGATGGTCTTTTGCGCTCGGACTAGTGAGGTCGACGATAGGTAGCATATATAGCAGGTAAGCATGAAGGCGACATCAGCGTTATCCGGCTACAGAGCGACGAGACGGAGAGGACTAGAGTGGTTAACACGAGTGGCTGAAGAGACTTACACGCATATTGTGATTCGATAGCCGACATCCTGTTTACTGTGTGCGTATGTGCTGGTTCTAGCTCGTGCGAGTGTTTCAAGATTTCGCCTTGTCGTCCCGATTTCCGTGCTTCGGGGAAAGATAGGGCTGGATGCTACGTGCGATCTATGCAAATGAAAGAGGCAGACGGTGATGCGATCGGGAGATGGTCGGAATGGGAATGTGGTACCGGTACAAAGAGGAGGAGGAATGTGTTGAGATCTGGTCTGAAATGTAGACGTCCAAGCTGCTAGCTGATCATGATAATTATTAGTTTAGGGAACTCCGGAATAACACACGTCATCGAGTTGATGTTGCAACACATCTTATCAATTAAATCGATGGCTCGCGCTAATTTCCCGGTCCCCGTGTTTCAGATTCCGATCAACGGTCGAGCTACTCTGATCAGATAAGTATGAATCACCTCGACATCCTCGAATATCCAACCATCATTATCCTGTTTATACCATCACAACTTCAACTCATCCGACCTATTTGCACATTCCATCAAAGACGCATCCTCGCATCATGTCCAAGAAAGGCCTCTCCCTCGACGAAAAGAAGATCAAAAGTGAGCATTCGCTAACTCATGCACCTGCATTGCTCGCCTCCTTTACATCAAGTCATTCGACATAAGGAACACTGATCGTACTATTCCGCTTGGTGACTCAGTGCTCGAGATCTTCCACGAGACGGTGAGTGAGCACGAGGTTCCCCTCTAGCTAGCTGGTCGAAGACGAAGGACTATCGGCTGATTCCCGTATACGTGCATGACATGCAGAAAGACTTTTATCAATTGAAAGAACTCGAAAAGATCGCTCCCAGTGAGTGCGTTATTTGATTAGTCGTGCATATGCTGCGACGAGCTGAAGGAGACTCGCATCGTACCACGTGGCTTCGTATCCGCAGAATCTAAAGGGATCGGCAAGTGTCTCCTCTCGCTCTCCCAAGCATCCTATCGGATCATCCGAAAGCTAATTCCATGATCTAAATCATGCACCTCACCATACATCTTACCTGTGATCGCCTTTACCTCGACCCTACTTCACCCGACCATTCTTATTGAACATTTAAAACCGGAACGGGGCAACACATCCGTAGTGCAACAATCGGTAAAAGACGTCCTCGATGACCTTAAAGGCGATGGACTGGTAGACTTTGATAAGATCGGAACTAGTAACTGTACGTCCATATTTCCCCCTCCTCTCCCCACCTGCGGTACTTGCGTTGTTCGCGAGTGGTTTTGATGACCCTTCGGGTTGAGATGATACCGGATAAGACGAGATGGTCAGCTAATCGGCGGAATCTCCTTGCGCTCTGTGGGGTTCGGTAGACTTTTGGAGCTTCCCTTCGGCCGCTGGAGCTATCGTAAATCAAAGTCTTTTCATTATGTGGATCACGTAGACTACTTCATTTCTATTCCTTCCGCTTTTTAAATATCTGTCCGCAGAAAAAAGCCAAGCTCGAGAAAGATCAAGCTGAACTCCAAGCCCTCACTACCAAATTGGAAGAGCTTGAAGCGTCTTATAGCGCCGAGCTGTGTGGGAGGGAAGATAACGTAAGCCTATTCTTCTTCCTCTGCTTCTTCTTCGTAACCATCCTATGAATTCGAGGTATCAGGAGGTTAGGATCATCGAGTCATCTCACCTCGATCTCGAGTCCCGTCTTCTCAAAGCCCGCTCCAAGCCTTACATCTGCCGAGTCCTTACGTTCCTTATGCCTTCCCTCACAGCCCGAACGCGCCGACCTCCTCGCCCAGCTCGCCTCCCTGACCACGACCTCCACTCAGCTCAAAGTCGAGCTCGAAGCTTACGGAGCGGCCGACCCGATCAAGATGGAGACCAAACGACAGGCTATCGAGCTTGCCAAGGAGGCTTGCGTGCTTTGGACCGGTACGTTCGGCAAAAAAACCGTTTCAATAGGTATCCCTTCAAGCGAGTCTGATATACGAAACGGTGTTGGTGCATTTGAACTTGAGCCGCGATACAGATAACGCTCAGATCTTGTACAAGTTGTTGAGGGATCACGGGGTCTCCGAGGAGGACATCGTCAACGGATTCGGCCTGGGCAAGTTGGCGCGGGTCTCAGGGATGAATGCGATTCAGAGACATCCCTCGCTGATATGCGCCGCTCGCTGCTTTGACAGGTCCGGGTTGGGACGAAGTTCCCGGCCTCTCTTAGATTCAAGGTCGGAGCCTCGAACGGGTCACGGCTCGTGTGCATCTATGTTATGTATATACCTTGCCGTCGATACCTTTCGGGACGAACGCAGGCAAGAACACCAGGCGTTGAGGATTCCGTTCGCTGGATTGTAGTAGAAATAAAGTACAAAGTGGGAGGTGACAGAAGATAGTGAAACCGGAGCTTTTCACCGGGCCAGATGAAACGATCGGCCTGTATGGTGCACCTTGATTGACCTGCCCTGTCTACCTTTCTGTTCACTTCCACCTGAGAGAAAATGCTTGGAAGAGCCAAAATAGCGTCTGCTCATGTGTGTTTGATCGTTTTTTTCGTGTGTCGAGAATGCGTCGTGGTACTTGTTTTTCTGGTAAAGGTATTCGCATCGTGCCGGGGTGTATCCTTCTCCTTTCCGCCGTTCGTAGCTAAGATCGAAGTCCGAACGACCGGGATCATACGTACAAGGGGTCGGCTCGGAACAAGGCCGAGATGGATTCACTGTGATGAATCGCGAAACAATCGATCGGTTCCAGTCCCGAGAGTAGATACGTTATCAAGGCCGTGCACTCACCCGTTATGTGTCCGCCTGATACTCTCGGCGATGAGGGGAGCGATATCGATGGTTCCCATCTTGCCATCGGTCGCTTCGACCCTCGCGGTCTGGTCGATCGAGTTGGTCACCTGACGAGAATCTCAACGTCACATCAGCATCGGATCGCCGTGGTCGTACTTGCCCACAGACTTACGATCAACTTCTTGATCGGCAGATCCCGCAGTGTCTTCATTGTCACGTCCGACAAGAGTCCTATAGGACATATTCATTAGTCCATCAGCTCCACATTCTTCCAAGCGGAATACAAGCAGACTCACCGTGACAGATTAAAACGTAAATGTCCTTGGCACCGGCCTCTTTGAGGACCTCGGCGGCGAGTTTGACGGTATGACCCGTGTCGATCATGTCGTCAATCAGAATGGCGGTCTGAGAAGAGCAACGTCGTCAGTGAGAGATCCTGCTCATGATGATAGTCCAAGTCGATACTGACCTTGCCCTTGACATCCCCGACGAGCAACTCCATGTTATCCGGCCTCTCATCCTCGTCCGCCTGCTGAGCAGCCGCCGCAGCGACAGCCGCAGCGAACTCTTGCGTCCCGGGGGCGACGAACATCCCGCTCGGTCCCGCAGACGAAGTCCCCGAGGTCATGCTCATGTGGAAACTGTTCGACATGCCACCTCCGCCCGAGAACAATGAACGCTGGGGCAGACTGTTTTGCTGGTGGTGGTGGTGATGTTGCTGCTGCTCTTCCTGTCCGTGAGCGCCGGTCGGTGTACCGGGAACCGTGCTGGCCGGGAACGGCGTCATGGCTCCACCCAGCGTCAAGCTGCTCAACATGCCCGACATGCTCCCAGCAGGGGCGTGTTGTCCGGGTTTCTGAGCCCCGGCGTGATGGTGTCCTCGCTTTCGTTTCCGGTTGATCAACGCGAAATCGAGGTTCAACCGGTCCGCCAACGCCGTCGCGCGCTTGGCACCTCCGGCATCGGGCGAGACGATGATCCCGTCCCTCCACCCGTCGATCTCGGTCTTGATGTACCCGACCATGGCCATCTCGGACAAGAGGTTGTCACAGGGGATATCGAAGAACCCCTGGATCTGCGAGGCGTGCAGGTCCATCGTGATGACGTGGTCACACCCGGCGACGGCGAGCAAGTTGGCGACGAGTCTGCCACGGCACGTTTTCGAGGGAAAACGGGGGGTCAACCGGGGCTGCAAGCTGCCGACCACCCGGCCGTGCGGTCTGGACTCACTTGGCGGTGATGGGCGCTCTCGACTTGTCCTTCTTGTCTTGCCTGGCGTAAGGGTAACAAGGAATGACGGCCGTGATCCTCTTTGCCGAAGCCGTCTTACAGGCTGCGATGCAGATAAGCCAAAAAAAAAGGCGATTCAGTCTTCAAGGCCAGGCCACGGTGCATCCCGGCGCTTGCTCGACTCACCGCTAACGAGGATCAACAGCTCCATCAAATGATCGTTGATATCAGGCGGACTGGGACTCTGGAGGATGAATACGTCCTCATCCCTGACGCTCGAGTTGATCTGCACGCTCGTCTCGAGGGCGGAAAACTTGCCGACGTTGCATGGGGTCAAGGCGATCCCGAGCCGGTTGGCGACGTCGTCGGCGAGCCGGTGGTGCGAGTTGCCTGTGAGAAGGGCGATGCGACGGGGGTGTCGCAGAAGGGTCATGGTCGGTGTCGCGGTAGGATGAGAGCGGAATTGCGATTGCGTAGAACAGGTGTTTCGATTTCCGTCGAGGAGCCGTTTCAAACACACACGATTGTGATACGAGTTTTAATGCCCAGTAGTGGAAGTCCAGGAATGTCGGGTCGACCAGAATTCGAGCGTCCAAGGATGCGCCAGTGTTGAGGAGATAATCGCAGAGATGAGATACCGCGATTTCAAAACAGAGAGATCGTTTCCAGATGAAGGCCGAGAAGTGCGGTAGCACCAGATGAGAAGAAGAGAAAGTCGTATAAGTGAATTTGAGTATGAGCTCCTTCCCGTTCGATAACTTCTTTCTCTCTTGATCTTGATCTCTAGCTAGTCGTGGAAAGGGGACCCGAACTTGAATAGAAACCGGGGGCCGAAATCTGGATAGCTTGTCCTTCAACCTCAATTTCAAGCTCGTCTTTCAACCTCGTCTCCCAACTTTGACTTGAACTTCGACTTCGAATCCAACTTCAAGCTCAAATTCGATCCCGACCTCTATCTTAACTCTCTTCGCTTGTTTCCAAGTTGCCGCTACTCAACTCTCCAGAAGAGTTCGAGAGTGCCCTCGTCGTGCACGAAAAGAAGAACAGGGGTGGAAGGAGGAAGCCGGGGAAGGACGAGCAGACGTACCGGTGAGCAACTTGATACTGTTCCCGCTATTATGGACCATCTTTTCTTATATCTCCTCTTCCTGATTTCCTATTTTCCCAAGCCTGGTTCGATTCCTTCGAGTTCCTGGTCGTAACCCTAGCCCGAGGTTTCGTGCTTCAGGTTTCTTCGAAGCTAGAGATGCGTAGGCTGTCTTGATCTCGTGGGTATAGGAAGAACGTTTGTGAGGAGATCCACCTGATCAGAAAGAGGATAGGAAAAAAGTTGATCCGGGCGAATCAGCACGGGTTGTACGATGTGATTGCGATGTGGTCGCAGGTCACCGCCGACCCATCTCTCCTGAGCTTGTCTCTATCCTGGCGAACGTTTGTGAACAAGCACGACCCCCCTCCTCTCCAACTCTTCTCATCGTCGCTCGCCCAGTTTGATGAAACAGCTAACCGGACCCTATCCGCCCATCTCATCCCCCCTATTTCTTCCTGATCGTCCGAATACGCGGAAAGAGACTCACGGATCGAAGAACACCGCTTTTTCCTCGCCGAGTTGCTGGGGCTCTCGACCGAGATGCTTGACCTTGAGGATAGCTTTAGGTTGATGATGGTTACTATTAGGTGTATGGTGTGGGTATATGGGGATGATATGATTCGGTCTGCTGAGTAGGTCTAGCAGGTCGACGTCGCTGCCTAGTCTCTCTGAATCTTTGATCCGAAAGAAAGCGACGAGAAAGCTGGAGATTGCGGGGTAAATCACGGATGGGCACTATTTATTTGATAAGGATAGCCGCGGCAGGATATGGGATTATAAGTATGACGTGTATATGATAACGGATATGACGTTACTATTACGTGTGATATGCCGTTGTCAGATATGGTTCCGTACGGAGTTGAACGACCATCTCCCCCTTGCGCACCTTGGCCATAATTGACATCATGAATGCCCAGTGACTTCCAGCTTCCGGCACACCTCGGCACCCATACAAACACATAGACAGTAAAGACGGACTTGATATATTTGCACACAGATGACGGCCCCATCATCCTCGACCCCGGCGACCCCCAGACCCCCGGACCTCTTCGTCAAGGATACGACGACTACCACGGCCACTTATGAGCCTCCTGTACGGGATCCTTCTGGTTTCTCCATGGTCTCGGCCGATGACGCATTGGTGATCGATAACGGCGAGTCTTTTCTCGAGCTCTATGCTAGAATATTCGATCGAACTGACGTCGTCTTTTACGATCCGCAATGTCATGTTACGTCCGCTCGCTCTCAACCTTGAATCGCGAACTGCAGGCTCCTGCACCTTCCGCGCAGGTTTCTCCTCCCACTCCCAACCGTACATCATCGAACCCAACCAGACATCCAAATACCGTCATTCCAAGACCACCGCCAACCCGACATCCAATATCCAACTACACTTTGGGACAGCGTGCGATCACTCGGCTTCTTCCCGAGCTGCTACGAAAGGGGTCTGGGACGGCGACTTGCTCGTCGGCGTAGACGGCTTGGAGGTGGCTCTGGATTATAGCTTGAACGCGCTGAGGAGGTTTAGCCCCGGTCCGAAGGGGTTGGACGGGGGTTCTTTTGTCCCGCACCCGGTCATCATGACCGAACGATTAGGAACCCCATTACATTCGAGGAGTTTGACGTCGGAGTTGTTGTTCGAGGGGTACGGAGTTCCTTCGGTCTGCTACGGGGTGGACGGGCTGTGGGGCTGGTACGGAAGGATGGGAGAAGGGGCGTCGTCTGCTGGTTCTTCTTCGGCACCTGTTTCTGCGGGAGGTACCAATTCTAAAAGAAGAAAGAGCACGCAGGGCAACTCGGACGTGAAGATAGGAGAAACGGCTCCTACGTCAGACGGACTGGTGATCAATATGGGGCATTATAGTACTACCCTCATTCCCGTCCTAAGTGGTAGGGGTTTGGTAGAGCGGGCTAAACGGTGAGTGTTATATTTTCTTTTTGTTTGGTCGACTGTTTTGATGAGATGGGTGATCCCGATCTGGAACAGTCTGGGCTAGAAAGCTGATACCAGCTCCTTTTTTTTCTCGCTGTTCGTTTCGTACACTCCCGGAACTATCTATCCTGTTTCTCGACTCTGAAACCTCGACGTCCGGAAACCTGATCTCGAATATGAAATCTGCCATTTCGTCCTTGCGGTTCAAACTCGCTGATCGGGAACTCGATGACCGATACCGAAATCAACTCTTCGAACCGACCACCTAAATGTTCTTTACGCACACATCGATATTCGGACTCGCTGGCGTCTGACAATATAGGATCCCATGGGGCGGGGCACAAGCTACCGAGCTGATGCTCAAGCTGGCTCAGCTCAAGTATCCCAACTTTCCGACTAGAGTCACGCCGAGCCAAGCTACCGTGAGTCTTTTATTTCAAAACCGACAGCAATTTCGCTCGGGGAAAGCGATCCAGTGCTGACGCCTCAATCTCGTTTGATCGATCTCGACAGTTCATGTACCAGGAGACGGCCTACTTCTCGTTGGACTACGGGACCGAGGTCGAATCGCTCGCCGACCCGGAAAAGATGGCTCGGATGAGCAAGATCGTCCAGTTCGAACACGCAAGCACGGTGAGTCAGATATGCATCACGTGGTGGTGCCTGCCGTGGTTGAGGCTTGTTACTGAAAGCTGCGCGTTTTGAACTACGCATATAGCCGGAAGCTGTACAGAAGACCGAGGAGCAGTTGGCGGCGGCACAGGAGAGGAAGAATGTCATGATCGATCGGCTGAGGGAGCAGACGGCCAAGAAAAAGGCTGAGAACGTGCGTCTGGGTTGGAAGTCACGGCGGTCGGTGATCCCGGATCGATATACTGATTTCCTAAACCACAGGCTGCTCAAAGGGAAAGATCCTTGGCTATTTTTAGGGATCTGAAGGAGCGAAAAGAGGCACTGAGTGCCGCGGATTATGAGGTACGAGTCTTGTCTTGCCGGCCTCATATCGAGATCCGTTCTAGACACTCAATGATGATCTCGATTCGCGACTATCAGGCTGCCTTGGCAGCGGAAGGCTTGGAGTCTCATGCAGACTTGGAAAAGGCTATCAAAGCGATCGAGAGCGCGATCAAGCGGTCCAATAAGGGCAACGGGGAAGCGGAGGACGAGGCGAGTCCCAGCGCACACTCTTGTTGAATCATTGCTCTCGTGCTGACAACAAAATCTCATTGCAGGAGGACGACATTCAGACGTTTCCCATGGTGGATGTACCGGACGACCAGCTCGACGAGGAAGGAAAGAAGGAGAAGAGGAAACAAAAGTTGCTGAAATCCAACTATGACGCCAGGATGCGGATGAAGGCTGAGAAGAAGGCCGAGAAAGCCAGAGTGGCCGAAGAAAAACGCAAGGACGAAGAGTCGAGAGCCGCAGATCCAGAAGCTTGGGCTGCTAGGCTACGGGAGGATCATGCCGTAAGTCGTGAAGCGGGCGAATCCACTCGCGCGACCTGCTCACTGATGCGCGTGATCGGTATTTCAGGCCACGATCATTCGGATGAAGGAGCGTAAGAAGAAACGTCAGGCGCTGACAAATCGAAAGACGGCGACGGCACAAGCACGGATGAAGACCATATCGAATCTAGCCAACGATCAGCCTCCAGCGAAACGGCGGAAGAAGGGGAATGAAGGTCGGTACAAGGTATTCGAACAGATTCGGCCAGCACTGACTTGACCACATATCCTGTCAAATTGCTGTTCCAGAGGATGACTTTGGCGCCGACGATGACGACTGGGCGGTCTATAGGGAAATTGTGAGTTGATCACTACTTGTTTTTCAACGCCCTTCGCGGGCTGACGGTCGACATGACAGGATGGCGGTGAGGATTCGGAGGCCGAGGCGGACGATCAAGACCATGTACGGGAGCTCGAGGCAGCTCTCTTGCAGCATGACCCCTTGTTCGACCAGGAAATGACGCTCGCAGCTCAAAATCAACGGCAGACGGCTCTCATCAACGCGTTCATCCGATCGGACCAAAAGTTCGACCCTGATGATATGGGTCAGGCGCATCAGATTCATTTGAATGTCGAACGGATACGGGTTCCAGAGACTTGGTTTCATCCGAGCATGGCTGGCGTGGACAGCGCAGGAATGGCAGAAGTCGCAGGGTGGATGTTGAACGGGTTCTCGCCGGAGGAAAGGCGGCGGATGATGCAGGTCAGTAGAAAAGCGTTTCTGTTACCAGACTTGACACGCTCCGAACTGACGACCATTGCCGCTCAGGGTATCTACGTCACCGGAGGATCTTCTGTCTTACCGAACCTGACTCGACGACTGGAGCGCGAACTAACGACGCTCTTGCCATTCCAAGAACCTCTTAAAATCGTGACGGATTGGCCTGGGACGACCGGGATCTCGGCATGGAAGGGGATGGCACAATGGTCGCGGACGACGGAAGCCAAGGCGGCTGCGGTGACGCGGGCGGAATGGCAGGAGATGGGAGGAGGGTATCTGAAAGAGCATCGTTGGGGCAACTGGGCGGATGAACCGCCTGCGTGATCGATCGGGCCGGATGTAATCCACTCTGTAGCAGAAGGCATCTGGAGCTTGTGAGCTTCTTGGGCGGACATTCCCTATGGCGATCATCGCAGATTGCAAGAGCATTCACTATGGTTTCGCATATCCCTGCTCGAAGTTATCGATCCTTCTCTGACCTCATGGCTTGTGCTTACGTCATCACCCCGAGCCCGGCAACCTCCGTCCCTTCGTCAGCGGTAGAGTCGACATGTGTACATGGGTCAAGCATGACCCCACTCTCTAGTCGCTATTCAATCTCCGCCCTACATTGTGATCATTCTTGAGACGCCATAGGTCTTCAAGAAGAACCAGACAATCTTGCCTATATCATGTCTTCCGCAATCGAGACCGTTCAGAACCTTCAGGGAACGATCAAGGTGCATCAAATCTCCCACGATATCATCGACCGCAACTACCGCTGATCATACTCTCAACTTTTTAGCTACACGATGGCACTGAGATACCTCAGATCGGCCTCGGGGTGAGTCATCATGTTGCTTGAAGACGAATCAACTGCAGGCTGAATGGACTGTCGACTTGCTTAGGTTTATGAGATGAGCAATGAGGAGGCGGAACAGGCCGTTTACTGGGCCTTGGAAGCTGGTTACCGACATGTCGACTCGGCGGAATGGTACGGGAACGAGGCAGCTTGTGGTCGAGGCATACAGAAGTTTCTCAGTAGGTACAACTCGGTCTAATTATCTGATGCGATGTCTGAGCTGAAATTGTATGGAAACAGAGGCCCGCCCAGATATATCCCCCGAGGATATATACTACACGACGAAACTTCAAACGAACAGGTCTTACGATCAAACTTTGAAGAAGATTCAACAGTCGTTGAAGGACTCCCTGGTCGACCAGATCTCACTCTACCTTTTACACTCTCCCATCGGTGGACCGAAAGTAAGGAAAGCATGTGGGTAACAACGGCAGTCTTGCTTCTGTAAGCAGATAGTCATCGACTTGCGCTTTTTCCAGGTTGGGAAGCTTGTATCGAGGCCAAGAGACAAGGCTGGGTCAAGTCGATTGGAGTGTCCAACTTTGGTACCAAACATATCGAGGAGTTCGAGCAATGGGGCCTCGAAAAGCCCGTCCTTAACCAGGTCGACTTGCATCCATGGATGCGAAGGCAACCTATCGTCGACGTTTGTCGGAAGTACGGGATCGTGCTCGAGGTGTGTACAGCTCCGGGAGTATGTGTTACCGTCTGGCGGAGCTAAAAGTAGCCCGAATCCTTCAACCAGGCATGGGCCCCCCTCGCACGCGGTATGCGATTCAATCATCCCGTGCTGAACGAAGTGGCCAAGGCGCATGACAAAAGCCCTGCTCAAATCTTGCTGAGATGGAGCATCCAACATGTGAGCGTACAAGACTCGTGCACGACCCGACCGCAGTCAGCTCAATTCATGGTGTCTGTACAGGGTTTCGTACCGATTCCCAAGTCTGTCAGTCAAAAGCGAATTCAGAGCAACGGAGACCTCTTCACCTTTGAGCTGTCACAAGAGGAAATGGCAAAGGTGAGCGTGACAGATCCCGGCCATGCGCGAGCCTAGTGTAGCTAAAGTACGGCCTTTCACTATGCTCCTGTGTAGCTCGATGAGCTTGACGAGTACCTCGTCACTGATTGGGATGTTGTCGACGTAGCCTAATGGCCGATGCAAAGTTTGTCTGATATGACCAAATTCGTACATGATTCTACAAATCCGATCATCCTATACAAATTCGTTCTAACAACTGTTCGACACTATACAACGTAATCAACCCGCTTGGGCAACACTGCTCACAAACCTAATCGGGGTTTCCCCACCTGAAATTCTCCGCTCACAGGGATCTTCGTAACCTGCAGTTCCGAAGACATGCCCGGGACAACAACGCTGACGCCCGCTCGGCCTTTGATACCCGCCAACGCGCCTCCCTTGAAGATGATCTTGCTAACAAAGTCAGACATGACCTTGTCCCGACCGGGAAGCACCTGAACAGGGACGTCATGGATGGGTGCTTCGACGATCAACAACTCGTCCCCTTCCGGCGAAGGCCGGCTGCTAGCTGGCAGGTATTCATCTGGATGTATACGTCCAAAAGCCCTGATGGGGTAAGGCAATTCGTCTGGATCGACGTCCCCGTCGTCAGGTGGATATCCGTCAAAGACGAGGACGTCGGGTAGAACACCCGTGACATCCACTTCTATGTTGCGTAGTTGTGCCGGGAGCTGAATTTGGGCAACGACTAAACCGCTAGCCCTCATTTGACCTCGAGATTCGCTGATGCGCATGCCTTCGATGGTGACCGATTTAATCAGCTTCGGTGGAGGTCGAGGTCCTGGAAACGCGACTTCCAGCTGGAGAGATCGTACGATGTCCAGGATCCATGTTGGTGCAGGAGGCAGTCCATGATCAAGTACAGTACCGTTCCAGGGGAGGTACGGGAGCCCTTGGACGACGACAGGGTTGTCCAGACCATGAAGATAGTTGCGCAGAAACAGGGATAATGCTGGATCCGATTTGGGCTCAGCTTTGTCAGAGTCAATGATCTGGTCCGACTGGACGTAACCCTGAATGAGCACGTCTATTCGCTGTTGTCCATGCAGGGTGATCGGATCCGTCACCACTTCCGCCATTTTCGCTCGCTTGGCGGACAGGGCGTTGTGTGATTCGCCATCCTCTTCCGCCGGTACTGGTAGGAAGATCCCAAACCCGAAAGTGTACGGCAACTCGAATCGCATGGCCGGTACCGGATTAGGAGCGCTAGCTCTCGCCATAATTTGCAGATGGGAACCGCTCGAGGTAGCGTTCTCGTGTGCAGTACTGATGCTGTAAGATTCTAGCCGTACCAATTTCGCCAGGTCTGTCTCTCCACTCGGGATGCCAGGCAAATTGGGCGCTGATCGGAAAGAGCATGATTAAGCATCTCAGTGACGGCTATCAGTAAAGACGATGGTCGTCGACTCGATAGGGCTGATCAGTTCGGCCAATAGTTGGCGAGAAGCTGTTTTGCCGGTGTCGAAGCGGCTTCAAACCATTTGTATGGCAGATTGACGAGTCGCATGATGCCTGGTACAACTTCTTCCAACGCTGGTACTGGGGAGAGTGTATCGTTGCAGGATAAGAGCCCGTCGAGCCATGCGACGAGGAGAGCGAGCCAGAATGGCTAGGGATTGGGGATAGACGAATCAAAACGGTAACGACTACTCACTATTTAGCGTCAGAGGCACCTTGATATCGCGCTCGGTATGCTCGACGTATTTTCGCCAGCCTTTGCGGTGTCGACTCCTAACGGTCACGCTCTCGAGACGAACCTCCACATCGATCGATCCTTCCTTCCAGGCCTTTTTAGCGAGACCTAACAACGTCGAAGTGGACGTCTCGGGTCGGACGTGTACCGGAATGCGGATAGCTGTCAGCCAAGGCGGTATCGCCCAGACGGCCGAATCGGTTTCGGACGAGTTGACGTGAGTGGCGAGGGGTATCGGGATGATGCTGGGAAGTCTAGCGGAGACCAGGGGGTCAGGCGAGGCCGAAGAAGACCATATCTGAAGACCTTGTACCGATCCGACCTCGACAGGTCCGACGAGATCGATAGCGAGCCGCCCGAACTCGGCCCTCAACCTTTCCCACCAGCCTGCTCCTCCGCCTCTCTCTTCGCCTGAAACTCGATCCCTGTCGATACCCAAGATACGGTCGACGTCGACACCGGCGTAACCCTCCACCTCGAGCCAGATGCCGGAGGATGTGATGTTGAGGATATTGATATCCGTCGGTCCGTTGCAGACGACCGCATCTGGAAGAGAATCCCTCTCCTTTGAAGATGGTATGTAGGACGACAAGAGCAATCCCAGAAAGAGGATCGCGCCGAGAAGGATCGAGCAGATGACGATCAGGGACGTGATGAGGCGGTTCGTTCGACGCGATGCGGCATGATCGATGGGCTGTGGCTCAATGACCACACTCGAGTCTGGATGACGTGTGAGCTGGGTTGTAAGTGGTTGCGTGGGGATCGAACGTGTGGGTGCTTCGGGAGGCAAGAGCCTAGTACGCTCTCCCGGATCGACGGATTTGCCCTTGTTGAGCTTGGAAGGCATCCCTCTAAATTTTCCCAGCCCTTCGTGATGAATGCAAAGCTGAGCTCTAGTCGTGAGATGGTTGAGGGTCGGTGAGGTTTAGGCCAGGCAGTGTGAATATGAATGCGATGAACATCAGCAGCACAAGGAGAGGTGTGGAGGATGAGCTTGTCCCCCTTCGGATGCAAATGACGCGGGCGGGACTCGCCTATCTGCTTCCGAATCGATCTCTCCAATCCCCACGTTTCATCTCGACGCATTTTGGCAGGTCCAACCCCCTTTTGTGATACAAAGGGAGACCAGAAATTACTGGAGATGTTTGGAAAGTCTTGTCGCACTCAACTTCATGGGCGTTGGAGCGGGCGTACTGAGAACGAGGACAGAAGTGGGTGAGCGCACCATCACTTGCGACCAGAACGACCGGCTCGTCGCTCTTCCGAAAAGGTCTGATGTGAAGAGATGTACCTTCTCAACCTCGCCACGCTTCTCCTGGTAGCTGTCGTCGATGCTCGAGCTAGACCTCTGGGCCATGCCCTACATGGAGGATCACGCGATCCGAGAAAAGACGCTCATGCGAAGAGGAGCATGACTGGCCCTGGTTCCATAGCGAGCTCCATGATCGTCCATTCAACCAATGCAACAGAAACGAGATCCAACCCTAGTTTGCACGCATACAATAAAAGGGCATTCGACGGCAAGGCCACGTTTTACGCGGTAAGTATCGTCTGGCATTTATAGCGAATGATATGGTCAGAATCTCTGAACGCGCTATGTTGGTAGATCGGTCAAGGAGCCTGCGGTGGATCGATAGACCACGAACCGAGTTATGTAGTGGCGCTGAACCAAGCGCAATACGGAGGTGGTTATCCAGGCCCACATTGCGGTCGTACAATCACTGTTCAAGGCGGGCCCTTGAACGGATATGCACAGGGAGTGATCACCGACCTGTAAGGAGTTTGAACTAGATAGAGGGTACGTCAATTCGGCTGACGATTCGTCCTAACCCTGCAGATGCCCTGGATGTCCTTGGGGTGCGATAGACATGAGCGAGGCCATGTTTCAGTGAGTGACGATGGCTTAGACTGGGAGAAGTAGGGCGCCGGTTCTGACTCGGTATCTAGAAACTTTGCCCCGCTGACGAGCGGGACTGCCATGATCTCCTGGTGGTTCAACGACGAAGGAGTGAGTCGACGACACCTTGCCCGCTTGAGGAAACGAGGCTGATTTCGCGCAACTTGTAGCCTGCTCCAGCGCCTACGCCTACAAGTACACCTGCATCTACATACACAATCGAGCCTACTACCAGTTGGTCACAAGAGACATGGACTCAGCAGTCATGGACCTCGACATGGTCTGAGCCAACGACCGCGTGGGCAGGATCTACCAGTACATCAACATGGTCAGATCCAATATGGTCATACCCAACATGGTCCTCACAGGTATGCACGTTTCACAGTTTTCCGAGTTCGCGCTGATTGATATGTTTTCCCACCTCACTAAGACCTCTTGGGGTGCATCACAAGCTGATGCCCCAAGCAGTTCATCGACCTGGGTCGAGCCCACGACGTCGGTGTGGTCGAGTTCACAGACGAGCGAGAGCTGGTTTTCTTCTAGCATCAGTACAACTGTATCACCCACAGTAAGTGATGATGGCACTCTCATACCCTCGGCAAGCTCATCAAGTCGGCGCCATCATCAGACGACAAGCCAAGGGTCATCATCGTCGAGTAGCTTTATCCAGCCAGTGTCGGAGCCGACCGCCGTCAGCGCCTCGTCACCTACCCCCGAAGCCTTTCCGCCAATTACCACGCAAATCGATCACGGTATCGTGGCTCATCAGGAACTTGGGAATTGGGATGCGCTCGGGGCGATAGCTGTGAACGTTGGCAGGCTGGTCGTGCGCGCTGCTGCAGAGTGAAACCAACCTAGGGGGGCGACGTGCATCTACTTTGTACAAATGTCGAGAGCGAGTGCGTCCTTTCGGTGTTGACCGTCGACCGAGTTGCACTCAAGACGGTTGATTATGTAGGGAATGTACGTATTTTGTGTAACAGAGGTAACATGACATTACAAGTCCTCATAGATCTGGATAGAAAATCACGGACAAGATGAAAGCGGTTCCAGGTTGTATCGATGCCCTGGACACGATTAGACCATCCCAGTTGTCCGGTCGTAGCGTCCTGATCACAGGTAATAGCCGGTATGAGCAGTCTTGCGTCTGATGCAATGCTAAGTAGGATCGATACATTAGGCGGAGGATCAGGCTTCGGAAGGCAATTGGCGATCATGTGTGCGACTGCAGGGTGAGAGCCTCAGTATAGTCCCAAGCAACGCAAGGCGCCGCTGAACAGCGCCATACCAGAGCGGACGTCGTGATTGGTGACTTGAACACCAAAGGATTAGAAGGCACGATCGACCTGTGTCGAGGGTTGTCAGGGTAAGATGCAGTCGATACTTGTGAATATACCTAGACTCTGATGTTTTCCGTCGCAGATCCTGTCAAGCTCCTTCGGAAACTTCGGATGTGACTGTCGAATCATCACTCCGCCAACTCTTCGCATTCGCTCAAGCTACATTCGGTCGGCCAGCCGACGTCGTTGTCGCCAATGCGGGTATTACCGAAGTTGGAAGACTCTCGGAAGACGTCGCTCTCAGTAAGTTCATGCCAATCATATCGAAATGAACCGCATTTCTGAGGCTAACTTCCGTCGTGCAAAAGAGAACGAGCTGGGCCGCTACCCAAAGGAACCCAACCTTCTCACCATGAACGTGAACTTTTCGGGAGTCCTCTTGACCGCTCAACTGGCAGAAGAAGCATGGAAATCCGAGCCTTCAACCGAACACAATCGTCAACTCGTCCTCCTGGCTTCTATGGGTGAGCTCATACAGTCCTGCTTTGTTATTGAGACTTTGTGACCTGACACGGGAAACGCTGCGCATCAAACCAGGCGGACACAGTGGGATCCCTGGGGCGCCTCTCTACAGTGCCAGTAAACATGGCGTGGTAGGACTCTGGGTAGCTTATTGTGCGAAACTACGCGCTTTGCCAGAACCTACCTTCTCGTGAGTTTCTACAGTCGATCAGTAGGACCGTTGCGATGCGATGCTAATTTGATCGCTGATCCGCCATGTTTGACTTATAGCTGCCATGCGATCTGTCCTTTCTTTTCCTGTACGTCTGAACAGGTTCAAAGATAACACATATTAGCTGATCTAATTCCTACTACTGCAGTCACTGGAATTCTGGGTCGAGCGGTATGTCTTCGTTCAAGGTAGGTCAATATCATCAAGACTGACGCTTCTCTTGCACATTACAGGTCTTCCTTGCATTGGCAGGGCTTTCCGTGGTTCAGCCCGAGACCGTTGCCTCGACAGTGCTACATATCGTGCGGGATACCTCTCTGAATGACGGGTGGGTGGCAAGACCTCCTAAGCGAAGCAGGACGACCGCTAACATAGCACATCATCTTCCAGACTCGGGTCTATGTACTGCTTGCCCGACCACAAGGAGCCTCTCGAATTCAGCACAGACTACGTTGGACCGCTGGACCACTCTTTCTACCAAGAAATCACCGAGACAATCAGGCAACGCCAGAAGTGGGTGCTTTTCTACGGCCAGTGGAGGCGTTAAGCTGACATCCGGGCTCAATACTCAGAGTTTACGATGACCCGGAGTACGTTCAGTGCCGAGACGACGAGATCCTTACCGCAATCGGAACCAACCGTGCCGATGTGCCTTTCATTGCGTTACTTGTAAGTCCTTCAGTAGCGAGCATGGCCATGAAAATGCAGTTGCTCAAAAATTCCTTGTTTGCAAGTCCGGATATGTGATCTGGCAGGCAGCAAAGTTTTGGTACGGGCTCAATGCCTTTAGTCTGATAGCTCTCGGGATCGGTCTCACCGCCTTGCAAGATGGAGCCCCCAAGATGGTTCTCACCGCTCTACAGAAGCGGATCACTACATTCCAGGAGGCACACAAGCACAATAAGCTCAAGACTACTTGATCCGCATTCCGGCACACGACGATCTTGATACCCTTTGTATTATATGAAAGATCTCGACTAGTATACATTTGATGCGGTAATACCTAGCAGTAGTGTACCTGGAGGATCAAGATATCACCTGGTCTCGTAGGTCTTTGAACCGAACAATCCTTCCTCGGGCGCCCTGTGTTGTTTGCTGGGGTCCTGCATCTCAAACGAGGCCGGGGAGCCGTTCTCGGCGTCATAGTCCAAATCGGTTACGTCGCGCGTAGTGATGACCGTGGCCAGACCCATGGCTTTTCGCATGTCATCCCTCTCACGTTGACGGAGTTCGGCAGCGGCACGATCCGCATCCTCGGTCATCTTTCGACCCTCGAGATGCCTCTCAATCTCCTCGGGAGTGTAAGCCCAGAATTTGCGGTTGCCGTTGAAAAGCTTTCGCATCCAGGGAGGCAAGACGGTCCAGAGCTTGGATTGGGTTCCTCCGTTCGATTGAGCCCGGATCATGGCGGCCACCGAGTAAGGCTCCTTGAGGTCGTGCCAGCCAGGAGGCAAAAGACGGGGCGAGATCATGCCGAGGACACGGGGCACGTTGTGGAGCAGCATGAAGACGATCAATGCGGGAATGATACCGTAGGCGATGTTGTCTGTGTCATTCGGTTAAGGCGTCAGGATTTGGCTCACCATCACCCGGTACGAGAGGTATGCTCACAGGTAAAAGGAATGCATGCGAGCACGATAAAGGCTGGTAGGGCATCACCGATAAAGTCCCAGTTGATCTTGGTGGCATTCTCCATCATCATGGCTCCGACGATGACCAGGACGGACCCGGTCGCCCAAGACGGGATGTTGCTCAAAATCGGAGCAAAGAAGATGCTGACAAAGAACCAAAAGCTGGTCGCAATGGCGGTCAATCCGGTCTTTCCACCTTCGGCGATTCCACTAGCAGATTCTGTTCAAGTAGCCATTTCAGTCAGAGGTTGCTAGCGGAAAGCAGGTTGAGCCTCGAAACTCACCGACGAAAGGCGTGCAAGGGGAAGATCCAAAGAAGAGTCCGGACATGGAGATACAAGCCGAATCGACCAGGAAAGCGACGGAACTGCCCTCAAAGTCACCGTCCCTAGCGTCGAACAGACCGGCCTGCTTCGACATGGCTACTAGAGTACCGGTCGTATCCAGTAGATCGACGTACAAGAACGAGATCTGAGCGAGGGCGACGCGCGCCAGGTTAGCAGGTGCAGCATGAATCAGAACGAGATGGACAAGCCTCTACACACCAGAGCGATCCAGGTCTTGCCGTTCTTGTAACCTTGCCAATCGACATTTTTGGGACCGAGCAAGCTGAAGCCTCGGGCGCTGACGACGTTCTTGAAGAAGTCAAAGTTGGAATCTCCGATAACGTCGTGAGGGAAAGCGGTGACGGGTGTGCTTCGAGGCCAAGAGATGATGGCGACAATGAAGATGGGCCAAAGAAGAGCACCTGGAATACCAACGAAGTCACGCATAAGTCTTCCGCATAAACGCTCATGAAGGAAGCAAGCTAAACTTACCCTTGACCCTGTAGAGCAACATGAAGGCGGTGATGACCCCACCAGCAAAGATTCCGAGCCACATCTTGGGATCCTGGAGGACGTGCGACTGGCAGATCCCGTTCTCTTCGTATTGCGGAAGACAACCTCCGATTTGAAGCGGGGTCGAGGTAGCGCCCTGAACGACGTTGAGACCGGACGAACTGAGGCCAATAAGCGTCAAGAAGAGACCGATTCCGGCTCCAATAGCGAGGGCGATGGAACGGGGGATCAACCTGGCGAGCCATTGACGGAGACCAAAGACGGTGAGGAAGAAGAAGATGATTCCTTCCAGGAAGACGGCAGCCAAAGCTTCGCCATAGGTGATAGGTCCAGTTCCCTGTCAAGGAGATGAAGGTTTATCAGGGTTAGGGAGACCGCAGACATCGATTGGTGTCCACGGCATGGCTTACGTGGAATCCAACCTGAGAATAAGCAAAGAAGGCTAGAATAGGACAACCCTGATGAGTTTGTGGAGCTTGCGTCTGCAATCTAATCGTCATCGCGTACCATTGACTGTAAAGAACAAGTCAAGGATGAATTAGCGACCCGTGGGCCAGGATATCTTGCGGTCGCAACAAATAGCTACGTACCACCGAGACCAGGAGCGAGACCCAAAGGCATGTTTGCCAGGAGACCCATCAAAAAGGTAGCGATCAAAGAAATTGCCGAGGTACTGGTGACATAGTCCCGCTTGAGCTCATTGATGCACAGGTTGTAGTCGATGTTGGTCTCGCAGATAGGATCATCGGGCGTGGAAGCACACACACAAGGACCACCAGAGTCACTCTACACAGATAGACATGGTGGAAAATACACAGAACCGATCAGCCTAAAGTACATTCGGTCAGAAGCCGATGCGACGCTGCTCAACTTACCAAGACGGACGAGTTGACCGCGATGATGTACAACATGGCAGCACCGATAACGCTCCCCGCTCGGAGTTCTGTCGTGAACCTGCTACCCTTCCTGGCCAAGGGATGACCGCATCCATCGAGTCGGAACCACCTCCCGACCGCCGATCGAGCGACCTTGTCATTGAGACGCTCCGCAGAGAATTTCCCCATGTTGACGATCCTGCGTGTGGGGTCCTGGTAGAGTCCTTGTAGGATGACAAGAAGTGGCGAGCCAGATCCCTGAGAGTGGAAAAGATCCTCGCTCTGCTGATCTGCACCTGTCTATATTTGAATCCCTCTCTCTCTCGAGAGATAACCAAAAGAGCGGGCGCCCAGAAAATCGAGAGCGAGCAAGCGAGAGATTGGATTTCCATGGTGTCGGATGCAAAAAGTGGAGCGTCCTCCTCTCCCTCGTGCCCCCACGCAGCTGATACGACGTTGCCGGAGATAAGCGGGTACCGGACCTTTTTAACCTGGGGATGTGAAGATAGCGTCTTGCCGGATTGATCGGACGAGCGTCAATATCACGTACGCACAATCCACTCAGAGCTCAACAAGGTAGATGCTCTCCGGAGTACCGGAGTACGACTTTTGAGTTGGATTATGAACGGGTGACAGGTTGCGAAGCGATGTATTCTGATGCACGCGCTACGCCGAGTTCACTCACCTAACCGATCAAAGCCTTGAGTCGTCCCTGAACACGGGGTCATCCGATCATCCATCCCATCAATCACCCGGAGTCGAGTTCATGTTTCACGATTTGACCGATCACAAAGAACGCTTGCCGTTGATATCGGACCAACCATTGGTCGTATCTCCGTCCGTTCGCCCGACACTATCGAGTTCTCATCGGTATTACTCGCCCATTACTTGCCGTCTGAGCGATGATCCGGTCGAGCGCGTCACAAATGCGTGATTACATGTCCTTACAACTTCGATCATACACATGGCAAAATTCCGATTCTCCTGTACCGTCCCCATCGATCAAAGACCCATCTCCTTGCCTAGTACATCCAGACATGCCCGTGCCAATTTCCTCACGTCCAGATCGATTACGTTTCGCTTCGACCCGTCAGTCACGTTGCTGGCGGTGTCCCTTTCTGTGGTCATCGACTGCCATAGGACGTCCGTGTCCCGAACCGAGACGACCGGAAGTCGAAGTGGCGAGGCGACGAGTTCAAGCAGGATCGGGTACAGGTGAAACAGGTGCGCCCGGGATGACTGCCGGAGAGCCTCGCCTATGACGTTGGTTTGCGTTTCGGGCGCTACATTCATCGTCCATTATCGGTCGATTCACAGAGGCGGATGGCTTTGATTAGCTTCAGAAACTTTGCGTGTCAAGCGTACAAGGTTCGAGCTTACCGCTCGCTTGCATGGCGTTGAATGATCCGGGCCATAATTGCAGATCGAGTAGCCGCTGGAGGACATAGGCCAGCTCTTCTTCCCTGACCCGCTCAAAAGGATAACTCCCTCGCAGCGATGCGGATGCCAAATAGCCCGTCAGGACGAATTTGCATCGACTGAGAAGCAACGGTAGTACTGCCGCAGCGGTCCGTCTCCGCCTGTCTTCGGTTATCGAATCGCCTATTAAAACAGCAGGGCAATGTCAGAAAGCACGTATGATGTAATCCCATTCAGTCTCGTTTCGTGACGTACCGCTATCTTTCCCAGCGCTCGAAAACAACAGCCCGAGGCAACGATATCGTAACCCTTCTCTTGGCAAAGGTGTCACGGAAGTTTCCCGGCCGAGCTCGGTCTCGTCTTTCTGTGATGTAATTCCGTTGTACGGAGTGTACAGTATACTCGCTTGATAGATCGTGTCTGCGAGCTGTTCCAAGATGACATTGTCCACGTTCGAGTGACCTGACAGCGGCATGACCGAAGACTCGAGAAGATCGATCGCGGGGATGTCGTATAGCTCTTCCTGCTCGGCTTCTTCCCAGTTCATCTCGCTCATATAAGAATCGTCGACCAAGAGGATGGACCGGAAGGTTGCCGCAATCTGCTGCCAAAGGGAATCCCACTTCTCACCCATGAGGTCCGAGGAAGTTGACTCTAGCAAAGGGATCGTCTGCTTGATCACCTCGACAAAAGCCAGCGTAGCGGTCCTCCACAAGGCCGGATCTTTCCCAAATTTGTTGGCTGAAGGGCAGTCTAGTCTGAGCTTGATGGGCAAAGACAAGGCGCCGATGAGTCGCTCTATTGCTCCATCCTTGATCGCAGCTGCCAGTAATCGCGAACGTTCTTTCAGGTACGTCGAAGTCAACGCCATGGACGCCTTGGCGAGACCGACATAAGAGACTTTCTTGGTGATTGATCGTTTGGCTCCAGGCATCGATGTGTCGACATAGTCAAAGCCACCAACGAAGGCCAAGGTAATATACTCCGCTAGGACTGAGATGACCGACCCGATCGAGCATCGACCGTCTAGCTCCGGCCGAGCAAGAAGGTCAAGACCCGATTGTTGAAGTGGCGAGGGAGCATCGACGTCCAACGGGTATGTCGGACTGCGTGTATATGTGACGGCAGAGCGACTAGCTCGGAGAAGGAATTCTGTTTGAGATTCCCCGATGTGCTCACCCGTCGCGTCGATCACGACTCCGATGAGCCGCATGTACTCCAACAAGTTGTCTTGCGTGAGGCTATACCGGCCGGCCATAGTAGCAAGTTGATCTTGTTCCAGGTTGTCACGGACTCCTTCGAGGGCAGACCAAATGATTGACACGAAACGAGTCTCTTTCAAGTTTGCGACGTAAGCCTTGACTAGTTTTTGACAGAGTTGTAACGCAGCGGAGCAAGTCTTGGGTCCCCCATGAACACAAGCTCGAGTGGTTACTGCAGCCACCTTTTCCACCATTACCTCGAAATTGGAACCTGCTGAGATTTGCGCAGTGTACGTCTCATAAATTGTTCCAACGGATTTGAGGGCGAGCGCGTGGGAGTTATCGATGTCTTCGGCCTGATCACGTTCTTCATCGATTTGATCAGTCTCGTTGTCGGTATCCGAACTTGCATCTCGTGAAGGGAGCATTCCGCTTAAAAGTGGCAAAAGCACCCCCGTCGTTACGGCTTCCCAAGTTTCGTTTGACAAATGCGCTCCATGCGTTTCCAGGGAGCGGAACATCGTTTGAACTGCGCTCGCTCGGACCTCGCTCCTTCTGCTCGCCGTCAGACGCAGCATGCCGTTTAAACTACGCAACCATAGTCGATCTTGATCCGAGGACGAGATTTCAATCAGACCACTTTGAAAGGCGTCCATGAGATTCCAGATCGATCCGATTGACGACAGAGCTATGTTCATGTCAAAATGCTGTCCGGCGAAGTTACAAAGCGAATCGAGACAGTGTTGAGCGATGTTCGCATCAAAGGTCGAAAGGTAATCGGAGCATGCCAAATTGAGCGATGGGTAGGCGGTACGTATGAGGTTGGTCTGAGCTTTGCTGGCTTGACTGCTGCCCGAAGCAAGGACCGCCTGTGTGCTTTCGAATACGCTATCGACTATGCGAAAGACAGACGGCCAGACCGAGGCAATAGTATGACCAGATGACTCTAAGATGGCGGAAAGCGTCGTTAGGCCGCGAGTCCGGATCTCCAGATCGGTCGCATTCTGCTGTCCATTTGAGGGCGGTCGGACCTGTCTGATCAACGCTTCGAAGATGCGTGATTGCGCCACTGACTGCTGAACAGCGTCCAGTATTTCCAAGCTCGTTGTTGCCAAGCCGAGAATGTTACCCAGTACTTCTGCCGCTTGCATACGAATCACAGCCGACGTTGGCGTGTACTGGGCAATGTCGATCACATGCGTGATGATGATATCCCAAGCATTTTGCGGCGACTGCGTCATGATTCGCTCCACATTGGTAGATGCCGTTACGTCCAGCATCATCAGAGCGAATGATTTCTCTCCCTGCCTGATAGTCTGGGAGACCGACAGCCCGCTAGTCCGACGGCGCAGTGCTCCTTCCATAGCTGATGGACGCTTGCTCGGCGATACAGGCGTTTTCACATCGTCTTGTCCATCGCCCTCTTGCGATTTGTCAAGTCCTATGGTCTCTCCGCTCAGTTTGCATAATGCAGACACGAGGTAATAGTAACTAGAGTCACTTAGACGACTAGTTGTTGTCATAAGAAGACAAACGCTCCCTTGCACACTGCTCGGTTCAGCTTCGAGCAAAGCTTGAGAAGGCTGAGGAGCGGTGGTATTCGGACGTGTCGATGAGGTACTGAAACGTGGCGAGCCTGACAGACCGTCTTGCATGGATCGGACCACCCGTTTCGAGCCTGCTTGTTTGCCTAGCACGAAATTGGCGTTATGAATGGTCTCAAGAATGTCGTGCCATGCCATATTCAAGGTGTCACCACGCTCATGGACCACCTCAATGAGAGCGGTCAAGCAGGACAAGTTCCGTTCCGAGAGGGCCGGGGCCTTTGATGACGAGGTCGAGCTGGGAGCGGCCTTGAAACCTTCGCTACCTGTCAAGCCCGGTGTGGCAGGCATCTCCGTGTAGACCTGCGAGGCTTTGACAACGGCTGCCGGGACAGCAAAGCGTGAGAGAGTGTTCAAAAACGCATCTCGACAGGTGATGAGACCCGAACCATCAGAGACCGCGATCAGAGTCTTGATGGTCTTCAGTACTCGATCAAACAGTTCATCCGAGATGTTCGTCGTGATCACGAATGACAGACTTGCCAAGAGCGCGGGCCAAGCGATTGCGAGCATCGGCTTTGTTGGGGACGGCGATCCATCGTCAGGTAGAGTTTCCGACAAGTCAACGACGGGATGTCCATCTTTGATTGTAGTCTTGCTCGAGGGTAACCCTTGATCCGTATAGAGGTTGGCCGCCAGGCCGTCCGTAATTTCGACCAGCATGTCCAGTGCAAGCAGGTAAGGATACCGCTCCGGGATAGGATTAGGGTCTATCTTGTCGTGCTGTTCGATACTGAGAGGTTGGGAGCTGCTATTAGCCTTGCGTGGATACTTGCCAAGCAACTGGAAAGTCGACTCACCATTGTACTTTGACTCCGCACGTTGCGTCAAGCCTTCCCTCACCCTCTGTACCGATCATTGCCGATACCGTGGACACCCCAGCCGTCGCAGCGGAAGAGACAGCGTTCAACCCCATATCGAGATATCCCCCTTGCCTACCGGAGTGATCTACCGCCAAGTGTGAGATCCCAAGGCCCTGCATCGTCTCGTCGATTCCGAGCTCTCCGGGTTTCTCCGAGATGATCTGGCGTATGGCAGAAACCAGATCGCCATAGATGGATGATTTATCATCTCCGTCCTCATCAAAGGTTTGCCAAACAGCGTGCAGTAGTGATGTATCGCGGCATAGTCTATAAGTCAGCTGGTCAGTGAGCTTTCTTTTCAGGTAAGTTCGAGAGCCTGTACTCACGCTTTCAAAACCTCCAATAGCATAGCGCGTAGCCATAGCGGTGGCGCCGCAGAGAGAACCTTCCGACCGGCGTGATCGTGCCCGACGGAAAGATTCGCCTCGTTGCAAGCTCCGCGGATCAACATACGCCAGAATGTCTTGGCTTGTGTAGGTATCTGCTCGTAGAAGTACCGCAAGAGCAGAAAAACTACTCGTACGGCGCGTAGCATCACAGGGAAAGCGGCTCGTTCTATGAGGATAGACTCCAGCAGCGGGGATAATTTGGTTCGGAGGAGCGAGATCAGCTCCGTTTGCTATGAGAAACGGTCTAGAATAAGCCGGCGCTCAAGCAATCAATAGGAAACACGTCAATCGGATCTTACGCTACGGAAACCATTGGCAAAACCACTTAGAGTACTCTCGATCAGCTCGAGACCAAAAGTGGCGGTGATTGACGATATCTTCAAAAGGCGTGGCCCTTCGATTTTAAGCTTGCTGCTTTGATTCACTGATCTGTTGGTCAGGGTGCATAAGTCGTCGAAGAGGTAATAGGCATCCCACTCGTTTCGGTTGAGTTCCGCTTTGTTGCCATCGGGTAGCGTCACGGCGATTCCTTGCGAGACATCGCTTGGTCTCTCGTCGTGAACTCTTTCGAAAACCATGACCACAGCCTGACGTAGCGAAGCCGAGGCCGTGCTCGAGACCACCGAAGTTTTAGAGTCCTGAAGCTTGAAATACAGGGCGAGCAGCTGCCGGAAAATCGACACCAGTAAGCACAAAGCCTGAATACGGTGATGCGTCTAGGACCGACCTCTCCCAGAACGTCTTGATGAATATCCGGACAATATGTCATCATAAGTAAGAGAGTCTGGATGACACGAAGCTGTATCTCAACCCCTTGATTGACCGCCAGGAGTAACGTTTGCAAAAGGGCCGGAACCGCGGCCTGGAAAAGAAGGACATGTGCAAAGTGAGCCTGGTGATTAGGCTTGTTTACTCGATCGATCACTCACACCTCCCACGGTCTGCAGACTGACGAGTCGCTGCAGAGCTCCGATAGAAATTGCAACGATCTTTGCCACCTTCGTCTTACATCCTCCCAAAACGGGAGACAGTAACACCTGTCGCGCATCTGTGAACATTATGGAGGTGTTAGTTGCTCGCTGTTGTTGGGAATTTGAGCGCCATACCTTACCTGGAGTAAAGGCGGTACCATCCGTCGTCTTGAGTACTAACAGGGCTCTCTCGGCCGCCTGCGTCACAGGATATGCATAAGCTATAGCTATGACTACTAGAGTTCTATGGCTCATACCTCTTTCACATCGGGGTACTTCCGTTTAGTCTCGGTAACGAGAGACTGGAGCTCGTTTACCAGCAAATTCCTGTCCTGTTAAACGCAATGGGGAAGACACAGAATGTTACTGCCTGCGTCATTCTGCAGCAGCCTTTAGATAAACGAACCATTCCCCTGGGCGATCTTCACGTTATCATGGATCCCTGGTCTATCTTGCCCGCAAGCCTATGCGTCAATTCCTGCTAGGTTGATGCGAAGACAGAATGCCTATACAGTCTTCGAGGATCCACGATATGACATCTAGTTAAAATTCATTGCTGGCCTGCTGATGCCACCGAGAGGATCCGTTATCGTTACAAAAGATCAAGAGATACATCGCTGCGATGTCGCTCTCGTACAAGGGGATCAGGGGTAGCAGCTCGGCCTTGGGATGTTCGCTCCCGGATGCAATTCGGGTCATGACGAAGCTTGCAAGCAGGAGGGAAGGAGAAGCAGGAGCTACGATACTACTATATACTATGATTATTGATGTGGCCTGGACGTCATTCGATTCGTTGGATAAGAGGATGTCAAGTCTTTCATATCACGCTGAGGAAAGGTCGTTATTTTTGCTACAATCGACATAGGGCAATGCTTCTTCCAGATGCAAGTCGTTTCCGCGAATTAGGAGAAGGGCAGTCATTTGAAGGTGATCATCGGATGACGATCGCCCGTTCCGTTGGGTTGGGTTTTCTTGGTCCCTTGTCCATGTGGTCCAGGCCCAATGCGTCCTGTCCCATGAATTTATGGTCGAAAAGCACATCATCTGGGAGGAGGATCGGAGATCAGTCGTCGCTCACGCTTGGATACGGATTCGGGCGATGTTTCTCACCGTCGGTCAAGGGCGATGGCTGTTTGTAATGGTGCGATTGCATGAGAGCAAATCGGAACTTGGCAAAATCTTTGTCCGCGATGCCGAGGCGAGCTTGAAGTCTAAGCTTGGTGTCCTCGAAGCGTTCGCCCTAAAGTAGAAAGCGGGTATTGTTAGCATGGCGTGCGAATCTGAAGCGACAAAGCGAATCATCTTGCTTACATTCTTCACAACAAATCGGAAGGGCACGCCGAAGTACCGCGTCGGTTCTCGGTGGTAATGGAACACATCTATGACCTTGGCATCATCCGTCAGGTTGGTCTCTTCAAGCGGAATCTCCTCTGCATATAGCTCCGCCGGTTCTCGCAAGTTAGCGATCATCTCGGACGAGGTGCATTCCTTCTGCTGCCGTCCGTTTGACGCGATCTCGAATATCCGTACCCTACGGCTGCCTTGCGGGTCTAGTGTCACGAGTTTCGCAAGCGCGTCTGCAACATCCGAAAAGGTGCTGGTCTTGGGCAGCAAGAATGGATGAGTGGACTGCAACAGGAATGACAGCGTGTGAGTATACATAGGAGTCTGCCCTGATCAGCGGTCGACTCACCTCTTCCTTGTTGTGCGACCCTGTCCATGTGATCTTGAGCGACTTCTTGGTCTCGAGCTCGATAATGCTGACGTCCAGCTTCTCATAATATAGGACAAGGTTCACGTGCTGGTGAGCATAGAAACCGGTCTGAGTGAGATCGCCGACGCTCTGATTGAGAGCCCTCTTGATGACGGCTTTCGGGCCAAGGTTGTTGGCGTTGGCGGAGGTGAATCTCAGGCGGAGGGGGTCGTGCTTCAGGTAATCCCCAACTCGTTGCGCCATCTGAACGCGATAGACGTGAGCATTAGGCACTACCAAGACAATTGCTGTATGGGACGCAAAAACTTACGACATCGTAAGTGTTTTTCTTGCTCAAGATCAACTCGAATTCGGGATTTGTTTCCGTGACCTCCTCGAATTTGGGCTTGAAGCTAACAAGGACACGGTTCTGTAGGAAGTCGTAGAACTGTGGCACCTGCGAATATAGCTGATGGGCTTCGAAATCTTGTTGCCTGATTGCGAATGAGGGAAATCAGCAATACGTCAAAGAGCATGGCATTTCACGCGAGACTGACTCCTTGTCGGAGATTTCGGCTTGGAAACAGATAACGTCTCCGTCCTGAATTTCGCTCGTCACGAAAGTCTGCCGAAGCTTCATCTGCTCGATCATGCCAGCTTTGATTTCCTGGTAGTTGGTGAATACGTTAATAAGAAAAGCGCGAGCGCATGTGTGCTGTGCTTGCTACTGACTTCGTAAAGCTTCAGCGGCGTTGTCGGTGCCCAGCCCATCCGTTCGCAAATGAGGGGACACAGCTCAGCCACCTTCTGGTTCTTGCCGACAAAGACCTTGCCCTGTCCCAAGAGAGTTTGCCGCTGGACGTCGAACCACTTCAAAAAGATCATGATGGGAGGACTGCTTCCATCGCCGACAGCCTGTCAGGAACCAAAATGGGTTAGATAACTGTTCGTCGGGATTCGCCCAGACCTGAGCGACCTACCACAGCCCACTTGCTGGGATCAGGGTTGTAATCGAGGTACAGACGGAGATCAGCAGTCCGAGCCGTCATCGTTGATCGAATCTGGTCCATGGCTATACGGAGAGATGATTTGATCAGCTCGAGTGATAGAAGAGCACGTGCCTCTTGATCGCGGATGAGCTCACTCTGATTGGCTTCGCTATCCAAGATAGGCACATCGGGACGGATAGTCTTATTCTGCCGGTTTACCATGACCCAGAGCTTGAAATCGTTCAACGAATACTTGAAGTGCTCAGCGATCCTCTCCTTGAATTTGGAAAACGGTTCCGACTTCAAGATTCTGAAGCTGGGCAGTTCTGAAGGCGGAATATGCTTCTCGTCGAACGAAGCTAAGTCAAAGCCTTGATGCTTGCCGAAAGTGTCGTCCGTAATGATCTAGATGCAGCAGGCCAGGTGAGTTACGTGATGGCTCTTCTATCTCGAAAGGTTATGACCTACCTTTGCTGTGAGGTACAGATGCTGCTCGTCCTTCTCTCGGCGGATAGCTTCCCGCTCTGCTCGCTCCTTGTCAAGGCGGGCCTCTGCAAATCGTTCATTGACGTCAATACTGACACGCGCTTCGCATTGACATGAGCGGGCGCGACGTACTGAGATGCGAAGGGGTATCATCCGGTCCGAACGGTTTCAAAACGTCATCCATAGCCTCGTCCCGAACGTAAACCAACATGTACGCGTTGGTGAAGCGCTTCATCGTCCTGGGCTGCTGTCTCTGGTTGGGAGCAACCAAACCGTTGTTCATATCACCACCATAGTTGTCCTCGGTGACCTCCTTGTCGGTGACAGGGACGACCCTATCGTCATCGTACTTGAACCACCTCCCGTCCTTCTCGGGCTTGATCAACGCGAAGTAATGGCCTCCGTTCAGATCCCCCGAATGCACGAGCACACCGTGCAGCTTGTAGACCTGGTTCTGTTTGCGTTCATCGGATTCGGGATCCAAGAACTCGGCGAGGTCGATCTCAAGAGGGAACTCGTGGCGGTCGTTGATCTAAGCAAGTACCAATCTATTCAGCGCGTATGGATGAATGGCCCTTCGCCGTATTCTACGTACTTTGCACATCGCGTCCTTCTCCATGTCATACTCGAAACGACGCAGTTGCAAATGTAGGACAGGAGGGAATCGTTCGAAGATGACCCCCTTCTTGGCGTCCTGCAATCCATATCCTTCCGCCATGTACTTGTTCTCTCCCTCGAGAGTTTCGACTTGCACGTAGTCCTTGAACGAATCGTGCAGCGTTCGCATACCCTTGACCGAGAGTTGAATATCTGACATTGCAGGACTCGTGAGTTTGAAAGGACTCGTTACCAGAGCACTCTACAAGCTTACCGTAAAAGTCCTCAAGCATAGATGATTCGTAATCGACGCCAACACATTTGATGTAGTTCTTCATTCTTCCCATGAAGAGCTTGGCGATAGCGCCTTCCGCCGGAGTTCCCTGTGATTCGACAGTCAAGGTCGCACCGTTTAATGGCTGAAACAACCACCATCCAAAAGGAGGCTCGATCCAACGCACCTTCATCTTTGTTTCCAATTTATCCTGCAGAATCCTGCTAAACTCTTGCACGTCGTGCTGCATGAAAGCGTCCGCGCTCTTCCACCCGAAACTCTTGGTCAACTCGGTCGTCCCTACGGGCTGATCCGAACTCTGGAGGTGGTAGAAGACTCGCTGAAGAGCGAGGGGCAGGGATTCAGACGGCGTGTCGTTCTCGGTAGGGATCTGGTAGACAGCCCTTCGGAAGTAGGGAGTACAGAAGAGCGATTGAAGAAGGGAGTTCATGTAGCAAGTAGCACCCTGGTTCTTGAGACCGACGAATCCCGTCTCCTTTTTCGAATCGTAACTGAGGAGAGTTTGGGTGAGCTCTCGGGAAGAGATCAAAGGAACAAGTTACGATGGCCTCTCACTTGACAAAGTTGTGCCACAGCACGCCGGTAGGGTCCTTGAGCACCCTGACGAACGCCGTCACCTCGACCTCATCCCCGTCAATCGTAGGTCGACCCCTGCCATCGGTGGGAAGGTGCAGCTTTCTCAGATCGGCGAACCGAGTGAACCCCCAATCGCACTCCTCGGCAACGAAACGGTGATGAGCGTCTTATGGAGCGGGAAGCAGGCGTCAAAGTCAGTCCATAAAAAACCCCAGAGATCGTCAACTCGACCGACAAACTTACGGCTGACGGTGTAGATACTAGGGTCGTTGGGATTGGAGACTGCCAAGGCGAATTGGGCGCAAGCGTGCCAACCTTCCGGTGCCGTCTTTGGGTTGGCGTAGTCAAGGTAGACTGAGACCATGTCGTTCGGCTGTCCGTTGGCGTTTCCTTGCGGGAAGAGGAGTATTCTCCTGATCAGAGTCGGAAAGCCGATTCGTGTCGAGTATCAGCATATTATGCTGACGCTGCGGCCGGACGGCATCCCACAGTCCACCCACCATTTGTGTCCACCACAGCTGAACTCGGGTCCCTGCAACCTTTTGCCCTGTTGACTCCAATTCTCAATCTTCCACGTCTGCACTTGGAAATCGTCCACCTCTTGTCCCAGATCCGGCATATGTTTGGCCGCGAACGCCTCCCCATCCCTAACAGTGGGTAGGGTCATCAACATTTCATCCACGTCCATATCTCCTTCCGCATTCCCGCCGCCGTTCGCTCGTTCTTGCTGAGCGACGAGTTGATAATATCGCAGAGCCTCGGGATTTGCTCGGACCCAGTTCCGCTGATCCTCATTCAACTGCGACCAGGGTGGCCAGTTGAGACGGGGAGCCACTTGCGGTACTTGCCCGTTGTTTCCCTCGAGCGGGGTGTTGTCGGATTCAGGCGTCCCCTCAGAATCAACCAGGATATCCTGAACCTCCTCCTCGTTCGGATGAGATGCCTGAGACTGCGACTCCAAAGTGGACAAGATGGCCGGAAGCGAGACGATTGAGGTAGGTGGTCAAGGAAGATGTGAGCAGAATGTCGGGTTGGGTCGCTTCCAGAAAGTGGTTCATAACACTCACCATGTTGAAGAGATCGATTGTCACTGATCAATCGAATTCCGACCTGTACCACTTGTCTATACTTCGTAGATCCTCCTGAACAGGTTGACCTGTCTTGGTGCGAATCCGACTTCTATTGCCGGCGAGCAGGGTATGTGTGTATGTATCCAGCAGTCGATAGATGCGAGGTTGTCCGCGGCGTCCGGAGAGTAGCGACGAGTCCTCCGTTTAAAGTCAACGGTCTGTCAAACGACAAAGTGTTTGCAAAAGTCTATCCTATGTGGTTGTAAAGATATAGCAGTAACTCAAACTGTGTATGCGCCCTTTACACTTTCTCAGAAGAGGTCGATCTTGCATGAGCAATCCCAGAGCCAGGGCATCGTCAGCTCTCGCAACTCTCGATACGCGTCTCCCCCCCGCCCTCACTCCCTCTCTCGCACCCCCCGCCCTACGGCGGCCCTCGTTCAGCTCTTTCTCACGCGTCGACAACTCGTCATCATCAACCCCCGCCCTCACATCTAACATCTACTTGCTATCTTGCTGCTAGGACCTGACGAACCCGGATCCGAACTTGTTCGACAGCTGGCATACGAAGTACCGTATCAACGGCTCAGCTTGCAGCTTGTCATCCCAATTTGTGCCCTCCCACTCATCCATGCGTCGATTGAATCAGCCCAAGTCTCGCTCGTTGGCCCAAGGCTGATCTGCTGAACGGCTCGCGACCGATCAATTTGATGATGTCATGGACAGTGACGCCGGCGACCGCTCGTTGCAGTTCGATGTCTCGCAGCAGTTGGCTTCAGACAATCTCGCCGTTCGGTTTCGATGCTTACAACGTCTCGGGTCTCAGAGGCAGACCTATAGCCTATATGACATGGAAATCATGCCTACGACAGACGGACGATTAGACGACAGATTTACAGGCCGGCCTTGACCGACGACATTCGTCGTCACTCGATCACTTGGCATGATCGGCACGATGCTGGATGTCGACTTATGCTGCGAAGCGGGAAACGGTTCAATTGCTTCACTACAACAACTTGTATTCCCACGAAACAACAAGCATTCGCATCGCTACGAGCTATTCGCGACTCCTGTAAGAGATAGGATACGACCCGAAACGGTCGAAGTTCAGATCCTATCGAATCGTCCTACCAAGCTGTGCGAACCATGGGTCTACTCGACAAGTTCAAGACAAAAGGAGCCGCTCTAGGAGATCAGTTCGGGCAGTTCCCGGGCCTGCAGAAAGACAGCGCACAAGCGACATATACTGCCCAGCCTGGTCAGATCCAGGACCTGTCGTTGGGTCCGGAGAGCGTGATCAGGTTCAGGAAACAACGGGGTGTCAATCTCGGTGAGTCTCACGAGCAGCATACGTGATCGTTGGGAAACCTTGGTTGATCAGGGACTGCCGCATATGATTAGGTGCATGGTTCTCCCAGGAGGCGTGGATCGTCGATGAACCGTTCAAATCGGCTGCTCAACCTCGTTCTAGTGATGTGAGCCATCAGCAATATTGCGAGGCGCCCCATTACACAGCTCTGACCACTGTCATCTCTCGGTTTGCAGCATGACATAGCAAAGGCCGGAGGCAAGGAAGCCCTGGAGAGGCATTGGGACAACTGGATCGTAGAAGACGATTGGAAGTGGATCGTCGAAAAGGGATTCAACACTGTTCGACTGCCGGTAAGTTCTGGCACAATCTCATACTCAGCGTTGGAGAGACAAGATCGCTGATCAAGCTACATCTGACTTGCATGCAGATAGGATACTATCACCTCTCGAACCCAAACGCCTGTCCGGCTTGCTTGAAAAAGACGGATTTTGAACCTTTCGCTCAGATTTACGAAGGTGCCTGGCCTAGGATCGAAAAGGCGATTCAGGATGCGGGAAGATGGGGTCTCGGCATCCTTATCGATCTGCATGGAGTGGCCGGAAATCAGAACGACGATGGTAAATACTTTATGCGAGGCGTGCATGGTGTAGTTAGCTCACCCTTTTTTGACTGCTTCCAGCTCATTCGGGAACATCGTCGGGGAAAACACAGCTCTGGGATTCCAAGAAGAACTTGGAGTCTACTTCGCTGGCACTCCGCTTTCTCGCTCAACATCTGGCTCGTATCCCGCATGTTGTCGGCTTGCAACTGATGAACGAACCCAAGAATAACCAGACGCTCGGAGGGTGGTACGAATCTACCATTCGGGATCTCCGTGCCATCGCAGGACCGTGGTTTCCTTTGTGAGCAGTGTAGTTGGTTGACCTATGATTTCACATACGCTGATACTTCCGGTAACTCTCTGTTACATACATGACGCCTGGGACGCTCAATGGTATTCTCAATTACCCGCCAAGCATCCTGAAGAATTTGTCGTCGTGGACCATCACCTGTATCGGTGCTTCACAGCTGAAGATCGTGGGCTGAGCGGCGATCAACATGCTCAAGTCCTCTCGCAGCAGTTCAGGCACACCTTCGAATCCTGGTCGAAGAACGCCGGCCGATCGTTGATTGTCGGAGAGTTTTCAGCGGCACTCGACCCGCACTCATTCCCTCAAGGGTGTAATGACACGGAAAAAGATCGTCAGCGAAGAGAGTTCCTGCGCGCTCAGCTCAACCTGTACGAAGAGTTCTGCGCCGGTTGGTACTTCTGGACCCTCAAGAAGGGCAACGGTTGGGACGCAGGATGGAGTGCCAAGGATGCTAGTACAGCCGAGATCTTGCCCGGATGGGTCGGTGGAAAGGTCAAGCGACAGAATGCTGGGGATGGCGATAGACAGCCTCGACTTCAACACGCATTTGGTAAGCGAGCCTGAAGCCTAGCCGTCGATGCGAACACCCGTCTGAACTGACAATCCGGTCTATAGACTCCCATGCTGGGTACTGGAGCACTCAGCCTGGACCTAAAGAACATGATAGGTTCTGGGAGGGAATCAACCGAGGCTGGGACGATGCGGTCATGTTCATGGATCACCGATTCGGTCCTCAACGAGCGACTAGCGTCATCGGTTTCGAGGGACCCTGGATCAGGAGACGGACGATTGAGCACCTTCAACGTCGAGGCCAGGGGCCTTGCGTTTGGGAATTTGGTGAGCCGATGTGGGAAAGACTGTCCCCTTGAGATCTCGCTCATGATCCCGACCGTCTTACAGAACATGGCTGGAGACAGGGGGTCGCTGCTGCGGCAGAAGCTTTCTTGATATAGACAAGCCGTGCTGCGTTTGGGCTACTATGCCCCTCGGCGGGAAGTGATCCTTCCAGCACAAGTGTTGTATCTCCTTCGTATACCCTTTCCCACCGATCAGGTGCGCCATGTCATTGTTTGTTATGTTTTTGGATCCGCGTTGCTCCAGGGCGTTTGGATGCGTGTTTACACTTTCGCCTGGGGAAGGAGCCATTCCGATGCGAGTCCGGATCGTACTGTACGTACTGTACAGCATGCGAAGGGTCATCCTTGCAACGATCACCAGCTCATCAGCTCATCAGCAGCTCAGCAGCGAGCAGACTCATACTTCCTTGTGACCATCAGATTCGCAGAACTTGGACTCGGGTAGTTTGTGCATCGACTTGACGACGAATCGAAGGACACCTCAAAATCGAAGGAACGCTCCTGAACGACATACATCTTGGACCCCCTTTGAAATAGTTCCAGTCTCGCAATAACGTAGATCCTCCTTGCCCCAACCGCCCTCAGTTCTAACTTTGATCCTCTCACCGATCAAGGGACAACAAGTGAAACCACAGAGACATATACCCCTAAATCTTGTGTAATGGACAACTATTCTAAGCTCGAAAAGGTCGGAGAGGGTCGGTATCAGCTTGTTACTTCCAGCGCGTATAGCATCGCTTCTAACTCGATCAGCTTCTTTGCATTCATTCGTATCGCCGCAGGTACTTATGGTGTCGTTTACAAAGCTCGGGACATCAGAACCGGTCAAATCGTCGCGCTGAAGAAGATCCGTCTCGAGGCCGAAGATGAAGGAGTCCCTAGCACGGCTATCAGGGAGATCAGCTTGTTGAAGGAGTTGAGTAAAGACGACAATATCGTCAAGTGAGTGACAGGCGGAGGATCAATACATGGTTACCTGGCCAGATGTCGATGACCTTACCCATCTCCCATCTCACCATCAGGCTCTTCGATATCCTCCATCAAGATCAAAAGCTCTACTTGGTTTTTGAGTTTGTAGACATGGATCTCAAGAAATACATGGACACCGTTGGGAATGCGGCGGATGGCTTGAGCGATTTGATGGTCAAGGTGAGCTGTCCTGGTAGTGCCAAATTTGATCGGGATAGCATATCTTTAACCGATTTGCTGTCGCCGCTCGTAGAAATTCACCTACCAACTCATCAAGGGTCTCTACTACTGTCACGCCCACCGAGTCCTGCACCGAGACTTGAAGCCCCAGAATCTATTGATCGATAAAGAGGGAAACCTCAAGTTGGCCGGTCAGTGATCGAGTCTGAGCTAGGGGTTAGGTTATATGCTGATCGATTGCGGACCACCCTCCTAGATTTCGGTCTTGCACGAGCCTTCGGTATCCCCCTGCGGACCTACACTCACGAGGTACGTCGGCCCGTTAGGCCGGAATCTCATATACATCTGACCACAAGCCTCTTCTCTAGGTCGTGACCTTGTGGTATCGAGCGCCCGAGGTCTTGCTCGGCTCTCGTCATTACAGCACCGCCATCGACATGTGGTCGGTAGGCTGCATCTTTGCTGAGATGGCAATGCGACAGCCTTTGTTCCCCGGAGATTCGGAAATCGACGAAATCTTCAGGATCTTCCGGTCAGTTCTGTTGCGGTGAAAAATGCCTCTTCGATGCTGATTCCTTTTTACGCCGGATCAATCAGAGTTCTGGGTACCCCTAATGATGAAATCTGGCCTGGTGTGTCGACTCTACCGGACTACAAGCCTTCTTTCCCGAAATGGAACGCTGTGGACTTGGAGCGAGCCGTGCCAACTCTGGACGCTCAAGGAATCGATCTCTTGGCTGTAAGCACGGCAGCGTACTGCTTACACGAACCGACAACTAAGACAGTGCTCTCTTTCTTAGCGAACCTTGGTGTACGATCCCGCTCATCGTATTTCGGGTGAGACTAGCCTTGCTTCATGATGCGTAGCGCCCTATATGCTAACCTCGTACGCACCTTTACAGCCAAACGAGCTCTCCAACACGATTACTTCAAGCATTACCGAACGGAGACATAGACCGGTACATAAATTCCGCACCACCTACTCGCCGCCCGCGGTACTTGTTCGACTGGTCTCGAACGAATATGGAAACGCTCTGGTTCCCATCCACCCCTTCGCCCAATGTCTCGACTCGAGCATCTAAGACTGTTATCACGATTGTTCCAACCGCATCGAGCATACCTGTATCATATAGTATCACGTGACGACGTATTCATGATTTGCATCCGAGATATGTTCGAAGCATCCGGATCGGCTCGGAGACGTTCTACCTCCTCGCCATTAGCTGTCGATGTATATTTGACGAAGTAGCGATGTCTGCAGGAAACCCGCTGATCTTTACCGTTCTCACCTATCTCAACATATGATTAAGTTCTGTCGTGCTCCGCAACATGAATAGAAGGTTTCGCGGCTCGAATAGCAAACCGCTCGCGCTGAGCTGCCTGGTGGGCCTGCTAATCTGCCTGGCAATACTCGTTCGGCAAAGGGCCCAGTCACGACAGCAACGCTTAGATGGTGACATCGGCGAGGGCAGACCAGGAAATACTGGGAGATCGTCTCAGTATTTTGCTGCCATCCCAGGAGGCGATTATCCTCGTCATGCGATCCGACCGAATACGCACGGACTACTGGTCGTACCCAAGGATATCAACGGCCCGCACCCGATCGAAGGTCTGCTCGCCGAAGCCGAAGCGAAAGCGAAAGCGATAGAGAAGAAGAATAAGGATATCCTGTACCTCAGGGATGCCGTTCGAGATTACGAGCAAACTTATGGCATGAAGCCACCCAGGGGATTCGAGAAGTGGTGAGAAGATTGTTCAATCGTGACACGCCACCGTTGTAGCTAATCTCACGGAATCGATACAGGTATCATTTCGCTCGGGACCATCGATCATACGTAGCACCATCGCTATATCCCATTGCTCATCAGTCGGTGCTGCCATATCTTTCGTATCCCGCTTCTTTGCTACGCTCTAGGCTGTCAGCCATCGAAAATGTCGGTTCCACATTTACTTTCGAGTTCGATTTCGAGGGGGGAGGAGAAGCCAAGTCCTTGAAGCGTGGGGGAGCGCTTGCCGAGTTTTATCGAACCGAGTCGGTATCCGCTTCTGAAAATAAAACAGCTACCGAAAAGCATACTGACTGTTTCGGTGTTCCCTTAGCGATAATGAGCTCTTGCTGAAACCGCTTCTGCCATACATCCCGGAACCACTGCCGGGACAGCCAAATCTCAAACTGTATTTTGCCGGAGATGATGGCCCGAGTGGTCAATCTCATCACGAGGTTGTCGAAAAGAGTATTCGTCTAGCTCATAGCGGTCGTAGTGAGTCGACTTCATCGCGACATCGTTTCTGGACAAGGCGGTTGACCAGCGCTCCTCACAGCTTGGAGTAGCGCGGATCTGTCTAGAAGGGAAGCCTCGATGCAACACACTTTTGGATGGTAAGCACCTGGAAGCTCGATATATCAGTTGTAGCGTCGTATTGAAAAGGAGATATCGACAGGTCTCTCACTTGTCCTGCAGGGTCACCGTTGCGCAGGAATCGCTTGGACGTCATCCTGAACGATGCCGCAGAAGCATCCCCTTCGGCTCAGAATAAGAGCTTCATCAACGATATTATGGCAAGCTATGATTACTGTTACAACCCAAAGTTATGGGAAATCGTAAGTACAGCAAATAGCGACAACCCCTAAACAAATACCAAGATAGTCTCTTGTCGCAGCACGGTACCCTGATCGAAGATCGCTCAAGAGGTGCCAAGGAGATGGTTCCTCGAATCGCGACTTGCAAGGTATGGGTCGGATTTTCAGTTCCGACAGGATACCTAATAACAAACTCGAAACTATCTTCGCAACAGCTCATGCACAATACCGATGTGTTGGGAGTACCACTGGATGCCGTCAACCGTGGGTGCTCGAATTTTCCTGTAACGGTCGCTCAACCTCGTATGCTTATGGAACCGACTTTTATTATGTAGAAACTATTGAGAAGACGGCTTGGGAAGACAAGACTGTTCCCAAAGCCTTCTGGAGAGGTTCGCTTACCGGGGCCTTTCACAACGACCGAACGAATTGGAGGAAATCACAGCGGGAGCGTCTATGCTATAAGGTCAAGGAGCAGGATACTCAGCAGGATGTTATGGTCGACATGGGCGAAGGCAAAGTTGAGACTAGACCATATGATATCGAGCTTCTGAATGACAAGTATCTCGACGTAGCCCCGGTCGGAGGAGCTGTTCAGGTAAGTCGCTAATCGCGCAAACCAACGCATTACCAGGGGTCTCGAATTGACCAACCTTCTCTCCTTTTTAGTGGTCAGTAGCAACGCAATACACACCCAGATTCGGTATCCTCTGCTGACGGTCCTTCCCAACAGCGATCCCGGCGAATGCGAGATCGTGGAGCAGGAATTCGACTATGGCGGGCGGATCGCGCCGAAGGATACCCTCAAGTGAGCAGATTGATTATGTTCTGTCGATGGGCCCGAAACGACCTCCATTGAATGACGATGGCATTCAGGTTCAAGTACAACATAGACGTTGATGGAAATGGATGGTCATCTGTACGCTGCTGATTCTGCCGCCGAGACTGCCTACCACTGATTCTGAAGTCCCGGTCTTGCAGCGTTTCACAAGGCTACTGAAGGGAAACAGGTAAGGGATTGTCAAGGCTTCATGCCTGGTCTCGCTGACAAAGATGAATTGGCAGTGTCGTCCTGAAGAGCACCGCTTTCGTAAGTCTCTCGCTGCACTCTACCACGATAGCGTGCTAATTCCACTATCAATATCAGCCGGAATGGTTTAGCGTAAGCGGCGCGCTCGTTAGTGGTCAAACTAGCTGGCTGCAGTGCTGACTTGAGCGACGTTCTTCACCCGTTGGAACAGCATGTCCTCGTACCCTGGTCAGTCAGACATCAGATCCAGCATGAGTCCCGCCCAATCAGGCATTGACGATCTTGCTTGCAGGTACCATTACGTGCCCGTGCAGGTCGACTACTCCGATATATAGTGAGTTGGGCAAAGGCCGATCACGTACGATATACTCTGGCTCACAGGAAATGTTTTCAAATCTAGCGATATCATGGCATACTTTACAGGGCCTCCCGACGGGAGTGGCGTAGCTCATGACAATGAAGCGAAGAACATTGCGCAACACGCCTACGACTTCACACAGAAGCGAATGCGGTGGGTGGATATGCAAAGTTACACGCTCCTGTTGGCTCTCGAGGTAAGTATCGACGTGTCAGCCGAATTTTCGATTTGCTTGTAGAACTGATGGCGAAACGGATCTCGATTCGCTGATACCAGTGGAACCGGATGCTAAGCGACGACCGCGAGGCTGCGACTTATGTCAAAGCGGAAGGACCTCTATGAGAATGTCTCGCTTCCGATTCATGATCTATCAGGATGACATGTGCCATGAATGCATACAACGAAGCCGGAACGCACCAACCGAAACCGAATTACAGGCAGTACCGACGGACGGGCCGGTTGACACGGTTTCCTTCCACCTGTCCCGGTCGATGGTGATCAAGGTGATCGACGACGGCTTGCTTGGCGAACGCGTTTGGTCGTCGTTGCCGTCGTTGTGTGTCGTCGTCTCGATCCGCCTGAAACGCGAACGATGCCGGAGAAACTAGACGAAAGGAGGGGGTTTCGCTCGATGGCAAAGTCATGTTGAGCGATCTCTCCCGATCGGCAAATGGCTCGCAGTGGTGATCTATCGCCCCCATTGTCTCCACTCGTCGCCATCTAGGACCTACAATCTGCTCCGTATAGAAAGAACCGGTCGTACCGTCTTTTTTCGAGAGTCGCTCGTCGTCGTTGCCAAGGACAAAACGCACAAAGAACGCTGCTCTCTACGTCTTTCGCGTCTCGTCCTCCGTCCCGGCTGGATCCGAAGGGGCAACCAGAAGAAAGGTAGACAGACCTCTTGCTGCATCCTCTCGATCTCTCGTCGGTGATCTCTCATCAACGACATACTCTTTTGACAGTAGCATATAGCTCTCTTCTCACCTTTGACAGGCCCCAGAGCTACGACAATAGACATTTACGAAATCTCCCACGCTCTTTGGTTCGAAAACACATTCGTTTGCCTGTTCCTCGACTTTTACGATCAATACGACCCGTGATCCGTGATCACAAGCGAATCTACCACTTCACCTCGACTCCAGTGACTACCGATCAGATTCATCATACAGCAAAACCAGCTCCATCGAACCAGGAGGAAAACTATCGTCAGACTAGCTAGCACTCGCGCCACTTCCTGGCTTCCCCCTTCCAAACAACCACTCCGGACACCAGTCCCGTCCCTTTCCATTGACTCATGCGTCCGACAACATGTCGAAAGACCCTGGAAGTCCTCTTCTTTGCCCTGTTCCTCGCTGGAGTCGAAGGGATACCTGTTGGAAATAGCCGATTGGATGTTCGGCAGCAAGAGCCAGGGACGAGCGGGATGGTTAGGACCGTCACAAAGATCAACAAGTGAGGCAGGGACTGTGCTAGTCGCGGACATGGGCAGCACTCTGACCTGCCTTTTCAATTGTTCATTCACAGCGAAGCGGGACAAACCTTGACGGAGACGTGTTATTTCTGGCCAGCAACGCCGACAGATCAGACATGCAGTACGACCGTGACGAGGACGACAGAGGAGGACAAGAACAATGATGGACAGACAAATACTATTTGGCCAGATCAGGTAAGCAGAATAGTCCTATCCGGCTTTGTCTCTGTTGTGCGAGACGGGCCTCCCGAATGAGGCTGACGTCTACTGGATTTGCTAGATATCTGCCGATGAGCCTGCGACGCAGAACTTTCAGCAAGCGAACCCGACATCCGCAGTACTACCAAGCGTTCTCTTCCCTACTGAACAAAGCAGTGAAAGCTCAACATCAGGACCGACTATAGCTGCAATATTGACCGTGTCAACCGAGTGCGTCTCAAGATACCTCTGCACCCTTATCTGAAATCTGCAGAAGTAAGAACATGGCTAACTGTGTTATTTCTGTTATAGACCCGTCAGAACACGAAGAGCGAGCGATCTTCTGGTGGCCGAGACGCGAATATCAACGGCAGCTACGGCCGACCGCTCAGCAGCAGCAGCTGATGATCAGAACGACCAGATTGTCGTTAAGGCTGAAGAGGTACGTCAATGGGCATTGTTGACTTATATCTCGACTGGGTCCGCTGACGATGACTTCACGCGTTCGCATCTACATAGAGTGCCGCTTTCCCGGGACAACACCTGGCCGTGCTTCCTATAGGCTTGGCGATATACTGCTCTCTTATGGGTATCGGCCTGCTGGTGGTATTCTACATGACCCTGGTGCGGATGAAATACCGCAGGGAATACCGCCAACGAATGAAAGGTGTCGGAATGGGCCTGGGTGTAGCGATGGGGGTTGGCATGGGTCTGGACGGTCGCTTTGCTGCTGCCGAGGTCCGAACCGCGTAGATGCCCTGGAGAATGGACAATTTCGCTTTCTCATCGTTTACGTTGTAATAGGTTGTTCCTCCAAGAGGTTGGGGGAGACACTTGTGTGTCATTGCATATTTCTTTGCACTGAGCATCCTGACTCTAAGTCGGGTCTCCATGACGCGGAGAACTATTTCGTCGAGCGGCGGACAAGGGCGGCTTGCGATGTCTTGCTTCTTCTACCTGGGGTTCCTCGTCGACAAATTCGTCGGGGAATGCGGGACAGTCGAATTCATCCATCTTGCAACAGCACGCGCAGACTGGCGGCCTGGTAGCCCCGGTCGATTGAGGGGACTGCGGTGCATCTACAGTAGTGAAATGAATACTTAGACTCGCAGTGCAACTCATGCCCGATGTACTCACATTCGGGCAGCTTGACCCGCTCCACGATACATATGCACTGTAAACTCATCTCGGGTTGAGTTTACCCTCTCCGTATCAACCGACAGATGGCTTACCGAAGGCAGGCGCACCGGCGCTGGCATAACCAGCATGCGCAGATCTCCACTCTGATCGTCGCCAGTAATCTTCTCGTTCTGTAAGGTCAAACCCCGGATGGAGTAGAACACCTTTAAAGTCACAGCATGCCTGATCCTGATTGGTGATATCGTTCTGATGTTTCGAGATGGGAACGAAACGTCAGTTCCGGGTCTGCCGGTTGACGAGGTGCATTGCTCTCACCCTTCCGAAGTACTTGGCCGCACAACCTTTTCATCTGGTATTCTCAGCTTGCCAGTCTCCCAACGGAAGACCGAGTCTTCCAGGGATCTCTCGGCGTTGAAATCGCTACCGAGAAGCTCCGGGCCTCTCCATAACGCAGGAGCGTCGCTTTTAGGCCGAGGCGACTTAGGTAGCTGGCCTATTGACGCCAGGACAGTCTCTTCAGGCTTGTGTTCCGTCCCGCCTCCAGTGAGATTATCGGCGATAAACTCGTCGATCGGTACCGTATGCAAACTCTGGACTAGGCTGAGCCTCAGTGCAAATATAGTACAATTGCTCGGGATTTGGCTAACATCGAAGCGAGCCAAGAGGTAGCTGCCGACCGAGAACTACAAAAAAAGCGTTAGTTGCGATGTATCATCGTTCTCAGACTCGACAAACCCACAGAGTCGCTCCAGAGGTAAAAGTCCCATTTCCCAGCACCTCCGAAAGTGTTCGACTTTCTCAGCCTCAATTTGTATGTCCCAAACGTGGGGTCCAAGTGTGCGGCGATGACGATGCTCTTGGTCAGGGTCTGTGTGATACGATCCACATTCGAATCCGCCTTTGTATCGCTGCTGTGGTATTTGGTCTCACGCTTCGTATCCACTATATAGCTTGGGTCTTGATCAGCATATGCTGATATTGCACGAGCATGACCCACTAAAACATGAACGAAACTCACACATAGGCATATAGACGTATCCTCCGGAAAAGCTTTGGGTTTCCAGGTCAGGCGCATCTGCTTGCGAACGATCCAGATGTTCAATAGAAGAGCTTCTCCGGATATGCTTGAGGAAACCTTGTGAGCTGGAGTTGAATCCTAGCTCAGTGACAGCGATGACCTGGTGTGTCATGCTCGTAGCCCGCGTCTGCTCGAATGTCGGCATGCTCGATGGGATGGTAATCGCGAAATACAGCTTGTGATATAAGAGCGTTCCATCCTCGCTCACAGAGGTATTGACCTCTTCTGGATGGAAAGCCCGATGCAAATTGAAGATGATGCCTTGTTTCCAGACCCTTGGCTCGTGCAGGTAACGGTAGAGAACCTCCAGCCTGATCTCGATGCTCCGGATATTGAGGTATGGCTCGGCAGATACTACCAGCTCCCCTGTCAACACGGATCCCGTAGGAACATCCATTTCAAGCTCTACATCCCGCTCTGTAGACTCTGGGGGATTGACCACCACGAAATCTGTCTGCAGGTGTATATCGCTCTTTATCCGAGGTTGCGGACGATCCGCCGTCTTCCAGATCCAGTTCATCAAAAGTGCTACTACGCCAGATCCGCTCGAGGCAAACTTCGATACTCTAACTCGGTTTGTCCTTGATGCGTGCTGCTCGATGTCTACGACATGACTGAGATGACACCGATCATTCGTCAGCAAAGATATCTTGCAACGACCAGAATGCAAAGTTCCAAATTCGGATAATCTCTACCCAAGCTTCGGCTCGGGAATCATGTTCGAATAAGGTTCCGCTCACGGAAGCGCAATTCAAGAAGCTGGACAGCTAGCAATGCGGTTGATGTATGATCTACTTGTCCGCTTCGTTGTAATGTTCGAGACCAGGCGGTGGTCTTATGTTCCTTCCGCAATAAGTGGGCCGAATGATCTGCTGGAAGACGCGCAGTCAAAGGACAACCGAGAGGAATGTACATGGCCCCTCAAGGCTATGCAGGCAATCGCCTTCTCGGCCCCAGAAGCTCGTATGTTTATCAGACAGGTCACCCAAAGGTCCGGCTGAATGTGATGACTGTCAGGCCGATAGGAAATTCAGACCTTCTGTAGCACTGTGAATGGTGCGGAGACTTGTATGGAAGGACTGGAGTATCTGGAGGAGTCTTCGAGCCTGCTTCAGAGAAGACCGACAGCAGACTCCCCAAGAACGCGGAGAACCAAGGCTTCTTGCATCGCACCTCAAACGACAACATTGCTATACTTACATGGACGTCATTTGGGTACGAGTACGAATCGATATCGAGCTTTCCCTTCGTGCATCGCTGTAACGGCTTCCCCAGCCTTGTCCATCGGGTAGGTCGTAACCCAGGGTTTCACCCCGTGTTTGACTGCGACCTCGAACATCTCTTCGATTTCGGCTGGCGAACCGATCCTAAGCAAGGGTCCAAACACGGAGACATGAGTCAACTTGCGTGTGGATTTTTTCCCTGGTCGACGTCAAGGGGCACTCACAAAGACCCGGTCAGACTCTTCCCCAGGATGGACTGAGGTTTCATCGGCGGAAGATCCTCCTCAGGTAATCCATTCAAGATGAAATTTCCCCTCGGCTTGAGCAGCGGCAGGTAGAACGAAGACAATGGCATATTCGGTTGGAAAGACGTGCAAATGATGATGTCGAAAAAGCCGGCATATTCCGCCAGCACAGCCTTCTGGTCTTTGGTCACGATGACCTTCTTTGCCCCCAAGGCCAAGGCGTCTTTTTCCTTAGATGCCGAGTGAGTCAAGGCGTATGTCTCGGCACCTAGAGCCTTCGAGAACTGAGATTGCGATGTATATTGTTCAATCAGTATCAACGAATCAGACAGACGACTACTAGACACCCTCACTTGTAGACCGAGATGACCAAGTCCGCCTATTCCGACCACCCCGACTTTCTTGCCTGGACCGGCCCCATAAGCTTTTAGCGGCGCATATACACTGCGAAGAATATGATCGTGTTGATTGAGACACTATATTCGTTCAGGACAACCATTAGTTGACTCACGTTACCCCTCCGCACAGTAACGAGCAATGTGTGACAGGGTCAAGACCCTTAGGGAACTTGATAGCAAACCGTCCCGGTCCACGGTAATAGTCAGCTTTATGAAGCGAAACGTCAGTGCCATCACACTAGAAACCGTAACCGCACAGCTTGTTTCGAGAAGGCTTACCATATCCTCCCTGCGTATAAGCACCCTTCCCAAGCGAACCTTGATACGTCGCCGTCCATTTTTTTCGGCAATAGTTTTCCAGCTGGTTCTTGCAAGTCTCGCATGACCCGCACGAATCGCACTGAGCACCGAAAGCTACCATGTCACCGAGTTGATGGCCAGAAACTGAGCCAGCTCTCACGACTTCGCCTACAATCTAGAATGATGTGGCTTATATTTCGGAATAGTCCAAGGTGTCGTGGGGAGAAGAACTCACCTCGTGACCGACGATAGCTGGATATTTCGACTGACTCCAGCCTGATCGCAAGATATGCACATCGCTGTGGAATGATGAACCGAATGATCAGCTTGCGTATGGGCCAGAAGACTATACTGGAACCAAGGACCGACCTCCCACAGATTCCTGAAGCGAGAATCCTTACATCCACATCCTTTTCCGTAAACGGCCGAGGTGTATAAGTATGAGCTTTCAAGTTGAACACATCGTGCTGTTGCTCGAATGCCTGAAAGGAGAGCTCGTCGTCAGCTCATTATGCAGAGAGCAAAGCTGCATCGAGCTTACGGCGTAGCCGGTAAACTGCTCAGGCGAAGTCATTGTAGCGCCTCAAGTCTATTGATGGTAGTGTTTCCCACCTGTTGCCTGTCATGCATTCGGTATCGTTTACATGCTCGCTTCATAATATCGTGATTACATGTATCGACGATACTACGACGATTCTGTTCCGGGTATCGTCCGGCAATTGACGGAAGCAATCGCCCGTAAAAGGCTCCGACTATGTCAGGTCACGTGATGTTGGGGTTACAACTGAGTGTGCGGGTATGCTGCCCTGCTTTTGCAGGATGATCATTTTCTCTCGTGCACCAGAACAACCTTGGTGGCATCCCCGGCCCATCCTCGATTGCCCGTCGCTGTGACCATGTATTGGCCCGTCGGGTCGATGTCTGAGCGGAAGTCTATATCGTCAGAGGCATGGTAAAAATCTTGACGGGTCAAACTATACTGACGGATTTTGGAGACGGTACCGCCATGATGACCAGCGACGATGCGGAAAGGGACTCCCGATTTGCTCTTCTTCATGTTACTTTCTGGATTCCAGAGATCGGCCGTATTCCATAACCGAACACAGTCGACCGATGCACTGCGGTAAGGAACAAGAACATGAGCTGTGTTCCTCCATCGAGGCACCAGACACGTGCTCACCAGGCAATGTGTTTGCCATCAGGGAATGCTGCTACAGCGCTGACCCACTGTGACGTGGCCGGATGGCGTAAGGTTCTTAACAGATTCGGTGTCTCGGTCGTTCCGCTAGTTCCGCCTTTCCGGACGTCCCAGACGTCTAACGAGGCATTCCGACGCCCCGCGATGACCTGAGTCCCATCTGCCGAGAAGCATGCCTGCAGAACGAGATAGTCAGATTGCGATTGCATTGTGGTGAAGAGCGGAGATGAAGCGACTTGCCGACATGCACCAAGGTCCGCTTTTCAGACTCCCTTCGAGCTTCCCTACCAAGGTGCTCTCTATCCGTTTATCATGCAGGGCAACCTCGCCATCCATTGAAGCCACCAGCATGACGGCGTCAGAAAACTGACGGTATGTTTCCGGTGCCAAGGGGGGTAATCCCACTCTCGGCTGCCCCTTCAGACCGGCTGAAAGGATCCCGGGTCGTGAGGGCGGCGCGGGGACGGCCTTCACTTGCGATGGCAACAACTTGCTCGGCTGGGCTGACGGGACAACGGGAGCTGGTTCAGCAGGTTTTGGCTTTTCCTGCTTTTTGGCACCACCTTCCTCCTCCTCTTCATCGCCGAACAGGGATCCGTACGAGTCTGGCGATCCCTCAGCGTCCTCCATATCTCCCGTCTTATTTGCCCCATCCGTTTGCGTATCACTATTGGTGATGGGTCCGTTGGACCCTCCGTTTGCAGTGAACGCCACATTGTCGCCTTTGCTTGCTGTCGTAGGCAAACCGAGGGGCCTGAATTGTATCGCTGAAATCGGACCCTTGTGCTTGCTGAAGGTGCGTATCACTTGACCCGTATTCAGGTCCCATTCCTATTGTACGAAATATAAGGATAACAGCAAGATCAGCGCCGAATTAAGTACTCGTCTGCATGTGTGCCTAACCTTGACTTGATTATCCCATCCTCCGCTGATCAGATGCTGTTCATCGTTTTCAAGCAGTAACACGGAGACCGGTTTAGTATGTCTCTCAGGTGCGTCAAAGACGTAGACGATTCTTCCAGGATCGTGTCGTATTGTAGTCAGATTGATCATGCCGGTCTTTGCGATCGAATAGGTAAAAGCTTAGCACGCGAGACAACGCAGTTGGAGACTGTGGTGACATACCTCTGTACCTGACAGTGCCCAGAGACCATCACCCTGAACGGCGAGACTATGCACGGGCTGCATCTTTCTCGTCTTGATAATTTCTTTCGCTGGTTTTGCGGGCTGCGAGGCCGTTTGTAGCCACGGCAAAGCGGGTCCATCGTCCTGCGGGGGTTCTTCTTCCTCCTCCCCAACAACCTCCTCGATCTCGACTTCGTTCTTGTAATACCCCTTGACGACCCCTCCCTTGTTGACGCCTTCTCCAAGCGTCGCCATCGCTCGTTGCTGAGTGGATAGCATGTTCTTCCCGTTTGCGCTTGCCCAAAAGTCATAGGTCCGGACATAACCGTCTTCAGAGCCTGTCAAGAGATAGGACATACACGGCGTAGCAGCAAGGCTGTGAACGTGACCTGGTTGAGGTATGACAATGAATGGATCCAGAAGGAGGTATTGGTCCATCATCTCTTTTGAAGGCACGAACAGTTTACGTCGTAGTATGTTTGCAGGCATATCGGAAGAGGTAAAAGAAAGAGATGCCGTCCGTATATGAGCCGAGTCCAGCTTGCTTGTCATATCAAATTGTCCTCCGTTCCGTATTGGCTCCCGCTCATCTTCTGCGCGCTGCTCATTGTCTTGATCCATATCAACATCATTGTCCTCTGGTTCAGGTTGGCTCTGATTTCTAATCCACGGAAGAGCTCGTTCAGCTTGAATCGAGAGGCCGCGAGCTGTTCGCACACTCACGGAGCCGGTTCGTCCATGACAGCATCATCACCATCGTCATTTGCCTAAGGACATAACGTTAGTCTAGACTGTCAACGACGCTTCTCGGGAGGTACACTGACCTGATCGTCCTTCCCACTGTCGTCACCCGAGCCCCATAGATCATCATCCTCTTCGTCGGCCATCCTGGGCCTTGTCTAAGGGATTCAACGGTCTTCACAATCCGCTATCTCTGACGATTCGAGACGTTCCGTGGTAAAGATGCTTCGAAGCGTGATTGGATATGGGACAAGTCAGAAAAGCCAGTGCAACCTTGCAATCCATGATATAGGATGACCGAACATGGTCAAGCATATCCATCAGGACCCTCCTTGACCGATTCCAAGGCGGCGACGCGCACGGAAATCGAGCCAGAGTGACTTCGGTCATTGTGGTGGGATCAGGTCAAGGGGTATGTTGGTGATACGGCTCTACAAAGATACAACTTGCTCGCAAACACTTTCACATAGGGATCTCAGACTAGATGCTTGCTCCACTCTCGGCATCGCTATCGTCCCAGTCGACCTGTTCCAGGGCCGCCTCTCCCTCTTCATACAACTTGTCGAGACCAGTCAACTGTTCCAAAAACTTGTCTTCGTTGAAAGCTCGAAGCAACATGGCGAAACCGTCCTGCTTGTACGCATCCACAACCTGTATAAGACCAAGCGGAAGAACTTGAGTCGAACTACCCTAATTCAACCAGAGGGAAAGTAAGGACTAACCGTAGCGCTGCAACCGGTGCATCGGTCGTAAGCTGGTCCCTCAATCAACATGGTTCGGAACTGAGCCAGGAATCCTCGCAACTGGTGAGGTACCAGACCGAGAGGCGATCCATCTGCTCCAGAGGATTCTGCAGTTGTAGCAGAACCGGCCGCGAGATCCGCCGGTGCGTGGATACTGCGATCACGGCACACGTCAGGATCGGTTCTCGATGGCGGACACAAATCGATTCGCTCGACATACCCTTGAGAATGTTGTATCAGAGAGACCATGAGCTCGACTGCGGTTGCAGATGCAATCGGAGCAACTCCAGGTCGGCTGACCGTGCACATCTGGTCTAGCGTTCGATCCGTCAAAGACTGAATTGAATCCAGGTAAGCGCAAAGTCTCGATGCATCACACAGCTTGCTACGGGCTCACATCCATGGGGGCCACGATGTCGTTGCAGTAGTAACATCCCAATCGCTTTTGTTCCGGCTTGCTTGTCCCAGGCGATGGTCCATGCCTCATGACGAGATACGAGTCAAAACCCAAAGCCGCGTTGATGACGATCTTCCCCTTGACGTTTCCCAGGACCGTCGGCAACCACCGGCTCTCCCGCGAGTCCATCAACAGGTAGACGACATCGTGCTCATCCATCAGATTTTCGAGAGTCTCCACGGATCGTCTTACAGATGCCTCAGATGCGGGAGCGACTGGATGACCTGGCATCGGAATCATTAGATCGACGCCACGCGAATTCTGCGACCAGGTATTCAGCAACGAGACTAAAGCTGCAGCGGGTGACTTATCGAACTCACTACACCTGGGAAAATCCGTTTCAGGCTATCGGCCGCGCATTGCGCTTTGGGTTTCCCTCCTCCTAGGCAATCTTCGAATTCGAAAAGAGGTTGACGGACAGGATTCGAAAAGGATACTTTAGCCGAGTCGACAAAGGTGATGTGTCGGACTCCCCAACCCTGTGATACCAAGTACTAGTTTAGTACGACAACAAAGGGGAAAGCGCATTCGCGTCGACTGACCATCAAGGTACGGGCCACGTAGCATCCCAGAGTCCCTGCTCCGAGAAGAAGGCACTTGGTCGCCGCGATTTCGTCCAGTGCAAGGTCGGGCATAACTCTCCATTTCATCAACTTCAGGTTCAGGTCTACGGCCTGATCTGCTAGACTGTTCACATGCCGTTTAGGTGGATCAGTATGAGCCAACCTGACATATAGGAGTTTCGACCTACCGGGTGGGATCCATCGTAGATCCCAGATCGACCGTTCGGCTGGCCAGCGCTCCTTTGACATTCTTCTCCCAGCCTACCGCTGATGGACGGGCGCTTGTCGAGCTGCTTGCAGGCGGGGACGAGAGGTAGACCTTGTCGAGGACGGTCGAACCGCCCGAGCCGCCTCGTAGACAGATGACCCGTAGCCTCTGAACACTTTGGTAATGAGCGAGGTAGTAGAGGATGTTTCGGAGAGGCCAGCCCGGCAAGGAGGGCATCGATGTTGGATCGTGAATTACCAGCGTTCTCTAGAGAACGTAGGCGAGATCAGGTTATCGGGTTGCTAACATCAAGGAACAAATAGAAAGACGTACGTCTTCCTCTAGCACATCCTGGAAGAACGTCTTCCACTCCTTGACCGGACCCACAACGCTGTTACCGTTGACCACTTTGTGAAGGAAAGCCTCCCCCTCGATCTGGACCTCCCGCTTGAGTCGTCTAAGTTCCGCCGCCTGAAACACTCGATCAGTTAAACATCCCACTTTATCCTCTCGAATTTTGGTTACTCACGTCCCCGTTCCAAGGTTGCATTCCCCGATCATCGACTTCCCATCCGGGCTTCTCCACCAGAGCCGGGAATGCGAACCAGTAGTTGTACACGTATTTCTTGAGGTCCGCATAGGTAACCAAGAGAAACGGGTTGAACGTCGCTGGTCCGTTCTCGAATGAGGCCAGGAGCTAACAAAAGATTGAAAAAAGGCATCTTTTCAGTGCTCAGTATCATCAAATATCGGAATTGCGAAGCTCACCCGGTCGACAGTCTCGTCAAACAACTGTTTCTTGTGATCGACCTTGCGAAAGTCCTCGATGGTATTGAAATTCCGGAATGTTCCCTTCATCGCCACATCGTTCGATGCCGAGCCGCTGCACCACGATTAATCGCAAACCCCATCAATACTTGGCTGGCGATCGGCTCGAGTACCTCTCGGAGCATACGACTCACCTCCCACTTCCCAAGCTCCTCTCATCAACCCCCAAACTTCCAGCCACCCAAACCCCCTCTTCCTGTCCTTCTTGCTCGTCCTCTTTCTTCTTGCTGGTCCCAGCCCCTCTGTCCTTCACCAACATCCCTTCATCCAGGAACCCTAGGATATCTCGTTCGGTATCATCCAGCTTCAAGGTGTCCAGCTTGAGCGAGGTCAATGAGGACCAGAAGGAGGCTGATGGGCGGGATTGGAGAGGGGTAAATTGCAGAAGCGGCATGACTCCGAGCTGATAATGAAGAGGATATCTTGATTCTATTATCGTGTATCTTTACTAGTGGAATGTAGACCGGTTGTATGCAACGAGCTGGAAGTCCGATTGATCAAGCACAAGGGTCGGTATATCGGTATGGATTCCTTTGTGATCGCTGATGTCCGATAGCTTGTTGACGAAGTTGAGCACGCGCGATATGACGACAGCGTCCGCCACCAGCACCCCGTGTACCAAAGACTCTCGACCTCGCAACCTCTTGACAAGCCGATCGTCAGTCGAAACACACACCAACTTGAAAACAGGCCCCAAGGTAACGATAATATAATGTAAGAAATAAACGTTCCATAGGAGGTCTCAACGAAGAAAGGAAGGAAACAATGTAGGAAACGAGCCAACAGAAGAGAAATGAGGAAACATTCAAGGCACAAGGCTGACCATCCCGACCCATGGAGGGCCGGTCTTGCCTGACCTCGTCGGAGAATCTAGCTCATCCCCGCATTGCTCGATTCGGCCCGAAGACCTCGTCGCGTCATGCGAACATGAGATCCAGACTCTCCTTGGCTTAGCCGTACATCTAGAACAAGGCGACGACGGCACCGATGGCACCGACAAGCATGGCACCGGCTCCTCCGATAGACTGGGCAGAAGCAGCGTTGGCAGGGCTGGAGGTCGAACCGGCAGCACTGTCATGAAGAAAGCAGTCGGGTTTCAGCAACTTTGCTTGGCGAGTGGAACGACCGTTAAACAGGACTCACGTGTTGGTCTGGGTGCCGGAGGGAGAAACGGTGCTGGAAGCGGGCCTGGAAGTGGCACCGGCACCGGTGACGCTGCTGACGACGGAAGAGGCCGAAGATCGGACCGACGAGGCGCTGCACAAAGAGATCATGATGGGGCGGTCAGATTGGGAACGGTTGAATTCTTATGTGTTGCACGCTAGCTCGACTCACGCGCTGGAAGCGGAAGCGACGGCGGAAGAGATGGCAGAGGTGGCACCTCCAACAACACCACCAGCACCGGAAGAGGCAGCCGAGGACGACGAAGCGGCGGCGGAAGAGGCAGCAGCCGAGGCGGCGGAGGAAGCTACGGTAGAGACTGGGGCGGTACCAGTGCTAGTGACGGCGACGGTGGAACCGGCCGAGGTACCAGCGATGGCCTGGCCGACACAGCTGGTGTCGGATCCGGCAATGACGGGGATCTGGGAAGAGTACTGGACAATTCCCTGAGAGTCCGAGATTCGGACGGTGATGTCCTGGCCGGGCTCTACAAAAAGGTCAACGAGATGGATGCGTCAGTGAAACGAAACTAGCGATGTAGCACGATCCCCCCATCATCTCCCTACTCACGGACGTTGGCGTTCCAGACGTAGACGTTGCTGCTCTGCTGACCCAAGTCGACCAAAGGAGTGGCAGCGGTGTTTCCACCGGGGAGGATGGACAAGAACTGCAGTTCGAAATGGATCGAGAAGGTGAACGTGATCAGGGCCTGACGCGTGATGAGCGATTAAAACGCAAATATTGTGCTTACGAAAGGAGCTTCACCGCCGGTCCACGAGATTCGTCCCGGCTGGCAGGTAACGAAGTTGGGCTGATTCGGCGAAAAGTGGAATTGGCAATTGATGGGAAAGGAACGTGATAAGGGGGGACGAAAGGGACAGGTCAGATTACGTGATCGAGTGCAATCGGCATGACTCGAGTATCCAATTCGTAGGAGAGAGATCAGGGAGAGGACGAGGTAAAGACCGAGTCGAGTAGCTGGCACATTGTCTCGAGAACGAGGACGACGTCAACGCGAAGGAATGAGGCGAGAAGGCTGTGTTGTTTTTCCGCAGTCGACATCGCCATCATTCCCGTCGACCCCGATAACCCGCACCCATTTCAAGGTCAACTCGCCAGGAGTCTTCTTGAAGCGTACTCCACGGCTGGAGGATAAAGGAGGGGCAAATTACTCACGGGTTGAGCGATCTGGATGCCCTGGGCGGCGGCAGAGGCGACGAAAGCGGAGAGGGCGGTGATGGTAGCGGCGAACTTCATCTTGATTGTAGGTTGTGTGGGTTTGTTTTTCGTTTGGTAGAGGGTTTGTAAGAGAGTGAGGTTGCTCTGTAAGAGGTTGTTTGTTTGTGTGTGTGTGGATTATATGAACAAGTCTTTGAGAAGAGAAGAAAGGGGGGGGGAGGATGATGGGGTATGTCGTGGGTGGTGTGTTGTTGACATTGGGGCTCGAGATTCTTATACGCTGGAGCCAGCGAGGGGGAGCGTGGCGAAAGGCAGGCCAGGGGCACACGGCACGGGCACAGCAGGAGAAGAGGAAAGGAGAGAGGAGCTAGAGCGACGCGCGCGTGGGATGGACGGGTCTGTGGCGTCGAAAGGCAGCGAGCGAGAGGCAGCACGACCACAGCGACGGGGGGATTTGTTTTGTTTTTGCGCAGCCAATCCGCCGCCCTCAGCTATCGTCGGCCACCGTACAACATACTCGATCGTGGTCATCAAACACTATCGATCATGCACAACGAAGCCGACAAACGAACAAGTAGGTATCGTCTGGATGGACATGTATCCTGACGGAGGTCTCCCTCTGCCACCTACTTTCAGATCAATGTTGCCCCCCGCTTTCACAGTTCACCCACGTCCATCGCGCCAATCGCCCCCCTGACGAAATAACACAGCCCGATCTCATGCGTACGTAAGCCAAGAGAGAGATTACGATCCCGCCGCCGGGCGAACGAGGGAAAGTTTACCACGGACAGGAACCCGGACTCTGTATTCTTTGCTCTGATTTTCCCCTGCCGCTGTTTGTTCCCAGGTTTCGTTGCGTGCTGGATCGTCATCGGAAACGCTCGTGCATGACGGGAAAGACTTGGTAGGCCGAGAGTCCTCTCGTTCCGCGTCGTTGCTATTGCACGATGACTCGTACGATCCCAAACTTTGCCCTCCTTTGATCTTCTTGCATTGATCTCCTGTCACGGAATATGCTTCCAAACAAGGTTTCATCTATGCACCGACGGTGTACTTTCGAGATCTCGCTCCCGCTTTCTTCCTACTTGCCCTCGCCTTCTTCGATGATCGTTTTGCGTCCGAGACGTTTCATCTTTAACCGCGTGGGAACTAAGGACGAAGCTTCTAGAAACTAACATCACTGCCGTCAGATGGCGATATGGACGTTTCAAGGGGTCGTGTTGATAACGTTTCGAAAACCACGCGGCGGTCGTCCGATAAGATTGCTTTGAGCTCTGATTAGATCTTGATTGCGTTTCAGCCGAAGTCGTTTGCGTTTCAGGCCTTTCAATGCCCGAGGAGATTTCGGCGAAGGTAACGGGTGAAAGTACAGGCGCAGTGGACCATCCTATAGCCAGGATCTTGAGGTGTGTCTCATCAATCGATAACGATGGATTGACCGATGCCTACAAAGAAATAGCTCTGGAAATCTGATCGCGCCGCAGGGAAGCACACATTTCCTCTCGATCTGCAATGAGCTTATCGAATCGGAGGTTCATCATCGATCATGTTTGACAGATACATAGGTGGAACGGCAATGTTGGAGAGGTTCGTCCCGGAGAACTAGACGTGCCTGCAAATCTCGCCACCCCAGAAAAAGCAGAGCCCGCCGCATCCCCGCGAAGTAACGACCCAGCCCTCATGGCAAAGGACGTCCTCTACCAAACGACCTTGTAGCGAGCAGCGGAGCTTGAGCAGGCTAAGAGACCATTGTTCCAAAAGATTGACGCCTCCACGAATCCTAGCTGCATGTTTTCATATGTCTTACCGAGACTAGGGAAGGGTCTTGCGATATATCAATCTAAGAATAGGCGAACGTGACTTCTCTGTGTTACAAGGGCGGGTGTTGTTGGCTGATGAGAAACCATACGAGCGCATGATGTCTAGCGCCGAAAACATCGGCTCCTAGCTGTAGTGGTTGAACAGGAAGATTGTGCTCCCGACCGCTGTTGAGGCGATTAGAGATGTGACCCCAGAGAAGCAAAGGCAACTCTTGAACCACCACCTTCCCATTTATTCCGGGATGATTTTGAAGTGTGGGGACAAGGTTGCCAACCGGAGGAGGTGGGAGGACCAGCAGCCGTACTAGCAAGCTGCTCAATGACTCGGATCGTGGGGTCGTATTGTTTGTGGCCTTTTGGGTCTACGCGCCCTTCTTCTTTGTTCTGACGATCGACTGAATGATTGGAGTTGTCGTCCTAGTAGGTACAGATCACAAGGTCCTTTGCCTCTTCCTAGGGCGCCCATCGTCCTTTTCATCCATCTTGTTTCCATCATCCTCCTTGCAACCATGTAAGATGGCGACCATTCGTTCCAATTCCTTGACTTCAGGGTGATCCTTCAACAGCGCGTGCTCTGATTCGCTTTAATCCTATTCTTGTGCTTATTTTCCTTCTTCTTGCTCTTCTTCTTGTTCTGGCGATCAACAAAGAAGAGACCTCCTTCGCTCGAGCTGAAGTGTGTATGTGAAGAACTTGTTCTGAAGGGGATGTGACATAATCGGTCGGTCTAGCAGCGGGACGTATTGGTACATTGCTCTTTCGAGGTCCCTTGTGGGAATCATCCAGGTTAAGCGTTTCAAGGTTGTCGACATCCGCCGGCAAGGTGCAAGGCGGCGGCTGCCTGTGTCGCAGAGGGGATGAGAAGCGGGAGCGGTCATGATGGCACGGAAAGGGAATACTCTGCTTGTGAGGGTTCCGTTGGTATGGCTGTTCAATCAAATGACATTCAGACTTACGAAGGTCTGCCTTAACGTCGCCAACTACAACCAATGACGCGAGCGAGGAGATTGTTTGAGAACCATGTTTAAGGATGCTGGGTATAAGAAATATCTAAGAGCCACAGGCTGAACGTAATGTGATACAGTGTTTCGATGGAACCGTGATCTAAGCCAACCTCTCCATCATTCCGTTGACGGCCCTCCACCCCGCCCACCCCCCAAGCCCTACGACGCCCAATCCGACAACGATCATCTCGATCATCAGTGCCTGATACTTCAGGTACGACCTCATCGCCGCCCGGTGGTCCAACTCGCCCTCTCCCTTTTCCAACTCGATCACCTCGTCTGGAAGGTCGGGTTCTTGTTTCGTCTGTTGGCCCGGTACGATCGCGTGTGGTCGGAACATTGACCTGCGCCCAGAGAGTTTATGACGGACCATGATCCCCAAGAGGTGTTGCGTGAGATTTCGTCGCTGAACATCCCAGGACCTCCTCCAATAGACCTTGCCGAACCTCTCGGGCAAGGTGACTCCCAGGAAATAACCCCTCAGACGCAATTGTTCGAAGGGGGTCGTCCGTGGGATATTGAGCGCGGTGGCAAGAGAATCTCCGAGAAAGAACCTCGCTGCCCGAAAATGATTTTTGAGCGGAGTCTGAAAGGGTGGCATATCACTCGCCGTGTGGAGCAGGGGCAGGGTCGGAGGGGGTAATCGCTGCGTGTCCTCCAGATCTTTCGGATGTGCAAACAAATGCGTCAAGCACGATGCAAAAATCTTGTTCGGACCTCTCATGTGGTCGGTCTTTTCATTCCCCTTCCGTGGCTCGAGGTCGACCTGCATGTGACGTTCGAGGATCGAGCTGGGCACGCCGAGGTAGTACCCGACATGTCGCCAATGGGCGATATAAGCCGATTGTAATCGAGCGGGAATGGGCGAACCTATTCGTTTACATGCCCAGAGCGGGGCGACGCAGAAGGAAGCGAGTGTGAGGAGCATGTCTTCGGCGTTGAGCGGGTAGCCGTCTGCGAACAGATACGAGATAAGCATATAGAGCCTGGGGTGTCGCCGACTGGCAAGCCGATACTGACCCTTTTCGAAATCGTACCCGACCTTCCTCCCCGTCCCATCGAACCCCTTTTCCCGCTCCTTGCCTACCGTGGACATGACCCTCCTCCTGACGACCCCGTGTAGCAACCTGACCCTGACCGTACTCTTCCACCCTTCCCCGACCAACGGTGTCATACACCCCGGCCCCACCCTGTGCGTCTGTTCGACGACGAGCCTTTTCGGATCCTCAGCTGAGAAAACGATGTTTTGTGCAGAGAGGACGGGGGAGCCCATGATATCCAGCACGAACTGCAGCGTCTCCAACAGACGGACCGAGGTTCGTTGTTTCACCGCTGGAGTGATCGGGGCGTAGGCGACGTCGTTGATCTGGTCGTCCGTCGGGTTGTACGAAGTCGCTTGGGATGGTTCGAAAGACGAATCTCGTGGTATGTCGGCTGAACCTGTCGATTGGGGCTTGGTTTTGATGATAGGGGCAACGAGGTAAGACGTCTGATGCAAGACCGACGTGATCCGGGGACTACTCGCATCCATCGACAGATTGGCGTTAGCTTTCTGAAGCCAAGTTCGTGATCCTAAGGTTTCGATTCGATGACACTCACGAGCTAAACCCTCCGACCAGGCTGATATAGAACGTCCCCAGAAGCAAACCCCCGGCAAACCTGTAAAAACACTCTTGTGCGTCCCGCATGGTCTCGTCTGAACATCTCACCCCATCCGGAGGAGCTGCGGTCAGGTGGTCCAGGAGCGCTCGAGCGGCTAGGTCAGGTTCGGATGGTCTTGAGTTGGATGACGATGTCGATGTTGACGAGGAAGAGGGCGAGCCTTGAGCTTGGGAGATGAGGATCTGGAGCTGATCTTCTTTGGGCGACAAGAGAGACGTTGGGAGAGTCGCTAGGTAATCATCCACAAGCGGGTCCGGTATCTGGCGCCACTTCTCCAACTCTGAAGCGGGCATACAATCCTCGTCCCATCGGAAAGTGAAGTCCCAGGACTCGACGATATCTCCAAGTCGCAGACGATCGGTATCTTCTGGATTCTCTATGTGGTGAGCGTTGGCGATCTCCGAGGCGGACAGGGTCGGGTCGATGGAGATGGGAGGCATGGCGGGCCGTGAGCGAATGCAAGGGATGGGGGGAGGGGTGGAAGCAGGTATGGTGAGTTGAGCAAGGTCAAGGTTGCGAGGATGGTTCAGGATTATACGTGCTTTCGACCTCTCTCTACCTCTTTGCGACAATTCGAGGCGAGGTGGCCGCCGATCGGGGTGATGCGATCGAGACTAGCTACCGGGAATCCGGTTATCGGAACCAAAATACGCGAGAATACTTCCGGGAGGCCGAGGTTGCGACGTCACCGATCAACGTGAAACTCTTCGATGCCAGACATGCCAGACAGGTCGTTTCATGTCGACGTCGACGTTCGATATGGTCCGAGGTTCTTGTGATATATGCCAGCCTTGATGATACATTCAGCGGTATCAGCAGCAGCTGGACAATTTGTCGCCAGATTGCTTGCAGGATAGTCGATCTCGAAGGATCCCTCTCTTGACGAGCAAGTTTATCGCTCGCCTGGACGGTCAGACTTGGTGAGCCAAACTGCAAAGGTCATTTTTGGATAGATGGTAGAACCTTGTCCGTAGCTATCAACCCCGAGACTTTGAGTTTGGATTGCCGTGTGACCTCTGCGTCTAGGGCGACAGTTCGGCTAGGGCTCGACAATAACAAAATGACGTAATCAAATCTCGATCTCACCTCATCTCGATCCTCGATCGTTGCGTCACCAATCACGCGAAAAGGTCGAGAGGGCCAGAGGGAAATGTATATAACGCCTACGACAATTTCGGACATTCACTCTATTCCCTAACAGCGCAGCCAACCCATTTGCATCATCACAAAACTCCCTTGAACACCCAATACACCCACAAAACAACAGAACATAAACACAAAAATGGTCGGAACCGGTTGGAACATCGATCTCTCTGGCAAGGTGAGTCCGGTCGCTAGGCGTGACATGTACAGCGTGTCGTATAAAGGAATTCTGGACTGAGCTTTGAGCTTGATGGACGAATGCAGGCCATCATCGTCACCGGAGGTAACCGAGGTATCGGACGTGCTATCGCTGAGCAGGCCGCTCAGGCCGGTGCTCACGTCGTGAGTCTACACTTCCTGCTTCCCTGACCAAAGTGTGCCGGAATTGACCATCAGCATCATCATCATCGATATTGCTACAGGCCATCGTCTACCACTCCTCCCCTGACGCTCCTCAGGTAGCCGACAAGATTGCCGAAGACTACAACGTCCGATCCAAGGCCTACCAGGCCGACACTTCGGATCAGAAGAAGATGCACGAGATCGTCAAGCAGGTGTACGACGATCTGGGCCCCGTCGGCGGGATCGTCTGCAACGCAGGGAGGGCGGCTCAGAAGCCCGCTCTCGAGGCCACGAGGGAGGACTTTGATGCCTGTTTCGAGACCAACGTCTGGGGGGCTTTCGTCAGTGCCCAGGCTTGTGCGGCTTTGTGGAAGGAGCACGGGTACCAGAATGGAAAGGTCGTCATCGTTTCCTGTGAGTCGGTTCGCGTTCTGGTGCCTCGCGGCTTGTGACTCCGGGACAGCCGAACTAATGACACACTGTGCATGTGGTTTAGCCATCTCGGGTTCGATCGCCAACAAGGGAAGCCAGCAGTGTTTCTACAACGCCTCCAAGGTGAGTTTAGGAGTTGACCTTCGAGTTTCAACCAAGCGTTGCTGACGAGCCTCTTATCGCAACCTTCTTAGGGCGCCGCTAACATGCTCGCCAAGTGCCTCGCTATGGAATGGGCCGACATGGGTATCAACGTCAACTGCATCAACCCCGGTTACGTCGAGTGAGTCCAGCCGGATACCTTGACCCCGCTTGCGTCCCAACGACCTGCCGGCTGAAATCGTTCTTCCCGTATGCCCTCTCGCGCAGGACCGACATGACCGCTGGGTTCTTGAAAGACGAAGACAAGAAGGCCGAGAAGATGAAGGATGTCCCCATGGGCCGACCTTCTCAGCCCGAGGAACAGGCCGGCATGGCCATCTTGTTGCTCAGTGATAGGTCTTCCTGTGAGTCACCCCAGCATCTAGACGGTGGACCTTGAACCGGGTCCATCTTCCACTTCTGAACTTGCGAAAGACCGACTGACTCGACTTGTGCTTTGCTTTGTCGTCCATTCAGACATTACCGGGTCGACCACCATGATCGATGGAGGATTGACCATCTGGTAGATAACGCCAACCCCAATGACAAGTCCTGTAGAATGCGAGCGTGAAACGCAGAATAGCAAGAATACAATTTGTATAATCGAGATATGGAAAAGCAAGAAGCATTGTGCACGATTTCACTGCGGGTCTTGGCAGAGCGCGGTTCGTGAACAGAAAGGCATGTCAATCATCGCTTGCGCATCCCCTGAAACGCATCGCCGTTGAGCAAAGAGCTTCCCTCTACTTCTCCTAACTCGCACCGGCCAACTCAACAATACGAGCCATCGCACCGTTGGAAGCCTCATTGACAAACGCCTATCTTCCGCCCTGGCATACTTATGGTGCAACGCCGGGAAGATGACAACGGCGAACGGAGCCTGACTCGTATCGGACAGACGATAATCATCGGTCAAGGGGGTCCTAAAAACCTTGAAGTGATGTATACCGATATAAAAGTGATGTATACCGATATAAAAGTGTTGATCCATAAAGCCGATCGGGTCACTGGTCACTCATCATTCAGGGCAGTTGTACGTCGTCTTGCGCAAGGGGTTCTTGCACAAACTTCCTCATAACACTCAGGACGCACCACCTATTGCGCGAGGCATATAGGAGTCATGTGGGACGGTTTTGTGGGCCTGGTAGCCCAAATGACTGAGAAAGCAGCTTCGATTTCATGCCGGAGGGGGCGGAGGGTTCAAGGGAATATCATGTTGATGACAAGGCAACTCAGGGTGACGAGGTATGGATGCTGTAATATCCGGAAATTCCGACCATTTCCGCATCAGGTGTTTCTGATTGCCCGCGGAGTGGAGGAACTTGGACTGAGCCGATTCACTGACCAACGCTTTGCCCTACGGGACGTCGACACCTCATGTTTGACATTTGCAAGATAGTCCTTGAATCGATTCTCAAATTCATTACGTCGGGCCTATCAACCGACTTGAAACATTTGGATTGGAACTACAACATCTGTCGTGTGATAATAACCTAAGACGAAGCGGGAGGCTTGTAGTCGGCGGACATGTCTCCGCCAGAGTTCTTGATCTCCTCGATCTTCTGCTCGGCCTCCTTTTTCTATGTAGCGATAAGCGAAGTACCGTTGAAGTCAGTATCGAAGCGGAAGTCGCAATATGCGCCAACTGAGCCTCATGAAAACGTACGGCTTCCTCGGAAACGTTGTCGTTGTTCAAGGCAGCCTTGTAACCTCCGATGACGTTGCCAGCTGCAGAGAAAGGCATATCGTGTCAACACCGGGGCTCTAGCGGTCGCTGTACTTTCATGCGCAACCGGACGACTCACTGTTCTTTCCCTCAAGTTCAGACATTGTGATTGATTTGAGTGGATTGGGTCTAGTTGTGAATAGTAGTAGAAGTGGTTGAGTTTGTCCGCCGGAATATCATGTAGACGTAAAGAGGTACATTCCACAAACGGTCTGGATTATATAGTCGTGTCGTTGACCGAGGTCATGGGATCACCGGATCGGAATTCGTCATCGCCGATCAGACAATGACGTCGCGTCCACCCCGATATGGTAAACGTAGATTCTCGATCAACATTGTTATGACTTATCGGGACGCTAGCGGAAGAATGCTAGATGGCGCAGCGCAATAGTGGGACCTAATAGATACAGTTGTTGTGGTTGTTGTTGCATGAGCACTAGCCGTACCAGGTACCCGTGCGGTACTATAGATCATCTGCGTCATTCCTTCCGCAGCCACATTCCTCGTCCGACTTGAGCAGGTCTACGATCCAGCCCTTTCCGTCCATCAGATCAAAGAATTCGCTTAACAGGCGATCTGATTGCAAAGTCCCTCGCGAGCCGAAAATGACCAACTTCTTCTTGGCACGTGTGAGCGAGACGTTGATTCGTCGCCAGTCGCGGAGAAGCTCTCCAACCTGAAACAGTGCAATAAATCAGGACAAGGGCGCTCTCACTGTCGACCATCGGCTAAGTCACTCACATTACCGACATCATTGCTCCTGACCATCGAGATGACGATGCAATCCTTGTCTCGACCCTGACTCTTATCAGCGGTCAAGACCTCTACAAGCGGATTTTGATTGTGGACCGCGGCTGACAAGAGTTTGATCTGTTGACGGTACGGGGTGATCACTCCGATATCCTCCTGCTTGATTCCACGGTACACAAGAGTGGCGACAAACTGTTCAACATCCGGATATGGTCAGAAATACTCTTCATCGGATGGTGACTCTTGAACATACGCGTTCGACTAGCTTGCCCTCCATCTCGTTCTGCACCAAATCTCCTACCCGGGATTCCCGAGCAGACAGCTTGTCCGTATTGACGAATACGCAGCGGACACTGCTGGCAACCGGCTGTTAGCCTATGCAACGTCATAGAAACGCGGCTAGCATGCGTACCTTTCGTCAAGCAACTTGCTCAGAGAACAACTGCAGCTCGACTCCGCTTGTTGCAAGACCAGCTTCTGATCGCGCACTTGTTCTGAACCGCATTTAAGTCTTCCGCTATAGATGAGCTTGTTGGACAACGCCATGATGTCCTCGTTCATCCGGTACTGGTAGCCCAGATCGACCGTGGCTTCGGGGTGAGCATCGGTTAATAGGCGAAACAAACTGGTGTCGAGACCGCCACGACGGGCGGCGGGATTTTTAACCTAGAAAGTAGAGGAGACCTAATCAAGATTGACGCGAGATGCCGGAAGGGGACAGAGCGCTTACGATGGGTGGCAGTTGGAAATGATCCCCTACCAGGACAAACGTATCCGCGAACCGCAAGGGTCCCAGACATGTGGGCAAGGTAATCTGGGAAGCCTCGTCGACGATGCAATAATCGAAACGGCGGCGAATGAACAGTGGGCTATGAAATGCTTGTGGATAAGCAAGTCGATGCCATCCGTATGCTTGAGCTCAGTTGCCAACTCACTGGTCGATAGAGAGACAAGTTGTAGCAACGATTTGGGGGCTCATGAGCGTGTCTTCTAGTTGAGACAGGGAGGAAGGATCGGCGAAAGCTTCCAGTGTCAGATGTCGGACGTCTGGGTGGACCTGAGGAGCAAAAGAGACGAGGCGCGTTAGCATAGACTGATGAACATACTGGTATCGACCAAAAGTCACCTTTTCGACGTTTCCTAAGCGCAAGATTTTATGATCCGAATTGACTAGCTTGGTCAAGATTGTGTCTACTGCTGAATGCGTATAGCTTGTCAAGAGTACGCTTTTCCCTCTATTAACCAGTGCAAGGATGATTTCGGCGATCGTCGTCGTCTTTCCTGTTCCTGGCATGCCCAATATGCACGCGTAGTCTTTCGCGGTGAGCACTTTCGTCATGGCGTTCTTCTGGTCGGCATTGAGATGGTCGGGTATCTCTTCTGCGTCGGGAGCCCAGACGTTCTCGAACCTAGGCTCTTGCAGCTGAACGACCAGATCGCGTCGCTTTGCGTCGCCGCCAGATTCGTCTGAATAAAACAGCTGGGCCAGGTTGTTCCGCATACGTGCTGCGCCACTCAGCATTTCGTCCTTGTCGATACGGAATATCGGCTGGTAGTCCCTTCCGTGGCGATCGAGCCGTCCCGTGCGCTCGAGGAGGGCTTCGACGTCCAACTTTTGATTCGTACCGATCTTGACTTCGGTAGGCGTCAAGTCCACGACGAAACCCACAGCGATCGAGATGAGATCCGATTCGATGGAGAGTGATACCGGATCGTTCTTGCCGATATGGCCATTCAAGAAGCTGCCCCTGCCTGTGATCGTGCTATGTTCGTCACGCACAAAGGTGTAGATGTGACGTGCGATTTTGGACAACGTGGTTTCTGATTGATCGATATGCTCCCGGATAGCCATGTCGGCGAAGCACCTAGATGAGTGGTGTGAGCTCGAGTTGGGAAATTGCGGTATCAAGCGAAACTCACCGTCCGGACCGTTCTCGCTCTGCGGCTGTCATCGTCCACGTCTGGTTCTTGTGTTGCACAATATCTTGTTCTTCAAGCGTGATAAGATGCTCCCATTTGGTGAAGAACTCTACATCCGCTTCGTTGAGATGACCTGCTTTACGCTCGTAGATCTCGGCCAAGGGGTCTTCGGGATCGACCGGGACGGCTTCGACCGTCTATGAGTGTCCATGTATATCAGCGGCCTGGCTCAGAAATCAGCAGTGCAGAATCCTCTTACCTTTCGGTACAGCATACAACCGTCACTTGCATAACAATTCCGACAATCTCGTGCATTCTCAACTGTCGGAGGCAAGATACCGATGTCCTCCATGTCCAGAGGGATTCCTGAGGGTACCATACCTTCCTGCGTGTTGATCGCTCGCTGCGATTGCCTGGGTAATGTCTGAGTTTTCTGCGTGCCAAGACCGGCCAGAGACTGGCTAGCACGAGCTCGTCGCGTCTCCTGTACGACCCGTTTGCGAGCGAGGTAACCGGCCAGCTCGTTACGAGCGGCAAGCAGAGATCTGATCTCCGGTTTTGCGGCCTTTACCTCCAGCATAGTGTCCGTTTCGGTATAGTAAAGCAGACCCGAGTCGATCTTGATGCCTATGCGTGCGGGGACCGTTAGTCTAGGATTATGCCTTTTTGCGGTCATATACGTCAACTAACGATATCGCTCCTCCATCAAGAGGGTATAGAGCATGGTCTGTGCCCGATGCTCCATGACCCCGATAGCGCGGCCCGTCTTGATCTCGAACGGCATCGGTCGATCGTCCTCATCACCCTCGACCGGTTCTTCCCGTGCGGGCTTGGAGTTCTTGTTCTCAGGCTTGTTACCAACTACCACTTTGGCATGAACCGAAGCATCGACTTTTCCCTTCATCCCCCATTTCGGGGACCAGATTGACTCTTCGATATCGTGTAAGCCAGACACTGCCAACTTGGACATCGAATTGTGCAGCAACGCATCATCCGTCGGATCCTGTCCGACCCACCTCTCCCCAAAGTTTAAGAGCCCAGTATCGACCTTTTCCCAGACTTCGACCCGGACGTCTTCCATACTCAGCTCGGCGGCCCACATGTCCAGCTGCATCTGAGGTCTTAGCAAGATTTGTTCCAATATCCGTTTCATGCTGGCAGGATCAAAATCCTGCGTTTGGAGGCATTCTTGGAGCAGCTCGTGGAGGACGTTTCCGTACAAGAGCGGCTTCGTCGTAGCGTTGCTGAATCCCCATACATATAAGATAATCAGCGTTGGCGCTCGTACTTGCTCGGACCGAACTTCCACTCACTGAGCTCCACTCTTCAACAAACTCTGAACGAGCGGTTTCCTACGACAGCCCAGCGCGCCGACGAGGCTCGTCATTGGTAGCAAGAAATCGGGATGATGGATGAAATAGTTCTCCGGGTATTTGTGCGAGATAATGATCTCGATGGGCGGGACTTGCGCTTCCTCGCCAGCGGCCGTTTCATCTTTCGGCTGCAGTGTAATTGATGTCGATGTTGATATCGCTCCCCCTGCCCGGGTTAAAGCCGGGTTGACCGGCAAACTGGGATGCAGCTTGGCAGCCCCCTGCCCGAATTTGCCTTTCTTGACAGGCGTTCTGATAGGGGCAGAATTCTCTACCAGCGGAGAGATGATATTCGCGATATCCCCTATACATCCCAATGACCCTCTCAGCCTAATTAGCATAGCATTCTCACAACTCGCAACTCCGCTTACAGCTGCAAGCTTTTACACGACAACTCAGATTTGAACTTACCGACGAGAACCAACATCTCCCCAGCTTCTTCCCTCAGCTTGACCTTGTACCGTCTACCCGTCTTGACATCCGTCAGGAGCAACGCCTTTTCTCCCCAACCCCAGCGAGACTCGGTATCCTCGGGATCTAGGATTGAAGTGACTGAACATCTTGCCCAGGGGGTCGGTTGCCATGCCGGAGTTGTTGCGCCGTTGGTCGATTGGATCCTAGGTTCGGTAGTGGTGATCGGAGCACGGGGAGGGTGCACGAGCGGGTGAAGGACAGGATATTTAGGAAGGGGTAGAGGAGGACCAGGAGAATCCAGGAAGGATTCCTGTGAGAGGGGAATGTCGAAAGGAAAGAAATCGTCCAGGTCGTCGTCCTCAACTTTCGCAGGGCCAGCTTCGGATTTCATTTCTTCTTCTTTCTCCTCCTGTTCGGGCAAAAGTCCTGGAAGAACGGGCGATTCGTATTCAACCTTGACGACAGGTAGCTCCCGTTTTACCCCGGCTGTAACGCTGTCCAGGACCCTCTCCGCGACATCCAAACTCTCCTCCCCGCCCTGATTACCTTCCACCGTCCCCGCATCCGGTCCGACCAACCCTTCCCAATCCCAACCCTCATCCCCATACTCGTCCTCAACTTCTGCTTCGTCTCCGATAATGGTCTCGGGACGTTTCCTCTTTCCCGGCGACCCCGATCCTGAACCTGAATCCGATCCAGCTACACTACCACCTCTACCGGTAGGATCGAGGTCTATGTCCGCCAAGAGGTGTTTCATGAAATCGTCCTCCTCCCCACGCCCTCCATCGCCCACACTCGTCCCAACGCTGTCATGCACAGCTGATTCTTGCTTGACTCGCACGTTTGTCGCTCCCCGGGACGGAGAAGGACGAGAAGTCGAGGATGGGAGGAGACCATGACCAGGAGCTCGATGGAAAGCCGTAGGGATCCAGGGAGACTTGCCCTTCCCTACCGACCGGTCATGATGTTTGTTCTCCTTATCCGCTTCATCCCCAGAGACTTTCCTTCGTTTGGGCCCTCGTGGCGAATCGGCTTGACCGACAGGTATCTTGCTTCGACCTGGTCGGGAAGGAGAAGCCGAGTAGAACAAGTCTCCGCTAACAGGTTTGAGCTTGGTGCCCTGTAGCTCAGCTACCTTCGAGTCCCTTCCAGGCTTTGTACTCGTCTTGCGAGGTGTTCCAGTCTTTTTCTGGCTATGAAAAGATGAATTGGGGGTGGGAGCAAGAACGTTTGGCAAGAGTCCGTTGGGTCGAAGGGGAGAGGGCATGGTCGACCAGCGATCCGTGCGGGTTCAAGAGGAGAGGCAGGGTGAGTGAGGCGAGGAGGGCAAGAAGAGCAAGAGTCCACGCTAGTACATGGTGGATAGTTGGACTGTGTGGGGTCCAGACGGACTGTGTGAAGTCGTAGCTACGGGAGTGACATGGATCAGAGCTAGAGAGAGTCACTTGCAGCAGTAACCTCGAACATTTGAACCTTTGGTCGATGCTCTCCAACGCGCGACGCGTCTCTTGGTTGGTTTTGACGCGTCATATTGAAAAATTACGTAAGCAAGTCTGGTTTTCCTCTCTCCTTTTTGCCTTTGTCCGCGTTTCATAGCTGAAACGACGAGTCGAGATCCTCTTGTGGCGTTTCAGTCGGGATCAGATATATGTTCAAGGCCATCGATAGGAGGCGACAACTTGATCCGGAATTATACATTTCCTCGGTGATGTTAGCGACCCTGAAACACACCTGAACCACTTCCCTCTGCGATGAGCACGACGACCCGCCTGATAGCCCAAACGGCACGGGCCATGGGGGTGGGTGGTTCATCTCCCCATCAGAGATCCGCTGGAGCTTTATATGATGGATCCGTCAAAACAAAACTTATGCCCTTCGACCCCACTGCGCCTCATACTCGCTCTGCTATCCCACCCACCTTCATCCTCGCCCTCCTCGTCGCCGTCTTGGGGATCCCGCTATACTTGCTTCTCAATGGCGGATTCAAGAGCTCGGGGGACAGGTTGGAAGATCGGATGAAAGCGCCCGATACTGAAGGGAGTGCGGCGTTTGCCAATGACGCGGACGGAGACGATGATGACAAGAAAAAACGTAAACGGGAAGAAGAAGACCTCGATGAACCCGGGACCATCCTGGAATTCGACGATCTGAAGAGTTTGGGAGGCTTGGTCGGGTTCGCGGCGGTGGTAGTGCTGGCCTTTGCGATATTCCCAGAAGAATTGAATGGAATGTTGGCGAGCGTGACTGGAGGTATGGATGTGAACACTGTCACTTCTTGGGTGGGAGGACAGGGACAGGCTGTGACTAACGGGGTAAGGCAAGAAGAAGTCCGCACGGAAAAGATCATCACGCATCCGGATGGGACGACAGCTGGGTACTCGGAAAAGGTGGTTAGGGAAGGAACTCCCCAACCCAACCTTGCTTCAGGTGTCGGCACAGGGGTAGGCGGGAACAAGATGACCGATATGTTGGGCGGGAGATCTATGATCGATCTGCGTAAGTCCGATTCCCAACCCAAACACTTGCCATATCGTCCTGAAAACATCCACTTCGCAACTCAGTCATATTATGCAAGATGGATCCTGACCTCTGCGCCGATATGGGTCTTCCCTTCGGTCAGAAGAAACCAGACGCAGTGGTCATCACCCCAGAGACTGAAATCGTAGACCCGTCTCAGGTGACCGTTCAAGAGGGGTACGAACTGGTCACCGAAGTCATGCCGGACGAGTCCTACCTCTCTGTCCTCCGCGCGCAACCCATCCTCCTCATCGGCCTGTCCGAAGAGAATTTGAGCAAGACCAGCCTGATCGTCTTGGGCATCTCCATCCTCCCGATCGTCTACGGTTTCGGCGAACTAGCTTTCCAAGCGGGCAAGACGCAGGAGACGGCCAAACTCGCTGACAAACGTAAAGCCGCAGAGGAAAAGGCTTACAAGGATATCAAGGCGTACGAAGCCAGTGCAGCGAGGTACAAGGCCCAAGCCGAGGTCATGGAGAGGGAGAGGAGGGAGATCGAAGCTATCGCTGAGGCGAATCATCCGACGAAACCGTGGCGCGATGCCATGCGGGATAGACCTTGGTGGGCCGGTCCTGAATGGGTCCCACCAGAGAAGCCCAACGACCCAGACAGATGGCAGGACAGAAACATCCCTGAAGGACAGCAGATCTCGCTCTTCATGGACGAAGCGGGCAATCGGCTCAAAGACTTTGGAACGAGGCATTTCAAGCTCGGATGGAACGCCAAGGAAGCGCAGAAAAAGGCAGAGAGGTACGAGGCCGACAAGGCGAGGTTGGTCGCCCGGTGGGGAGAATCGGGAGAGGATACCAAAGCGTTCAAGGGGCCTTACAAAGGGATGTTACCGATCTTCGATGCTGTCGATGCCAAGGGTCGCGACAAGCCGAAGACTCAGGAGGAAATCCTCAAGGCGTTGTCGGAGAATCACGTCAAGGCCAAGGTGGCTGCAGGAGAGGCGAGAAGCTTGCGCAAGGCGAGAGACGACGGGAAAGAGGCTGGAAAGAGACAAGCCAAGGCGGTCCGGAAGCTTGCCGATGTCTGGGACGAAGAGGCCAAGGTCGAGGCAGAGGAGAGATATCAAAGGACGGTCGCCAATCCGATTCCTTCTCGTCAACGGCTCGCCGAGCAGAAAAAGGAGGACGACAGGTATATCGAGATGGCACAGGAACATCGTGCGAGAGAAAGAGAGGCGGCGCGTACTGCGGTACCACCGAAACAGCCCTTTTGGAAGCGGACGAATGCCGCCCTCGATCGAATCGGTCAAAAATGATCTTATCGTTCGCGGTAAACCTTTTTCACCTTCTTGCCCGTCCATATAGCACAGAGCAATCTATACCAAGGTGGGAAGCATCCATCGGATTTCATATGCATATCATTTACATTCCCCGGATTGGGTCTTCCATCGTGCCTAGGTCGTGAAACGGCGTAAGTTGATCGTGAGTTGTCGTAAGTTGTCGTGTTTCGTTCAGGATCGTGTTGGTTGCGTTTAATGTTGCTGATTAGAGATCCGGTGAGTGGACCTCAGGCCCACTGCTGACTGGTCTTCTTCGGGCAAGCCGAAGATGATGGGTATGAGGCTGTTTTGCCTACACATAAGTACGATTTCGTTGCCGGTCAGAAGAGTCGTCTTATGAGATGTCGCGGCTCGACCTGGATTGGTCCGGGCCTTCTTCGTGGGAGTACCGTGGAGCGGGATTTCTGCGGACAAGACTCTCTGGATCTCCTGAGCATTGTAATCAGCCTGTGCGGAAGACATGGTCCAGCTGGCCAATGGCTTGAAGGCCTTCGGAGTGGCTTCCAAGTCCTCCTCCGAATCATTTCCTAGTCTGGGCAAAGAAGATGCCATCAGACAGTCAGAAAGCGTCTTCAGGGTCATCCGATTGATAGCCCGTAAGAGCTCGGGCGATAGCGAGCCTCTATCAGGCAGAACGGCACGAGTCCAGCTATCTTGACCTTGCCCTTTGACGGACTTTTCGTTGGCCGATTGCAAGTCAAGTGCTCGTGCGAATTCTGAGAGAATTGTTTCGTCAGAAAATGAGAATCGGCAAAGACGCCGATGTCCGAGGGAATTTCGGAAGGTAAGTTCGAGATTGTGCGCCCTGAATGCGGGTCCCAGGTCCACAGTAATTCCGTTCGGTAGTTTGGGATATAGAGCTCTGAAGAGTCGCGGATGATCAGTACGAGCGGTTCTCACTCATCATGTCGAATCTTGACTCACGCATTCTCGCCGGATCGACAGAGGAGTAGCTTGAAGCGCCCTGGAACCGAGCCTTTGACCCGGAACGATTGCTGCCTCGATATACCAAACTCAAGCAGATCACTATCGTATGACAGCCCGTCGCCCAAGAGCCTGATCCGAAAATCGGGATCGACAACAGGGACGGTCACAGTGATGATTTCGCTCCAGCTTCCTGCTGACAAACAAATTTCCTCGGATGCCAGCGAGATCGCTATCGTTCGGCCATGTGTGAGATTCTCCAGCGAGGATGCTGCTTGCACATATCTCTCTTGTCTGACCGCTGCGTAGATGGTCCTCAGCAGGCTCCCCGAGACTATCGTCCCTCGATCTTGCTGGTAAAAGCCGGTCAAAAAGTCGTCGCTCGAGACGACTACTTTTTCCTTCGCAAAACCGAAGGTGGTTTCTGGGTGATAGCCATCGTGCAGTTTCATGATGCAGAGCAGCAGATTGCGTACCGTATTCAAGCCAAATTCGATCGTCGAGATGTTGGCCTGGTACCATCCTTTAGCAAAGGCTTGGAGAATGCTTTCAAAGCCAGCATTATCTGCGGGCAAACGCAGAGCCAAGATGAAGACCCGTAGGGCTTGGTCAATCCGCACCCCACCAAGGTTAAATTGACGAATGTAGCCGTCGAGTAGAGCTCGATTGCGGGGTTGCACGAGATAGTCTGACAGTTGTTCTTTGTCAAAGTCTCGACTGTTGAAGAGGATCTCTGCCAGAGCAGCGGAGTCTTGAGCTATCCTCGTTTGCTCGGATAACCGGTCGACCGAGCGTTCCGGATCGGAACTGAACTGTTCTCTGAATTCCGCTATGTTGAGGTCGCAACTCGACGCAGGACGAGCAGGCTTTACGGGACACTTTCGCAAGACGAGCGTCTCTAGCGGTGCGACCGATTTCACGCGGAACGTGCCCTCCAGTCCCTCCAATGCTTCCTCGCCATCGAGCAAGATTGGTTCCGCAATGACCAGTATGTCAGTGAAAAGGAACAGATGGCGATCGAGGATAGTCTATCAGAGAAGCCTCAGCGTCTACCAAGATGTCCAGTGAGTGTTATGACTTACGTGATTGTTTACGACCTGCAGAGTTTCTGCCACAGCGACAAGTTTTCGAGGGGGATCGTGCAGAAACCCAGGCCGGTTTTCCGGCTTGGCAGCCAATAAGTTGTCAAGGCAATCGAGAAGCACTCTTGACCGATCGCCCTGTCTTGCAGATGTTTCAATATTCATCTTGCTGCTGTCCCTAACACGCATAGATCCTCTCTGGAACCCCCTGACAGCCGGGGAGACAGGCGTATCCTGCTCCTCTACAGCTGAGAGCGTCGAGGGCAATGCCGCCAGTCTGAGCGGTGGCGAGACAACATCACTGGTTGAAGAGGATGGTACCGGAATGATCGGGTGAGGTATAGCGTCCGCAGGAAGTGTTTCGTTGCTTCTCGGTAATGGCGGTACGTCTGACGAAGCCGATTGAGGCACCCTAGGCAACACTATTTCCGCGACGTCTTGCACCACGCTGTTTTTTCTAGACGAGGCCTGCGATGTGCTATTTTTGCGTCTGAGAATATTAGAGATTGATGGCCGGCGCTTTGTTGTCGCGCCATGAGGGGTAAAGAAGGTGTCTGCCAACCAAGACTTCTTGCCGATGCTCTTCTCATCCTGAGCCGCCAGATCTTTGGTCGCCGTCAAGTCGTAGTATGATGCCTGAGCAGACGAAGGGGAAGCATCCAGCTTGGATTGAGAATTTCTGCTCGACGCCTGAGACAAGGGCGGCGAATCTTTGGTACTGTGAACAGTAGGTATGACGGAATCTGATACTTGTTGGAGGAGCGGCGCGTGCATCGATTGTGGCACAAAAGGCGAAAGTTTCGAATTGAACGCTCGAGGGTCGTTGGGATCGATTTGGGGCAAGGGCGATACCTGGCCGGCGGGCAAGACCACCGATGGGGCAGTTGAGAAGACGCTCGACTGCATGGACGCATGAGGCCCAGTCGTCATGCTGCTGGCATCGGATCGTTGGCTGCCTCGGCGACTTTCCCGGTGAGGAGAATTTGTTGTCGCTGAAGCAAGGCTGCCCTGTGAGGCTCGAGTAGGAGTCCCTGGGGTTATTGTCGAACTCAGCACCTGATCCGTCCCACTTCGGCTATTGCTTCGGCTCCTATTCCGTCTGAAGGTGCTCTTCAGCGTTTGAACTACGCCCTGACTCCTCTTGGAGTATTGTTCGCTCGGGATAGGCGAATTCGCGGGATCAGCAACGTCGTGCCAGCTGTGGCCAGATCGTCTCGTCAATACGGTCTCAGTCTCCGTCACCGACCCGGTGTTACTCACGACATGATGCTATACTTGGCTGGGCTAGCGCCGTCATCCAGCTCCTCTACTTCGTGATCCCGGGAAGCGTTCGGCCGTTCCTCGAATGCGGATCCCAAACGACGATGCGTTCTAGCCTCATAGCCTTCAGAACTAGGTTGCTGATCCAGCATATTTGGCATCGCTTGGCGTATAGAAGCGTTACCGGGACTGTCCTTGGATCCCGTCAACGTACCAGAAGGAGAGTTCACCGAACTGTTATACTGGCGTCCAGGCGTACTGAACTCGCTGCCTCGCTTGTCGCCATCCTGAACTTCGGCAGGAAAGCTGGACATGCTCATATCACGCCTTGGAATTGGCATGCGGGGCGTGCGCGTCTCTGGACTACCTTCAACGCCGGTGCTGACGATGAAGGGAATTGCGCTCAGGCTGGACCCGAGTGAACTCTCGGAAGGCGTGGTGCTGTGCTTGCCGCCCGTATGGCTGATCGTCGAATCGCGGCCAGGACCGCCGTGTTCGTTGACAAAAGGCGGTAAGGGAGGCAACAGACCTTCTGGCCCGTCTGCGTATTCTTGTGCGGCCTCGACAGAAAGACGCCGCGTGTGCAGTTCCTGCAGCCGATGAACTGGCATATCGACCGGCAAGTCATCCCCTCCATTTCGATCGTTTTCACGATCCTCGATTGGCGACTGTATCTCCTCGATTGTATCCTCTCTGAGCGCGGAATCATCCGCGTCGAGGATCTCTTCCATGGTGACGTTTCCCACGACGTCTCCCGAGATCGGTGTGACCATACTCGCCCTAGTTGTCCTCTTCTCCGATCCAGACCGTCTAAGATGCGCCTCGTACTCGAACTTGTCCGATACGCCAGACCTCGCCGTGGCCTGCGATACAGACCGCGCGAGGTCGCTCGGCCCGGCGAAAAGACTCTGACCTGCTCCCGCGCCAAAACCTGCATGACCCAGTCCAAAGTAGGGCGAGTGTTGACGATAGCGTTGATGCGAGTCTTCGCTCCCGGAGGTTTCAAGGAACATGAGAGATCCGCGCTGGTGGTCGGAATCGCTCGAAACTCCAGCCTCAAAGCTACTCCGACCCAAGGCTTCCGGCAGATCCCGCTTTAAAATCCCGGATGAGATTGGTCGCGGTTCTGAATCCGAGACCGCCTCTGAGAGGATGATGGGCGGACTTGTCGAGATCGACTCCTCTTCTTGCTCAGAGGTCGATTCGTGTTCAGGTTGCAGCGATTCATCTCCCGGCTCCTCGTGTGGCAGTCGATCTGTTGACTGGGCTCCACCTTGCGCCAGAGCAGCCTCTTGCGGATTCGTGAATTCATGGTTCTCTTTCCGTTCCTCGGTCGTTTCTTGCTCTGCTTCTGCTTGCACGACACTCTCCTGCTGCCTTTCCGCCTCCGCCTGTCTAGCCCTCGCTTCATTCTCTCGTCTCTCCCTGGCCCGCTGTAACAAGGACTGTAACCCTACCGCACCAGACCCTGGCGATGAGGAGGCCACCTCTCCATCCCCCTGCGGGCTCCGCGTTCGGCTTCCTAGTCGCTCCATCATCCTCCTTCCGATCACGCTCCTCCTCTCCTCTCCCCCTCCTGTACCGACAGTGTTAGACCGTCCTAATTGAGGTCGGGGGAACGCTGAGGGAGGTAGATGGGTCATCTCACGAGCAGAACCGATGCGCTGAGCAAAGGCCTCCGAGTCGAGCTGACCATCCTCGTGATTGTGGTCGTCCGGTGATGAAGAATATTGCTCGGAATCGTGATCCTGATCGCGATTCCGCAAGAGATCGATAGATCCGAGCCGTCGATTCCGATTCCGATTCCTCCTCGCTCCCGTCTGCTTGGTGGGTGATCCGAGCATACCTTGACCGAACGAGTTGAGCTCTTGTGCTAGTTCTTGGTCCTGATCTTTCCGCCCGATCTCATTATCGTCATTGTCATCATCAAGGGTATCATCTCCCCGCTCATTGTCCGCATTATTCTCGTCATCCTCTCCGTCCTGGTCTCCTACAACTCCCCGATTCCGACTCATCATCCCACCTCTCGCCCCGACGTTCAACGATCCAGCCCGTCTCAAGCTCGTCGGCGACGGAGGGGTCTGTCCCATGAGCTTCTTCATGGCCATCAACCTCCCAGCGGCAGAATTCGCTCTCTGCAGGTTGCGTAGCTCCGAGAGCGTCGGCAGGGGGGACAACGACGGGGAATGGTTGCTCGAAGGAGAATGGCTTCGACTGCTACTCGCCGAGAGTGGGGGAAGGAGGTGACGAGCACCGCTAGAACCGGAGGGGGAGGGAGAGATCCGGCTAGGTGTTGGCGTGCCATGATCTTGATCATCAGCTTGGAAATAGACGTTCAGGTCGACCGGGGTGTATGGAGAGATCCCAGGTCCGAGTCCGGCGAGTTTGGGGTTCTTGAGACCCCTAAGGAGATCTCGACGCTGGTAATTTGGCGTCAAGTGAGAATCGTCTAGGTGCTGGTTCTGCTGTGCCATATTATTATCGTCATAAAGTTGGACATTCAGGTGCTCGGCGTCGTTTGCCATGGCAGTGGGCTGTACGACAGCGGAATCCGAAGTGGCTCTACGGAATCCGGGAGGCGTGCCTAGGAGCTCTTCCTCATATCCCAGAGGTACAGGTTGACCTAGAGCTGACATGATGGTATGGCGAACTCGAAGCGATGTTGTAGCGAAAGGTATGATTTTACCCCCGAAAGGAGGTGTAGAAGAGAGGGGTTTTTCGCTCTTTCGAGGTCCCAAAGGGATGGTGCGCTTTGTTAGGCTTCTCTAGGTAGTTGATCTTTTCTTGTTTTCCTGAATGAGTGTAGCTGAGGACGGTACGAGTAGTAAGTAGCAGATGCACCAACATCTCGAGGTCAGGTAGTTTGCACACTAGCACTACTACTAATTACTGAATCTGATCCCGAGATGAGAGAGTGAGCTAGAGTGAAGAAGTCCGAGGGCTCGGCTCTTCTTCTTGTCGTGCTGTGCTCTCGATCCCCCGCCGATAATGTTTCAGATCCCGCGAACAGTCGGCACAGCGCACAGCGTACACACACACACTCTATGATATCGCAGTCGGTCATTGTTGGATTGGTATCTACTCGCTTATTAGTGTACTCGTGTACAAACATGTACAGACATCGCTCCCACTGCTTCTGTATCTCAGTGCCACGGTGGTACAGGTATGTCTGCGCTCGGACGGACCGCCCGAAATCGCTAACGATGTGTTCCTTTTGCGCGCAAACCTCACTCCACAGCGGTCCGGCATGGATCATCATCACAGGATACATTTGTATTTCCTTGCTGTGGATGGAGACTTGTTGGGCATGGTTGAAAGAAATCGCAGCCGAAGAAGTCGAAGGGGGACGTTTCCGGCTTCTAATGGCCAACTCGGTCTTCTGCTTGGCCTTGCTCATCGCGCTGTTGGGTGCGTCGAAGTTGTTGGCTGGGGTCGCAGTCGCGGATAGTACGACCCCTCCGGCCTGCATTCGGGGTGGTCACTTCTGTGGGGACGAGCGCTCCTGTAAAGAGCCGAGGCGAATGACGTACTATATCGATGACGGCAGACATCGCTCACAAATCTCGATTAAGACATACAAGGTACAGGTTCACAACATTCTCGTATTCCCACAAAAGACACCGGTCGTCAATCTCTTTTCATACGCCAAGTTCCTCCTCTACTCGATCTCCCCGCCCGTCAAAGTCGGATCGACGCGATAGACCTCTTCTCCCTCGGCGTCGCCCTCGGCATCAGCTTCACCTTCAGGTTCAGCTTCAATCTCGACCTCGCCGATCTGATGCTCATGTCCCCGTCGTTCCGTCTGTTCCCGCTCAAAGACCTCTCGGATGAGTCGTTGCGCGTCCGAAGCTTCGTCCGAATGACCGTGATGAACATGCTCGTGACCGAGAGCGGAATGTTCGCTGTTCAGGGTCGGCTCGTAAGGTAGGTGATGCTCCAAGCGGCCCCCCAAGCTCGAACTGTTCGCTCGTCGAAGCTGGTGACGCTCCGACTCGACATCTCGGTCCCGCGCGAGGTCGAACCGACCATGACCACGAGCGAGATCACTGAGCTGATCGATCTGACCGCCGTCTCCCTGTCTCGCAACGGCGTTGACAGCGGCACTGACGGCCATGAAACCGATATCGTGGGATCCATCCTGGTGCAGCTCGGGGTCCACGTGGGAGAGGTACGAATGAGCAGGATGAGCTCCTCCCGCTTCCAACCCTTCGGCTCCGAGCTGGTGCTGATGTTGGTGACCGCGCTCTCGCTCGTGCTCCTCGTCCCCGATTTGAAGGTCGACAGTGACCGTATCGTCCTCCTCGTTCCCCCCAGTCCTCGTCTGTCTCCTCTTCCCACCGACCGCTTTCGCCGTGACGACCTGCAGGTTATGCCTCCTCCCGAAACTTTCCATCCATCCGGAACTCATCTTTGGTCGAGAGTCCACCGGCACCTCCCTCTCATCACACACGGCAGCGTACCTCTGCCTGATCATGTCGGTGGTGACCTGTTCTCCCTGTTCCTGTAGGTCCAACATCGCGTTCCCCACATCATCGTCGATCTCGGGGTGATGGATCCGATGTTTCGTATGAGATCGCTGGGAGGTAGATTGTCCTGCAGCGTTGGCCAACTGGATGCTCTCGGCATTCTTGATCCAGCGGGACAGACTCGATTGGGTGATCGTCATGTCTGGGTGACGCTGTTTCCAGATGACCACCGTAGACGCTTGTCCGCGGCCTGACGTGATGTGATCACGCACGATCTCTTCCCTGAGGGCGTTGGTGATGTGCTTGAAGCGAGGACGAGGTTCGGGTTTCGCACGTTTAGGGACGAGATCACGAAGGTCGGTCTTGCCGTTCAAGCTCAAAGAGCGTTTACGCGGGTTGATCGAGCTGGTCGCATTCGAACCGGAAGCGATCGGAGTGTCGATAGCAAGGTCCGAATCGACATTCATGGAAATGTTGTTCAGGGTAGGTTCGATGAGGGGTAAAAGGGATGGATCCCTCTCGACACCTGCGGGATTGATCAGATCGCGCGATCAGCCGAGGTCTAGCACCGATCAGATCGCCATCAGGGTGACGTACGATACTCTTCATCCTCCGCCTCGTGCTCATCACCATCAACGCCCCTCTCGGCAGCCTCCAGCAGATCAGGCCTTCCCTGGACCATCTTCTTCCACAACCCGCTCTGATCGACGGACAACTTTGTCCGCTTGTCCATCCTCCTCATCTTGAGCTGCCCGGACAGTTGTTCCGCGGCCAACGCCCTCTCGCTCGAACGACACAGTTCGAGGACATCCCGCTCGTGTTCCGTGAGAGCAGTCTCGATCCCCTGACCTTGTGCGTGCTCCTCGACGTGGCTTTGAGCATGAGCGGTGAGCTTGGCTTCGAGGTGTTGGGAGACTCGGTTCAGTGTCGTCTCAAACTCGGCAGAGATGGTGTCTCGAGCTTGGCGTATCCGAGTCAACGTGACCTCGTTCGCCAAAGCTGTCAAGGGTACAGGTGGTGGTGTTGAAGTTCCTGCCATGTTGTCGGTCTGTTTGCTGTGACGTTATCCTTGAGTGGGGGACCGGGTTCGGTGATCGTTAGGTGAGTGGGATGGGTTAGTGGATGTCGAAATGGTTATTCGCTATCTCAACGGTTGGGACGGGATCGGGAAGAGAGGCAAAAGGGGACGAGGGCGCGTTTGCTTCCGCATCCGGGGCGTAACTCGTGATAGTACGTACTGGATGGTGGTATCTACATGCTACATGCAATTACAAGACAAGCTGAGTGCCTAATCGTCCTCCTCTCTCCTTCCTGCCAGCGACGACCTCCTCTGCTGTAGATCCTAGTCGGACATGACGCTATCGGCATCGTGGAAAGGCGAATATTCGTAGTCCATCGGTCGCCTCATCGCCGAGGTCACCCAGTCCTCGTCGCTATCCTCCAGCGCGTATCCAGGTCCGCCCGTGTATGACAAGGCCACGGGGAGTAGGATGAGGCCATGCAGAGCTCCAGAGATGATTAATGCTAGCCACATGCGGAAGTAGTAGACCTAGGGACATTGAGACGCCCGAGCAAATAATCAGTCTCTTTGAACGTGTACTCTAGGTTTGACAGTAAGCGACTGACCTCCAGCAGTTTCGACCGGGTGAGAGCGAGTACCGAAATTCCAATCAACTTGGTCATGGTGATACCCGAAAAGACCTGCGGAAGATACCACTAGTCAGACTACCGGTAATACGAACAAGTGCAGTTCACATGGGCGACTCACAGCAGGCCCGACGTCTACCAAAGCTGCCTGAGCCCTCTCATCCCTCTCCTTGCCTCCCGAGGGGTGATCATAAGGCAACCCCTGCCCGGCGCCCATGAACGCCCTGGCGATGTGCGAACAGAATTCGACGGCGATCCCGAGCGAGATGACGAGGTTGACGAGGGAGATGGCGTTCAGGCTGATATGCCAGTAACCCATGACGCCCATGACGTTGAGGACGGCTGAGAGGCAGACGACGGTCACCGTCGCTCCGGTCCTCCAGCTCCCGAGGAGGATGGTAGTTATCGCCATGACGGCGACGAGGGCCAGGAACAAGACTTCGATGGTCATCGATGTGATGTAGGCGTACTGCGACATCAAGGTGTGAGGTGAGCTCGGTCTTCACGATTTCTGCTCTCATGATAGATCAGGGGCGACAACTCACCTGCTCGAAAAACACGTAGAATAGCGAATAAGGGTAGGTTTCGACCCCTGTCCTCGCATGTATATCGCTAGCCACCCGCTTGGCAGCGGCGAGCGCGTTGATGAAATCATCCTGTGTCTTCAGCGGCGCGTGGAACGTTCGGAAATGGGAGGCGACTACCGAGGAATTGTCAGATGCCAGCGAGACGGCCGAGCTGTACGGTGCTTGGCCGCCAAGCGGGCACTTGTCGTCTGTCGGTGTTGCTAGCCATTGTTGCATGTATCGCATGACTTCGGGACCTTCGGGCAGCCCTTGCATGGTAATATCCCATTCTGGCTCTCGATCGGCAAAGCAAGGTTTGCACAGCCGTTCAGAGTCTCGAGCTGAGCAGAATACGTCCGGGTCGTTCTTTCGGACTCGACAACACGTATCCAGCGCAGGGTCCGTCCAGTGCAAGAAATCGTCGATCCACGGAGCTGGAGGGTTCGCGATAAACGAACTCTCGGGACGTTTGCGCTCGGCTTCGAGCGAATTGGCTACGGAAAGGTCCATACAGGTCGTGAATCGTCCACAGAGCTGTTGTTGCCCGTGTCGTGAAGTAACATCGACATTCTTCGTGACAAAGTAGACGGGCGGTCCAACGTCGAGATAGGCGTCGAGCGCATCAAAGTAGTCAACGAGGTACGAGTCGGAAGGTAGGGCAAGGCGTTGGTCTGCATGATAGGCGAGTGTCAGGCTGTGTGTCTCAGGCAGAAAGAGTCAATGATGGCGACTCACTGAGACCCATAGTGATACGTTGAATCCCCACAACCGCGACGATGAACAACCCTCCGAACGCGGCGATGACGATCTGTTTAACCTCTCGCTTCAAGAGGAAAGGGGCGTATACCCGTCGCATGAAGCGAGTCATCATGGATTCTCCGTTGTTATTGACGGCGTCCGGGTCCACGTCGTACAGCCCGACAGGGGGGCGTAAGCGGATGCATGGCAAGCAGTCCATGCGGAAATCCTGAGAATGTGGTCTGTCAGTTGTCTTTACAGTATACGAGAAGCCCATTGCAACTCACTTCCGCTCGCCTAAGATCCAGAGTCATCGCGCTAACAAATACCGTCACTTGCAGCAGGGCGCCTAGAAGAACGCTTCCAGCGGCGTAGAGAGCAAAGTTGCGGACTGCAGGCATCGGCACCAGCGCACCGAGACCGAATGCTACGATCTCTGTAGTCGAACTTAGCAAGATCGAAGGGCCCATCCGAGCAAGAGTTCGCGCGACCCTTTCCTCTGCCGGTAGATGCGAGGGAGCTTCCATCTCTCCGTCAAGAGATTCCGTATATGCACCACTGGGACCTCGCGCGGTCTTCGAACCTGGCCCGTGAATACTGTTTTGCCGATCCAGCTCGTGAACGAGGATGAAGACGTTGTCCACCCCTACAGCCAGCACGAGGAAGGGAATGACTTCAGCGATAATGAGGGTGACTCGTACCCCCATCCAAGAGAACAAGCCGACTGAAGACGAGACGGCGATCAATACGATGCAGATGCCGAACAGGCCCAGCAGTGACTTGGATTTGACTGAGAGTAAGGTTGAGAGGAGAGATGCCATGTATTGCCGTTTCGGTGGCGGTGTTCCCGCACGACCGGAAGACTGCCCCCCTTCAGATGCCTTTCTCAGCTTAAGCATGACCAGCGCGTCCACACACAACTCTCGCAAGCCAGCCAAGACACCATGTTCTCCGAGGAACAAGTCTGGGCTGACGCCTCCGCCAAGCGTCAAGGAGACATAGAGGAACATGACGAGGTAACTTGCCACCACGATACGGACGTCGGTATTGGTACTCTGCGCGCACGAGATACGCAAAAGTCTATTAGCCTTCCATCTTCCCTTCCTCAGGATACATAGCCTACTGACCTTGTTCAATTCCGCCTCAAGGCTTACTTCGGTCGAGTAAGCTATTTGGACATTTGCCTGCTTCCTGGAATTGGCTTGGAGGTCCGCCAGATACTTTTGTAAAGTTCGCTCCCATTCGGCAGCCTTCTCGACCTTGTTCTCGTCGAGAGAGTTGGCGACAACGTAGGTAATGACCAGGCTCTTGGCGTTCAGCCATTCGCCTTGAGCGCCTCCCAGTACGAGCTTCGGATCGATAGGTTGGCCAAAGTCAGGCAGACACTCTGCAGGCGAAACCGCACAGTCTCGAACCCGGGTTTCCCATCCGTTCTCTCCTTCCGCGTCCCATTGACTCATATCTGTACCGAGCCAAGCCGATACCGATTGGACTACACATGGCGATCCAGGTCCAGCGGGTGCGAAGCAGACGTCCTGAAGCGTGTAACCATTGGGTTCGGATCTGAGCTCGGCGATAGCTGCTTCGTGTGATAGCCACCAGTCGAGGGTATCGTACGACAAGACGTTCGTAGCGGGCGGTAGTGTTCCTGATGTAACGATATCGCCATTGCCTTCCAGGCTGGATCTAGGCGGTACGCCCATGACAAAGATCTGCTCTGCCCGGTAGAACGGTCCGAAGTGCTCGTCAAAGTATGCTTTTTGACTAGCCGCCTCACTTGACGGAGATACCCAAAGTCGTACAGGGTTTGTCTCGACCTGGAAGTATTTCCAGCCAATGTTCAGGATGGCGATACAGAGAGCGGCCACTCCGAATGTCAATGCTGGAGAGGAAGCACAAGTCCACCCGAGTCGATAGAAAAATCCTCTCAGTACGAGGTTAATCTTGCTTCGTCTCGGTTGCAACTGGTCAATTGGGTCGAGCAAGCTGGCGCCTCGCCCGAGCCGGAAACGACTTGACCCGCTTGGTGCCGTCGACTGTACCTCCCCGTTACCGGGAGTGTGCTGTCTGTCGTCTCCGTCCAGGCCACCAAGATCGTTAGAGTACTCCTCTCGAGCTGACGATGTGTGGTGTGAGAATGGATTTGCCCCGCTCGCCTGCGTAGGGGAAGTGAGAGGAGGATCCGTCATGGCGACCCGCTCGTAGCGCTTCTGTCGGTGTCGAAGGGAGAGCTTCCACGAGTAGGCGGAAAGGCCGGCCAGAATCAGGACAGCGTAGATGATCAGAAGACTGAATGTCAAGCAGGAGACGGATCCGACTGTGCACCGAGGATCGTTCGGTGCCCGAGGTGGCTCGACGTAGGGCAGGCTAGCACACACTTCAGGACAATCGACGCAGGTACACCGCGAGTCGAGACCATTGTCGGAACAGTTCAATGGGCGATATGTCAAGGGAGATATGCCGCTAGGAAACTCCCGATCGAAACCCGGTGAAGTCTTGGGAATGCTGATTTGGAAAGGGGACCCGAGTCCAGGTCGGTAGGCACCCATGTACTGAAGAAAGGCGTCAGGGGTCTTGGCCCCACCGCCGATAAGGTCCATCGCAAATCCGTTTGTGGCTCCGAACTGCACGCTCTTGCAGCTATCGTAGAAGCCATTCTTGACCTTCTCGCTAACGTAATAGTCCACCTCCTTGACCGCTTCGTCCCCAGAATCTGTCTTTTGCGTCGAGACGACGTCAAGGAAGAGAGACTGATCGGGCGAGCAGGTGAAAGTGCAGTGGTATGACCGAAAGTTGTTGCGGCATGCCGGGCATGATGAGAGGATCGGTTCAGCTTGTTGCAACGACGACCGTAGGGTCTCGACCTGATCGGCTGTACAGCAGACGGTGTCCGGGATCGCCCATGCGGGTCCACAGACTTCCCGCAATGCCTGTTTCAAATCTTCGTCCGCCTGATTGATTCCATATGACGAATTGATTCAGCTCCAGCCATACCAGTAAGTAGCCATACTCTGCTCACCTGATCTGCTTTTCCATTGTCAGGACATGGTAGAGCTTGTCCGAAGATACCTTTCTTTCCGCAACTACCTCGCATCGAGCATAACCCTTGCTCCCTGCGGGGTATTGTACTATTCTTCCACATGTTCATGCTGTTGGGGTTACACTGCGCTCCTAGAGATGAGGTATATGGGTGTGTGGTGTATGATATATGCTAACTCGTTGAAAGGAACCTGGCAAGATGGTCGCCTCCGGCGATATCCGACCGGACGTGGTGAAGTCAATAGCTGCGAGGTGCGTACCCGTGTTCGTGAAGGGATCGTAGGTGGACAAATCTGGTAGCCTAATGATAGTACCAGGGAATGTTGCTGCCTAACAGGACCGACCAATCTTTGACGTGAGCCAGTCGTTGATGATAATCACCTCTTGAATGGGATCATGGTCACCCAGCTGGCGTCATCGTACGAGCTTCGAGATTGTCAGAAATGACTATGCGTTATGGCTAACATGCTCGAAAAGGGTATCGTTTCATCTCATCGACGGTCTTCGTCTTCTTGCTACAGGGGATCTGGGTAGGCTGTTGGCCTTTTTTACAGTATCCGGAACGCTAGAGAGGGGTCCCATTATAGTTTGCTTCGCATATGTTCGCTGTAATCTTTTCCCATCATACCCTCGATCTACCGCTCACGCTCTCGTTGCCACCCGGTCCAACCGAAGCCGAGTATTCTGAGGCGGTATTGTTTTCGGTCACACAGACAAGAGGGAACGCTCCTTGCTTGCCCGCATCGCCATGGTTCCCAGAGACTATCTGTCCCGTGCCCCTATAGGATCCCGACGTACTTAGCTTGGGTTGAGCTGGCCTGCAACGCAGTCGCGACTCACCATGCATCGTCGTATATGCGTAGGACGACCAATTTCATGCCGGGTTGTAACGAGAGTTCGTCTGGCAAAGCGGCCGTGTAGCTAATAGCGACGTCATCAAGTCAGCGTCGGAGTCGGAGACCAGACCTAGATGTTGGTGACTTACGGCCATAGCACCGTCACTGTCGAATTTGGCAGGATCAGGTGTTCACCACTCTGGTTTTCATCTCTCACGCTGCTCAACAACGCTCTTTGCTTGTCTGGTGGCGCTCCCGTACCGACAGGTTGACCCAGAGCGATCGGAGCGGCAAGACCCATCGCCCCAGCCTTATCTGCAGCAGACAATGTCGATGCTCCGCCAAGCATGGTCCTTGAGGACATCGCACCCGTCCCAGATCTTCCCAATTGACTCATCTGCGGGGTCATCATACTGCCATCCGGCGAAGGAGAGACCTCACCGGGATGATGACCAAGCAAGGCAGCGTTGTGAAACTCGGAAGCCGGATGGGCTTCAGTCGAAGCTGAGCTGTGTTTGAGCGCCCGGGATTCCGGATGTCGTTGATGTTTGCGTCGACCGTAACCGCAAATCGAAAGAACCCCACAGAAAGCCAAGAGCCAGAGCAACATACCCAGGACCTGGAAGATCGAACAAGATCCGCTTTCAGCCTGGAGCTTATACGGACGCGAAACAGTTGTCAACTCACGAGTAAGCCGCCGATGACGCTGCCCACGACAATCCCAGCGATCTGTCCTCCGCTCAGTCCACCACCCGCTGTACTCCCCGAACTCCCTTCATTACCCTGACTAGCGTTTGGTTGTGGTGGCAAGTCCGCCAAGGAGTAGAGGCAGTTGGTCAAGTCCGTGTTGTCTGTTGACATAAACGACACAAGGCAGTCCTGGATCAGTCTGTTGGCCTCGAATCCGATGAGACGGGAAGGTACGGGGTAGATCACGGGACTAACTTGAATAACAGCAATTCTCGGGGGCCGTCGAATTGCAGAAAGCACACAGCTGGTCGGTAGACGGTCCGTACCCGCAGTTGCCCTCGTTGGTGTCTCCGGCAACGCAAGTGTCGGTATTGTTCGTCGCCAGGGTCTGTACGACAAGACCCAGTTGGGGTATAGATGAGTGGTGTTGTTGACAGATGGAAGGCAGAGGTGAGATTACAGTACTCACTGTCCAGTTAGTACATTGGACGAAGTCTTTGGTGATGTTCCTATCCCTCGCCCCACCCGTCAAATCGGGCCCAGGACAGTCTGAGGGACGAGTGATCATTTGAAACAGAGGTCAGATTACGTATTCAGGGTGCTTTCGAGCGATATCCGAAACTCACACTGCTGATTCTCGACGATCCGTTGTTCGTCCTTTGACATGGCGATACAAGAGTCTTGGCAGATCATCTTGGGTCCCGTAGCTGCATTGGATTCGTCTGGCAGGATCAACAGATCTTCACATCAGCCTGCCCATATTTCAATTTCGCCGACCTAACCTCGCCCAAGAATCGACTCACCGTACAGATCGAAACACTCGATCGACCACCTCGAGTTCACCCAAGACGAACACAACATCGTCCTGGCATACCTCAACATCGTCAAACTACTGTTCGTACATCCGAGCTGTTCGACAAACTTGGTCTGTCGGTACTGATCCGGATCGCTGAGGTACCGAAACACACCGGCATCAAAGGATGCCACCGAATCGACCGAGCTGAAGAAGGGGAAAGCGTTGGAGAGGTTTTGAGGGTGAACCCATGCGGTGGAGAATCCTGGACAGGCTGTTGAGCCAGAGAGACGGAGACAGCCGTTGGGGGTCGTCGACTGGGAGAGGACGGGTTCGACGAGATGGGTGGTGTACAGGAGGAAGAGAGGGGCGAGCAAGGTCACTCTTGTAGACATGGTCATCCTTGGGAGGATTCTGCTGACGGGTCCAAGCTTGTTCCAGCAGGTAGTCGTCAAGTAGAGATTCGAACGGTCCCCGTCGAGCTTTGAGGTTTCCAGCTGAGAGGCTATGTAGCTACGATCTTATGAAAAGGACGATCGGTCGTAAAGGCTGCAAGCTCTTGCGCTCTTGCCTCTTCTAGCTTTTAGGTTGAGATGTCCTCGAGGCGGATCGCTCCTTATCGAGCTCGTCGGCTTGAAGAGATCCACTTGACTGAGTATCTCGATTTCTCATCAGCCATTCGGCTCGGTCATGGCTGTTGCGACGATGGAGTTGCCCACCATCGCCCATGCTCTCGGCGGCGGGGAGGCAGAAATGATTCGTTCCAGAGAAGGGAAGCGTCCGAGCTCAAAGGACCTCTCCCACCCTCACAACTTTCGTTTCGATCGCTGATCACTCTCGCTCCCGTCACTCCCTCATCACGCATACCTCACGCGAGCCGCGGCACAAGAGCCAGCGACACACAGACCGATAAATGTTTCGGATTCATTCACCGATTCGAAAGCCCCGAATCCACGAGGTTATCCTTCCGACCCTTCATCTCGGTTCCCAATTTTGGCTCCGCTCCCACTCCATCGTCCGGTAGCCAGAAGAAACAGGTCAAAGGATTCGAGGATCAAGGACCCCTACGCGCCTATGCCTGCGTGCTCCGGGCTCGTCAACAAGACGCCCGAAATCTACCACCTATCGCCACTCGACGTTCGGACAGGATGTAACCAGTGCCTGGTTCGGACTTACTTTGAACATTTCACGCCAACACATGGCATGTGCGATCGCCGAAGCGCATCCCGAAGAAGGATTACACGCCCAAAGCAGCAGAAAGCCTGGCGTTTTACATCCTGTTGCAGGCGACCCACAACGCCACAACACGCCAAGAAACACTCACGGGGTGGCTCCAACTGAAAACGGCTAGTTCAGACGAAGTAAGCTGAGGGCCTGTTCGCGAGTCATCTTTCAAAAAGCGACGTTTTTGCCGGCACCCCACGTTTACTAGTGAATTGTTAGCGGCGCCGGGGTTACGGAAGAAATTTTGCTTTATGTAATTCTGAGCCGTTCGCGAACAGAAATCGAGACAGAAATCGCGTCTAGAGCTGAGACTTCTAGCTCAATATTCAAAACGACTTATCGAACGTCCTTTGAAAGTACGATTCCAACAACCACTTCAAACGACCGCTGTAGCTCGACAACGACATAGTAGAATCCAATAATGTCGGTTCGGGATGATCAAGAAGATGACGACCTGTCAATAGTATCTCAGCAAGTCACCGTACGGCAATTATTAGTAGTTACACAGACCTATATTGAAATCCTTCGAGGAACGCTCACTTCCGCCCCCCCACGACCTATTTTACACGATCCCTTCAAGGGCCCCGAAATCGTCGCCCAATGGCACAGAGGACACCCAGACGCTTGCCACGACGCTATAGGGATGTCGGCTGAAGGCCTACGACGTCTAACTCGCCACATCGACCGCCACAACCAAGTCAAACCGTCTCGAACGGTCGATCTCGAGACGAAGATAGGTATGACGCTCTGGATGTTACGCAAGGCAGCCTCGAACCGTACGACCAGAGAATTCTGGCAGTTCTCGCAGGCAAGCGTCAGCAAGTAAGTGCCCACAGCCGCTGGCCGGCTGGGCTCGCCAACTGATCGATTTTTCAGGTATTTTCACCAAGTCTTGAACGCTCTTTTTCACCCGACGTTCTATGGTGAATATGTTCGACAATCGACATCAGACAACCTTCCCCTCGACCACGAACGTTACCAAGACCCTAAGTATCATCCTATAACCAAGCGGTGCATTGGGGCCATCGACGGAACACATATTATCGCTACGCCGCCGGCGAACGACGCAGCGCGTTTCAGAAATCGATATGGCTACCTCTCCTTCAACGTCCTCGCTTGCGTACGATTTGACGGCCTATTCTCTTATATACTAGCAGGGTGGGAAGGTAGCGAACACGATAGCAACATCTACAGGGCGGCGGTGGCTCAAGGACTTCGAATCCCCGAAAAACACCACCTCTTGGCCGACGCCGGCTACGGCCTCGACTCTCGGCTAGTAACCCCGTATCGTGGAGTGCGATACCACTTGAAGGAGTGGGCGAGGGCAGGGAACGGGTGAGTTACCAGCCAAATCGTGCCCTGTGGCCCTCCCTGACTTCCTTACTGACGGGCTGAACGCATATCGACTGGGCAACATAGACGACCTCGCGATCCGAAGGAACTCTTTAATTTACGACATTCTAGCTGTCGAAACATAGTCGAGCGGGCCTTCGGTATCGTCAAGGCTCGCTATAAGGTTAGTACCTTCTCCCTTGACCCTCTTGACGTCGTCGGTAGCGAGTAAACGACGTTTCAGACCATCGAATACCGTGATTTGCGACCTCGCGCTGACGACCCTCTTCACTCCCCCCCGATCGACACCCGTTTCGCTATAGGTCCTCAAAACCGGCACGACGTACCCCATGCCCACGCAGGTTAAGATCATCTACGTCTGCTTCGCCCTCCACAACTTCATCATGTTACAAGGGGACGGAGACGACGATTGGCGAGACGATGAAGTCGACGCGGAGGGGGATGTCGAGGGTGTCGACGGAGATGACGATGTCGACGTTCCCCCTCGACCGACCGGGAGTTCAAGGGCAGAGGAACGTCAGGCTACGCAGAGGAGGAATAAGATGGCGAATAGGATGTGGGGAGAATATCAGGACTACCGTCGTGGCATGAAGTAGAATATCTGTTGAAATAACGTACGATTTCACCACCTATCGAACTCCGTTCCTCTCGACGTACGAGACCGTTTTGCCGCTCGATCTTCCTCTTCCCTGTTCTCCCTGTCTTCTTCCATCTTTACTATGCGTCTGACACTACGTTCCAGGAACGCTGGAGGTACAGCCAGGAAAGCTATCGCTCGAGTCGGCCGATCGGTAAAGTAGTCGACGATTCGACCGTGTTCTTGTTCGTCGAGTTTGTACTCCTCGACAACGTCGGCTAGCTTCGCAAAGGCCCTCTCTAGAGAGGTCTCTGGGTCTCGTTTGGCTATCTCAACGAGCCGTTCATCTAGTCGATCGAGTCGTTCGGCTAACTCGTTTTGTTTGGTCGGCCGTTGACGTTTTTGCGGAGGCTTCGAAGGAGTCGAATTGAGGTCATCGTCGGTGTCGTCGGAGGAATCGCTGTGTGAATTTACTAGTAAACGCCTAGCAAAGTCACACGACGTCACCTTTGAACAAACCTGGCGTCCTCTTTGGTGTTTTTTCCGACTTGATCTTGACTTCCCTGAAGTTGAGGTCCGGCTTCAGCGAATGGATTAAGTGCATATCGTCCATCGGCCACGGTGTCGGAAACAAGGGCATCTAATTGATGGTACAGCTTGTAGGGCCTGTTCCGCCAAGATAGAAGGAGTTTGCTGCGGGGAGTCTAGGTATATAAGGGTCGAAGTAAGTAGGTGATCTCACTGTAAAGGAGGTCGAATCGTCGTTCGTTCTTGACGTCTAGGTCGACGCGTACGCGTACGCGATATCGATATACGCTACCTCGACGAATCGACCTAGATCGACGTCGACACCCTTATACTAACGTTTAACTCTTTCAGTTCTTGCCACGCCCTCTCAGGCAGGGTCACTACATGTCTCTCGTCGTCCCAGCCAGAGCCAGACTTCGCCATCAGCTCTTTAATAGGCTTCCACCGGTCAGTCTTGAGCTATAGCGAAGTTAGTAAAGTAGATCGACACGATATCGTTCTTTTCGACTAACTGTGTTCAAACGACCTTTACAGGACCTCACGTCTTTCAAACCTCCCCTCTGACGGATGGCGTTCACCTGTAGGGCAACCTCCTCCCATGTGGTCTTCTTGAAGCCGTTATCGGCTCGTTTTCCGGCGACAGCGGCGTCGGAGAGAACGTTGAGCATAACGGCGTCGTCATCTTCACTCCACGAAGCGTTCGATCGCTGATTCCTGTTTGTAGACCCTTGTTCAGACAGTCCTGCCGTCCCCTCACGCCCTGACGTCGTCATTACCGAGGTTTCCCTTCCTACCGTCGATATTACCGACATCATCCGCGCTGAACGATCGGGGAACGTAGAAACCCCCCTCGACGTCTCGTTCGACGTTGAGGGGGTCGAGAAGGGTGGGAACGGTTGCTGGCTATTGAAATATAGGGTCTGAGACGCTGCGAGGTGAGTTGACGGGGTTCTCGACAGCGTTGAAGACGTCATCGCCGGGTTTGGGGTCGAAATCGTCGGTGTCGACGGCGGGGGGTGATTTGACGGCTGCGGTTGTTGGCTGCCCCGAGGGAGAGGCCTGACGGCATGATTTGGCTGGGAACTACTAGCAATTGTGCCGGGGAACATCGTAGACTGGGGCATGATCAAACGAGACGAAAAAATACAATATTCATACAAATATCGGTCTCGACGTCCAAATCGATCGACGATTCGTACTTTGACGTTGGAATTTCGAACCCATGATTCCCTAGTCGCGTCAGCCAAAATCTGGGGGACGCGTTCCTTCATGAAAGTGTCGAACAGAATTCTCGTTCTGTCAAGAAAATATCGACAGAATCGGCGAACAGAATGCCATGTGAACTCGGTGATATATTTGCGCTAGCAATTTGCTAGCGACGACGTATCGCTTCGTTCGTTACCGCTTTGGGCCAATAACTGACGAAAAACGCGTCGAACAGAGGGTCGCGAACAGGCCCTGAAAGTTTTCGACATATTATGGCTTTGTACAGCAAGGGTGATGCCCGCAATTGTTCCTTCAAGGCTCCTGTAATCCAGCGCTCCCAGGAAGTGGCGGTACCCGATGGGGATGGTCGCAGGTCGTGTAGACTTATGGCAGCCATTTGTGACGGTTACAGGGATGTATGAAGCGAGCTCTCTAGCTTGGTGATGATAAGGACTCTGAGCGACACACGGCCATGAACGGTCAATCCCTCCAATTCTGAGCTCCAGGACGCCCGGACACAACGTACCCAGCCAGAAATGAGGCCACATCACATGATTCTGACCGAAACGTAGATGGCCGTCTGCAATCTGACACAAAATCGTCGTTTCAGCCGCAAAGGTCGAACACTGAAATTTCGGATAATCAGGTGACTTCGAGACTCGTAACGCCACTCTTGGTGACGTCACGCGAAAGTGCATTCACGTACAAGCAGACCGTAATCGATTCACCTTGTCCCCAATTCCCCAACCTCTATATCCTCTATCCGGCATGCGGCATCATGTGTCGATTTATGTCGCCGATCCTCACACCAGATGAATACCGAACAGCCTTGTCGCCACGCAAAAAAATCGATAGGGCATTAGGAGGAGGGGTGTAGAAGCTAGAAGATAGATCCCGCACCGACTGGTCATTGACGACGGGATCGGATTTCAACCGGTAATTCACAGGAGGGTATAGGATTCTTCGTCTTCATTCGTACTTGTTAAAGGCAGAAGGAGACCGACCTCGGTGCGTGGAAGAGGAATGTCAGCCTGATCCACATTCGCATGTGCCATCGTATCTAACGGGACTGTCAACACAAGTTGACAAACGATCGACTCCGCAAGCTTCGACACAGCACTTGTTGCCCAGCTGCCAAAAAGAACTTACTATCCGCCTTCTAACGCTGGAAGATGAGCACCTACAACGAGACAGGTTCCTCCGGCCTCGGGCTCAAGATCCTGCAACAATCAGACTTTTACAATGAGGCTTCCATCTTGCATCCCGTCGGTGGGTCTCCTTGCTAACTTCCTACCGCTGAAGCCAGGCTTGACTGATCCAATGTCGCTAATACGCTGTGCATTCGCGTCACGAAATGTGGGGTATCCATAGCGGCGGGGTCGATTGGAATCATGTTCCTCTTCATCTACTTCCGAATCATGAGTAACCGATGTTCAGCACCGGTGACCCTGTTTGATACCATCGTCGGGGTCGCTTTAGGGAGCGTGTTAGGGGCGATCGTTACCGGTAAGCATGATCTATACCAGAAACTTGGGGGTTCGAGACTGTGCTGATGTAATGACCTTGATGGGGGCGATAGGAACATCGCTCACAAGAGGGATCCTTTCCCTGATAATCCTCCTCTTCTTCCAATTCTTCACGCAAGTCCCCCCGTCCCCGAACTTTCTCCCTCATCCATATGCGTCATCACGTACAAACACTTACCTCAATCGCTTCTTTTCCGCCCCTGATCACAGGTCCCTCTGCTCGAGCAACATGGGCGCCACGTTCGAGCGCATTGTCGCGTCGCCTCCCCTTGTCATCGCCTTTCGCGGCCATCAATTGGACAAGGTGATGAGACAGCACCGGATCTCGAAGACGGATCTGAACTCGGCGCTGAGAAAGTACGGGATCTGGAACATCAAGGAGGTGGAGTGCGTCATCATCGGTGAGTCGTGATGGAGGTCGCTTCCCTACGAAAGGGGGAGATTGTGTCGTCGAGATGTTGATTTGATCTGGACTGTCGGCAGAGTCTACCGGATTATTCTCTGTCTACAAGAAGTGCGATTTCCCGAACGACATGGTAAGCGCATCGCTTCCCCTGCTTCTGACTATCCCAAGAATCCAATACCAACATGTTTCCCTTTCGCCCCTGCTTTGCCCTTGACAGGAACCAGAAGTACTCCTGGACATCAAAGGCTATCGAAAACTACACGAAAACCATCAAGCGAACGGCAAGGACACACACGAGTGTTCGAATGACTCTAGGGACGATGATATCGCTGAGGAGTGCGCATGAGATCGATCTGAGTCGGATTGGGTTCAGAGCCGGGGAGGGAGCGCGCTGAAGGGAATTCACTGTATCGTATGTACGAGTCTGCGTTTGTGTATCGTGGGTTGTTTCCTATTTGAGTGTAGCTTGCAGTTGTTGTAAGTGTATCGCATCATGACTTCTCGTCGGGGCCTTGACGATGGTGTGCTCCTCCTTGATTATATATGGTGTGAGATCAAGCGAGTATACAAAGTACAAGACCTTCCTGATGGACCAGGACCATAGCGTCGCCTGTCTAGTCATCTTCCGGGCACGTCTCCGACCGACCATCCCCCCGTCCTTGACCGCTGTGATTCGGTATAAGCCAAACTGATCGAGTTCGTAGGCCATTCACTAAACGCCACATGGAAGGTATGGAGGCGTGGCAGGTCGAGACGAGGCGAAGATGTAGGGGGAAGACGACTGGCAAGAAACCCCCGTCCCAAGAGCGGCATCCTCGTTCCTCAATCGCAAAGATCCTGCATGCTTCGCAAGATCTGGTCCTTTTCCATGGCGATCCCCTTCAATTCTTCCACCTTTTCTTTGGGAAGTCCCTGACGTTCTGCGTCTTTCCACGCGGCGTAGGCTTGAGAGGCTTGTTGTTCAGAGATTGCGAGTTGGGCTTTTTCGGATCTGACGAGGGGTAGGAGGTGAATATGGCAAGAGGATGGATCGAAGGCAGAGTTGATGATAAGCAGGCGAATTGTTTTGTCTGCAAGACCTGTTGCCAGAATTCAGAGAAGGTTGTGACTCACTCGCTATACTTCTTCAACGGGTTATCGACCCCGGTGGTAGCGTAATCAGGAGCGGACACCTTGGCCTGGGATTTTGTTTGATCGGGTTGAGTTGACATGGTTGGCAGGAGGTTGTTATCGTCGTCGTCGTCGTTGTCATCCAAAAGCAGGTAATATCCGGCGGGTCTGTATGGAACGAGAGGTGGATGAGAAGAGGTACGAGACAAAGCTTGGGTATATCTATCTCTCCATGGTCAGAGGCCCAGGTTAGGGGGCCGCGGGATGACGTGGGCCGATCGTTCGACATTGTCAACAAACGATCGATAATCACGTGACGAGACGATATGACGGACAGATCGTACTGTTCTGATGTCCGCTCGCTCACTTTTCGCTGTGGAACCGCTCGCCCGCCTGTTCTGATCCTGGTGACCCCGCGAATTTCTGTCTCTATCGCCGCATTAACTCCCGTCGACTCGTACTTTTTGTTTCCGCCCTAGCCCAGGGGGAGAAGCGTTCTCGCCTTGGGACCGCTCAATCCCAAAGATTATCTCGAGAAACAGCCAGCCAGCCTACACACACTTTCTCTGCAGCTACAACAGGTATATAACCCCCCCAACCCCCCAACCGACCTGTCCACCCGAAAAGTACTTTCCTCTCGCCACATATTCCTTCACTCCAAAAACACAACCTCGTACACGTCCTCCTGTCGAGCCAGAACATTCCATCTGTGAGTGCTTTTAGCAAGTGAATCGTCATGTCGGACATGACCGAAGTAATCTTTACAAGAGCTCGCAACTGACTCTACAAACAACCCCTACAACCATAACAGTCCCTACCTAAAAGTACAAACCACAGACTCGCTCAAAATGGCCAACGCTCAACTCGCCAGCTTCAAGATCCCCGTCGTCGACAATGAGCCCATGGTGAGTCCCCACAACCCCGGGCAGCGCCATGCTAATGCTCTAGACCTCCGAGCTTCCCGCTGACGTTCCTTTGACCACCTCGTTCCTGTCGTACGTTCTCGTCGACGCATAGAGGGCCTACGCCATGGAGTCGGGCGACCGAAAGAACCTCCAGGCTGCCGTCGCCAAGATGGAGTCTCAGCTCCCCTTCGACATCCCTTGTATCATCGACGGTCAAGAAGTCCGAACCGGCAACACCCTCCCCCAAGTCCTCCCCCACGACCACAAGCGCAACCTCGCCAACGCTCACTCTGCCACCCCCGAATTGCTCGCCAAGGCCATCGAGTCGAGCGTCAAGGCGCAAAAGGCTTGGGAGGATATGCCTTGGGCGGACAAGGCGGCCATCTTTTTGAAGGCTGCCGATCTCATCGCTGGCAAGTACAGGTTCGAGTTGATGGCGGCGACCATGTTGGGACAGGGAAAGAACGCTTGGCAGGCAGAGATCGACGCCGCGGCCGAGATGGCGGATTTCTTCAGGTTTGGTGTGAGTCGTCGTTGGCGGGTCTCTGCAGAGGTCGTCTGTGCAGCTGGCTGACGAGTAAGTTGAATATTGGTATGGGTGCGCAGGTCAAGTACGTCGAGGAGCTCTTCCAGATCCAGCCTCCTAGGAACACCCCGGGTACCTGGAAGTAAGTCCGACCATATGATCTACGTCCGCCCGTCCACGAGTCGCTCGGCTGACCCCTATCTTTACCTGTCTGCGCAGCCGAACCGAGTACAGGCCCCTCGAAGGTTTCGTTCTCGCCGTCACCCCCTTCAACTTTACCGCTATCGGAGGAAACCTCGTCTTTGCCCCCGCCATCATGGGCAACGTCTGCATCTGGAAGCCTTCCCCCGCCGCCGTCTACGCCAACTTTTTGACCCACAAGATCATGCTCGAGGCTGGGTTGCCTCCCAGCGTCATCCAGTTCACTCCCGTGAGTGTCGGTGTGGGGCCGTGGCGCCCAGATATGAATCGGTGATGCTGACTTGGTTGACTGTGAATTATATAGGGTAACCCTCCCGAGATCGTCAAGCAGTGCATCGACCACAGGGACTTTGCCGGTCTCCACTTTACCGGATCCACCCACATCTTCAAGAAGCTCTGGAAGGACATTGCACAGAACCTCGACATCTACAAGGGTTACCCCAGGATCGTCGGAGAGACCGGTGGAAAGAACTTCCACTTGTACCACCCTTCCGCCGACGTCAAGTCGGGCGTCATGCAGGCCATCCGAGCCGGGTTCGAGTACCAGGGACAGAAGTGTTCCGCCCTCTCGAGGTGTTACGTCCCCAAGTCCAAGTGGACCGAGTTTGAGCGCATCTTGAAGGAGGAGGTCAAGAAGATCACCGTCGGACCTCCTACCGAGTGGCAACACTTTGTCGGACCCGTCATCGGACGACCGGCTTTCGAGAAGATTACCGGCATGATCACCAAGGGCAAAGAGGCCGGTGGAGAGATCATCACCGGAGGTACCTGGGACGACTCGAAGGGATTCTACGTTCAGCCCACCGTCATCCTCACCAAGGACCCCAAGTCGGTCACCATGACCGAGGAGATCTTTGGACCCGTCATCACCGTCTACGTCTACGACGACGCCGAGGAGGGTGCTTGGGAAAAGACCTGCCAGCTCATCGACACTACCACCGAATACGCCTTGACCGGTGCCGTCTTCTCGGCCGACCGAACAGAGTTGATCAAGGCTTCCAACTACTTGAGGAACTCGGCGGGTAACTTTTACCTCAACGACAAGTGTACCGGTGCCGTCGTAAGTCGAGCGCCACCGCCTTTTCCGGCGATCCCACACTGATTATTTCTTGTCTCTGTGCATGCTTTCCAGGTCGGCCAACAACCCTTCGGTGGAGCTCGTGCGTCGGGTACCAACGACAAGTCTGGATCCATGTCCATCTTCTACCGATTCGCCTCGGCCCGATCGATCAAGGAGAACTTTGGCTCCGTCGAGGACTTTGCCTACCCTTCCAACAGCGTCTAGACGTAGATGTGTGGGTTCGGTCGGCTTGGGGGTGAGGATGGGGATTGTCTGATGACCTGTCATCTTGTATTATATTACGAACTCAACGAGCAAAGATGCATTCTTGTCCGCGTCTGTTTTGCCGACCTTGTTGGGGTATCCCGCCTTCGTAAGACGCTGCCATATGCGGGCCTCCTCACCGTTAAGATGTCGCAACGGTCATGACAGCCCAGACCAAGTGACTCGTTCGCAGCCCGGAGAGGCGACGCTAGTCTGGCCCTGTGCATCGGGTAATGGCTCAAAATGTCGCTTTCAATCTGCGGCGACTCGACTTTGGGAGCCCAGCAACAGTACCAATGCTGGTGAGGGGATGGAATTATGCGAACGTGGCGGGAAATTGGTGCCACCAACCAGCTTGCCCATTCGAACCAGAACAATGACGTGCAATTATGGCTGTCTCCGTGCCGTCCTACCTCATTCCGGACCTGGACATGTAGTGACAACATGATCTCAGAGCGATAGAATGCCTTGCTATCGAACAGCATCTGCATACCCTCTCGCTCGCAGGAAGGTACGAGAATCGATCTCGAATGGCTTGTCATCAAAGACCTCGAACCCATAGAGCAAGCATCTACGCTGTAAATTCTCTGCTCTCGGTCGCTTGAAGGAGCGCTGTGATCGGCGCATTTGTACGGCTAGGCTGTCTTCGTTCTATGGAAGCATGACAGGCGTCTTGGCGTCGCTGCAGTATAGCGATGGAGTCTACTTCTCCTCATTGTAATTACCGTTTCATCGCGGTGAGAGGAGGTGGGCGCTCACGCGAAACCCAGATCGTAGAGTCCAGCGACTGATAATGCGCTGTGCGCCTGATTCTGGGTTCCAGAACTTTCATTCCCAAGAGCCTGCAAGCCAGCTGAAAGGGATTGAAGGCGAAGATGAGGCGGAACCGAATGGCAGTCGTCCGCTGGTGCTTGAAGGCATGGCAATTCGGTACCGCGGCAAGCTATCAGCAAGCGTCAGACTGAACGCAAGACGGTCGGCTGAATTTTAAACAGGCTCTCAGTCAGATCAGTCAATCGCGCCTAATCGCTGATTGCTAAAGCTCGATCAAGCCCCTCGAACATGTAAAGGTGTCGATAACCTCGGTGACGGAAGCAAGAGCTGGTAGAGGATCACTGAAGGATTCGACGAGCCAGAATCTCCAGGCTTGAGTACCACGCCTGATCAGTTCGACGGTGCACTCAGCACAACGCACCAACTAATCCAACAGGGTCGGGCTATCATTGCGCTGCATTCCCGAGGCGCGGGGGTTGAACCGACCCGACCGGGTGGTTCATGTTTGCACGCCTGCGATCGCTCGATTAGTTTGCCTTTGCGTTTGTGAGCCCGAGCGTTTGATCTGGGCTATAGTTCGTTTTCGTGCAGTATGTGACACCGTTTCTTGTACGAACATAGGCAGAAACTCGGTAGTTTTGGGCACAGATGACTGAACAGGGCCGGATTCGAACCGACGCGATGCGCCGCGCATTTGGGCTTCCACGCAGTCTGTCACCCTGCAGAGTATCCTTGAAACTTCGTGTTCTATATACTCACATAGAAGCTAACATTAACAACATAGTGCGCTCCAGCTTCTGTATACTTGTTTCCAGATGTGGACGAAACACAAATCGCCACCAGTGTCAAGCGCCGAATCTGCTGGCAACATGATTACTTTTCGAAGCTGCCCGGCGTTCGACAGAGAGGTCGTATCACCAGACAGTGGTAATTGATAGGACGAGGTCTGCCGGAGAGCTGTTTATGTGGATACGAGGCCGAAATTCGACCAAAGATTCGACGGCAACTGATTACTTGAGAATGGGTTGATTGACTCCATGCATGCCGTGCCTCGTCTCGGGCTCGACTTGTCAAGGCGATCACGGCGATCACGGCACCTCTTGCGCCTCCTGTTCCAGTCTCCTTCTCATCTGCGCTTCCCCAGAGAGGGATGACGGATGAAGCAGTGGGGTTGGAATAACAGGTTTCAGGTTCTGAACTGAAGCCGAGTTCTTGAAGGAAGACGGACTAGCATCGCTAGCAAGCGCACCAATTGTACTGTCGAAAGTTTGGTCTGGTTCGCAAGCTTCTTCGGTTCCTGGTGCCGCAGAAACCTGCACGGGATTGATTGACCATCTCTTTTCCTTTTCAATCAAGGCGAGAAGCGATGCCGCTCCTGCGGTAGTGTTGGCATAGTATCGTGTACAAATGGCATAATCTCTGCGCAGCCTTTGATAGCGGCTGATACCGCATACCAGCGGTAAAGTACGAATTCAAGTCATCAAGAGTGTCGTCATATTTCGTTAAGCTATCATCATGTTTGCTGTTTACTGGATCCGGATGTCTGCAGGAGTCTTGGGTCAGCGTAAAGCCCACGAAGACGCCGCCCGTCCACTCACCCCAGGTGCTTCCGTGAGCGGTCTCGGTGCGGTTCACGATCAAGTTCTTGCTCGTGTGGTAACCCGTATTATCGCTCTGTCTCAGGAACAATAATGGCAGACTGGAGCCGCCCAACTGTTTGCTTCTGGGGATATTCCCCTGAGCTTGAAGGATCCCGTCAAACGGACGTTTCGTGATCTTGACCAAGGGAGGTTCTAAGCTTTGCAGAGGGGAATCTATCAAGGTAGGTGCCGGCGGGACCGTCCTTGGACGTTTGGGTCCTCCGCGGGGTGCCTTCTCCTTGACCACCTTAGGCTTCTTCTCCTTGGCAGGTTTTTTACCCTTCTTCCCTTTGGACTTGGCAGACGTTGATCCTTCGCCGGCAGTTTCGAGCGAACCGATATCTTCAGGGTTCACGTCCATGCCGGCCAGATTGGCGAGATCGAGATCAGCATCCTCAGCGGCATCGCGAACCTCGCTGATGTGAGCATGAGCCTCGTCCTCGTTCTCAAGCTGCGTGGCATCTGCCAGAGTCGCTTGATGTTGAGCCAGAATGGCATGAGGGTCCAGCATGTCGGAGCCGCTCTGAGCGGCCTGAGCAGCAGCTTCCAGCGCGCGAGCCGTGAATATACCAATATCGGTAGCGACACCCTGGACATACGTCATGTCGTTGTGCAAAATCGAGTCGACCTGTGATCGGGCCGCTTGCGCTGCAAGCAATGCGATCTGGTGTTGGTCGTCTAAGTCAAAGCCTTCAGCGCTGAACGGATTAAGCCCAGTAAAGGCGGACAAGTCCCCATCATGGTCCTGCTGGGCCTGTCGGACCAAATTCTCGACCATCTCCCGGGTGATCTCGTTGTCTTGATGGTCTGACGGCCCATCAACGATATCTTGACCAAAGTTGGGTTGCTGGAGGTCGTGCGGCACAAATTCCGCTTGAGGGAAGTGATTGATGTCGTGCGGTACATCTTCTCCGTCTTGACCCTCGAGATCGTGCGATGCCGCAGGGTGCTCATGAGCAAGTGCAGAGGTCTGCACTGTGGCAGATGGCTCTGTTTCAACGCGTACCGTCGACGCGTCGCCCAGTTGTGCATCGCCGTCAATCTGCATGTCAGACGGGCCAGCTGCCTGGCCAGTTTCCGTACTTGCGTTTGCCGGCTGAGGTGGCTCGAGCTGACCAGAGGATTCGGCGGCATTGGCATTCGCAATGTCCTCCGCGGGTTGGATCCCAGGCTGCCCGTCGCTATCGGTCTTCTTTCTCTTTTTCTTGTCTGAATCTGACTTGTTATACGGAGGAAGGTCGGGAAGGTGGACGTGATCGTCTACACCATCTTCAGCAGCGAGGGCGCTATGGGACAGCATTTCGATCTGAGCTTTGCGTTCATATCTCTCCCTCTCGATTTGGGTGGCATTCCACATGTCTAGCGGATCCGGACAGCTGATGACGAGCACCGTATGCTCCACGTTCCGAGGTACTGCAGAGTATGGCCGCGTCTCGGGTGAACCATCAGGACCGCCGTCTGACGCAATGGCAGGAAATCTATGCGGTTCCTTGTCGACCAAAGACCAGTTGTCCTCCGGCGCGATGGATTGATATGTCCGGACGCGGAGCGGTCCGATCGCTCCCAGATATAGGTAGAGAGGCTTGTCGCGGTAGAGTATGTTGTCATCGTCGTAGAAGTAGTTGGTAACTGCCATCGTTATGGTGTTGTCTCGATCGTTGTAGACAGGAACCTCCAGGATGTCCGGCATGGGTGTTAACGGGTATTTAAAGACGGTGGAGTAGTCTCCGATTTCATGCCGCCCCTCGAAGAAGGTAAAGCTGTGCTCAGCTGAAATTTCAAAGAGCACGAAATGGTCAGTTTCTAGACGCTTGACCTGCCTTGTAAGGGTTCAATGGGACTCACTAATACCGCTGATCGTCCACGTAAGGTAGTCGTCCAAAAATTCCCTCTGCTCAAAGCCCGATTCTCCTGCCTCCAATTTAATCTGTGGTGCACTATACAACGCCGGAGAGAGGCCAGGTTTCTCCTCCGCCTGATCCAAGTCGATCCGAGACGAAGTTTCTCCCGGTATATGCTGGGATCCGGGCGTGTACAGGTCGAGAGAATGGGATTGCGCCGTAATTGGCGTTCCTTCATGATTTTCAGCGGTCCCTGTTAGTGGCTCTTCGGACCTTCCGTCGACTGTTGATTCCTCTTCTTTGCCCTTCTTTGGCTTGCCCTTCTTGCTCGATTGAGCACGAGGTCCACGCTTATCTCTGACTCGTTCGATCATGGGAGAACGAAGGTACCACCTGCCTTGACCTGGCACAGTTTTCGCAAAGGCAATCCTATGCAGTTCCGAGACTGGTCCATAATCGTGCAAGTACACAGCGCCATTGATGACCTTGCATAGCAGCAAGGGCTCCGTTCGGTACTGCGTTTGAATATCCCTGAGGACAACAATACTCCCGTATGTCAGAATCTCGGGATCTTGAACGGTATCTCGGGGGTGACCTGGGGGCGCCTCTCCTCGCCTGACGACGTCCATGACCCAAGCTGACCAGTCTCCGTTCCGACCGACGAGTAGACCCCGGTCGATATCGACGTAGAGATACCGCGTCATGACCGTCTGCGCAGAGACACGAGACCATAGCGCAAAGGGATCACCTATACGGATCCCAATGGCTTTACTGTTCTTGCTAGGCTTGGTGATCCCGACCGTCTGTTTGGAAGGCTTGGAGACGATCTGAATCCCGCTCGCCTCGAAAGTAGCCCAAGGACGCTCGCTGATCTGGAACCGGTTGAAATCCTCGACGAGCCCCATAGCGTTTCCGAGACGATCTTCGTCTTGATTCGGCAGCATGATCGCCTCGGCCGCTTCATCGCCTGCTTCAGGGGTGTACTCGAACCGCCGTTCTCTCGCGTCAGACTTGTTGTATTGTTCCGATGGCTCCTCGCCCTCGGTGTCGTTACGTATCATGTCCTGTATCTCCGGAGGGACCTGATCTGGGCCGGAAGACCCGTGAGGCACGCTCTGATCTCCTTGAGCTTCGAGTCCAGCTGGCAGATTCGATTCCGTAGCAGAGGAAGGCCCCTTGCCATGCTGATCACCTTCGGCAGTTGCTGCTTGATCCTGATCACCACCCGCGAGACTTGTCATGGCAAAGATATCCTCCCCCTCGGCTCCCCTCGGCTTGTGACTGTGATCATGACTCTCGTTCCCTTCCGCATCGAAAAGCTCCTCCATGGGGTCCACGGAATCGACATCCTGCTCCCTTGGCAACGTTCCACCAGGTTGAAACACGTCCAATCTGAGCCGTAGACCTTTGGCCTTTCCCGTCCTGCTGGCATACAGGCCCGGAAAAGAGATCCCTTCACGCAGATGCGCACGAGCGTCCAGGTCCCGCTCGAGCATGTCTAATCGCACTCCCTGGGTGTTCGAGATGACCGGAATATCCTCCCCCACGTCGGCGTTGACGAGTTTGAAAACGGCCGTCTCGACCGTATCGCTGATATTTCCCGTCATCCGCACAACGGGTGGAGGGCACAAGAATCTCTTTTCCTTGCCGTACGATTTCTGAGCGATATGCCCGTGCATGATGGTGATTGTGGAAAATGACATCTGTTGTTCTGGTACGCGGGATCCCGAGGGTCCGATGGTGGCTGCGAACATTCGTGTAATCTTGGCACGACGGAGGTCGGACAGGGGAGGAGATGTGGCTCGACGTTTCATCGGATTCGGGTTGATTCGTCGTGAGCCGACAGGGGGTGTCGAGGTGGGTTCACCAGTGGCTTCGGGTTGGCCGGCTTCCTGTCCGGTCTAGCAGCAAATCGGAAACGGTGTGAGCTTTCGTTCAGCTCGAAACCAAGAAACAGTGAAAACGCTGCGCTCACCTGGTTCAACGCAACATCATCTTGCCTGCCCTCATCGCCGCTGATCATCCGACTAGCAGCGAGCAACCCTTGAATCGAGTTCCCTGTCTGTTCACCTTCCCCTTCCTCGTTTGACGCGACCCTGTCCATCACCATCTCGTCCCGTCGAACAGGCCCGTCCTGCTGTGCATGTTGTTGATGAGGCACATCCTCCGGGTCGTACCTTAAGAACACATCTTCTTCATGCAAGACGTCTTCCGGTCGAATGTCGCCATGACCATGGGTGTGGCCGTGGCCGTGATTATGGTTGTGGCGATCGACGACACCTCCGACCTGATAGCGGTTCTCCTGCATCCCGTCGTCGGTATGTTCGGCAGGCTTGGAGATGGCGTTGAGCAAAAGATCTAGAGGGCCATGTTCTCCTGCCTACATGCAACGAACAAGCGTTGTTACGAAGAGGAGAATTAGCTCAAAGACACATCGAGGAAAACGTCAGAAATCACGCAAGACGGGCGGACAACACCGTTCGAGGAAATCGATTGAACGATGATTGGATATGTGCAAACACGAAATGATTGATATGTACCTCGACGATATCGTCTCCTCCTCCGGTCTCATTCGTCCCGCCTACTCCGTCGGCATGGTGTGCAAGCATCCCCGCACCCGACTCGAAGTATTGGTTCAAAGTGGCCTGATCCATCTGAGATGGTCGGTGGACGACGGGACAACAGTCCTATCGAACGCCGTTGGGGTACCGCCTAGCGACGAAGGGCTCCAGCTATTTCGAGGGGTGGTGGTGGCAATGTCAAGGTCGAGTCGAACTTTTTTGTGTGCAATGATGTTCTACTCGGTGAGAGGGGGGTCCAGAGACAGGTCGAGGGTTTGCGTGTCCTTGTGGGTCAAAGTGACGAGTGGTTTCGCACGATAAAACAAAATGGCCAGGGCTAGCAAAAGTGGCGATACCGACAGGCGAAGAGCAGAGCAGAGACTCGTCGCGATCCTGCCGGTGGGGTTTAACGTAATCGCGACTGGGACCTCGCTCGGTCGTCAGGAAGCAACGGGAAATTGGGTGATTATATGGCCTGGCCTTTTGATCCTGATACAGATCACACTATCCTCAACTCTCCCACCAATTACCATCATCTCGACTACCTTCTCCTTGAGCGACTTTTATGTTCGATGCGGCCTTCTTCGGACGCTTGGATGCCATCCCATCTGTAGCCGCCGACTTTCGCTTCTTGCCATTCCCTTCGACTTCCTCTTGACCTGGACCTTGAACTTTCTTTCCGCCGCCGATAGGGGTTGCATCCCCGCCAGAGTTGGAGCCCTTCTTCTGTTTGGCCAAGAAAGCTTGGGTCTCCTTCCACATCGCCTGTTCCCATTCCGTCTTGTGTAGACGGTAAAGCGCCATCGTTGCTCGAGCGTCCGTGACCTAAATATCGAGCACGTCAGTTAAGAACAGCCACACGAGACGAGATGAAGCCTGAGCATCCGACTCACTGAACTATGCGCTCCGCTCTGGATCTTCAAGCCGAGTTCCAACTCGGTCAGCTTCTTCAGACCTGGCATTTTGGTCTTGGCTATCTGCCGGAGCGCTGCGTTTCTCTGAGTGTCTCTCAACAACGGAGATGGATGAGATAATAACAGCGCCTGGATCGTGAATCCAAGTGATCAGCTTAATTCCAACGCAGGACGAGGAGATCGAATCACCTTGGTGTCGTTCTCAACAGCATGCCCGATAACGATCTTTCCATCGATCAACTTGGCAACTTCCGCCTGAACATCCTCGAAATGTCTGGCATTGTTCATGTCCTTTGGCCTCACACCCGAGACCCAAGTCCTCCAGTCGGTCACCCTCTCTTTCGGACGGACAAAGGTGTCTAAGACGATATAGCCGTGATAGTTGACGATCGAGACTCGGGCCAGACAGGATTCCATGCCGTTGTGACCTAGGCCTACCATCTCGCAATCGATAGCAAGGCTAAGTGCGGCAGAGGAGACTTGTGAGCATCCCGACGTACGACGTACATCTCCATATGAAAGGTGATACGTACTAATTTCCTGGCACTTTTTGGCTTTCTCTCTCGTACTTTGTCAGACCGGAGACCATGTCCCTGAGCTCTCTCCGCAATGCCGTGTCTTTCTCCGCAGGGAGATCGATCACGGTTAGGGCATCATCACCGGGCACCGGACGGATTGTAGATGCCTTCCCCTGGCTGTGGGAGCAATGGCCCGACAACCGGTTTAGTCAGTATTGATAGGATATTGGACGACCGCTGTACTTACCGATCGTTCGAGCGGGTGAAATCCTTCGCAGCGCTCGCCCCAACAGCTTTCTGACCCTGATCCACCGATCCCGTTTGTGTTTGCTTCTTTGCGACCTTCTCCTTCTTGGCTTCCAACTCCTCCTCCTTGATCTCCTCGAGCGAGATGCCCGTCTTTGACGTAGCGATCGCCTGACTTGCCCATTGGAGCATCATGCCCCGATCCTGCTCAACATTCTCGTCCCCTTCCTCAACCTCCTGCTCTTTGCCTTTGGACTTCTTCACATCTTTTGATTTTGTTTTAGAACCCTCCGTTTTCTTGGACGTCTTTTTCGGTTTCTCGACCGGTGTTCGGGAGGAGCTTGCCTCGGGAGATGATGCCTGTAATAAGGAAGCGAGCCCGCCGACGCCTAGAGCTTTTGCCTTTCCATCGGTTTTTGCCGCTGCACGAGCGACATCAAGCTTTGGCTTTTTCACTTTCGAAGGCTTGGGCTTTTCATCTGTTGCTGTTGAATCGATCGTCTTGTCCGAGGAATGGAATGGCTTGGATTCGCTCTTCACAGTCGTCGAGCTAGATCGTTTCGGTTTGATATCGGCTCCGGCCATGATGCTCGGTGATGTCCTCCTACAGGTATTGAGAGTATGGCGTATAGCTGTAGTAGCGAATATCGAATGGACCAAGGCTATCCTGACGTGTTGCATCAGATACGGGGTGCTAGCATAAACATCGAGCTGGATCGAGAAGCTGCATCCTGAGCACAACTTTGTCAACCGGAAAGCCAAGAAGCGATCAAGAATTATCTGCTTCCGAAAATCGGAAGCAATCGAGATGAAAGGGGCCGAAGCTGGGGTCAGTTCTGGATCATCGACGATCAATTATCAACAAGCAGCAACAAGGTCATATGGTCCGAAACTCCGGCAACTTCTTCTACCCAGACGATTGGATATTGCCTAGGCTGGGAGGTAGATTGAGTGGACAGTTTCGTCAAGGCAGAAGGTCCAACAGAATTATACAGCGTCCGTTGTCATCTGCGAAGCTTGACCCTCGTCTTCCTCTTTCTCGGCGTCAGAACCCGTATCTACGACAGGTGTAAGAACGGGATCCTCCAAAAGTAAGCGGACTTGTTGTGCGACCTGAGAAACATCGAAAAGAAGCAGAGGCGGGAGATGTCAGTCTTAGAAGGTAGATACCGATGACCTAGCCTTGATACGTACCTTGTCCAACTCCCCGAGCCCTCCATCAACTATGATAGACTTGTGCCGTATCTCAGTAATAGATGTCTTCAAGCCGCTCAGCTGGTTTCCGAGGTCTTTAAGTGAAGATTCCTTGCTGTGAGGAGTAGAGGCGATATCTCTTCAGCTGTTGTGTCCGATGGTCACGGCTGTATGTGACGACTGACGTTTGTACTGCTTCGATCTCCTGCTCGAGTCTAGCCAGTAGAACAAGATGTGACCGCGTAGGATCATCTTTCGATGCTATGTAATGCTAGATGTTGAGATTTTATTCTGTGAGGCTGAGCTCGACGGACTTACGTAGATTTTCGATCGTAGTCTCGTCGACCTCCCTTTGCAAGATCGCAGGGTTGATCGCGTTCACCTGATCTTCCAGGGATCTTTAGTATCCGTCGAACACGAGCACTCAATTAGCGGTGGTCACTGAAATAGCTTTCAACGGATAGGATATATACCCAGCCTGCCGAGCCATCCTAGTACGCTTTCCCTGCAACCCTTCTTTCTCTCTTCTGAGCCGCTTCAACCTCATCTGCGCATGATCCAACTTGTCTCTTGCTGTTCTTGTACGCTTCTGAGCGTTCTGTAGTGCGATCTGATGTTGTCGGTGGGCTGCTCGGAGGTAAGACGTCGAGGATTCCGACGGGATCGGTGCGAGATCTGTAGGAGGTAGGACGTCCGGGAAATCCCATTGAAGTGCTTGATACGCAGTGTGTTCCATCGTGAGCGGAGGTCGGAGGGTAGCAGCCTTGTAATTTCGGGTGCTTGTGTAGCTATACGGTTCGTGTGCCTGTATTGTATACAGGCTGGCCTAGCAAGCATGTACTTTGATGGTGATCATCATCGACGGTACTGCCTACGCATGACGCGCGCAGAGTCTCGGCTCTGATTTCCGTTGGAAGCGAGACCAGGATCGTTGCAAGTATCACTCCGATGTCAAAATCATGTAATCCTGTACTCCTATCCATCTGCATCCATAACCGCCTCAGTTTTCCTCTGCCTGTCCCCACTTGAACCTAGTAGTGAGAACAAATCTATCCTCAAAATTACAACTACCTTGCTGAAGTCGCAATCACGTTAATTTCGTATTCTGGAAGATCCCAACTGTCTGCAAACCTCGGCCCGATGAACCTCTTCAACTCTGCGAACAAGGCCCTGATCACCTGCCTCGCCGGCCCATCGAGCTTTTCTGCTCGTCAATACGGATCATCGGCGACTCGCGCTGCCTCGTCTCTCGCCGGCAAGAGCACAGCTGTACCTGGATACGGACACTTCACCTCGCCCTTGAGAAAAGTCCACTTGGATTATCACTGCGACAGCGTAGCGCAAAGGGGTCTCCGGTTAGTCCAGGATGTAATCCGTGACTACAGGAGGCTGCTCAAGTTTATTTTATCTTCTCTTCGACTCATGTAGAGCCTTCATCCGGGACGATCTCGTAGAGGTAGCAAAGGCAAATCCAGACGTCGAATTCGTCGTTCGACGGCTCAAGCAGGGAAAGGCCGCTCTCCTTCGAGGACATTACGGTTCGTTCTACTTGTCCTCCATGTCACTTGAGGTAGCAGGTTCTGATAGACTCCCTCCGACGACTTTTTGATCGACAGTGAATGGCAGGGACAAGGTCGTTTGCGTGAACAGCCTCGACAGGCAACAAGTAGCCAACAAGGTCAGTCCATGGCCTAATTTTTCCAACCTTGCTGTGGACGGATTGGACTGATCGTATATCTCGACATCCTCTCTCTTGTTCATCTCCTTATGCCATCAATATGGACTACACACAGCTCGAACTGATTCTATCATCAGGCGGCGGCAAGATCAAGCACCTCAAGAACATCCAGTTGGAAGCTGGTCCGGGTGCAGAGTCGGCGAGAGGTGTCTGGAGTGGGATCCATTCGGAGATCAGTGGGGAGGGATACCGTGTATAGGCATATCTCCTCATATTTGTCGCTCGTGAGATATCGATGAACTTTATGTAAATGTGTGTGTATAGAAGAAGAGGATGATGCCATCGAGCACACGAAGTTTCCCAGCTTCTGCTACAGCTATTCTCCGCCTGGCCGATGCTTGATTATGCGTGAAGATCTGTTTGATGTATCGTACAATGCCCTGCTATGCTATGACTAATGCTTGCTCCAGCCTTCATTCCGCCATATCTGATCTATCCCACGATCAATGCGTCGCAATCTCGTCTTTCGACGCAGGCGACTTCATGAAACCGTGACCGTATCCCTGTGCGACGGCATAGTCGGTGGTCCGAATGTTGGCCTCGGGGGGCACCCAGTATTCGTCCTAGCGCGATTGGGCACTCCGCATGAGCACCCAGAACAACAAACGATTCGACGGGAAGATCCGAAACGCAACTCACCATGATGGGTATCTGCAGAACGTTCATCTTTGAGAAGCGGGGGAGGTCATCCAGAATTCAGCTTATTGGTTGTACAGAAGCGTTGATTCCAACGAAACTCACCTTCGGCGTGATGACGACCATCGTATTATTCTTCACCTCCATCCAATCTCGCTGTTCAAACGTCAACGGCTCGCTGGCGATCATGATGATATCTTCCCTCTTGTCTGCCTTGGTCATCCTGTAATGTCCACCTTCGGCGTATTCTTCAAAGGTCGTGCCCGAAGAGAAGAACAGGGAGGAAGCCTCGTCCGTCTTGCTGGAGACGTATCTACAATGTATTCAAAGGCAGTAAGCTTCGGACGTCAATTCCACACCATTCGATCATGTTTCTTACCTTGTGGCTACGACATTCTCACCATCAGAGACGACAAAGTTCATGAGATGGGGATCGAACCGATGTCCCGTCTCCGCCGCGACTTCCTTGGTCATCCTGTTGATATCGGCCAAGGTGTCGAACATGGCTTTGCGGAGCTCCAGAGTGGTAAATGTTCGGGCATGGGGGTCTTTCAGCTAATCAAGCGTATGACTTCAATCAGCACGGACCACCATGGCATTGACTCGGTACGACATGCGAAACTTGCCTTGCTCAAGAAGAGCGCAAACGCCCATTCGCTATCTGCAATTGCATACAAATCGGCGAATAAGCGAAACCCTTTCTCGAAACTCGATTCTGGCAGATTAACCTGTGTATCCATTCGGGAATAAGAAGAGCTCGTCCGTCAACATTCCCTGTAGTTTTCGTTTGATCAGGTTGAAATCGCAGATCTGCCGGACAAGTTTGGAGATAGATAAAGAGAGAGTAGATCAGCTTCTAGAAATAAAAAACGGAACGCAGCTGCTAGAATTTCATCTCGACTCACGGCCCCATTGTGCATCCACTATCAGCAATCAAATATCGAAAAGAGTCGCAATAAATTAGCTCGGTACTTTGGGTGTCAGTATCCACACCCCAAGGACTGACCATGAGCTTCCCAAACGTCCAAGGATGACAATTGTCTTCACTGGCTGTATCGGGCCGAACGAGAATACGAAGTAAATCCAGTATAAGCACCATATACGATAGTTTTGTCCATCGGTATTATGTCAGACTCACGAGCTCCAGGCATCGTACTGGCCCGCACATGGGCGAAGACGAGCGGGGATCTAATCTTCTCTGCCAGCCTGATCAGATTGGCGTTGCTCCAAGCCTACCATACAAGCGAAACCGGCATGGTATGTCTCCCAGTGAGCTATATGCTAGGTGAGGTCGCGGAGGAAGGGACAGAAGTTGCAGTCTAGGACGTACAGGATGTATGCTCTTGAAGAGTCCAGGCCGTTCGCTCTCGATCGCAGCGAGTTCGAGTTTTCTCTTGACCCTGTCGCTCCCCGTAACTTTTTCCGCTCCGATCTGGACTTCTTGCTGTTTCACTTGAGGACCGTCATTCCCACCTTCGTATGCCACCAATGTAGCACCTTGCGATCTATCCCCTACATTTTCGTCCTGGTCGCCTTCTGAGCCTGCGTCAGATTCTTCGATGGAAGAATATTCAGGCACATCAGACGCCTGAGGGGGTTCGTAGTACCCGATCCCGAACCCGTCCGCGTTGAAGGGTCTCGAAGAAGGGAATCGGAGTTTGGAATCGAAAGTCTGGTTGGTGATGCTGTGGATGGGCTTGGTGACCAGCTGTATTCGTCGAGGGGAGATGCCGAACCGAGGGCTTTAGCTCATCGGTTCCTCATATGGAGACGCAGGCGTAGGAATGTCTATGACTCACATCGCTGAGCCTGATCGGAGCTATGCCTTTGTATACGACCTTGTTCGAGCAAGTAGAAAGTTTTCAGTATCGGGAGGCTACTTTGATAGTAGTAGCAGTAGTCTAATGCTCACAAATCGACACATGGTTGCAGGGAACAGGTATTCGCCAAGAGGTCCTCGATATTTCGCTTTGCACCCTCAAAGTTGCGTGTCACCGATATCTATATGGCATCCTAGAATTCACAAGGTTCTCGGAGAAGCTAGTATTTGTGCACCTGGTTCAGTGGATCAGCGGTGAATGGCGACATTCACTTCGATGAGAAAGGATGTCGAGCATGTTCGGGTCAGACTTTCGCCCGGCGGTGACGACATGGACGAGACTTTCCTTTGTTTACGATGTGATGGGCTTTCTCTGAAGGGTCACGAATGCTGGATCACTGAATCATCCTCCACAATATCACAATCCGTTTGCTCTCACGTTCTCCCGCATCGATCTCGATCTCTACAAAGCTGGAATTGATATAGCGATGAGATATCGTAGACCCGGGGCATATCTGAGCGAAACTCTGGATCTCTCGGACCTGATTACGAGCTCGCAAAGCAAAGGAGGGGGGCCCGATCAAGCATCATTCCCCGCAGATGCCTTGAAACGCAAACACAGCTCAGTCGTGATCACACCTGATCGACCAGCAATCACATCATCATCACAAATTCAAACCTCGACGAACCACCTTCATTCGTGCTCTCAATGACAAAATCTCCAACTGTCATACCCTACCCGAGCTCGTAAAGGGGATGTCGTCGTCAAGCAACAAAATGACGACCACGCCGTCGAACCTCTTTCGCAGCTCGCTAGTCCTGATCGACGAGACCGACGGGCGAGTTCTCGACGTCTTGACGCAGCAACAAGAGGGTAACGATCCTCATCTTCAGGGCGTGACTCCGTCCATTGCGGCTTCATCGCAACATCTGGACCGACCCGCCGACTGGACATCGTCCGACATCTCCCTCCGCACCATCAGCAAACCTCAGCCCCAATCAGTAGCTTCCAGTACTAGCGACAACATTACAACCTCCGAGAACCCGGCAACCGATGTAGCTCTGGATACAAGTACAAATCGCTTTCTGACTTTCAGGCGAAACGAGGATTTCGCTCGGACCTTGGCAGGATCAGGATGGAGACGGACGACGTTTTATACGGATGCGAGGACGAGCGTGGCTTCCTTTTTCACCGCTTATGACGATGTTGGTGAGGGAGCCGACAGCGATCATACCGCAAAGGCGAAGCTAGAGGCCGATCCGCATAATTCACGTCGGGTGGGTGGAAATGGTATTGGTGGACGTAGAGTTAGGGATGAAAGTGGTAGAAATCCGGCGGATCAGAAGAGCATCGAGTTGTTCTCGAGGCCTCATCCAGACGATGTAAGCGTTTAGCGGCAAGCCATGTGATCACAACGAAACGTAAATCACTGATACCGTTCCGTCGTATTCCACAGCTCGTCACACTTTCAGAGACTGGGGATGCAGACGAGCCCGAGCACACCGATACCTCACCGGATACCTTCAAGGCCGCCGATATCGCTTACTTAGATCGGTTCTGGGCAACAATATTTGCAAACACCGACAAGGGAAAGACGGATGAACCGTGGATCGTCACTGTCAGCCTGGACATGTCCAAGTGGTTCGTCAGCAGGTTAGCCAAAGATCTGATGTATGAGCATGTTCGACCGAATCCTGACGGCATTCTGAAATTCGTAACAGCCTGGCTTCGTTGGCCTCCCGCACTTCAGCTTTATTCGTCGGCCCAACGAGCCGAGCTGAGAGCGACTCGACGCATGGCTTCCCCGGTACATCACCGATCCGAGAACCGTCCGAAGAAGATCTAGGATCCATACCCCTTAGCCCTACGACTATAGCTTGGCACAACCTTGCTTTGAATACGCAGGCGGGGCGCCTTAACGAGCTGGGAAGCGGAGAAGAACGACCGGTGGAGATGAGCAGACTCGGGTTATGGTACATCCAGGAGGATGGGACTTCTAGGCAGATCTGGGCTGGGAACCGTGCGAGCGAGACGGATGGGCTGAATGAGCCGGAGGGTACCGCGCGGTAGTCCTTTGAAGACTCTCTGGCACGGAGCAGCCGTACGCGTACCGTATACGTTATACGCTTTGTATCCCATATCATCTTCTTCTTGTGTCGCTATGTAATGACTTGTCGCTGAGCAGCCCAAAATAACAGCGGCAGCGAAGCCTCCGTTCCTGTCCTCCTTACCTGTCTTCCTTCCGATATTCCTTTCAGTTCTTTACAAACTGTTTGTCTTCGCCCGCAGCAGGAGCATAAGCGCGTGAGAAACTCTCGGTCTGACACCGCCGATCGTTTCAGAGTTGTCTTTGTTCAGGTTTTGCTTCCGTCTAAAGGATCGCCTTGGTTGAGAAGCTTATATATGACAATGCATGCAGGCAAGTCTTCTTGACTTCTGTTCGCTTGCTGACTGATTGACTACTTCCTCTAAAGCATCCCCGTTCAGTACATCGGCTTCCTCTCGACTTCTAATCGACGTACAAACAATCGAATATCACGTTGAGGCGCCACTTGAAACGCCACATCGACTCCAGCTCGGTTCGACCTGCGATATGCCACAGCAAACAGACTCCGAAAGGATGGAAGTCGAGGACGTTGTTTCGTCGGACCCTACGACTGAAGATCAAGCTTACATGGACGACGACGAGGATGTATACTACGACGAAGACGAGGCAAGTGAAGATGATGAGCCGTCTGCTTGGGTGATTCAACAGCAGTTGCGGAGGTTGCTCCTCACCAAAAATTCGCCTCCTGCTTCGGATCTAGTATGTCAGACAAGGGGTCATGGAGGTAAGCTGAACTATAGCCAGTCTCTCCGATCGCTATCGATCTCTCAATCTCGATCCCACTCGCAGTCGATATGGAGAGGACGATCGGCTCTGCTTCCATCCCATCTGGCGGGAAATCGATCGTCTTCACAAACGAAAAGTATCGGAAGGACGCCAGTAAAAGTCCCAACGAACAAATTGAGCAAGGAGTCATGAATATCCGCTTCAACCTGCCCAAGAAATACGTCAGTCAAACACCTGCCTTCCTCGACTTGGCTGCTGGAAACACCCAGCATAGCTTGTCATCGGTCTTTGCGCAGAGAGACGGGTGAGTGACGCCTGCAGTCGCGACAATACATCGAACTGCCGATGCTCAGACTTCACAAAGTCTTTCCTGCAGCGAACTCGACGAGTGCGTATACCTCTCCAAGGACGGTGCACATGGAGTTGGCGCCTACCGCGATGCAGAGTATACCTCGTCCGCTTGGACCGCCCGTGGCTTCATCAAGGGCGCCAACAAAAGGGCCAAGAAGTCGGCCGAACTTTGGGTCACAAACAGTAAAGGCTTCTGGAGGCAAGTCAAGCCAAAGCAATCCGATATCAAGCCGGAGCAAGTCTTCCTTGCGAGGTCCACAGTTGCGACGGAGGATCAGCGCTTGAAAAACTCCGAGTCGAGCGCACACCTCGTATTCCGAAACATCGGAAATTGCTGGGATTGTTTTGCAGACCGGGGTCCCGAGGAAGCTGACTCGATGTACGAAGATCACGACGCGGATGCTACTGGATCGGGAGACGACAACATCCGGTTTTACCTCAAGTCTCTCTTCTTGTGGGACCCAAAGGCTCGATCCATCGTCTATCCTATGGGTCCTCTGCAACCCCGGGCTGAATATGCTGGCCTCTTCATGCGAATTCAAAAGGCTTTGCAAGGGGAAAAGGACCAGGCTCTGGAATCCCACGCGCACTTTCTTACCCCGTTGGCTTTGCTGCACGTTCCCCAGCCTCATCCCGGCCGTTCTACGCTCTTGACCTGCCTTGCTGGTAACTTGATCGTCTGGGTCTGGCGTGCTGTATTGGGAACGCCTGCCGGAAGACTGTTCGATATGATGGTCATTCCGACTGGCCGGACAATCACCCTGCATCCCGACATGCCCTATTCTTTGATGGCTCTGGATACGGCATGCTTCATGGAGTAAGTAGAACCTTTGCACTTGGTAGGGCCCTTTTACCGGTCCGCATCGCTCACGCTGCTCCCTTCTTTAGGTCTGCAGTCTTCAACCATACTCCCGACCTACTCCAATATTATCGCAAGCATCTTCTTTTGGCGGATTCGGGACTGTCATACAAACAATTCTTACGACCGGAGCTTTTGGCTTCGGGAGCGATGGATCACTTCCGCCTCGATACACAGTCGCCGTTCGACGAAGGCCTCCTGCTCCTCTTGTCAGGAATCTGGGGGGTGATCAAACAATTGTGGGACAGCGCATCCGATGGCAAGTACGCTTGTTGATCCGACTCTGTGCCAGACTGATAACACTTTGGTTCGACAGACCGCAATGATTTGCTTCTGGATGCGGCCTCCCAGATCATGGACAATGACACCATTCTGCGCACAATCGACGACATGCGAAATCACGAGCCTTGCGCTGAGGTTCGCGCGTTATGGAAGATTATGAAAGGGCTTGCCAAGGAGACACACGGGTTGAAGGAGATTTGGATCATGGAGCGCTTCGTGGACCACTAGCGTTCCGCTTGCGTAACATCGTATGGCCTTGATCCGCTCGCCAGGCAATATATAGGACTAAATTCAATGCCAAAATGGCTTGCCAACGGATAATCAACGCGACACGACCGACAACGAGCGGACCTCCAAATCCGTGCCGCCAATATAGAGCTTCGAGTACAAAGCTATAAGAAAGACCTCGCCTCCGCCGTGTATGTATCATCACGTACCCACCTCCCATCATAGGGCCATACGGAATGCCAAAAGGCTTGTAAAAACACATACGATATGATCGCGAGTCTTGATAAACATACAATATGATGATGCGTAATCTCTTCCCATGGACCCAAAACCAAATCCGCATTTACTTTCTCGCGTACGTAACCTGAAAACGGAGCCAGCAGAATGGTCCATCAGCACAGTGAGAATTCGAACGAGATGCAAAGAGCGTATCCCTGGACCGACCTTCATCTTGGTCTCGCCGTCGATCTTGAAGTTGTGCAGAGCATCCTTGGCCACCGTCGAACTGGCCTCGTCGGCGTATTCCACGAAGGCAATGTCTCGCTTGGTAGGGATAAGACGGACTTCGATAAGGTTGGGGTGTCTGGCAGCGCAAGAGCGGCATAATCAGCGAGTGGAAGTGGGAAGGAGACTCGTAGTATGGGAACAAGGTCGGACTCACTGCTCGAAGACGTCTTGCAGATCCTCCTTTGTTGTGCCCTCGGGCAGGTTTTGCAGGAACAAGACCTTGTTGGGCGGGAGGTATTCGTCGGGCATCTGGATGGTTCGTCGGGGAGCATTGGCAATCGGTTGACCCGTTGCACTCGAGTCCGCTGATGGTTCAACACTGGTATCAGCTCGGTGTCGAGTGTTCGAGGTGGGACATGCACGCATGACTTGCCAGCAGCGGCCTTGAGCTTGGCTTGAGCCTTTTGTCGCAGTGGGTTCTTCCTCCTAGAAATCTCTGTTGCGATTGAAGACGAACGGAGACGGCAAAGCGGAGAGCGATCGAGGAAGTGGTAGAGGGTAAGTATACTTTCCCTTTTCGAATGCGTATGTGTTCACTCGAGATCCGATTTACTCTTCCTGGCTGCGCGCTCGGCCTTGTGTGCCACCAATGCCTCGTCCCCGTTAAACTTGCTGACCGCTGCATCCGTGTTGGTTCGAGAGAACGAGATTTGCTGCGGGCACGAAGGTGGGTCAGCACAACGGGGCTCTCGGCATCCAAGAATCCCGGCTCATTGTTGAGGAAGCTTGCTCACCAAAGGCCTTCCGTACAGGGGAAAGCCGGCGACCTCCTTCTTCGCCTTGTGAGCCGTCTCCCGGTCAGGGAAGCTGATGAAAGCTTGTCCTCGCATCCGCAGATTTCGGTGAGCGATGACGGGAGCGATGGGTTTGTACGACTTGAAGAGGTTCAGAAGGGTTTCTTTTAGGACTGTCGATGGGCGGCACGTGGTCAGGTCAGCTCCGTACGGTCACGTTGCGACGAAGCAACACCGATAGCCGTCGCTGTCACTCACTTGGTATTCGTACAGACTCGTTCAGGTTGTGGATATACAGCGTCTCGACGGCGTCATCGGGAACCTTGTTGGGATCTTCTTCTTCGTCATCTCCGTTGGCGCTGGGTGCGGTCATCTCGACGTCGCCGTTGGTCGCGGATGGAGGTGCCACTGGCGGCGGAAGAGCCGACGTGGGTGTAACGGAGGCCATCGTCAAAGGTCGTGAGGTATCTCGTTGAGAGATGGAGGGGAATGGCGAGGTCGTGTATTCTCATGTATTCAACCTTGTCAAGAGCTGTCTCATGAACCTCATGATCAGGTCGAGGGTGGATGTGGGCGGACATTGGATAATCTTGATGTCCGCTTTGCGCACGACCGGTTTGAATGGGTAGATCGAACGTACTCTTTGATCTGTCTGCTCGACTCTTGTCTGAAGGAGAAGGTGCACTCCACCGTCAGAGGAGCTTGCACTGAGCTCTTTTGTGATAACCCGATTCCAGATCATGTGTATGATATCTGATTGTCAAAGAGCGATAGGGATCGTGAGCAGGATCATATGCTGGCCGGTAAGAATGGGTTTCTGAACCTCGGCTTGCCGCTGCAACTGCTTGAAGAACTCGAATACTGGTCCTGAGTCCACGACCTGTCAGCTCTATTGGACCGTCCTCTGACAGTCTCGGTGCGAGTTGAGGCTTTGCGATCTACATCCTACCTTGTTGCGTTGCTCTGATCAATCGCTTGGACGACAGCTCGTCATCAACAACCTGGCAGCCCTGTTCCCATTTCTAAGAACCTTCTATCCTAGCGATATCGACACGGACCGCAGGTACCGATGGCTAGGCATACACTACACCGTCGGGGACCACGACAAGGGCGCTGTGAACCCGACTTGCAAGTCTCGCACGAGGGGTATCTTGTTGATGTGTCATCCTCTACCGTCATCGCTCGACCTCTACCCTGCCCAACCCCGCGGCGCAACTCCCTACGGATGGGTCGGCTTGTAGGACCGGTAGGTACTTCATCTCGCACCATCCAACTTTACCGGTAGCCCGACTTTGCCGAATCGAGCTTTCAGCACAGCCGCCAAGAAACTATATTGGTGGTCGAAGGCTTGCCTCGGTCAGCTCGCGTTGTCAATCCGATCTCACCTGAACTCAGCTGGAACGTCTCGGCGTGCTTGCCATAGAGTGGAAAAGGAGAAATCCCTTTGACTCTGGCGGGACCGGTCCCAATCTCCTCATCTGAGGTCTGCGGACTGATAGCGATCTGATAGAGCTGTATCGATGCCCTCAACCGCTACCCGTATTGGCAAAGGTTCTTTCCTTGCCGACATCGAATCAACCCGACGCCGACATCCTCGTGCCGGTCTGCACTCTGTCTGGACCGTCCTCTTTCGTGATTCTGTTGACCAGACAAGCCAGAAGAAACTGTAGCACAATTCAGCGTCCAGGAGGCTTGGGAATGATGCCGACGCTAGCTTGTGCTAAACATTACGAAAATCGCCGTCTTGTACAGCAATACGCTCAAGTCCCGTCTTTGCCAGAGGTATCACCTCAACTCATCATGCCAGCGGAAACCCAGGGTGTGACCCACATGATGGAGGATATGTCCGCTCAATATCCCCAGCAACGTCAAGTTGGCGGTCAAACTCAGTTCAGGATTACCAGGGAGAATGATATGCGTTGAGAGGTTACGTGAGCCCGTATCTAATTGCTCTCACGCTTTCCGATCGACCGTTTGATCCAACTCTTCCCAATTTGTAACAGTGATTCAGCCAAGACACCAGTTTTGTTTGGACCGCTCAAGACACTTCTGGTCGGCCAGATGAAAAATGCCTCGTTGGTGCATCAAGGAAATGATGATCGTAAGATTATCCTTCCATGTTGCTCCTTGACCACGTCATACTGACAATTTCGCTGCTGGCTTCTACCTTCAGTCACTCTCCTTCGATCTGGCCCATCCCTGACTCTCACTCAATCCCAATACCTGTGACGCATGTTCGACGGCGTCACGATAGAGCCGCCATAGTCTCCCGCCACCGTATTCGCACATTCTCTGGGTGGGCAATCAAGGTCGAAACTCTATTGACCCGCCATGTCATGCAGCAGCCTCTCTTCCTCCGGGCGCATTCGCTGCGAGAGAGATGTAAACTATGGATGATCGTTCCGTAGATATGCAACGACAGTATTGGCTGTGTCGCTCTCGACATTGACGTTCGAAACATGCGCCAAGTCTATAGTCGATCGGGCGTACCGTGTCGCCGCGATTAGCGTCCAAATGGTTCATGCAGAATCTACGCGTCTGATCAAAGATTCGAGACCAACATTCGATCAACGATTCGAAGCCAAAATTGGATCAAACATTTGACAGCAATATTCCATCAGAGCAAAGGTTCGACAGCAACTGATTACTCCTCAATCCGACGGCAACTGATCACTCCTCGATTCAACAGCAGTTGATCACTCCTCGACTCGACGGCGACTGATCGCTCGATTCGACAGCTCTACTCGACATGGGTCGATTGACTCCATGCACGCCATGCCTTGTCTCGGGCTCGACTTGTCATGGCAATCACGGCACCTTTTGCGCCTCCTGTTCCGATCAAGGTGACTATCGTTTATCACACCCACGAGCCTGAAACTGAAGCGCCGATCGATCAAGGATTGGGAAGATCGCACATCGGTCATGCTGGATTACGATGAGATTGCAGCACCATCTCGTACTATAGTCGGCAGGACTGCTACGATTGGGCGGACGATTCAACGTTGGAACGATTCGCAAAAGCAGCAAGCTCGAACCTTCTTACAGGTAGGTCCACATCCACAATCAGCGCTTACCTCACAATGGCGACTGACAAACCTGTTCCATACCTCGCTTTACAGTCCATTGCGACGTACTTTGATCTCAGCTGGCTGGGGTTCATGCGATACCTCGTTGAACCCTCGGAACTACGCGATCATTTCATGACGACCTGTATGGTCGGGCTCTGTCTTAATCTGGGTCTCGATGATTCCCCGGAGGTGGTAAAGGGGGTCTCTGAAGCAGTGACGTCTACCAGTAAGCTACCATCGGAGAGTTTTAGTCGATGGGTCAAGCTTCTCACATTGCGTCCGTCTAGGTCTGCTCACGGAGTGGTTTCCAGCTGCGAAAATATTCTCCCCCTCGTCCGATTCTAGGCAATGTTATGTCCTGCGCCAGCTCGACGACGGACAGAAGTGAATCTAGTCTGCTGAATCGTAAACCGTCTGACGCTGATCATTCTTCCCGTTTGAACGCAGAGACAACCTAGTCCTTTACAGGGATACCGTCAATCGACTTGAACAATTGCAAATTCAGGTTGTAGTAACAACCCCTGGGTTCAAAGCGAAAGCCGCAGTAGAACACTGGAGGTCGAAGGAAACACGTCAACGGTTAGCTCACTATCCTACGGTAATGGATATCGCATTGATTGATCGATTGTGGCTGTAAGCACCGTACCAAAAGGGCTCAATTGGCAACGGCTGATTCTTTGCACCGACCTGTATATCATAGCGAGGGGTGGGATATCGCCCGGATGCCGTCACGTGTTGCAGATCTTCTGGGAAGACAACCTGATGCTTTCAAGAGCGTGATGAAGCGCATGGCGAAACGATGGATTGTGGTTGAGGGGGGGATGCGAGCAGTCGATGACTACCTCGGGTTGTGTGATATCAGGGCCGAAAGTGAAGAAATCTGAAGCTCTACCTCGCCGGAAGTTGTAAATAGCATGGTCATGCGAAATGTCAAGCACGGAGTGATTCGATATGTTCACGCAAATCTAGCTCCATCCTTCTTCATCTTCGTTTGCCTACTTGATGGTCTCACGAAATCAGTAGTTTCAACGTGTGTCGCGACGCTGCAGCGCGAAATCGGTTTCTTTTTTGATTTGACATTGTATAAAAGGTAATCGAAGATACCTAAACTGGAGGTTAGATGGCCGAGCGGTTAAGGCGCATGACTCAAGCGCAAGCTTACCTGTCTAACAGGTGTATTCATGTAGAGAAATCTGCGTCGGTTCGATTCCGGCTCTAATCACAAATCTTTTTGCCCTTTTGGCGCGTTTTGGCACGATAGACTCCTCCTTCCAACCTCGTCATTCGCGTTTCTCTGTTAATCTTCCTATGATCGTATGTAGCTGTCGAATCGCACATCGAAAATTGACGTTCCGTGCTTACAGGGGTCGAGGTACGCTGTCAGGAAGGGGGAGGACGAGGTAACGAAGGAAGATCCTAACGATAACCCAAGCCAAGCTCGTCAAGCTACTGCTGGGTCGAAAGCCTTCTGCGATGTCACCCTCACAGGAGAGTCCTTGGAAGAGATCGTAGGAAAGTTACCGGGCAAGAGCGATGCCACCTTCTTCGCAGGAGCAGGAGAGTCCTTGAGAGAATTCTCGAGAGGAACCTGAAGCGAAAGCATCGTCTTTTTCGTTGGAGAAGGCCTGTCGTGCTTCATCAGGAAGGGTACATTTCAACGTAGCCCTGGCGAAATGATCGGCTCGACCAGCCGTGGCTGTGTTCTCCCGAGTTGCAACCTTGTCCAATTTCGATGTCAACCGCGTCGTGGAGGATGGGCCGCTAGCCCAAAGACGGGTAGGCCGCCACCGAGACAAAGTTGATATACATGAAATCGTGGACATAGCATATTAGATCACAAAAAAGAAATCGTCGAATTATTGTTCCGATGCATTAGGCACCGGTGGCCATCTCGAGCTTGATGGCGGCAATAGCCCTTGCCGGGTTCAATCCCTTGGGACACGTCCTCGAACAGTTGAAGATCGAGTGGCATCGGTACACCGAAAGACTGTTCTCCATCTTGGCCTTTCGCTCAGCACCGTATGCGTCCTGCAGAAAGGAGCGGATCGAACATGAGCTGCGGTCGCGTGATTGACGCGATGGGCGATCGAGACTTACTCGACTGTCTGCCATCCATCGGTAAGCCTGCATCAACACGGCAGGTCCAAGGTACTCATCCTGGTTCCACCAGTACTGTCAAGTCAAACGATATCGAATCCGTCAGGGCCTGTCTCTCATCCATCCTGGCGGCTTTTGCTCACAGAAGGACACGAGGTCGAGCAGCATGCACAAAGAATGCACTCGTACATCCCATCGAGCTTCTGTCGGTCCTCAACGCTCTGGTAGTATTCTCCCTTCTCGGGAGGGTTGTCGTTCTTCAAGAAAGGCTCGATCGACTTGTATTGCTTGTAGAATTGCGTCATGTCCGGGATGAGATCCTTGACGACGTACACTGGAGGAAAGAAATCACATCGATGTTTCGTCAGCTCAAGTCCGCGCGATACCACCAGGCGTCAGGTAAAACATACTGTGAGGCAGAGGGTAAAGCTTGGAAGCCTTGGTTTCGCTTCGATCGATACGAGAGAGACAGGCCAAGGTGTTAACTCCGTCGATGTTCATGGCGCAAGATCCGCAAATTCCTTCTCGGCAGGATCGTCGGAAAGTAAGGGTCGGGTCGAGGTCGTTCTTGATCTTGATCTACAGATCGAGTATTGCCATTCAGCTGCCTTGGTCGAGTGGTCTCTGATCGGAATCAAAGGCAACTCACGAGAGCATCCAAGACCATGGGTCCACATTGAGAGAGATCCAGCTTGTAAGACTGGAGGGTAGGCTTCTCGTTGGGGAGATCGGGGTTCTGTTTGTGAAATTGCAGGATACAAATCAGCGGTTTTCCCGTCGATCTGGCCTCGAGCCATCTACGTACCCATCGGTAGATCTTGAACTCCTTCATCAACTTCTTCTTCTCGGAACCCTCAGCATCGGCCTGGCTTTCCTCTACGACAGAGGCGAACCTGGCTACGGGAGTCGAGCTGAAAGCCCGTGTCGATCGGAGGGTCGAAGCCGCAGTCGATCGGGAGAGAATGTTCCTAGCAGATGTACCAAACATTTTGAGCTAGAGTGTATTATGCGTTCGTTACGAGAATCGTTGTATGTGTGCAGAGGATAGCCAGAGGCGAAGCAAATTCAGGTGAGATGATCGGAATAGGGGTCCGATGGTATAACAAGAAAGGTCGATCGCATCCAAGGCCAAGGGGGGGATGCCCCGCTTTGCCTCTCTCTCGACGAATGACATCGCGCGAGTTTCTCCATTTTTCAGATCGAATATGCGTTTCACATCGGCCGATCGATCACTTGACGCGCGAAAATACCCGACAGATCGGGACAAGTCGGGCAGGTTCGGGACAAGATCGCTCAATCCTCATTCTCTATGCAAGAACCTGCTAAACCTGAAACGTCTATTTGCCAAACTCCTCTCGTCCCTTTGCCTGCTCGTGAGCCCAGACACCTAGACTCTCGCCAGGACAGGTAAACTCGGCCCAGCCGTCTTCGCCAATCTCTACCTCGCCCTGAGTCCATCCGAGAATGTCTGTCCATTTCTCACCAGCGTGTTCCTGAGCAGAGAGATGATTGTTAGCCTTGATATTGTGAAGAACAGAGGCGACTCGACACGAGACTGACCTTGCCCACTTCCATCCTCTTCTTGCCGCCCTCTCCGTTCGACATAACCACCTAGCGTCCCAAAATTTCAAGTCAGCGGAAATATCAGTATATCCAATGTTGGTGCTTACAGCGCAACCGCTATATCCTTCGGATCCAGCTCTGACCCATCCGACGCAGTTCGCTGTCATTGCATACATCGTTGTCAGAAAAACGACCTGCGAGATACGAGACCCTCTACTTACGGTGGTCCCAGTAGTCTCGCAATTCACCATACGCGAACAACTTTCGAGCCCTGATCAGATCGCTCAACTGGTTGACCGGCGGCTGAGGGTTCTCGCCCTGACAACCGTAAAGGTCGCCGTAGAAGACGCAGCTATTGTAATATTCTTGACTTCAGCGAGCAGGTTTCCGTCGCCCATAACATTGCTTGGACATCTGATACTCACGGGTAGCCATCAACCCGCAGAAGGATTAGGGCGTAGGCGAGTGGCTTAAACCAGGAAGCTACACAAGATTGTAGCGCTTGTCCAACTTGGGTATCGTGCTACAAATAGCAAAGTTGAAATGTTCTAGTGACAAGTTCAAACGCACCTAAGAAATCGGTGGACTCACGTTGTCGACCAAGGTTCTAGCATAATGCACAGCGTTCATCAGCTTGCCTGCAGAATTCTCCATGACATGCCTGGAAACTCACACCGCGTCGATCGGCCTGTTCTGGACGATACTACCGTCCCAGATCTTGCGCATGTCAAAGTCGGCATGGCTATCACCGGCTTCCTTGAAGTTGTAGTGGAGTGGGCAATCGAACAAAGAGAATTGCTGACCGATCTTGTTCTACGGGGACGGGAATCGCCGCGAAACTTCATCAGTATGGTAAAGGTCTTGACTAGCAAGGGAAATGGATGATCTTACCAGATACGAGCTGACAACATTGCGGTGCCTTGTCATTAGCTGACGGTCCGAGGCTCGTGGCGCGCACGACGCCGAGACTCACTTGTTCGTCTCAAACGAATCTTTCCAGTATTCTCCGAGGCAGAACATGGCGGGGTTGTTGCTCTCTTTACGAATATGTTCGACAAATTCGGAGATGAACCCGACGTCGATGCTGTTCGATTCAAGATTTCAGCTCTGGATCATCCGTTTCGCAATCCCATGAGCAAATGAAGAGGAGAGGCTTACTGCTTAACGGCATCGAATCTGGATGGAATCGCCAAGATCAGCTCATGAGCAGGAAGGACATCCAGTCCGGTCACCGTCCGACCTTACCTGAATCCACTGGCTCCAGTCTCTTTCAAGACCCAAGATCCCCAGTTGAGGATATCTTGCTTGACATCACCGTGAGCGTGGTCAACTGGGATATTGCAGCCGATTAGGCTCCTTTACTGCGGGCTCCGATCCGAAGGGGGACCTGCTTACCGTCCGCTCCCTTTACATCGAAAGTCAAATGGAGTATGCAGAGGATTAGTCTTTCTGTCACCGAGGACGAGGCAATACGAAGCGGCCGACCGCCAACGTACCATGCTGGAGAGGTTTCATGTTTCGAAAATTAGTCTCGGAAATCAAGCTTTGTTGATCTTGGAAGAGATGCTCACAGATAATCGTAATTCTTGTTCTCGGAATCGACCGCCTCGGCCCAATACTTGTTCTCCCCCTCGATCCTGAAGATCGACTTTTTCCCCGTCTTGTTATCGAAATCTACCCCGGTAAAATGGTTAAAGTTGTACTTCATCTTGGAATACTTGTCGCCCCGACCGGCAAAGTTGAATCTGTGCAACAACAACAACAACAACAACAACAGGGATCAACGACTGTTAAGCTGTCAGAACGAAACGGCCTCACTTCGTCCAGCCCTCAATATCGTAGGGCTCGCCAAGGTTCTTGGTACGATCGTCATTGGCCACTTCCGTCGCTTTGAAGGTCTCGCTCTCATCTGCACCGAGGCGATGATTGAGGACAGCATCTATCATACATGTGCACATCATCAGTCTCGGTCGTACGCTAATTGGGCAAACTCCAGTTCTTACTTACCACTATGTAGGAACGCCAACTCAGACCCGTCAGAGTGGCGCGAAGGATATCTTACGACTCGCAGACTCACATGTAGGTAATGATTCCAAGCTCCTTGCCGGTCTTGATAAGGTCGATGAATTCCTCCTTGTTACCCCAACCGGTCCTCTTGTTGCCTTTCTGATCGAACTCGCCGAGATCATACAAGTCATAAACGTCGTAACCTGATATCATGGCTTGAAAGTTAACCCCAAGCCATTGCAAATGTGAAGCGAGGTAGTGCCTACCAGTTCCTTCAGTCGACGAGCCCTTGGTAGGCGGAGGCAGCCACATCGAGGTTAGACCAAAATCTGCCCAGTCAGACAGATGTGACTTGACAGTCTGCCAATGCTTTCCTCCTCCCGCACTGTACCATTCAAAGGCCTGGATCCTGTAGCGCAGACGGTCAATATCTAGCTGCGCCTTCGGCAAGCAGCCTTATCGCCTACATGGTAAAGTTTGTTTGGGCTTTGCCGCCTCGGTGGCTCTGATCTGCGCTGGTAGCCATTTTTTATCTTCTTTCAAGGTGAGAATGGGCTAACACTAGGTCAATTGATGATCCAACAGGCGATGATATGTTGCTTTTCGAAGAACAGCAATATGCAAATAACAACATGTCACGACCCCCCCGAAGTGATCTGCAATCGCAGGTGACGCGTGTTTACAAGTGGTTACTAGCCCCGGAGTGCCCCACGTGGTTCGCAGTCGCGTGCCAAGTTGATGTCCGATCCGCGGATCGCGTTACTCGTCTTCATCCGACCTCTCGTCCGATAGCGATTTGGAGAACAAGGCCCTGAGCAGTGGGGGCCGTTCAATCAGCAATCTACAGCGTAACGCGAAACCTAGGTCAACGTACCGGAACAAGATGCGAAGAATCAGGAAGTACCAGAACAGGTTGATGAGCTGTAGGAAAAAGATGGACGCGAAGATAACAGGTTGAAGCCACCATGCCAAAAGCCCGGTCTCCTTCCAAGGCTCGAAAGTGGTCGTACGGGCCCATTCCCTATGAAGACGTCCCATCAGTCTTGCTTTCTCAATCCAAGAGTGGGATACAGAAACTCACGGGACCAGGTCGAACTCGGTCCACACGGAATACAAGATCTTGAGGTTCAAGTAATGCCGCATGTATCTATCAGGTAACGCCGGATCAGTCCTGAAGGTCGTCTATTGAGGTACCAGGCAGTAACTCACGTCCAAACCACGACAAAGAATGCAAAGAAGGGCGCGGAAGCGTCTTCGCTGACGTAGTTGACACACTTGGCCAGAGCGAGGAAGATGTCAGAGACGTCCATGGTTACGTAGACTGCCACGCCGATATAGGTAAGCTGAACAAAGCGGTCATTAGTTTCATCGAATGCGAGTTCCATCATGAAGGAGCTCACGGTCAGCATGTAGCTCCAGCCGATCAACCACAGAGTGATGATATGCTGTAAAGCGGAGGCGGCACTGTATCAGCCTGGAACCCGAGGCGGACAAGCGGGTCACGAGAGTTGTCTCATGGGAAGCAGCTTACGTGGGCAATGAGTTCCTTGAAATCCTTCCGGGGCTTCTCGACACCAGCAGCCAGGATAATAGCCTGCTGACACCAATAACTGCCTTGCAAGAGGTAATATGCCTTGAGCAGTCCGGTCATCCTCAGAACCGGAAATGTCGTCCAGAAAGCCGATGTATTGTACCCTGTTTTGTGCGGCGGCAATGGGAGTAAATGAGCTGGGCTTGATCGAGATGCATCGGGAGGCATACTTACACCAGATGGGCAAGCCGTGCATCACATACTAGATGTGCAAGTAAATCCATTCAGGGTCAACGCTCGTTTACGATCCATCCCATAGCCGGGGAACTCACCATGCCCAAAGGCCCGAAGAAGCCGAAATAGAGGAAAGCGTACCCCTCTGCCGGTAGCAAACGTCAGCTTCTTATCGGCGTACTACAAAATGCTGCATTGAACCAGTAACGACCCACGCTCGGTAAAGCGCTCGAACTTGGCTGGAGGAATGCCTAGGCGTTTCACAAGCGGTCTCAGGATATAGAGCGTGATGCTTTGTCTCACGCTGTCAAACAGTTCCAAGGGGTGTGGCAATTGGATGATTCTTTCCGTCAGTGTATCGAACTCCAGGTCGCGTGCTGCTAGGCTTACAAGGAGAAGAAGACAATGTGATAAGCGATGAACAGCAAATCCTGTATGTGTAAATCTCGGGGTCAGCAAAGATTGTGGTTCCAGGGTGACCGGCGCAGGATTTTGCCAGACGTACCAACCAGCTCCTTTTGTAGAACGAAGTCCCAGCCTCATCTCTCCCGTCGAATCCGCTCAGGAATAGCAAGGGAGTCCAGGGGTTCCTAGTCGTGATGGGGACAATTTGACGGAACACATCCGGCAGGGGGATGTTCGGGTTGGTCAGGATATATTCATGGTTGATGTAGAGCAGGATCGGGAGCACCAGGATCGGCAAGGAAGAGGCTGTCGAGGAGTATCGATGGAAATGTCAACTTCGGTAAATTATGTGTATCGAGAGGTGGAATAAGCTCACAAGGGATGAGCATCCATTTGCCCGTTCTCAAATCTTGCCACAATCCGTCCGACTTGTATCGCGCATCATCAAAGGGGTCGATGTTTCTCTTAACTGGAAGCTTCTTATCTCCAGGCAAGGCTGCTACGGCTTCGGTAACAGGCTTCTCGTCGTTGCCGGGACGACGTCGGCGCAACTGAGCTGCTCGAGCTTCGTCCGCAACTACCTCGGCGGCGGTGAACGAATCGGCCGAGCCGTTCAACTGGAGGCTCGGGTTACTGTCCGTTTGTTCAGCAGGGGCGTTCTGCGTTGCGGTTACCGGCACCCTGTTGAGATGCTTGAGCAGGTCAGCCCATCGAATCTACCTGTTGATCTGAAGGCTTCGCTCCTCACCTCGACTCGTAGGCTGGCGCGTTGTTTAGGGGAATAGCACTGACAAATCACCACATCGACTTCATGTTAGCCTTTGGTTCCATCGTGGCTCGATGTGACGTACGATAGAGCTTGAGAGACGCTGCTGGCCCGTCTGCGAGTGTGCACTCGGGGGTTGGTGGACATGATTCCGCTCTGCTCCAGGTGCTGAGCTCTCTGATGTGGATGTTTTGGGCTCTTTGGGGAACACAATAGTATGGGGAGACACGCTACCTTCAAGTCTTTCAGCTGGAATACCGCCGGATAGCTTGGAACGTCTGCAGATCTACCGTCAAGAGGGTTGACTTCTATCAAAACATTTCGGACAGCTAGCTTGATGCTTGGCTGCTCGCATGTCCCCGGTTGGGGGAAAGGTTCACGACGAGTCTCGGGACTGGACTTGTCATCATCATGATGGCCGATCAGGGCTGCCATATAGATATATAGGTGACGACGAGCAAAGAAGCGATTCTCATATCAAGAATATCTACAATCGTTATTAGTCGCTCAGCTCACAGCTAACTCCCGATAGCCTGTCCTTCAATCCTTTTGGCGCGAATACATATATCTTATATAAGTCGCACAATCGGAACCATATCAGATAGCCACAACAACCGGCCAGCAATTGCCCTATCCGTAATATCGCGACTGCGGTTCTACGGCCTTCGTAACGGTGTACAAGACATTCTCCGGCCGCCCTCGCAGGGCCATCACTGTCTCACCCTGATTTGCCGCCTGTAGAATCTTGCAATCGACTCCCGTATACGGTAATTGAAACGGAATCTCATACCGGGTGCTTCCCCGTGTCCTTTGCGATGGCGCTCAATCGACTATCTCAGCGTTTGACCGAGACTTTCAAGGTCAGCCGTCTTCATACCCTCTTCTTTGGACAAAGCTAACAGCTGATCGTTCAGGAGTCCACCCGTGATCTACCTATCTTGCAAGGAAAAGGTCCAGCTGCGCAAACCTACTTCGAATACAACGACGACAAGTTACGAGAGATTGCGCAGCTATTCGATGGCTCGAATAACAAAGCGAGCGAAGCAGACAGGCTGGAAGGAATGAAGCGTTTAATAGCGGTAAGTCCCGGTGCGAATATCCTTGCTGATACCGATTCTTGTGTTTCGGAGGCTAACTTTTATAGTGGTATTTTAATGCTCATCTAGATGATTTCGAAAGGACGCGATATGTCTGCCTTCTTCCCTCAGGTGGTGAAGCAGGTAGCTTCGCCAAGTGTAGAGATCCGTAAACTGGTAAGTTTGTTTCCGACTGAGCATGTTTTGGACTACGAGAAGCGCTAATACCTCCCGTTCTGCTTCAGGTATACATCTATTTACTCCGTTAGTTAGTGTCCACTGTCCATTCCACCACTTTGCCATGAACACTGGTTAAGACTCGACGTGGCCGCAGTGCGGAGACGAACTCGGATCTCTTGCTGCTCTCCATCAACACATTCCAGCGGGATCTTGGCGATCCAAGCCCCTTGATCAGGAGTATGGCTATCCGTGTATTGACGAGCATCCGTCTTGGTGTGATTCAAGGTAGGCCTTAAGTGGCATCCGTGGACGAGTCATCAGTCCAGCTGATATTGCTTCTGAACGGTCTTTACTGTTACAGGGATCGTTATGCTAGGACTGGAAAAGCTCGTAAATGATCGTAACCCATGGGTCCGAAAGACCGTGGCTCTCGGTTTGATTAAGGTTTACGAGTAAGTCTTTTGCGTCAGACTTCGGTCCGGTTCATGCTCAGTCGTTGATATGTCGATATCACAGCTCGGACTCGACGACCTTGCCGCAATTGAAGACCATGCTCGTGACCCTTCTCAAGACCAGCACACCTGTCACCATCGGGGCCACTCTACAGGCGGTGGATTCGATCTGTCCCGATCACCTCGACCTACTGCATCCTTACTACCGGAAAATCTGCATGCTACTGATAGATAGCGACGAATGGGGTCAGGTCGTGGTACTAGCCGTCCTGCAACGATACGTTCGCAACTATCTGGAGAAGCCGGAAGAGCAGGAAGTCCAAAAGGCTGTTGTGAACAAACAATACGACGATCAGATACCGGGCAGCGCGCACGACGACAACGACCAGTCGGGCGCTATGTCCGAGGCGCTCCCAGAATCGAGTTCGGCGCCTCCCGAGCTGGACCCAGATTTGGAGCTCTTGTTGCACTGCACGCTACCTCTGTTCCAATCACGCAATCCGGCCGTCACGCTAGCTGCCATCAGGCTCTTCTACCTGTGTGCCTCGAATCAGATCTCATCGGAAGACTTGTCACAACACAAGATTGTACCCCCTTTGCTCCGTCTGTGCTCCGTCACGCAAGATACAAGCGAGGTAGCTTGGAGTGCCTGGGAGGTCGTGAGGGAGATCGCAGAGCAAAGACCGGCAAGTCTGTTCGCTTGTTGTTCAAGCCTTCGTATCTTAGGGCCCATCGATGCTGACCGTGCTGTATGACTATGTAACAGTGGTTACTCTCCGAAAGGATTGAAAAATTCTTCGTTCGTAGCTCTGATACTGTTCGCACAAAGAGGCACAAGATTGCGATCTTGAGTTTCCTGGTCAGCGAGAGCAACGCGAGTCTTGTGATACGCGAGTTCAGGGTGAGCCGTTCGCTAGGTATGTCGAAGTCTCGTCGATGCATCAATACTAAAGATCCCTTCCTTTGCTCTCTGTCAGGAATACGCTCGTAGTCCACAATCGGCCGTATCAATGGACGCCATCCAGGCTATCGGCCGATGTTCCGAGAAGATCGGATCCGTCAAGCAGACCTGTGGGAAAGTTCTCCTGTCGTTACTAAAGAGCGGAAAGAGTAGGTCGATGGTCAGGTACCTCGCATATCCGAGACATTACTCATCATTTGACCTGCTGTCCAGAAACCACGATCGCACAAGCTGTAATTGCCTTGCGGTCCCTCATCCAGTCTTCGACTGATCGCGAGATGGCTTCACGCCTAGTCCTCAGCCTTTCTCAGCGCTTATCATTCGTTCACGGCGAAGAAGCCCGTGCGAGTGTATACTGGCTTGGCAGCCGATACAGTATAAGCGAGGACCAAGGTCCGTCAACCTACTCGGAATTCCAAGGGATCGCGGTATGGGCACCTGATCTCCTCAGAAACGGCGTGAGATGCTTCATGACCGAGGTGGGTTTCGATACAGCTCGATCCTCGCTAGTTGGTGACTCATGATTTAATTCGGCCGAACAGGAACCCTTGACCAAAATTGAAGTGCTCAATCTGGCAGCAACTCTGCTCACGCAATGCCCAGGCTCAAGATCAATCGACATGCTCACGAGACACGCCCTGGCTCTGGCGCGTTATGATCAAGACTGGGATGTCAGAGATCGGGCCAGATTGCTCACTGGGCTTCTACGGAGCGTACGACAATCAAATGGCGATGCGGAGGATGACGAGGTCGATACGGGAGGCGTAGTCTTGAGACCAGAACAGATCAAGTTGGTCCTGTCTGATTGCCCTGATCTGAGGCAGGGCTCCGATCGAAGTGAGTCTCGTCGTCTCGTCCTGAGGAACGTTTTGGCCATCGAATCTAAGTCATGCCATTCTTCCTAAAAGTCGGCCGCACTCGACGGAACTATCCGATGGGGTCCCTGTCCGGCCTTAGCAGCCGCCCCATGCGTGGTTCAGGGTGGGATGTTCCCTCCTGGACGACGGATCCTACTGATAGCTCGCTGCGGGATGTGGTGAGTTACGAAAGGTTTTACCTCCATTCGCCTACCGGTATTGAAGTCTACTTTACCTTGTGTGACTAGCCCGAACCGATATCCGCCCCAAAATCTCCTGTCTTCGAGGCGACAATAGGAGAAAGCCGTGGTGGGAAGAACGTCGCAAGAGCATTGCCATCGTTTCCTACCACACAAAGCAACCCGCAGACGCTTCGAGCTAAAAAGATCAAGAACTTGGACGAGTTTCTCGACGAAACCGATACGGATAGTACCGCAGATACAGTCGATGAGGATAGAGAGAGCGATGGTGGCCGGGGGAAAGCAAAGTGAGCCAAGCAAACTTCTTGTGACGCTTTCGCTGAGTCGCCGTGGCTGACCTCGCGTCCCGCCTATTAAGTCGCGCTGGTACCGCGACCACTTTGCAGTCTCAGGGGGTCTCGAGCGACTCTAGTCTATCAGATAGCGACAGTGACAGCGATAGCGAATGAGAGATTGGTGATGTTGTATGTGATGGATCATCCTCAACAATCAACAAAGGCCATAAAGGTATTCGTAGCAGTCCACTTCGCGGGAGTAGGCTTTGTTCGGCCTTTGTCATCGAGCATTCCCCTCCCCTTCGCTTGATGACGCGTCAAGAGGAGGAGGGTCCCCATGGGCGAAAGGGAGGAGTCGCGCTAAGACGGGGCCAGGGTCGGTCACGAGGTCTTCGACCAGCATGACCAGTGTACCTCCGGTATATATATATGGCATGGCAATCGAGCATGCAAGCATAGATCTGTCCACTACTAGATATACGCTCGAGAAGACGAGTACTTGATAATCAACCTTATCGGCTTCGCCTCACTTGGAGTGAAATATACATCCCTTCCGCTCGATTCCGAACGACTTGGACGTCCCCCCTTTGAACATACTTTGCCGACATGAATTCTAGGTCGTTGCTCTCGCGAGGACGACTCCTTACACAGAGGAATCTCAGTACCAGTAGGGTGATCTGCGGTAGCAAGACAGACTCGTCGTCTCACGCCTCTCCTAGTGGTATCTTCTCTGTGGGTCGCCAGCTTGAGCTTGAGATATCCTCCGAGAAGGATCCTACGAGCTGACATTAGCAACCCTGAAGAGTCTCCTTCACGGTTCCGAGCAAGCGAAAGCAGAAGGAGAAACGGAGATTCATCAGCATTCCCGGTTGATAGGAAGGAACAAGGTGAGGCGACCTGGAGGATCTTGATGCTTGCGAAAGCTATGCACAGCTGATTTCAATCTCTTTAAAACGAAAGTACGTCCACGAGCTCGTATCTCATGCGGTCAAGCCGGACTGCAGGGAACAGTACAGGACAGCAGCGTAAGTACCCCTTGTTCGAATCAACGGGACGTAAATCATGACCTGACAGCATTGTTCGGACCTCGGACCCATAGCGAGGAGTACTTTGCCGGCCTGGCGAAAGATCCTTCACTCAAGGTGAAATTGACGGGAAGTTGGGAAACGTTGATCGGACCGGTGGATAATTTCGGTAAGTGACCAGTCTTGCGCACGCTTTCTAGCTAGAGGCAATATCTGCAGTATGGTTGCTGATCGTTAGGACCCTTGTGTGATACCAACAAATATTCTAGTTCACATTCTGGAGTACGAGAACTATGACGGATACGACGATGTCATGCGGAAGCTTCAGACTCATCCGGTGAGAAATCATGGCTGTCCGCTTACCACCTTCGACCCTGCTGATCAAACGAGACCTCCGTAGACCCTTCCGGGCATCCTCAACAAGCAGATTCTTCCAGCAGTCCAGTCCAGACATTCCCAACTGATGTCCGAGTTCGCTTTCTGGCCTTCGTCCCCCCCTCGTCAGAACGGAGGTATATACGAACTCCGGAGCTATCAGCTGATACCCGGTCGGCTGCTCGAATGGGAGCATGCGTGGAAGCGAGGGCTGGAAGCGAGAAAGAGATTCGTCGTGAGTACGCTCGGCCTTTGAGAATACGTGGCGACACTGACCGTGGCTTGGTTCGCCTCAGCAACCCGCGGGTGGTTGGTTTTCGCAAGTGGGCACATTGCACGAGGTACACCATCTCTGGCAGGTCAGTGTTGACTCAGACATGGGATTTTTCGACCATGGTCGACTGAGAGAAGCCACTCGCAGTATCCCAACCTCGCCGAGAGGAAGTTGACCCGCGAACAAGCCTGGAACGTATCCGGATGGAGTAACACCGTTCAGGAGACAGTCAAATTGGCGCAATCCATGAAGTGTTCCATCCTGGTGAGTTCGGTGTTCCCATGAACAGCCCAGGATCGTCCAACTGATGAGCTAGTAATCTAGTTGCCTTGTGCGTGGTCGACTTTGAAATGATGGCTCAAATCGGAGATGCCTGGAAAGATGCTGGGTGTATATCTGTGTCTGAAATCTCTGTGATATGAGCATGTAGAATTGCGACGTGCGTACTTGAAGCCGTTGCAGGCATTGTAAACGAAACGATGGATATATGAATACCTTGTACCGAACGGGCTGCCGGAAGATTCCCCAATGATATACAAATACGTAAGACACTGTTTTTCGCCATGAAAGCCCTTCAAATTTAAGGAATGTATCGGAACCCAGGAGCGAGATCGTGCTCTTCAATAACGTTGAGCACGGTGCCTTCAACCGGACGTCCTCCTTCGATCCTGTCTCGACGCTTGTTTTCCGCTCGGTAGTAGAGAGTCATTCCGATACAGATGCAGAAACCCAGAGCCTGGAAGGCCAGGTTCAGGGTGATACCCTTGTGGAACCGCGGTCCTTCGTGACTGGGGAAAGAGTAGGACGCCAGGATAGACAAACATTGGCCTGGAAATTGAGAACATCCGGTCGAGTCAAGTCAGCGAGAACTCCCACAAGCGCTAGCGATAGACTGCGACCGACTTACCGATAGTGTTCAACATTCCGAGTGCAACGGCACGCTGGCTCTGCGATCCACAGTTGTTCGATTGCCAAGAGATGATGATGGGGATCGCTCCGTAACCCGCACAAACGATCAAGATGCATCCGAAGTAGCGGACGTGCAGGTCGGAGTGACTGGCGTGAACAGGGCTAACGGCATAGAGAATCGCCCAGCCAACAATTCCACAGATATAGACTCCCGCCGCATAGAGGCTGTATTCAGGTCGAATCGATCACCGGCTCAGTATACGATCGAACAACGGGCTGGACAGGATCGCGGACTCACCCTCGGGACCTGAACCTGTCGGAAAGAGTGGACAGCAACATGGTGACCACCAAAGCCACAGCATAGGGCGGGACTGTGTAAAGTTGCTGAGAAGAAAAAGGCAAGATATCATTCAGTTCATGGTCCATGTACGGCTTTATGGATCAGAGTACTTACAGCCTGCGCAGCGGAGTATCCGAGACCTAAATCGAGAGCGGAACCATGAGCGAGGTTCAAGTACGAGTACAGGATGGGAATCATACCTTTGATAATGGTCGGCAGGAATCCAGAAACGGAACCAAGGGTGAGGTTCATGCACGAGTATGCGATGGCGATCATGTAGGTCTTCCAGTCCAAGAATGCCCGCTTGACGCCACTCCAATCGATCCCGTTGTCCCCCTCGTTGAGCGAATCCGCGTTGAGCCGGGTGATGGCCAATGTGCGTTCGTTCTCATTGAGGTATTTACTCGATTGAGGGCGGGAAGGCAGGAAGATGAAGACGCAGATGGCGAGTAGGACGGAGGGACACCCTTCAATCAAGAAGAGCACACGCCAGGCTTCGATCTTGGGGTGATGGATCCTTGCTACACCGTAGGCGATCAGACCTCCGAAGGCGCCCGCTAGTGCTCCAGCGCCGATGAACAAAGCGACCCGTTTGGAGATTTCGGACTTGGTGTACCAATAGGAAAAGTAGAGGGCGACCGCCTGCCCGAACATGGCCTCTCCAACTCCGACGAAGAGACGACAGACGTAAACCCTGTTCAACGTCAAGCAAGGGTGAGTCAAGGAATCGATTTTTGTTGTTGATGGCTGGACTTACCCAGCGGGGTTCTTGACGCCAGCTTGTGCGGTAGCAGCAACAGCCCAGATCATAGCACCAATCGAGATCGAGGTCGAAGGTACTACGGCTTTGGCAAGCAGAGTTCCTGGGATACTCAATGTGATGTAGGTAATGAAGAAGCACGAGAGGGCCTGCGAGGTTCGTCGATCGAAAATCCAGTCAACAAAGTGCCTTGGTAAGATCGTCGTCGACTGAGTTCTTACCAAGGAGTATTTTTCGTCACTGTTATCCAGAGCCTCCTTCTGAAGACCTTGTAGACGCGCATTTCCCAGGTTTCCTCGATCGAGATAGGCGGACAGGTAGAGCAGGAAAGCGAGAGGCAAGATCACGACGTCTGCAGTTCATGTTGAGGTGAGCGATTGCGCAGAGGTTGTCTTCGAAGTCGACGCCGCTTACCTAGCTTCAAGAGCAACTTTCGCTCAGCCTTGCGAGTCTCTGCGCGGTGAGTGTCCCCGATAAAAGATCCAGCGTAACCCTTTTCAGTCCCGGTGCCTCCAGTAGTAGTAGCTTCGAGCAACGAGCCATCTTGAAGACCAGCGTTTTCTTCGATTTCGAAGTGCGCGACGTTTCGCTTCTCGTTGGTGGGTTCGATGCTCATCCTTGATCAATGTCGTTGGCAGAATCGAGTGGGAGAACGCAACAGGTGAAGGGTCTGCGGGGTGACCTGGGGGTCTGACAGACTTTATGCTCTTCAACCCCGAGGGGTTCTCCACGGGACCATGATGCTCGTCCAAGCGAACCAATCGCGTTCGGACGAGATGCAATCCGGGGGCCACCCTCGGGATCATCTCTCTCAGTCTCTGTCCCTGATCTGCCATCAGGGCCCGATCGTCAGTTCTAGCTAGCTAAAAGATAGATGGTTGCGGAAGCGAATTTGCAATGGTATAGCCCATCGGACCAGCCATCTCATAAAATCTGCCGGAATTCACCGAAATCCCCGACAATCTGGGGTGATCTCGAGTTCTATCCTGCTACTATGCCGTAAAACTATCTGCAACAATCTGTGCTAGCAAACATTCTAGCCCCTATCGAGCCGCTTTTTTGACGCACGTGGCGGAGAGCGGTCGACGGTCGACTGCAGACTGCCGAATTCTGCAGAATTCGGCACCGACCTGATCAACTCCAGATACTATGTTGTACTACTGAGATGATCGCTATGCCGAATTTGAATCGTTGAGCGGATCATCAACCATGTCTGAATACCATCACCATCACCATCCCCATCAGCAGCAGCAGCAGCCGCAACAGCAACAGCAACAGCAACATCATGTGCAACGGGATTGGAGTCAGCACGAGAGGGAGTACTACGCCTCTCTGTCTGATTTTAGGACGTTTCAGCAACCTCTCCCTCATCCGAATCATCACCACGGCCAGTACCCGTACCCTTCGCCAATCGGCGAAGGTCCTCGAGGTTACCTCGCAGGCCCTGCAGGCACCTTGGTGGCTCCAAGCACCCAAGGACACCCGCAGACTGCCGAATTCGGCGGAACTCGGGACATGAGTCCATTGGACTCTCCCGTCTTGACTTCGATCAACGCTTTACCTAGCCTGCCCGCCGCCCCTGCTATCCTTCCGGCCCAGGCTGCAACTCCTACCTCTGCTCCTGGCAACCCTCCTGCCAACCAGAACGTTCGCTGGTATGAGTGGATGGAGGATCTCCTTGCCGACCTCCTTGTTGCGGAGGTGAAGGTCACACGCAACAAGGTCACCATGGGCATGCCCGTATTCTCCAAGATTGCCAACCTGATCAATGAAGCGATGGACGCTCGAACCGACCCCACGCCCAATGGGAGATTGGATGGTATCAAGGTTAAGAACAAGACAGGAATCTTGACGGCAGAATTCTACAAGCCTCTCGAGCGGATGAGGAAGAGGTCGGGCTGGGGTTGGGATCACCAGCTGCATCGTCCCCTTGTTGATGACGAGGCGTTCGAAGACTACGTCAAGCACTGGGTGAGCTGAAGATCGCAGCCGAATTCTGCAGAATTCGGCAACACAAGCTGATCCCATTCAAACATCGTCACACAGGTCGGGACCCCAACCGTGTCTCAAATCAGACGTCTGCGAGACAATGGATGGCGGCTCTACCCCAAGTGGAAGATCATCCGTGAAGGTCATGGAGCTACGGGTGATTTTGCCTTCCGCGGTGGAGCTCCTCTCCCTTCCCAACCCGACCCTCCTGCCGCTGCCGCAGACGCCGAAGATTCGGCCAGCGAAGGTGAAGCGAACAGTCAGCCGCAGGGTACTCCCCAACGTCCCCACAGCAGCAGGAGCCGGGGCAGGGGTGGATCGTCTTCCGCTGGATCAATTGCTTCGATGAGCAATCGCCGACGCGATGAGGATCAGCCCGACTTTGCTTCCCTTGGCAAGACGTTTGTTGAACAGCTGGCATCAGTCACTCAGCAAGCAACTTCGCAGATCTTGACTCGTGGTTCCGCTTTGCTCAAGGAGGATATCGCAGCCATGGAAATCAGCGTGGTCGACGCTCGGAAACTTCGCCTCCGTCTCGCCAAAGACCGTACGCTGGCCGAGTCTTATGCCCATCAATCCGAAGAAGACCGCCGGGAGTTGCTACAAGCAGTCTTGGAAGATCTACAGGGCTGAGTTTTTGTGTTTGTAATTATCCACCGTGCTCCCGAATTCTGCCGAATTCGGTGTATCAATGAAACGTCTGTCAAATGAGAGCTAGGAGCTAGACACTTGCGAATGTGCTCACCTACGAATTCTGCCCAATTCGGCAGCCCTCTTGCACTCATTCCGGTTGGGTGGCAGGAATGACCTCCCATCGAGCGAAGTTGTCATCCGCAATCTTTTCTCGCAGTGCAACCATAGGATCACTGCGAGCATCTGGATCGTTCCTTTCCCTCCGGGCAACGGGTTCGTCTGGATCCAACCCTACCCCAGAGAGAAGATCCTGATCGTCTGGTACTGGCTCGCAGTCGTCTTTGTTGTCAGACATGAAGTTCTGCAGTGCGCAAAGTGCATAGATGACTTGCACTTGCTTAGCCGGGGCATAGTACGTTCCGGCTCGCAATGCCTTGAACCTCGCTTTCATGATACCCCAAACCTGTTCAATGGGCATGCGGAGACTGGAATGTTGGTGATTGTACACCTCCTCCCTAGTCGCTGGCTGTCGTCTGGATCGCTTCCATGCGGCAAGGTGGTATGCTGTCCCATTGTAGGGCGTGAGTACCTGGCATCGAAGAGTGAATCCTGCATCTCCGAGTAGATAATACCCTTGCGGAATTGGAATGTCTTCGTGGCGAAGACAATCGTACCAGATGCTGATATCCGGCTCAGGACCTTCCCAGCCAGCGTTCACGTAACAAAGCCGACGATCTAAATCGCATATACCGAGGACGTTCCATGAGAGACCACCTTTGCGATCTCGGAAATTACCCTCTCTATGGCTTGGAGGATGCGCAGTGATGAGGGTGCCATCGATAGCGCCGCAAGCCTGTTGAAATGCCCCGAGCTTCCTGCTCCGGGCGAATTTACGATGAGGCAATTGGTTTGGACGAGGAAAGCGCACCATCTCGCTGTAGAATGGGTCGGTGGCGAGGGCAGTCACCGTGACATCAACAGCTCTATTAATGAAATGATCAGCCGAATTCGGCCGAATTCGGTTACGACCCTCATCTCGGCTCACCTGAAAGATTGAGAACACATGATGCACATTCAGCCGAACTCGACCGAATTCGTACAAATTTACTCACTCACCTGGACACCGCTGCCAAGCTTCTGTTGAACTCTAAGCCTGTCTGCCGGTGACCTGTGCCATGCCTCAATGCATGCAGAGCGATGGCCAACGTTTCTTGCGAGCCCACGCGTTGTGTCGCCAACGACCTCCCAGCTGCTCCAAGTTTGCTCGCGAGCAGTCGCATGGCAGAAGGACTCATGCCAAACGCATTCATGCATCGTGCTCGGTTATTAAGAGCCTCCATCAATCTCATTTGTCCAGAGAACCTGGATGTGGAGTAGGCCAGCCGTGTTCGTGAAGGGTTTTGTTTCTGGTTTCGTTGCTGTCGATTGCACAGCAACACGAGGCTGATAAATTGGACAACAAAGTCCCTATCTCTACTCGAGTTATCTGACATGTTGCAGGGTGACCTTGTGCCGAAGTCTGCAGAATTCGGCTGAGCACAACAACGCATGTATCGACGACAACAACGATATGCTTGTCGTCAAATCGCAGATGGAAATCGAGATGACGTCAAGGACCTATTTGCCTCCGTATTTGCACCCGACGCGCGTTTGAGCGACCGTTTCATCCCTTGATCGTCGCTGCTTGACGACGCTGTTGCCATCAATATCACCAAAGGACCTCTTCAGTTCCAACGCAGAAAACGCAGAGACTTCGAGAAGAGGGTCCTTTGGATTGTTCCTGTTCATCAAACAACAACAACAGCCACGTCGACGCGTATGACTCCATCAAAACAAAGAAAAAAACACGTCGCGTCTGCTCAGCCAGTGAGGAAGGTATATACACACGATCAATTCACATCCCCCCTTCCCCCCCCCTCATCGTCCTTTTCTCTTTTCCTCTCTTCACTCTCAACTCTATCTCTCCGACTCTATCTCTCTTCCCAACTTTACTTAATCCTCGTCTTGATAACAACATGGCCCCTGAACGTCCCGCCAAATCCTCCTCCTCTAAACGCACCAACCCCGCCAACCCCGCCAATCGTACTTCTCGGAACGCCCTTGGGCGATTCGTGTCTCGTCCCGGAGCTGGAGCTCCCGCTGGCGCTCAGGAGGAGTGGGATAGGATGCAGAGGGGGGAAGGGGGTCGTCAGTCGACTCTTCCGAACCTGAGAGTGAGTACGATACGATCGTGATCCTTCTTCCTTTCACCGTCGGTTGTTCCCCTCCTGTCTTTCGTTCTTTGCCGAGTAAACGACTGACTCTCCCGAATTTTGCCGAATTCGGTAGTTTGCTCAGACCCAAGAGGAAGAAGAACGGGACGTCCAGAAGGCCATCGGCAAGTCTCTCAAGACGGCTAAGTTTGAAAAGATCCTTACCAAGGAGCGACTTGCAGCGGAAACTCGCCTCGCCCAAGAGCAAGCCGAACGGGACGCCGTCAACCAAGGAGCTCGCATCTCCCCCATCCCCGACGACAACCAAGGAGCTCGTATCTCTCCCATCCCCGATGACGACGACGTGATCGTCAAGACCGAGAAGATTGATGAGCCTGTAAGTTGGGGTGTTTGCTAGCTTCAAAGTCGGAATCGAAGGCTTACCGAATTCTGCAAACTTCGGCAGATCCCTCCAAAGAACAAACGCAAGGACAAGGCCAAGGCGAAGCAGGCGGAGGTCATCGAGGTGAGTTATTCCTGTTAGAGAGTGATCGGTTTGCGCTTACGAATTCTGCAAACTTCGTCAGCTTTCCTCGACCGAGGAGCCGGAGGCCAACGCCAAGGCGAAGGCCAAGGCCGAGAAGAAGAGGAGGAGGAAGGCCGAGAAGATGGCGCGGGAGGTGAAGAAGGAGGTGGAGGAGCTTTTCCCTGTGAGTTATCCATCTTTCGCTCCATTTGAACTTGAACATGATACTAATTCCTTCCTTCCCTATGCGTTTAGAGCGACGACGACGTCAAGGCCCTCGTCGCCGACTTCCCGTCTAAAAACCTCGAGGATGCCTGGATCATTGACGGGAAGAACCCCGTCAAGGTTTGTGTAAGTCTGTGCTCTCTCTTTTACACATCCTCATCGTGGTACTAACTTCATTCGCAAACGATAGATCTTTACGAAAGGTTACGACTGGGTAGGAGCTCTTGCGAGACTCGAAGAGGCTGCCCAGATGTCGAACGAAAAGGAGAAGAACGCCATGGCCAAGAGTATCGGCTTGATGGGACCTCGTTCGTCCCCCGACATGACTGCGGCCCGACGAAATTTCTGGCTCGCCCGAGGGATCGACTTCGATAAGACCTTCAACGCTCAAACGGGCTACGACGTCGGCGTCTATACCGGAGAGGTGAGTTGGCGCTTACCGAATTCAGCCGAATTCGGCAGAGTCCTGCGTCTTTTGCACTGATCACTGACACCGGTACGATTGCTTCTCTCTTCAGGAACGAAGCATTCGAACCGCGAAGGAGGGGGGCAAAGCAGTTGTCGAGTTCGAACACATCATGTGCACCCCCTGCGCCAGGAAGAAGAAGGATGACCCGGAGCAGCGATGCTTCGCCACAAGGCCCTTCACCGCCTGCACCGCCTGCGCTGATCGCGGCAAGGCTTGCGACTTCAAGGAGATGCAGCGCGCCTTCGTCAACCAGCACGTCATCGGTGCTGCGAAGACCTTGCAAACTATCGGCAAGAAGATTCGCAAGAAGGTCAAGGGCAAGAAGGGGTTGACGATTGCTATCGACATGATGGCGGTGAGTTTTTCTCTGATTCAAACCAGTGATTCCGCGATCCGTGACTGACCGAATTCGGAAAAATTCGTACAGGCTGTCACCGACATTCTCAAGGCCTCCGACGTCGGTATCCCCGGTCTCCACGACTCGCTGAACCGTTACTTCGAGATTCAGCAAGCCAAGATCGACGCAACCTCCAAGAGCGGCAAATCGATGATCGGGCTGTTGAATGAGAGTCGAGGCGAGCAGGTTGCCCGAGAAGTCGAGCAGGGCATGAAGGCTCCCCGCCGCAAAGACGTCGAAACCCAGGCCGTCCTCGACGCGGCCTTCGACAACTTGCCCAGCACCCCTCAGAAGCGCAAGGCCATCGCTGCTCCCGACCAGCGAGCGACCGTCGAGGACTACGATGACGACATGGACATCGACGAGCCGGTCGCCTCGGGATCGGGATCGGGTAAGAAGAAGGCGATCAAGGCCGCGCCCCCCAAGGAAGAGACCTCCGACTCGGACTCGTCGGACTCTTCGTCTTCTTCGGAAGACGAGAGCTCCAGCGACTCCGACTAAGTTGCCTCTTGGTAGACCCCCGCTCAATGCATAGGGTCCCTTACTACCTGATTTCTCTCGCGAAGTCTCTGTTCAGGTAGGGGTTTTTATAGATTAAGACTTCGCCCGTTATTATACGGTAAATATGTGATAGAGGTTTGTAATTACGAGGCTGGTTTCTTTTCTTATGCCATGCCATGCTACGAGCGACTACGAGTGATCGCCGAATTCGGTGAACTTCGGCTGATGTCTTTGTCAAAGAGTTCTGATTCACCCGTTCCCCGAATTCTGCAGAATTCGGCAAGACCTTTGCTATGGAGATGAAACACACATCGTCTGAGATATCACGTGATGACGTGGCTGCTATTTGTATCCGCGCGGAGGCAAACAATGCAAACAGATAGAACTCGCGATCACCCACGGCAAACTATCCGACCTCGCTAGCGCGCTATCTGCGCGCAGATACTCGTGAGAAAATAATTATAATCTAGATAGAACTCGCGACCGGGCCCTCACGGACCACAGAAGGGGCAGATGATCTGGAAGAACCGACCAATCGTTCGGCATGTCCATGCAACCAAAGCCTGTAATTATAGCAGAGCTAGTCCTGAAACAGGCTGCCGGGACTAATCTAGCGGAGGCATTCGGACCACAGAATTCGCCGATCAAGCTCTAGAATAGAACGGTAGTTACGAAACGATCTATTCTCGGAATGCGTCGGTTCGGTCCGGTCCGATTTGGCTAAATGATTTCCCCTGCGTGCGCGACTGTATTTGAAACAGCCTGCACTTCGTTCGTACAAGATATGGGTCTATGGAGGGCTGTGGAGGGCTATCTCCCCGCCGTGTTTCCCGGCGTCCATCAATGCCAATAATTCGATAATCGATGATAATCCCGAGTGATCGGCGAAACCATGCATGCCACCTGTAGGTCCGCATATTGCCGTCTACCTTCGCGATCGTTGCCTCGCATGCGCATATTGCAGCAGCGCCTTCCAGTTGCTTCAGAACCCAAGCGACTAGCGACCACAGCTAGACATGATACAAAGGGGGAGACGCGGTCCCTAGGCTCCTACAGTCTTGAACTACGAACTCTGGACGGATGTGGCCCTTTCCCTTTACATGCGGTCGGGAACAGGCATTTCAATATGGCGGTCGTCTCTGCTCAAGTACAGATCAAGTGCGGTTACTTTCAACCTTCTTTCATCTGCGCACATCATGTACAATATCTGCCCCATCATCACCCTCGATCCCCTATTTGATTGCCAGATAGTCGCCAGTAAGATGACAGCCTGAAATTTGATCCAACGAGCCAACGCGATCCTAACGGGCCCAACCAGATTACTAATCAGTCGCGATGGTCCGTGACACGTCATCAGCTAGCAGCCAGTGTGACAAAGACATCGTACTTGCTTGCTTGGCTGACAAACATACATACCTGTCCTCTCTTGCGAGCTCCCCTAGCCCCCTTCGACTATATTGAAGAGCGAGCCAATCTTTTGAAGCTCAAGGGCTAGAGACAGACTCGCAACTCATTCCCCACAACTTCGACGAGACCTGTAGAAATCCGCCATAAACAATCAACGACAACAAGCAGAACAATGTCTACAGCCGATGCCTCTCGTTATTCTCTGGGCTCCCTCTTCTCTGTCGAGGGATCCGTGGTCGTGATCACTGGGGGTGGGACGGGAATCGGCAAGTCGAGAAATCCGAATCCAAGCTGTCTTGATCTCGCTGAGCTGAACCATTCGCAACTTATCCAGGTCGAATGATCACCACGGCTTTTGCTATGAACGGAGCCAAGGTCTACATCACAGGCAGGAGGTCGGAAGTCCTAGAAAAGACCTCCAGGGAGATCAACGAGATGGTCAATGGCAAAGGCAGTGTCGTTCCGTATGTCATAATCGATAGGACAACTAGCTTATCGTTGCTGATTTCGAAACTCGTGCTTGCATCTCAAACAGCATACAGGGTGATGTCAGCTCCAAAGCGACCGTCAAGGAGTTCTACAACAAGGTAGCTGAGAAGGAGAACCGTGTGAGTCCAACATCGGTGCCATGATGAGATGCAGGCCTCGTATAAACCTCCATTTGGCTCTGTTTGTTCAGATCGACACCTTGATCAATTGTGCAGGAATTTCGAAGCCTTGGCGCAAGCCGACTACTGAGCTTACTAATGGTGAGCCTGCATACGACTGCATACGCCAAGTTCTACTCTCACAGCTGTCGGCAATGGTGTAAATCAGTACCCCAGGTTCAGGATATGCTAGACAGCGTCGAAGAGTGAGCCTATTACCCTTCTCTTCCTCTTCCATGATCTCCCTTCGTTGGAGACTGATGAATCGACGTCCATATTCGATCTTCAGCGAGGACTTTTCCACCTCTCACTCGATCAACGTTGCCGGTCCTTATTTCACAACCATCGCCTTTGCGCCGCTTTTGGCCAAGTCCGAAAACGCCAGCGTGATCATCATCGCCTCAATCGCTCCGTTCGTTCAGCAAAAGTCGGTAGGCCCGATCACTTATTCGGTCAGCAAAGGAGGTGGTGAGTTCCGATCCAACCATTTATCTCTCGACATGCGATGCACGACTGAGATTATCGAATTTCGTATCCTGTCCTTGTTTAGCCGTCACCTTGTCTCATCAGTTGGCCTCTCGTCTAATCCCGTAAGATCCCGTCATTCGGAAGGTAACCCGCACATAGCTGATTGGCTTTACATGCATAGGTACAAGATCCGTGTCAACTGTCTCTGTCCGGGCATCTTCCCCAGCGAGATGACAGGCGATGGTACCAATGTAAACCCCGCTATCAAGGCCCTTCTTCCTACGATCCCCAAAGGTGAGACATATTTCTGATCCTGTAGCCCTAACCGATCATGAGGATCTGATTTGGTGGTTGCTGCTGTCCACTATCTACCCCAACAGGTCGAGAGGGCAAGGCGGAAGAGATAGCCGGACCTTGCGTCATGCTCGCATCGCCCGCGGGAGCCTATATGAACAATGCTGTATTGGTAAGCCTTCGAACCCCGGTCGTTGGCTTGTGAGCAAGACCTTTTCACTGATAAACGACGATCGAATCGCCTAACAGACGATTGACGGTGGTCGTCTGATGGTGGGTCTGATCTCCCTCCTGACGCGATTACAGCAGTATACTGATTCCGGGTTTTGATATCATCAACCTTTCAGACCTGCTAGTTCAAGTGAGACAAATCAACCCGTCCTGGGTACCATATGAAAGGGGTTTTGCGAGGGCGAAGTGCGAATGAGATCGTCGCTTACAAGCGCGTCAGCCAAGCGCGTGTCCCGCTCCATCCCGGTCGATTCCCTAGGAAGACGCCATTTGTATCCAGTTCGATATCCTAGACAACTTGTACTTTGTCTTATCACCAGATGTACTTGCCCACGAGATTACATTACGCCGTTGGTTCCTCTGACCTGACCACACCTGGCTGCTCAAGTAGATTTGAAGCCGGGGGAGCCAAGATCGACGCAGCTGTCGAGCCATCGCCATCATGAACGGGTCGACGACCGTGACGTATGACCTGGAAGCTGGGATGGAGTGGAGGTTCGAGTTGGAACAGGGTGAAGCTATAGCTGTGAGAGTAAGTCAACCCTTCAGATCGTGTATAGGGGAGGTGGTAGGGCGGCGGAATTGTCGTAGCAACAGGACTTTTCGTGTAAGTTGACCTCGAGTGAACGGTTCGAGGACCCGCAGTTGGCTTACCTCTATCTATTCGTTTGCTCTCGGTCTTTTCGTTCGTTCGATTGCGTTCTTTGAAAACATTTGTATATCCTTAGTGTAGCCTGCATCGTCTTCGACGCATTGTGCCGCTCCGAGCTGTGTGCTGCTTGTGGGCCGTGTGATCATGCTGTAGATGCGAACCGAAGCCTCGTCAGATCGGACAAACACTACTGACTTGCGGAAGAGGTTGACCGTAGCTGGAAAAAGCTCGATACAGCATCTTTCTGAGAGGATCACGGCCTTCTCCCTGAGATCTATCTTCTTTTGCCGTATTCGATCCTGACCACGTCGTCATGTGTTGCGTTTTGCTACCTAAAGGTGACGTCCGAGGAGCCGATCTACATCAATTACCAGGAGATACCGCCAAATACTTGGTACCCGCTCTACGGCGACCTCAGAGCAGCAATCTGGAGTCCCTCTCCCGGACAAATAGAAGGTCGGCCGATATCTATACTTCAGACATCGTGGAAAAGTTCTAAGCTGAATTTCTGCGCATTGCGCTCCAAAACGACAGTCTCTTCGGCACCTTCAACAGCTTACACATCCCTTTCATCGACATTTCCCTTCATCCTCTCCGTACACCTCGCATTAGAACGCAGAAGAATACTAGCAAAACGAAGCATCAATGCAAGGTTAGACTACGGCCAGGACGATCAGAATGAAAAGGTTCTGTTGGAACAGGAACGTGGACCTAGGGTCATGGTTCTTGGCCCAGCCAATTCCGGAAAGAGCACGATGATCAAAGGGCTCTTGAACTTGGCTGTCGGGAGTGGGATGGGATGGTCGCCTGGCGTAATCGGTCTTGACCCAGGAACGGTAAGTATTTCCATGTATTCCCATGCCCTTATATACGACTGTTCTCGATGCTGATTTCTTGCTACCGTTCTCGGTAGTCGAACCACTTGGTACCAGGATCGGTGTCATTATCCTCGCCAACTCAAGCTGTACCGACGCATCACCCTTCCCACCCTCTGGGATCCCCGCCCACGACGGCAGCGGCCATGACCCTCGCCTCCGATGTTCCCACGCTAGGCTGGTTCGTCGGTAGCTCGGAAATGAACACGAGTGGGATGGGCAAGATGTGTTTCCCTCTATGGAGGAACGTTGTTGACATTATGGCTGCTAGCTGGAGATCGAGATGCCAGACGGATGAGATCGGTACGTCGGTTCTCTCCCGTCGCAAAACGGCTTTCTTGTGCTGAGCATGGTCGAATCGTAGTCCGAACGTCTGGTCTGTTGATCGATACGCCCACGGCTCTCATTCAGCCTACATTGGGAGCGGGCAAAGGCGACAAGACTCGTCACGGTCTAGTCTTGCAGATCGCTGCTGCGTTCGAAGGTGAGCAGTACAGGTGACGGTCGAATTGGCTGGCGACAACTGCTTACGGTCGCCTCGAGGTTATTTCAGTCGATGTCGTCATAGTCATCGGACACGAAAAGCTTACGATCGAGATGCAAAAGCTCTTGAGCGGCTATGGCGTTTCGGTGATCAGTGCACCAAAGTCGAGCGGAGTGAGTAGCTTATCGATGGCTTGTCCTAAACGTTCGACTGAATTGTATGACTCTCGCAGGTAGTCGACCTGGACGACCTATACCGATCCCGCATCCGTGCCCAACAGATCAAAACCTATTTCTACGGAGAACCGGCCTTACCACCGACCTTGATCAACCTGCCGGGTCGTGTCGCTGCAGTGGAGACAGGTCTACATCCGTACTCTTTTACGATCCCATGGGACGAACTAGAGATCTACAGAGTAGGAGAAGGTACGAAAGCAATGACGATGCCGTTCGAATATCAACGCTTATCAAGCTTGCCTCTCACTTGACAGAATCCGCCGCACCCTCGTCGGCCTTGCCAATCGGAAAGCAGCGGATATTATCAGCAACCAGGCTGACACGGGTGAATCCTGCCGCATCCCCCAACATTCACCGGCTTCAAAACGCTATTCTGGGCTTGGTGATAGTTTCAGATGAGGATAAGCGCACAGACCTTCCGCCTAGGAAGGTCAAGGAGGTCAAGAAGGAGGAGACCAAACAAGAGGGAGATGTCAAGGAGGGAGTTAAAGCTGAAGAAGGCGACGAGGAGGAGGAGGAGGAGGAGCCGATCTGGAAGGAAGAGATAGGATGGCGGGAAGTTTGCGGTTTCTTGACCATGTGAGTCATAGCCCCGTTTCGCAGGATTCCCCCAAATCTGACGTCTCGCTGGGTCGCAGAACCAAGGTCGACACTGCCAAACGCAAGTTTGAGCTTTTGACACCGAGTCCGGGCAAATTGCCCTCGCGAGTCGCCCTTGTCGGTAGCGTCGAATGGATCGAGGTCGACGACTAGCATGTATCCAAATCCTCAGGCGTTTCATGCACATCGTCACAATATCATCGAGGTGGCCATCCACATTACATTTCGTAACGGCTCTGCCGTGTGCTATGCCCGCAGGCGGTGAATATGATATATCAAGAAGGTTGCGAACAAGAAGGAAACTCTACAACACGCCCGTTTCTACTCTAATCAAACTTGATGCTGTGCGTTTGCATCTGTTTCGGATTGACAAAGCCAATGAGATGAGCGCGACTGCGACCGATTCAACCGCCGGATCAAGTTCGAAACTCACAGTGATCTCGCCGCCGACATAACTCCCTCGCTTCTTCTTGTTCTTTTCCTTCCTGAATCCGGCTCCACGAGTGACAATCAGATCTCTACTAGCCTTGGCACCGTAATCGTTGATGCTAGCTCCGGCTTTGGTCTGCGTTGCGGCGGGGATATCGTCTCGTGTGAGCTTCCTGACATCTACTATAGGGCGAACAAGAACTCAAAGGGCAAACTCACCCGAGCATCAAACGAGTTGTCGGCGAGACCGTCGTGGGAAAACGACACTTCGTCTGCCTTGACCCGCTGGAACCTTTGGACGGGCTGTCCTTTCTTGTTTTTCAGAGGGGTCGAAGAAGCTCCGGGTGTGAAAGGCTCGATGGTGGTAGTTGTGGTGGTGGTAACGACAGCAGTACCAGTAGCATCGAGCTTGCGCTTCTTGGTAACGCTCTGAACGGGCGTGACGGGCAGAGCGGCTACGACCGCGGGTACGTTCGAGTCGCTGTCAGAGGAGGAGGAAGAACTGCTGCTCGACGAGGATGATGAAGACGACGAGCTGCTACTCGAGGATGAGGATGAGGAGGAGGACGAGGACGAGGAAGAAGAGTCCGAGCTCGAACTGGAAGAGCTAGAGGAAACGCTCTCGCTGCGTTTTCGCTTTTGACCGATGGCGACGGCGACGACGGGCTGGGTAGGTACGGCAGTAGTGGTTTCCTCATCTGCAAAGTTGCACATCCCGCTCAGCATATTTTATCGACACAGCTGATTCCCATGTGGTACTCGCCATCGGAGCTCTCGTCATCGCTGTCACTCTCACTCTCGCTTGACGAAGAGGAAGAACTCTCATCATCGCTATCACTCTCGGACGAGCTGCTCTCGGACGATGATTCCGAAGCCTCTTCGGCGACTGCGACGATCAAACCAGGGTTGGCAGGCGGGGCGTCTTCGTCCGAGGATGATTCAGAAGATTCAGAAGAGGAGTCGGAGGATTCAGAGTCCGAGGAGGAATCAGAAGAATCTGACGAGGTTTCGACAGCGATGGCGACGACCGGAGCTGCCGCGGCGGGCACAACTTCTTCTTCTTCGTCAGACGAGTCGGATTCCTCGTCTTCGTCATCTGAGCTCGAGCTCGAGCTTGAGTCGGTTTCAGAATCGGAGCTCGAGCTGGAGGATTCTGTAAGCAGAAGAAGATTGTTTAGCTGCTGTTCTCTTCGACCACAGTCAACGAACTTCGAAACGAACCGGAGCTGGAGCTGGACTCGGCAACAACTTCGATCCTGCGAGAGGCAGCCGCACTAGGTAAGCCTTGTTCGGGAGAGCGTGCAACCGTTTCTGCGACTCACACGACTGGCTGAGCAGCGGCATTCCACTTGTTCAAGAGCACATCGGAAGTATTGGGGTCCTCTTTGTTCAGCGAGGCCTCCTTGACCAGGGCTTTGCTGGAAGACTTGAGACCCTGCTTGACCAGGTAGGAGCGGATGGCCTCGAGAAGGTCTAGCAAAGGCGGGAAAGAAGAACGCGGCTTAAGCTACCGAATTGTGGACCGAATGCAGTCGCGGTACGGGGATTCAAAGCTCACCTTTGTTGGTGTCCGACATTCTGAATTGTGTCCGCAACCAGATCCGATCTGTAGTGTAATGCTTTACTAGCGACTAGCGACCAGTGGTAAGAAGCTTCGAACATGCTTGACATCGTTTAAAGTTGGACCGGGCAGGGAATTCTCAGGGTGGGGTCACGTGATCAAGGTCGGAAGTAATTCCCCAAATTGGTCCCGACCATAGCTGGAAGTGATCAAACGCAGCCTCGTTTGCGCTTCGTCGTTGCCGTGAAACCGCTTCAAGCTAATGCATGAATCCTCGATCATCGTGCACTCTCCATATCTGCGACAAGAGCTGAATCTACCTGGAATGCATGTGCGCAATCTAAACCGATAGAACAATGCGCTTGAGAACATCGCATATTCCTGTGGCACTGTCATCGTACGATCGTATTGCGCACGACTGTGCTTTGAATCGAGCGATTGCGCTTCTCTTACAAAACTTCACATTACAGTCACATGATTCACGCTGTACTAGCACGCTCGACTTTGCCCTTGCCTCTTCGTTCCAACCGGTGCCTCTCCAGTCCAACGCTTTTCCCAACGAACCCATTGTCCTGGTGCAACCTGCCGACAATCTTTCCCAGGTGAGGTTCATTGTCCTTGTTGATCACTTCATGACGGATGAGGAAGTCGATGATGAGGAGGATGGCCCAGTAACACCATTCCGAGGGGTTCGAGCGGATCTCAGAGAGGACTTCAGTGGCGCTGACCAGCTGTGGCTCACAGGATCAGAAGCGTATAGAAGTCAGCTTCTGCTTGATACATACAGGAACACGAGTGCAGAAAAGGTCTTACTCGGAAGAACTCGACTTCTCCATCGAGTGGCTTGGGTTGATACTCCTCGTCAACTTTCAGGTCAAACAAGTGCCTGTTCCCAGCCATCCAGACCAAAATATCAGCTTCGCGACATTTTCGTGCAAGGAGGAAGATCGACTTACTCGTATTCTATCGGTTATGTGTATACGCACAAGGTAGAAAAGTCGCAAGGAGAAGCATCTCAGCGCAAGAGAAATTCACAAACGGGTGCCGCCAAGTCTTACCGATCGTTCCATCCACAGATACGTATGACGAGTATCCTCCCGACCTGATTCATCCGGGCAGAGGCGAATCAGTCCAGATCAATCCTTGTTCAAGATAGAATTCCCGTAAAAGACACTCACCGTGCGTTCTGAAGTAGTTCCTTGGACATACCTGCCTCCTCCTCAGCTTCCTTTTCAAGTCCTTCTTGAAGACGCAACCCCGCTGGGATACCACCGGAGACGGTGATGTCCCACAGACCCGGAAAAGACATCTTGGTACTGCTTCTCTTGGCGATCCAAAGTTTGATGCCTTCATCCTGGGACTGGGTGTATGCAAGCATGGATACACCGTAATGCGGTAAACGCATCTCATAGACTTGTTTGCGGTGGAAATCGAGAACGTGGTTGTCCAAGCTGCGAAGCAGAGTAGGACGGAAGATGAGACGGTCTGCACGGCCTGCTCGCTAAAAAGAAGCGCAGGGAGAGGATAATTTACTGAGGACGATCCTTTGCCGTGAAATAGGAGGAGCGGGGGTCTGCAAAGACGGCTTGCTGTTCCTTCTTGACGACTGCGAACAAGTGAAGTGGCATACTCATCAGCGTGTTGTTCCTAATTGTCAAATATTTCGACATTAACATACCAGTGTCGGGTACGAGACCCTTGCGCCTAAGCAACAAGTATGCCCACCACATGCCAGTAGTCAAACCGGTCGAACCTTCATTCAAGGTGTCCTCCCCAAAGTACCTGCATGCCTTGCCCGTCTTCTCGTCAACATACCTGAGCAATGGATAGGTAGTCGTCCCGATCCAATCTTGATCCCACGCCTTGTCGTACTCATGGCTGACCCAAGTTAGGGGAGCCAAGTCGTTTTTGAAATCACTGATAGTGAGGTGAATGGGGATACCGTTCTCAGGATTGTTCTTGCCGATGTAAGGATACGTAGGCACCTCAGTGACGAGACGAGCCCATTGTTCGACAAGAGGGAGGAAGCTGGGCTGAATAGAAGGCATTGCAAGCTGAAAAGGCATGTGTTGATGAGAAGCATTGAGAATCGAATACGAGGGAAGCCTGACTAGTTCTCTTCGATACTTGTAGTCAAAAGCTCTTGAACGAGGGAGGAGATGCGCTCCTTTCAGGGCAGGCTGCTGCTTCAGGGGCTAGCTTCTGTCGTGTCTCAGGTCACTTTCGAAAGGCCTTTGGCGACGTTTCGATCGACGCTTCTCGTTGCATGCTCGTTGCTTCCTTTGTTTTGCCTGCACCGCCGTCGACCGGCACTCCACTGTCTCCCTGTGGCTTGTTGCCAAGTTTCGTCTCTACTCAGCCCAAGAAGCACCGATTGACAGATGCGCAAGTCAACTGGAAAGACTGCGCTTCAGCATGGTTCTGATAGCTAAGCACGTGATCTCTCTTTCCCACTCATAGCGCAAGGATCGCGTACAGTAGTAAAAGAGGCTGTATCTTAACGGGCTTGAGAGCGCTTAGTACGAGACAACTCGCCATTCATAGGAGACAAGTCCCAGTCCACCCCTTGGTGGGATTTCCGAGCGCTTCCGATCATGTCGTCCTCGAGATTGCAATCAGATACCCTGGGCGCGCTACCACTTGACACTGGGAGCTGAACGGCTCGAGGTTGACGACCAAGCCCGGCCGATCACCGAAACCCCTTGAGGCCCCTGACGCTGTGGTTTACCGGAAACACGTATAATCGGATGGTATATCACTATTGTCGTTAATGGAGCGTTACAACAGAAAAGTGAAGTGTCGTCATTGCAAACCGTCAAAGCGTCCTGGTACCCCGCCTGAAACGCAAGCTGATGCCCCCCATAACAAATCCCGTTCATAGTCTGGTTCCCCAGCCTAGCCAGTAAGAAGTAGAGAGTGTGGTGTAGTGAGCTATAGGTGCCTCTTGGCGCTCGCTCGGACTCGCTGGTCAAACAATGTCGATGTGATCCTGGTCGTCGGGGTGTGAAACGGGTTCAACGCCGTCTGCTCGCCCCACCGTCACATCCACAACACAAGCAGAAGATCAAGAAGGAATCAGCCTCACGAGCGAGATTTCGAGCTCGAAAAGGACCCAGAGATGTGTAGGGGGAAGGAAAGCGGCTCACCTTGACGTAATGTTCCCAGACGTCCATAAAGAACAGACGGATGCCTTCGTCGTTCTTGATATCGTGCAGGATGATCAATTTCACTATAGGACAGATAGCACAAGAGGAAAAGAATCTTCAGCATTCTCGATCGTTAATCCTAGCACGGCAGAAGACTGAGGCATCACTGCGCAGGCGGATCTCTCACCTGAAGGCGCCACGAATGCCGAGACGTTCCATTCGTTGAATTTATCTATCATCTTCAAGTACATGCTCCCCGTCCCGACCATGACATCCTCAACGATATCCAAGCTTGAAAAGGCGATCATTTGCATGACGTGCTTCTCCACTCCTTGTGGAGGCTGTCCCGTAAGGTTGTTAGGAATGGCGCCGGAGGTGGGTTTGGAAGGCGTGCCAGGCCCACCGAGGAATTGCGGTGGGAAAGGGTCTTTCGGAGGGATAGCCGGAGGTTGCCCAGCCGAGGCGGACGCTGACGAAGGTTGAGCATTGTGTTGGTTGTTGTTGAAGGTAGGAAAGGATGACCAAGAAGGAAAGGTGGATGTGGAGGAGGATGCGATCTGATTGTGAGGTTTCGACGAGGTGAGGTAGGTCTCGTAGATCGGAGAGTCCGAGGGTGAAATGAGAGCGAGGTAGTAGGCCATCGTAGGGGAGACTCCGGTGAAGGTAGCCTAATATGGTCGGATTTTGGCTCTAGATGTCGAGATTACGAGCAGAACTTAGCAGATACCAAGGTATTCATGTCCATTATCGCGATCAATCGATATCGTCATATCGTCATACACATGTTCAGAACGAGTCCGGCGTACTCCATGGAAAGCGATGTGATCGTATCGGAAGTAAATAAACATCCGATGTATAAGTCGCTTTGCATCCGCATGCCCCAACTTGAACGTACGACCCCCTCATGCTGCTCTTTTGTCAACAATCGTGGAATTCAGATCATCAGAATGTTCAGCAGGCAGTTCATCCTCTCTATACCTGGTCAGAACCAAGCTCGAATTATCACAAAAGTGCTAGTATCATCGACATGTCTAGCTCTACTACCACCTACCCTGCTCGTACGGGCGAATCCAGGAAGGATTTCCTCGCCGTCTTCCCGTTGATTGTGGACGAGCTCTTGACCTATATGAAAAAGGAGGGAATGCCTCAAGACGCCGTCAAGTGGTACGAGGATGTAAGTCCGGGGCTACCGTTGACATCTTCTTGAGGCTAGGAAGAGGTGTTGATGAATTGATTGACGATCTATAGGTCCTGAACCATAACACCCCAGGTGGAAAGCTCAACCGAGGTCTCTCGGTCGTAGACACCGTCAAGATCTTGCAGGATCGCGAGCTCACTGACGACGAGTACTTCAAGGCTGCCTTGTTGGGATGGTGTATCGAGCTGGTAAGTGCAGGCATTCGACCTGAGAAATAGAGTAAGAACTTGAGAAGCTGATCATTGGATGGTGTGATGGATGGAGCAGCTGCAAGCTTATTTCCTGGTAGCGGATGACATGATGGACCAATCGATCACTCGTCGAGGTCAGCCGTGTTGGTACCGCGTTGTGAGTACATCATAACCAGACCCTTGGAGTGCTATTCCACTGACAACACCCCGAAACCGGCTCTCCTATCACTCTCGCTCACCATCCGCTCGTACTGTTGTAGCCCGGTGTCGGTAACATCGCCATCAACGACGCGTTCATGCTCGAAGGTGCCATCTACTTCCTCCTCAAGAAACATTTCCGGGGAGAAAAGTACTACGTCGACCTGCTCGAGCTCTTCCACGACGTCAGTGGCGCTTTGGGTCTTGTTGCAACCTTGAGAATCGACTCTGCATAGATGCTGATGGGGAATCGGAACTTTCTGGGTTGGGCTCGCGACAGGTCACTTTCCAAACCGAGCTGGGTCAGCTGATCGATCTGATCACCGCCCCAGAGGACAACGTCGATCTCTCCAAGTTCTCCCTCGAAAAGTCGGTGTCCCTGTGCTCACCCCACTTCTCTTGTCCCGCTCGACTAAACTTCCCTCATCGACCCTGTACACAGGCACCACCTGATCGTCGTCTACAAGACCGCCTTCTACTCGTTCTACCTGCCCGTAGCCCTGGCCATGCGCATGGTCGGCGTCTCCTCGGACGAAGCCTACGAGCTGGCCCTCTCGATCTTGTTGCCTCTGGGAGAGTATTTCCAGGTCCAGGACGATTATCTGGATTGTTATGCGCCTCCAGAGGTCCTGGGCAAGATCGGGACGGATATCTTGGTGAGTCGCCGTTTTTCGTGGCGCGTTTCATCTTTTCAACCGATCGCGGTTCGTGTCGCATGTACACCTTCGGACGTTGAGACTGACGGGATTCTCCATTGTCGTCTTGTTTTGGGCAGGACAACAAGTGTAGCTGGAACATTAACGTCGCGCTCAAGCATGCTACCGAGGAACAACGTAAACAGCTCGATGTGAGTTGCCTGTCCCTGCCTTACCGTTCGTTCTTTCGAATTTGCAAATTGAAATACTGACGGACCAAACTCCTCGATTTGCCCTTCGCTCTCTCGCCTTGGCGCTCGCAGGAACATTATGGTCGTAAATCCTCGTCTTCGGAAGCCATCGTCAAATCCATCTTTTCTTCCTCCAACATCGACATCCCTACCAAGTTTGCCGCGTACGAAAAGGAGAGCTACGAGAGGATCATGGGCGAGATCAACAAGGTGGATGAGGAGAAGAGCGGGATGAAACGCGAGGTGTTTGAAGAGTTCTTGAGGAAGGTCTACAAGCGAACCAAGTAGGGGTTGGGCTGATGGTGCGCGGTGATCTAGACTTTTGGAAGGTGAAAAGCATAGAAGCGGTTTTGGTAACTTGGGACCAAGGATGTAAATGGGTTCGGGTCGATAACGCTACAGTACAGAGATCATGCATATGCCTGTGATGAACAACGATGCGCGCATATATCAAGTGCCACCACCATCATACCGGCCAACTAAGACTAGCCTATATCCGGGGTCGGGGCCCGTTCCTTGCACCTGCAGTGCACTCGAGTTAGGCGCGCGCGATCGACTAGTTTGATTCCAGGGGGAGCGGCGCATCCCGACAAGAAAAGAGGGCAAGAGCCGAGTTGTATCGAAAAGGTCAAGCGGTTGAATCACCGTTCAGACGAATCAGAGATCAGAGACCGCTTTTGGTATGGGCTGGATGCAGGAAGTTGACCGGTTGCCCCCGGGGAATGCAGGTTGTCTCTGATCATTCCGTACGAGAGAGAGTACGTACGTTAGCTTGCGTCAACGTCAGCCGGCCGCGGCATCTGAGCCCGCTCTGTCTGTCTCTCTGGCTCTGGCCCTGCCCCCGCGTAATCGGGCGAACATCATCATCACCATCGTCGTCTTGCATCCCATCATATGCCGGACTGACCTCTTCATATCCAAACAACCTCGTTTCTCCAATTAGTTTTTCTTTATCACTCACTGTACATCATCATCGCCGGGCTCACTTGTCGGTGATCCTGCCGCGAACCACAAACATCCGCCGACCGCTCGATCGCTCGTCAGGCCAGATCTCGACCGCTTTTGATCTCGTGACCCACAACCACTCTTGAATTTTCTCTCTCTCGACACCTTTCAACAACGAGGAGGAGTGAGAGTTCCGTCTCTATTAAGCAAGACCAGCCGCAAGTAGCCGAGCGTTTATTTTGAAAGGAACGCTAGAGGTCAAGGTATCGACGAGATCGTCCCATATCGCAATCGCTATACCGGCAGGACGATCAAAGGAACTCTTGAACCCATACCTTTTTCCATCAACCACCGACCACATCCACCACAGTTGAACACCATCAAGTACATACCAGCTGAAACAAGTACTTCGAATCTGTCATGGGCAACCAACAATCATCTACAGGGGGTACCCCCTCTTCTCCCGGCCGGTCGACCCCGGGTCACGTCTCCCCCGCCAACCAGACCGACCCAACAGGCCCCTCTTCTCAACTCGGAGCAGGTAGCGGGCATAATATTAACAACTCTTCCATCTCTTCCTCGTCGTCTCGACCACTCGCCGGCGGGGTATCCTCCTTGTTCGGGGGGAGGGATAGGTCCGGATCGACTTCGTCCACCATTGGTCGGTCCAAGTCGAATTCCGTCTCCTTGCCCTCTCCACCGACCCCTCCAGGCCTGATCGACGGGGGTCATCTCCACCCTCAGGGTCTCTATTCTCTCCGTCCGGCAGCACAGGACTATTCTCATCCGGTCGTCAAGGGGTTGATCATCGAGAAGAAGCTCGCACCGTTCTATCGCGGGTTGGAGGATTACGAAGACGATTGGACGGACGAACAAGTCGGACAAGGGTTGAAGGAGGTCAGACAGGCTCAGGCAGCTCAGGCTGAACAGGAAGCGGCGGACGAGTTGGCAAATGCTGCGGGGACGACCATGTCCCTACCCACCGCCTCTGGTTCTTCATCCTCCTCCTCGGCCATCCCGGCGACGACGACGGCGGGGTCGATAAGAAAGGGCTTGAAGATCGCAGTCGGAGGGAAAGATAAAAAGGAAGAAAAGGAGCGTGCGGCCGAGAGGGAGAGGAAGGAGACGAGGGCTTACAAGGGAGCGGTGGAGTGTCCGATCTGTTTCTTGGTGAGTTCAGGTCTTGGAGCGATGTCTACGTTTTTCGTTCAGGGGGACGTGCTGAGCTGACAATCGCACTACATCTCTTCTGGCATTTGGTATCCTCCAAACTCGAATCCTATAAATGTGCTCGAAACCGAATTTCTACTCCCGAACTGATTACCTCTCACAGTACTACCCGCCCAACATCAACACCTCGCGGTGCTGCGAACAACCCATCTGTACGGAATGTTTCATCCAGATCAAACGCGCCGAGGCGACCATCACGCACCTGGAGAGCGAACCGGCGGCCTGTCCATATTGTATGGAGACGGATTTCGGGGTGATTTACGAGGTTCAGAAGGTGCGTTCCTCGAAACAGTCGATGCTTGCTAGCTCGAGCGGTCAAGGTCGTGGACGTCTTGCTTACGAACCGGACTTGTGGTCCTGACCCGCAGATCGCCCGTCCAGAGACGCTCATGGCCACCTCGCCTTCATCGGCTGACAATGTCGTCGACCCCCGTGCAGACGGGCAGACTCCGAGGAGAAAGAGTGTCTCGTCGAAATCCAAAGCCGTGGTCACGATCGATCAGATCAGGCCGGATTGGGAGGACAAGTTGAACGCCGTCAAGGCGCAGGCGGCGAGGAGGGCTAGTAGGAGGATCATCATGCATCGGGTGCGTCCGAAGTGACAGGCGTTCGAACGATAGCAAGGGTGAGGAGCTGACGGCCGGGAGTTTATGTGGATTCCGTTCGAGCTTAGGTCGGTGACAGATTGATACCGGTCGGATACACGTCGTCCAGGACGTCGGTACCCGGAACCGATACGGGACCGATCACGACCGAGATGACACAGGAAGCGTTCCAACAGTTCATGGCGGCCGCCGCCGGAGGACGAGGTGTACGGAGCGGGAGCGTGTCGGGATCACCCGGCTCGGGTGGGGCGAGGAGGTCCAGCAGGCGAGGAGAGAGGGAAGGTGTGAACGACCTCGAAGAGATGATGTTGATGGAGGCGATGCGCTTGTCCATGCTCGAACACGAAGAGCAGCAGAAGAGGGAGGCCGAGGCGAAGAGAAAGGCTGAGCAACAGCAAGGAAGTGCAGGAGAGGTGGGTTCGCAGCGATGGGATGTTAATCTGTTTCTCCGGCTACATGCTGATTGCAAAACTCGCCCAAACCTTGTTTCTAGCCCTCGACCGACGCTTCTGGATTCCTCCAGCCTCGTCCCGCTTCCAATACGTCCTCATCGGCCTCGTCGATGCGGAACGTCGGATCGGTACCGGGTCCACAACCCGGACCTTCTGCGCTGGGGCACGTACCACATACCGGAGGTCTCCTCGCCCAACCCGCTGAAAGCAGTCCGCTCACTGGGACCCCAATCACCAGATCCGAGGTCGACGTCCGGCAACCGCAACGGCCCGATCTCATCAACCTCGATTCGGATGCCGCTATCGATCCGGCGGCATACAGGAGGAACTAAAGACGGTCTTTGCAATATATACACGGGGCTTTTGATCGAAACCAGGTCGTTCCCGCCCATTTCTCCTTTCCTCTTTCTTCCATCTCGTCCGGCAATCTGGAGCTCTACAAACTGTGTGTACAAATCGAAAGTCTTGAGAGATCGTTCGTTTGGTAGTTAGATTATCACCTAGATGTACAAATGAATACGTGTGACCCGTTCATCTCGTCTACAAGGACGGCACTCGGCTCATGGGTCTCTGATAAAGTCGACCCAGGCACTGATCATCCCCTCCAAGAGCTGTTCTTGCGCCTCGGCCGGAATGGCAGAGCCTTGGATGACCCGCTGCATCCTAGTCGTCCAGGCTGGAGTCGCCATGACCAAGGATCGAGGTCGTTGACGAGGGGGGGCGGCCTTCTCAGGCTCATCAGGCAATGAGGTCAACGTCGAGGACGAGGAGCCGTCACCGACTTCCCCGTCGAAACCTTCGAGCGCATTCGCCTCGAATCCATCATCGGCTTCCTCCTGGTCCGGCTCATTCGCCTCGAATCCATTAACGGCTTCCTCCTGGTTCGGCTCATTCGCCTCGAATCCATCAACGGCTTCCTCTTGGCTCGGCTCCTCCACGACAACCTTCCTCTTCTTGGCCAGACGGACTTCCCTGGATTTCTGCGGTCGCTTCTTCTTGCTCGAACCTCCCGGTAATGTAGGTGGTTCGAAGAGATTATCGAGGGTAACGTTGTCCAAGACGATCCCGCCATATACGGTCGTGCCACTCAGGTCAACCTTACTGGGATAGCCACGAGCCCAGAGAGCATCGCTGATCCATTTTGTCATGATGGCCTCCTCTTCTTTATCCGTGTTCATGTAATGCATTCCGGTGAGCTCGGGCGAGAAGCTCCAAAAGTACCCAAACAGATTATTGTAGTCTCTGATGACGGCGTCGTCGCTTCTCACTTCCAGAGGCGATTGTTGTAATTGGCTGTCGATGGTAGTAACATTCACAAAGTCGATCGCTTCAACCCCTTCCGGATCGATATCTCTAGGGTTGAAGAAGCATCCTGTGCCGAGCTTGATGCACCGACTGCATTTAGCGTACAGCCAGGATCTGGAACTGTCGCAAGCATCAGTTTGATATCATACAAGAGCTCAATCAATTCCAGTTCAACTCACTTTACAGTCTCTGCATCCGCTCTGTAGCATGTCTTTCCCTTGGCCCAGCAGGCGTTGCAAGCAAAGTCTTCCGGAAGGCGGCTGGCCAGCGCAGTATTCAATGCCGAAAGCTGTCTCTGCCCCTCCAGTTTCTCATTCACACCCCTCTCCTCGATCGACTTGGTATTTTTCAAGAGTACGAGTATGTCGGTGTAGATAGGGACGTCGGCATCAACAAGTTGATGGTACATCCGATTGGGATTTGAGATCAGGTCATTGACGGTGAACCAGATCTTTTCGCCGGCCTGGAGCCCAGAGATCCGGTGGACGAATGGTGAATCTGCTTGGTAGTCTACATGAGGCAGCATGGCGAGGAGATGATCCTGACATGACCTTGCGATCGAGGGTGCGTACGGCTAGGACGAGTAGTAGAGTGTGTTAGGATGTAAAGGTGGTCGATATCTCGAGATCGACCCCGGTCGACGCCGGTTCCCTCGCGAGTCGGAACTTGCTGCGCATATACGCCCGTATCCAACAAATCTCATCGACCTGACTTGCATCTCTACCTAGCAGCTAGCTACTCCCTTCGAATCATCTGGACCACAAGCATATGGACCGATCTCTCTCACCGATATCAGCGGGTATATTCAGGGATTCCGAGGCAGATTGCAGGACGTAAAGGAATGTCGACCGTAGCACGAACGGGATGGCCATCAATCTCGATAGTAGCGGCTCTCTTGCTCAGATTGGCACTCTTCAACGGGACGTCATTACCGGCAACTCTGAGCCGCAGAATCGAACTCTCCACGCCTCTCACTGGGATCCGCTATCGTGAGTGTTCGGTCACACCGCTGCGAGCTTGAGAACGGTGGATATCACAGGTTTACAAGGCTGATCAGGAATCTCTGTGCTGAATATGACGAATTACGAGCAAGCAGTTAATGACGGCGTGTACGTCTATAAAAGCGGATTGAATCCCTACGAGGGCGGGAACTTTCATCATGTAAGTCTGACGTGCTTGAGTCGTGATCTCCGGGCGCATAGCTGAATCCAGACGGAAATATCTTATCGCAACGTATAGTCACCACTGTATCTTGTTTTGTTCTCCCTCTTTCCCTTTGCGACGTCCCGAATTTCAGCATCCATACTCTTCACCCTATCAGATTACCTCGCTGCCATCTCACTGCGACGTATATGGATTGGAAGAAAATGGCAAGAAGAAGCGACGCTGAAGAAGAGGAATGACGGGCGAACGAACGCGAGCCGAAGGTGGTTGAGAGACGACTGGGAGGACGGTGTCATGCTCTTGTCAGTAAACTGGACCCCGTATGATGCTGGAAATGCGACCTCTCTAACGAATGGACGTTTCTAGGTACTTGCTCAACCCTTACACCATAGCTAGCTGTATCGCCCAGGCAACGACGAGTATCGACAATGCCTTGATTCTGCTCGCTGTAGCGGCAGCTGCGCAAGGTGAGTTCATTCTGATGGGGCTATAGCAGTCGTCTACGATGCTGACGAACCCTGAGACCGAAACCGACAGGACAATCCCCTCTGACCGCGTTCTTCCTCTCACTCGCTACCCATACATCGCTCTACCCCATTCTTCTCCTCGCTCCTTTGCTCCTGCTGCTCGTCCGCACTGGTTCGCCGGGAAAGACCAGCTGGAGGGATGTCGTTGGAACCGTCTTCTTTTTCGCCGGGTTCTTCTTGGCCGAGACCGCTATCGCCTTTGGATTGGTCGGGGATTGGAGCTGGATCAGCTGGACCTGGGGTTCGACGTGAGTGATTCTCTAGCGATACGACCGTTCGTGAGTTGACATTACGTTTCGCTTGTCCTGGGACGACGAGACCAGTTTGACAGTATCCGACCTGACTCCCAACGTCGGTCTCAATTGGTATTTCTTTACCGAGATGTTTGATCACTTCCGTTCGTTCTTCGTGGGCACTTTCCAGGTCAGTCGCGGTTCGATGAGGTGAGTGAAAAGCGTTCGCTCACTCGAACTGTGTAGATGCACATCGCGATCTACGTCGCACCTTTGTGTATACGACTGCAGTAAGTCGACCATTGCCGCTCGAAGCGAGAACAGCAAATGGCTGACGAAATCATCGACTACGTCTCAGTGATCATCCTCTCCTCGCCGTTACCGTACTCGGAGGGATCATCTCAATCTTCAAGTCATATCCTACCTTGGGAGACGCGAGTCTCTGGTTGGGCCTACTAGGCTGTCTCCCTGATATCTGGGCCGGTCAGTCTCCATTGAGCAACCTCGATGCATCTTGTCGATTACTGATGTTATTCTTGATTCGTTTCGTAAGCAGATCTGCGCCATCCCCTTCTGAGCGTGGCTCTGCAGCTATACTCGGTCATCCTCTTACCCATCCTGCACTCGCTCTGGCTCGAATCGGGAACGGGGAACGCCAACTTTTTCTACGCCGCGACGCTGGTCTACAGCTTGGGATGCGGGATGGCCTTGGTGGATATCCTTGGAGCCGGGCTTCGACAACAAGCCGCGAGAACAATGATTGACGAGGGAATCCTGGATGAAGGCGATGATGGCATTACAGATCAGGTGGCAGCGGGACGAAGTGAAGAAATCAAGAGCACCAAGGCGATCTTGGAGGATCACGATCTCGTGGTTGTACAGTACGCGGGACTCGGATCATGACATCATGACAGCATCGCATACAGATCCTGCATCGAGTCATAACGGCCCTTGTGGCTGTGTATCCCCTCATCCTGGCTGAAACGCAATACGGTATATGGCGCGAGGATCACACCACATCAAAGGAGCGCCCTGATCACGAAAGGCGGTCATGTGATGAGCACGTAAAGCCTTCCTTTGTCCTGTCGATATCAGGAAAAGGTATATAAGGTTAAGGATTCTGGCTCACTTCCTCTTGATTCCCTGACATAACAAACTCCAGTCACTTTGATCGCCAACTCCTCTTGCCAAACAGATTCGTCTTTAACAATGTCTTCAGCTCTTCCCGTCTTCTACAACAACCCTTGCACCACGATCGTCCACGACAAGACCAAGGATGGCAAGGACGACAAGACTACCGCGGTGATCGGAAACTGTTAGTATCGCTTTTATATATTTTTTAGATGATGATTACTGATGTTCCTTGACTCTTGACGTACATCGTATCCATCTGACTCCCCCGTAGCCCTCAACTTCTGGCGGTTCAATGCCAAGGACGGTCTCGATCTCACTCGCCGAGGCAACCCCGAGGACGCTTTCACCTTCATGGGCACGAACCCGGACGGTGAAAAGGTCGTCCCCGTCAAGCTCGACCGGAACAAGACTGCGTTGGTGGTCATCGATATGCAGTGAGTATTCCGCACCCGAAGATTGATCGGCGAGCCATGTCGATGAGAGACCTGATGCATGCTGTTAATCTAGAAACTTGATGCTGCATCCGGCCATGAAGGATTACCCCGAGGGCAGGGAGGCCGTGAAGCGTCTGGAGAAGGTCATTCCTGCCTGCCACAGCGCTGGTATCCAAGGTTAGCAATTGATCATCCAGCAGAGGCCACGCGCTCTAGTCGGCGCACTCATGTGACATTTCCTTCGCGAAACAGTGATCTACCTCAACTGGGTCTTCACCAAGGCCGAGCTCAAGAAGTTGCCCCCTTCAACCATCTTCGGTTATGGTCGATCCGGTCTGGTTAACGACAGCGCTGAGCACAAGTTCACCGGGCCCGGTTTCCCCCTTCCTGCCGTTCAGCTCGAGGATGGCAAGGTCGTCGATGCAGGCGATATGTTCATGCAAGGAAGCTGGAACGCCGAGCTCTACGGTCCGCTCCAGAAGCTCTACGAGCAAGGCAAGGACATGCAGGACAAGCAGGATGTCGTCTTGAGGACTCAGTGGATGAACATGGGCAAGGAGTTGGAGAATTTCTTGGAGGCGAGGGGATTGATGACTTTGCTCTTTGCCGGACTCAACACTGAGCAAGCTGTCTGGGCGGTGAGTCTGCAAATCGATCACATCGCGATTCTATCCGGCTAACATATACAATCGTTAACTAGACCATGACCGAGGCCCGTGGCAAGCACTTTGACACCATCATGTTGTCCGACTGTTGTGCAAGCCGAGCCGAGGATGGAGGAAAGGCTCACTCGGTCGTTGTCCGCAATTGTCAACAGTTTGGAGGACTGGTTCTCACCGGCGACGAGCTCGTCGAGGCCTCCCAGAAGACCTTGCGATAAGACTTTTGGATGTCACTCGAACCCGAAAGAACATGCTGACTAGGTCTTGAACCCACACGTTCTCTAGTCTACCGTTCACGAATGACTGTACGAATCACATCATTATGCCATGTCACGATTATCACGACTTCCGCTCCGGCTGCGATGCACTTCATCCATCTTGAATCGCTGCAAGTCTCCATGTCGTATCTGTCGGATCCTACGCACATATATACTCATAACCCCTCACGCAGAACCCCATGACGGAAAATGTTCGGATGGTCATTACAGCTGCTCTGACGATCTCCGCACACGTTGCGCTATTGTTGACGTCCAGTATCGTCAAAGGTTGGGTCAAAATCGCTCGTTTGGTATTGACTTTGATGAGGGAAAGCGACGGGCTGGGCGAAAGCTCGATGACGGTTTATTGGCCAAGTAGCTCGGAAGACATGGCAGGGGACCGGAACATTTCGATCGGAATGCAGATGGAACTTGAACGGAACCGACCACGAAAAAGAAGTCATGACGCTTTTTGCAAAACGATAAGTGGATCGTCGTACTGTTCGAACGCTTATAACGCGGCCTGCTTTAAGCGTTCTTCCTCATCGGACCGCAAATGTGCCTCTTGGACGTTAGTGATTCTTAGAAACGGTGGATCTCCGTGCTTCCACGTACGTGAGATTTGCGAATTCATGGAAAGGCAGCCAGTTTCCCAATACCAAGCATACTCAAACCACTCACCTCAGCGTATCTTGAGGCGTTCGGCAGCGTCCTGATCGGGAAAACGGATTGGGAGTTGGTTTGTGCGTCGAGAACAAGCTACAATCATGGTCGTGTGTCAGCTCTACAGTGTTCGCGTATACGAAACGAACAACGTTGAGATTACTCACCAGATCATTCAGAAAAAAAAATGGCAGCATCTCCCCCCTGTTTCGGTACGCCACACCTTCCGCTGCATTGCTATCGTTATCGTTATCGTCGTCGTGATCGAACCCGTAGATTCGGGACTGCTTGTCGGACCGGGGAACATCTGATAGCGGTTTCCGTCCCTTTGAGCCTGGTAGCGACGACGCGCTGTAGACCGAGACCAAAGGGGAGGTGGTCAATACCGGTATGCAGGTGCGAGCCAGGCGAAATACTCACGTCGGGCATCCGATATATCCGGCTCTGCAAGCTCGACATCATACAGTCGGACAAGACGGTTTGTCCTGTCCCATGGACCCATTATCCGATCGCGTTCTCACGTCCGGCCCATAGAACTACGAATGCAGCGTTATACTACGAAGCCGGTCGAGAGACACGACGATGTTCGTTTCCCCAAATCCCTTATGCCCCGAACCCAAAGTGATAAAAAGATGCCCGTAAGGAACAGATCTGAAGTTTGTTTTGGACCCCTAACCATAAGGAAACAGGCCACTTGATTCCCCTCCCCATAAGGGAACAGGCCAAACTTCAGATCGCCCTCGCCCATAACGACCTCCCTAAGGGACCGGCCGTGTTGCTTCCCTCGCCCAGAAGGGCAAAGGTCACCGATACCCCTTCCCATAAGGGAACAGGCCTGAGTGCTTCATATCCCTCCGTGAGGACAGACTTGTTGCACTGAGAAAGGAAACCCCCTTGTAACCGCCAGCTGTCGATGCCGGGACGTTGACTGTAACATTGAGTTGTTGATGAACATCCCTGGACTGGCCGGACTGGACGGACGTCGACGTGGCCGGGGACGCGAGACGACGCACAAAGAAGCGCGAAAGGGAGCAAGCGCGTTACCGACCTTTCAACGGGCTCGTTCCCAGTCGCTTATTCGAATTCGAATAGCATAATTGGTATCATGATCGTCAATGTTGTACGTTACATAAGGCAGATCAATTAGATCAATCGTCAAGCGGGGGTGGGTTGTTCTCGAACACCTGCAAGATCCTCACTGTTAGGCGTCGAGAAGGCTCCAGGATGCGCGCTATAACACTTACCTGCATGATTCTCGACTCGACGTCCAACACCCACGCAGTATACCTGTCTGAGGGAATCCGTCCCGCTCCCGATTGACCTAGAAGATCGGCTCGAGTCAGAACAGCTCTACCCATGTTCCGAGCCACTGTTCGTCTGTGATGAGGGATGTTAGTAAGATGAAGTGATGAGGGATGGGTCTGATCTTACCTGTACATGTCCGTAGGTCCTCTTCCGCCCAACCCTCCATCGCTTGTACCCTCCACAGAAGAAATCGTCGACCTCGGTATCGGGGGGAGATGACTGCCCGGTTTCGGTGGCATGGGCGTTCCGGAACGGCTCGGTGTGAATCCGGAATGGCTCGGTGTCGACGGCACGGAACTGCTCGGTGGCACGGAACTGCTCGGTATCGGCGGCTTGATGTCCCTGTAAGGATCCGGTGTCCGACTCGATGGTATCGGTCTCCAGGATTCGAGTTGTTTTGTTGTGAGTCCCGAGGAACTCTTCGTGCTCGAGGCTTTCATGCTCGAGGAGGCGGATGGTCTCGTCGCGTTCGAGCTCGAGGCCTTCGAGCTTGTCGCCTTCGAGCTCGAGGCCTTCGAGCTTGTCGCCTTCGAGCTTGTCGCCTTCGAGCTTGTCGCCTTCGAGCTCGAGGCCTTTGTGCTCGGAACGAGTTTAACGTCCTTGTTCCCTTTCGGGAGAACAGGGATTTGAGTCTGTCCGACCTCAGAGAACCAGCGACATTCCACTTCGTCGTCGTGGCATTGCGTACAACCACCGAACGCACGACCTTTCCGAACTTGACTCTCGCAGATGAAAGGAGGATGCGAGTCGCTGTTATTGAAACACCTCACGCATTTCTTCTTGCCTTCCCATCGCAATAGGCCTCCATGCGGGACCTCAAGGCGAGGGAGGCCTCCATGCGGGAGCTCAAGGCGAGGGCGCTTGGCGGTGGTAGCGAGAGGCTCGTCTTCGGCCTCCAAGCGCTGTCTCTTGGAATTCGTGGTGGTGATAGCGAGTTGTTCATCTTCCTGGTCCTCCTCGTCCTCCTCGTCATCGTCTCTGTCTCCCCAACCTTCCCATCCAACCTCTGCACCCATTTCCCCTTGGCTCCCTCGTTCCTCCTGGTATGCGACGACGAAGTCGTCGTCGCCTTCGTCGTCGCTCAAAATGGTGATTGGGCTGTCAGGGTGGTTGTTGTATTCAGGGCCGATACCGGGGCTGCGTGGCTCCGCTTTGACTACTACCGTTTCCATCGATTTGGGTTGAGCCTTCTTGGACTGCTTCGATTTCTAGCTTCTAGCTGCTGGCTGCTGGTCGCTTCTAGATCCTCATCAACAGCCTCGCGTCCTCCGACCTCGCACCTCGAATGCGGCTTTGAGGACTTGGGAGGCGCACCGTCAAATGCGCTTCCCTTTGGCTTGCGCAGGATCTGCCGTCGGGGTTAAGGGCGATAGAAAGATAGCCTAAGCAATGGTCAGGGGCGTGGGAATGAAAATGATGTGTGTTTTGGTCGACGATCATCAAAGGATGTTTCAGAAAGGACGCAGGCGCGCCCTCCCGCTCCCGCTCCCTCTCCCGCCGTGCCGTGGGTGGAGGAGGCTGATGTAACCTTTGGTTCCGCGCGCGCGCCTCGAGAGTATAGGGCCCAAAGTCACAAACGGTCGAGTGTCGGCTGATCAGAAGCTCAGAAGCTCAGAAGAGCCAGAAGAGCCAGAAAGATCTTTGGTACGCCGCTCCTCTACAGAGTCACAAGCATCACAAGTCAGCCATCCACCCATCGTCATCTGCATATCACTGCATCATTCGTCATGTACACCTCGTCCTTATCCGCCATATCGTCGAGCTTCCCAAACCCATCTCTCAGTCCGACAGTCGTACCCTGGCCCATGACCGGCGACGACGATCGGCCCAAACGCAAATGCACCGAGACGGCTGTCCCTTTTTACTCGTACCTCCATCAAGAGCAAGACACCACCAATACCAGTCAAACCCATCCGGACACAATCGATACCAGCGATTCAGATTCGGACCAGTGGGAACCGCAGGCGGACAAGGATAGGAGGAAGAGAAAGAGAAAGAAGGAGAGGGAGACACAGAGAATGATGAGGAGGCGCCAAAGGGAACAAGATAGCGATGACGATCGACAAGAACGTAACGGACAAGGCGGACGGGAGTGTGAAGACGTCAACATGGGTGATGGTCTCAGCGAGAAGAGCGGTAGTGAGGCTGGAAACGGTGATGGCGAAGCGGATCATAGATGGAGCGATGGTGAGGTTGGATACGGTGATGGCGAAGCAGACGATAAACGGAGCGATGGTGAGGCTGGAAACGGTGATGGCGAAGCAGACGATAAATGGCGCACATGTTGGAACGACGATCCGAGGGAATTCGAACTGGATGTCTTGCGAACGGGTTGGGGATTCAACTTCCACCGTTATCCAAAGCATGGCGGACCTCGACGAACGTAAGTCGAACTTTGGTGTGAGCATGGTCCGATCTTACCACTGGTTGGCTGATATGTCGTGAACCATATGTTTTTTTTTTTTTTACAAAAACCGCTCCCCTTCGGCCGAACTAGCGATGCCACTGTATTTAACCGAACTACAAACCCGTTCTGCGTGCTCCAGAGAGGGAAAGCTGTACACGAGTACGAACGAACGCCGCAGGAGGTCGAACGGGATGAACGGGCGATAGCCGATGCCGTAGATCGTTTTATAGTAGAGGTATGTCTAAACTCAGATGGAACTTATGGTCAATCGCTAAAAGGACTCGAATGCACAGTATTTGGTCCCCCTCGGTTGGTCCGACGAGCTTGTGCATCGTCATCTCCTGGAGGAAGATACCACCCGAGGGGACGAGAAGTTGGGCCCCACCAGAAAGGTGCGAGCCTTCTGCGACATGATCAACTGGTGGATGCACGACCAACAGGTCCAAGTGGTGAAGACGCACTACAGGAAATACTACGTCGCAGTTTGGAAACGACGAAGGTCTGCTCGGGCTTCGTGGTCCATAGGGGAGCCGGCACATCTCATGAGGGTCCCGAAGAAGAAAACGCTTCTGGATTTCACGCGATCGGAAGTACAGGTAAGCCTACGTCCAAAGCCTACATCCAGATGGATCATATCGTCTAGTAGCATTATCTTGATCTCATTAAATCTAGATATACCGAGATCATCTGGCTAGAATCGCAGCAACCTTTGACATCCCTCTTGAGAAGGTAGTATTGACTTTTCACGTCTCTCTTGCGGAGTTAGTATTAACCTTTCACATCTCTCTTGCGAAGGTACTATTCGAAGCCCAATATGACTACTTCACAGGCCATTCGAATGCCGTTCTTGAAGTGAGCCCTTCTTCATCTTCCCCATGAAGCCGCAAGAGGCTAACATCCTTTATTACAGTTCTGCTTCATCCCGTGCTTGTTCGTGACGGGTCGTCTTGGTGAAAACGACGCAAAAACCACCTACCGAGTACACAAGGTCGTGCTGCACTGTGCGATTGACCCAACTCGGGAGGAGAAATTCCTGGAGATGAAGGATTTACCCTTGATCTTTGACATTGCCGCTGCAAGCATGGGAATGAGCGCCGACGACTTCCTTCTCCATGAACAAATCCGTTATTTCGGGAACAGGCTAAATGCGAAGATTGGATCGACAAACTGGAATAGAGGTGCATGTCGTGCACGAAGAAACCTCGGAGAAGTAGCTCCGCGGCTAACACTGTGTGTCTCACTGGGTTTACTGCTCTTCCAGCGCGACTACCCCCTAAGTGGGAACGAGCGGAAAATCTCCATACGTCCCATCCAGCTCTCTACAGGGCGATTGCATTACAGGGCATTCGGATCGATAAGGACATAAAGAATCGCGCCACAGCCGACAAGTTGATAGATACCTACGTGCTACAAGTCAGAGAGGATGCCTATCAGGCCTGGCAGTCTTATGAGCAGGGACAGTCTTCGGCTTGAGGCATGTTTCGTGTTTCGTGTATTGTGTATGCCGACTCATGTTGGCTTATGAACATTTAAGGCGTCACGTTGTGGGAAAAAAACACCGTCTTGACGCAACCATGCACTAACCCTTCAGGGATCCGTGATCTACGACAGCGTGATAATCTCCAAGCGTCGCAAAGTGAATGGCGACGGTGGAGGACCTTCACGGGTTGGCAACGGATCTGCAGCGGGTCTCGTGATAGGGTCATGATGGATATGGCATGAATGCGGGTACGTATGACAATCTGTCCTCGGCTGCCGGGTCACCGACATACTAGTCCTCCGTTCCTAAACAGTTCGCTGTTTGTCCGCCATCCTTCGGCAGTTGGCGTGAATCAAATGGCAGGCCAAAAACAGATACGTCGCCAGTGAAGGGGTATATTCACCTTTGAATGCGTGGTATAAACACTCGAAAGACGTAAAATTGGGAAAATTGTCTCCCAAGTCCGCGGCCCCTCGGGCCATTTTGATCTGTACCGATAAAACGAAGTTATCAGCGGGTTTGCTAGTGCATGTTCGGTTCCGAGCACGTTTATCTCACCTGGACCGACAGGTATCGATAGGAGTCGGCCTCCTTAGACTGATCTGGATTGTAGATCAATCGACGGTCGCAATGGCGAACAAAACATTGAAAAGCCTGAAGTCGGGCCAGCCACGAGTAGAATCGCGGGTCCGGCTTGTTGCCGCTGAAAGCACTAGGCCGAGTGCGACACGCATGTAGAGTGCAGGACAGCTCGATGCCTTTCAAGTCTCTGAGGAACTACGCCCGGAACGCCTTGTCATTGATCATGCGCGAACTCGAGATGCCGTCTGAACTTACTTGGAGGGACCACTCGAGGCTTGGCGTGTCGAGGGGGGCATCGTGAGCATTTTCCCTCTGCTGCATTGCTTCGGTGAAGTGTCGCCACTTTGCCATAAGGAAAAAGTGTGATAGTCCAGGGGTTGGACCCAAGGCTAAGACCATCACATTCACGATAACGTCTATCGCAAGCCGCTTATCCCCGTGAGTAAGGCTACTGCTCGATACTATCCGCCACAATATGCGGTGAAGATTCCGGTCGACCGTGCGTATTTCTGGATACCGCGATTGCTTCGAATTGGATGCGGCTTGCTGAAGTGTTGCAACAACATGTCGGAACTGAATTTCGGTCGCATCCCGCGCCGCCTGCACCATCAAATTGCGGACCGCGTCTGCGTGCGCATCTGGATCGGTGTCTACTTCTGGTAACGGTTGGCCCTCCCAAACCCTGGACTGTCCCGGGGGTACAATAGGCGACTGTCTGATCTCCGCTACGGCGCGGAGTGCCCGGCGGGCTCGGGTTTTGCGGGCTGAGGAGGAGATCGCGAACCTCTTGTTGCTAGGTCTTGGGTGAGGCGATGCAGATGTTCCAGCATCGCCTTGCCCGACCCATTGTCGGTAGACAGATTCCAGGATGCCGTCGGCCGCTTGATCAGAAACCGCTACCAAAACGGAGTTGAGGTTGGTTTAAGCGAGCGTTGGTGCAAACGAGAAGTGACTCACTATACACCTCCTCAAGCGCCGTCCACACACCCTTCACCATACGATCCTCGTAGTGTTTCAGCTTTTTCTTGTTTTCAATCATGTCGGGGTCGGAGGCGCTGTTGCTGTTAGGTTTCCTCATGTACTTCCTGCCTTTAGGCTCACAATCTACCTGCAGATCGAGATGATGCATACCTGATCGATGCCGTCAGCTGTTGGCAGGCCAAGTAGATCGAGGATGATACTTACCTGCGTAGCGTATACATTCTTCGTAGTGAGTCTCTGACTGAGGATGAGATGCTTTGAAACGATCCAACGGGTGTGTAAGAACTTCGTCCTCATCCGGCTCAGAAAGGGTGGAAGCCCAGGTGGGAGGCAGCCAACCGCGCAGTTCTAATTCGTCGCGAATTGCGTCTTTCGTGAAATAGAGCCGGTGATCAGCCCTCACGGAGCCGCAAATAACGTCCCTATCGCAAAGGTCAGCGATTTCTCCCCAGACTGATGCACTCGTACCTACCATGAGACACCGATTTCCCTCGCCATGCTCTCGTTATCCCAAAGTAGTGTCGTCCCGCTCGAGCCGACAACGTAAAGCTTCATGATCTCGCACAGACTCTCCTGAGTCTGAGACAGCCGAGGATCTTGTGGATCCGAACTTGGAGGCTGGAACTCTCGCCACCATCTCTTCAGCTTATTTATACGGTCTTTGCGGTCATTGGCGTGATCCTGTTCTTGACGTAAGTCCTCGTCGTCCATCTCCTCGTCATCTGTCTCTCCGTCATCCATCTCCTCGTCATCGGTCTTCCCGTCTTCGTATTGATCGTCAAAGGTGGTCACCCTTAGATCTCCTACATCGCTCGTAGTGCTCTGAGAGGCGACGTTCCCCCAAGCATTTGGAAACGAGGCCTCTTCAGCCGTGGAGACTTGAGTTGGGCTCAAAGGCTGCGTACTTGTTTGAGATTCGTACTGAGGTATCGCGTACATGTTGGTTGTCATATTTCCCGCTGGTTTGCGGGCCGGCTCTCAATTGTATACATGTATATATTGTTGAATCGACTACGAAAGCTACGACTACGAACGCTACGACTACGAACGCTCTTCATCGATCATCGACACGATGTCGACATGACGATTCAAAGATCAAAGGACGAGCTGGTCGCTTCGTTGCTAGCTAGCTGACAGACCAGAGACTCGTCGCGTACCGGCCACAGCAATCTCTAGAAATTAGGATTCATCACCCTCCTTCGTCATGTAGATCAAGCGCCGACGCTCGCGCTGTTGATCAGCGGTAGCAGGCATCGGACACTGTGACCAGCCAGACAAGAAGGCTCGGCCCCGTTGCAGGAAGATGCCACGAGAGTGCGATCAAGCAAATTGGCCATGGAATCTTGACATTGTAAACCGATCGGTACAAGTGGTATAGTAGCACCAGGGTAGGAACGCACCACCCGCGAGGTCATTCGTCTTCAACAACGGCAAATCTCATGACCTTTCCACTGGCATTTGCACCCAGGACCGTACCGGGTCTGTTGGGATGCATCGCGTGAACTGCGGGAACCGCGGTTATGCTGTCGAGTCGAGCATGAGCTATGGCGGTGGATCTGAGTTGATCCATTTGCACTTACGTGTTGTAGCTGAAGTCACCGATGACTGAACCTGTCAGACCACTCAGGATCGTAAGGCGACGTTTCATGTTGCCGACCTGTTATCGAGGGAAAGACTTCAGTGTCATGTATACCTCGCTAGTCATGCTGAAACGAATGCCCACCATAATGTGCGGAGCGATATCGGCATAAGGACTCCATTGGGCCTTGAAAACGGTCACCCAGCGTCCAACCTGCGTATCGTGTCTCGCCTGCCAGACCTCCGTTAGATTGCGTGTAGGCGAGTTGTCGACGAATTTTGAGGGGTTAGCATCCCAAACTAAAAAGACGAAACGTGAAACCCAATCAGTGAGGGTGCCGATCTTTAGTTCAATAGACCTACTAACCTCTGATTCTGTCGTCATAACTGGTCGTCAAGATCCTCTTCCCGCTCATGTCCCAAAATGCAGCACTACAACTGAGTCCATGCGGAGCTCGTGCTCGGAGTATCCTTGCTTTCGGTTTTTTAGCCTCGTATTCGCTGATGGCATCCCATTCACAGTTTTGTGTTGGGTACGTTTCGCTATCGTGTGGAGGTTCAATCCCTTCTGCCGGTTTTGGACCTTCCTCGAATTCAAAAGGCTGCATTTTGACCTTGTCAATATGGCGAAGATCCCATATGCTGCAGATCGTGGCGAACGCGGATGAGTTGCGCTGTCAACAGTGTGAGATGGGCTGGAGACTTTACCGCATATTTCGGTCATTGTGTGCACTACAAACCAGCCAGGGTTCGACGGCTAGGCAGAACGAGCTTTAGTACAAAACGCCATGTGCTTTGCCACACTGACCCCTCACGATTAATGCTGAAACCCCCGACCTTTTTCCCGGCAGCAGAAGGCGACTCGGCGATGACGTATCGACGCCTGATATGCTTGCCCTCCCTCATGTCTAGATGGTTCATCCCGCCATCCGAGTCAGACAGCCAGACTTGATCACCATCCGGTGTCAAGTCGAATTGATTGAAAAGGGCGTCGACGTCGGGTGTTGAGTAGACTTCGGTAGAGGTAGCAGTCGCAAGGTCGAATCGGCGCAGCGAACAATCGTAGGATGCCGTGTAGAGCTGGACAGACGAGCATTTATAAATCCGGTTCTGAGAAGCTGCATGAGAACGGACCGAGAGCTTACGGTCTGACTGTTGACCGGGTTCCAACGGAGACAGCTAATCGCGCTGGCTTGATGAGCCTGCACTCTCCATACGTTATTCGTAGGGGAATCTTCTTCATCCTCGTCGGCGACGCCTTGGGCATTCGCGTCGGCATCCCAGCTGGAAAATAAGCGATTCGATCAGCATCCACAGCTTCAGCGACTCAGATCGCCAGGTACTCGCATTCCAAGCTGACCCCGTTTATCTCCCGAGATGACCAGACACTTTGTTTTTTCCGGATGAACTATCAAGCTATAAGACCTTCCGGCCGTGGCCTTGACCTCGTCAATGTACCGGACCTTGCCATATAGCTGTCTGAGGGAAAGGTCAGCGGCCTGTGCGGCAGCCGAGGCGGGTTCGAGGTCGTCGTAGTCTCTGTTCATCCCGGAAGGTCGAGGGAAATCTTTGAGCGATAGGTCGTGGAATACAGTTTGCTAAAGCGGGTTGGCAGGGACAGGAGTCAGCAAATATGAGGACAATTTCTCGATCCCAGTTGACTCACCAGATCTTTAATCTTGTTCACGTCTTTCTCGTCTTCCTCCTCGTCCATCATCTCTCCCAATTCCATGACGGGTTTCCTGATCTTTTTCGCCAAGTACCGATTCCTCTGGTTTTCTTTTTCAAGGTTGGCATTGAATTCCTGCGCAGAGATGGGGAAGTCTGACATCAGTTTATGATACTGCGCATTGCGGTTGAAATCGACATGGCATGTACTTCGATCGCCTGTACGTCCTCCTCCGTCTTTGCCTGTTGTCCTCTCAACCTCATACTCAGCCGAGCAGGAGGTGGAGCAACGATCTTTGCCTTTTTCTTGGTGGGCTCATGCTTGCCGTTTGCCGGTGCTTTACGTTTCGAAGCCGGAGTCGAACTCGAAGCTCTAGACGAAGGCGCATTGGAGGAAAAGCCATTCAGTCCGAGAGATGTCAAAAGTTTCTCGTTCTCTGCGATGATTTTCAGACGTTCTTGTTCGCTGCAGTATCGATGATTGGCATCAGAGCAGGTCATTCAGATCGATATGAAGTCGAGCTTACTATTCATTGTTGTCCTCCATCTCGTCGCGTGTGGTGGTCCAGTCGGTAGAGGTCAAGATTCTTCTGTATATGAGCTGATTACCGATCACCGATAGATGGACTGGCAGATGTAACAGTGGAAAAGATGGCGGTAGCTTATAAGGCCATTATAGTTATCGAAGTCGGGTCGTTGATAATTGATGATCCCATCTCTGCGCTCTGCATCCCCCTATCCCCCCGATCATATGACGTCCTGATCGAGAAGCGAGAAGAGAGTCGCGACGCGTCGAATCGGGGAAACGCGTCATTTTGCGCAAAGTGACTGACTGAGTGAGAGATCAAGAGATGAGAGATACGTCCTATCGAATCCCGATCATTCGTATCCTAACTAATTCTTATAATTACATTTCCGCAAAAGACAGCCAATATCTAAACCTTCTAAACACGAAAAAGAACGATCTAGGAAACGATTTCGGCGATGAGATCACCCTGGGAGATCGAGTCGCCCTCATGAACCCCGATGCGCTTCACGCGACCGGACACGGGGCAGGAGACGACCGATTCCATCTAAAAGGAAGAGCCAATGCAGACTGTCAGCCCGCTGGTCTTTCGAGACAATTTGAGACGATGGACGTGGGACTGACCTTCATGGCGGACAATACGCAGATGGGGTCTCCGGCCTTGACCTCGGATCCCTCCTTGACCCTGACCTCGACCACGACACCGGCCTGATCAGAGGGAGACTCGGTTCAGCAAGCCAGCGCGGAAACGATGGAAAGTGACGGTCGTGACTCACCATCGGGGATCCGATGCTACCGGGCTCACTGCTAGCCTTCTCCCTGGAGACCTTGGAAACGGCAGCTTGTCGATCCTCGATCACGACGACACGGGTCTCGGCGTTGACCTCGAAGAAACACTCTCGGGTACCCGTGTTCTCGTTGATCTTTCCGACGGCGAGCAGCTTGACGATGAGCAGCTTTCCAGCCTCAATCTCGATGTTCATCTCTTCGTTGATGACGGGCTTGCCCAAGAAGTGACGAGTAGGAACGACACTCAGATCCCCGTACTTTTCGAGGAATCCCTGGAACTCCTCAAAGACCTGGTCGAGAGCGCAAAGAACGCCATTAGCTGGGCTGTTCTCTGATAGTCCGTAAGGAATGCCATTCCGACTCACCTTGGGGTACATGTAGTAACTGGCGACATCGACGTCGGTAATGTTCTTGCCAAACTTTTCCCTCAGCTCGCTCTTGATCTTCTTGAAGTCGAGGGGCTTCATGTTGAGACCGGGACGGGTGTCGATCCTAGGTCGATCACGGATGATCTTGGACCTGAGAGGCTCGGGGAATCCACCGGGAGGTTGACCCAAGTAACCCTGGAAGAACTCGATGACCGATTCCGGGAAGTCGAGCTTGTCGGCTCGCTCAGACACATCGTCCTTGGTCAAGTTGTTGCTGGTCATGAATTGAGCCAAGTCACCGACGACCTTGGAACTGGGGGTAACCTTGACAATATCACCGCAGAGCTGGTTGGCGAGAGCGTAGTTCTTCTTGACCTGGTTCCAGTGAGATCCGAGACCGAGTTGGGCGGCCTGTGTGAACCCGATAGACGCAGATTAGTGGTAGTATGCCGGTAAAGCGAGGGGAATAGAACTAACCTGGAAGAACAAGTTCGAGAATTGCCTGCAAAGACAGACTGGTTAGATTACGCCCTGTGTGAATGACGATCTGCCTCTGAGTGCGACTTACCCTCCAGGCATCTCGTGCTCGAATACACTCGAGTCGCTCGACATGGACATGGCCTCGCTATCAGCACGCAGTACATGGGTGATCAGCCGACTGTTTCCGTCCGACCCTAACAGAAAACACTCACAAGGGCTTATAGAGAGCCCTGACCTGGGACCAGTACAAGTTGAGCGCCTGCACATCATCGAAGCGGATCCCAGTCCCGAGCTCGGTCTGCTCAAGAGCGGAACAGATGGCTCCCATGGCGGGTTGCGAGGTGCATCCGCTCATGCTGTCGATCGCACAGTCCACGACATCGGCACCGGCGGCAGCACAGGCCAACATGGAAGCAACCGCCATACCAGCCTGGAGTCCTTAGCCAGTCAGCATCACGCGAGCAAAAAGGGTTTCGAATTTTAACATCTGACTAACGGTATCGTGGCTGCAAGGTATAGGACGAGGGAGTTAACTTCGGGGCTATGAAAGCGACAACGCGACAACACGACAACACGACAATAGACTCACGAGTGCACGTGGATCGGGAGGTCGGGATGAGCCTTTCGGATCGCACCGATGAGCCTGTCGTTGTAACGTTGTCAGCATGTAGCAGCGGAAAAGTCGTGTGCCATCTTGTCCTCACATGGTAGCGGCCTGAGGCTTGAGCAGTCCGGCCATGTCCTTAATGGCCAAGACGTGAATTCCCTCGGCAACGAGCTGATCGACAAAGTCGAGGTAGTATTGCAGGTCGTACTTGGTCTTCTTGGGGTCGGCAACGTCTCCGGTGTAACAGACAACGGCCTCGACGACACCTCCAGCCTTCTTGGCAGCATCGATTCCGAGCTTCATGTTATCGATATAGTTGAGCGAGTCGAACACTCGGAAGATGTCGAGTCCGTTCTCGACGGCCTTTTTGCAAAAGTCGTAGATGGCATTGTCCGGGTAAGACGTGTAGCCGACAGCGTTGGCACCTCGGACGAGAGCTTGGAAGGGAATATTGGGGACCAGCTTTCTCAATGTCCTCAGTCGCTCCCAAGGGTCCTCGTACAAGAACCTCATCGAAACGTCAAAGGTGGCACCACCCCAACATTCCAAGGAATAGGCATTGGCTAGCGCATGGCTGGTCTCTTTGGCAATGTTGGCCATGTCGACGGTTCGGAGTCGGGTGGCCAACAACGATTGATGGGCATCACGCCAAGTGGTGTCCATGATGAGACATCCCTTATAGTCTCGCACGGCCTTGGCGAATCCAGCGGGTCCCTTCTCCTGGATAATGTTCCTCCAACCGACCTGGCAGGGAACCGAGGTGTCCAAAACCTTGCTCGAGTCCTTGGGATCGGCCAGCTTGGGAATGGGAATTTCTTCGGTCAAACCGGGCTCTCCGCTTTGCCCCTTGATGGAAGATCCGTTGACGGCCAAGTCCCCCAGGTAGGCCAAGAGCTTTTGAGCTCGGTTTTGACTGGTGACGAGTTTGAACAAGTCGGGAGTGTCGTCGATGAATGTGGTCCAGGTCTTTCCGCTCTCGAATACGGGGTGGGTCAGGAGACGGATCAAGAAGGGGATGTTGGTCTGTGTCGCCAGATTCGAGGGAGTCAGTTCCAGCTTTTCTGTCCGACCACTGTCTCACATACCTTGACACCACGAATTCGGAACTCGACCAACGCACGCAGGGTCTTCCTCCTCGCGACTTCGTAAGTGGTACCTCGGACGGTACACTTGACCAAAAGCGAATCGTAGTGAGGCTAAGTCGTAATGCCGAACGCCCTCGAGTCAGCCTACAATACGCCTCCGAACTGTGTGCGAAGCAGAGACCGTGAGAGATATGCGAGACTCACGGTAATCTGCGCTCCAGCGAATCCGGAACTGGCGTCCAACCTGACACCGTTCCCTCCCGCACTTCGGTAGACCTCGATCTTTCCGGTATCCGGTTGGAAGTTGGCCGCAGCATCCTCGGTCGTGATTCGACACTGGATCGCAAATCCTCTCTTGGTAATCGCGTCCTGCGTCAGGCCCAAAGAAGCCAACGAAGCTCCGGCAGCGATCTGGATCTGAGCGGCGACAATGTCGATACCGGTGATCTCCTCGGTGATGGTATGTTCGACCTGGATCCTAGGGTTGATCTCGATAAAGTAGTGCCTGCCCTGCTGGTCGACCAAGAACTCGGCGGTACCGGCGTTTCGGTACTGAACGGCCTCGGCGAGCTTGATGGCGTCGTTCAAGATGGCCTGACGGGTCTCTTCAGCGAGATGGGGGGCGGGGGCGACCTCGACGACCTGCACGTGGTGAAGGAGATCAGCATGCGAAAGAGGCGGGAGTCGATATTGCACAGGAACAGCACCGGGACCCACCTTCTGGTGTCGTCGCTGGACGGAACAATCACGCTCAAACAAGTGAACGCAGTTATTGTAGCTATCCGCCAAGAGCTGGACCTCGATATGCCTAGGCCGGTCCAAGAATCCTTTTCGAAGACAGGTATCCGGTTCATGTACCCATCAATGACAAGACCGCGCCGCAACCAGACTCACGTTCGATAAAGACGGTTCCATCACCGAAAGCCGCCTTGGCCTCACTGACGGCCCTCTCGAAATTCTCCTTGAAAGTAGCCTGATCCCTGACGACCCTCATTCCCCTTCCACCACCTCCCATCGCAGCCTTGATGATAACCGGGAACCCATACTCCTTGATGAAACCCTCGGCTAGGTCGTAGCTAGCGACGGGTCCAGGGGTTCCGGGAACGACGGGCACTCCGGTCTTTTGGGCGAGCGTACGGGCTTTGGTCTTGTCTCCTAGAGCGTCGATGGTTTCGGGTCGAGGGCCAATAAAAGCGATCCCGGCTTCCTCGACCTTGCGGGCGAATTCATGGTTCTCGGACAAGAATCCGTAACTACACCGGACGGGAGATGACGTTCAGCTTATCGAGACCAGGCTGATAACTCGACATCCCGGAGAATTTTAACTCACCCAGGATGGATCATGTCCACCCCGTGCTCGAGCGCGATCCTAATGATATCGTCCTGCGCCAGATAAGCGGCTACGGGGGTCAACCCTTTCCCCACCTGATAAGCCTCGTCGGCCTTTTGCCTGTGAGCCGTCATCTTGTCCTCGATCGAGTAGATGGCGACGGTCTGCATGGCCAATTCGTGTGCGGTTCGGAACACCCGAATGGCAATCTCTCCACGGTTGGCGACGAGGACCTTTTTGAGAGGGCCAGCGTGGCCCGCTTGCTTCTTACGGAGGGTTTGGATACTGCCAAGCGAAGAAAGTCCGCGTTGCAGCTCAGCTTGAAATCAACTCTGGTCACAGAGAGAGGATACCACGACTCGAACGTACGTATGGGCAGCGGGAGTGCTGGTCCCAGTGGCAGCCGTACCAGGGGTACCGGCTCCAGGACCGGCAGAAGCAGAAGTCATGGCGGAGACGATGCTGTGAGCCTATTGATTCAGTTCGAACGCCAGCAGTTCAAGGAGTGCGTTCCGCCGCGTATGTAATTTCGTTTGGAGGAACGAGGGAGATTTAAAGACGTCGAGATGTCGAGGCATCGTTGCAATTGAAAGGGATGTTGACAAGTTTCTGGTCAGTCAGTATGATCGATATCAAGCAACCCTCCGGTATTCGACCGCATCCGTGACTCACGGGGTTACCTTCGGCCTGAGCCATTCTGCTGTACCGATCAATCGACCGTAGGATAGATGATGTGCGGTGTGTAGAGAAGTAGAACTGATCCTGATTGCAAGAACTGAAAAGGATTCGATCGAGTGGCCGAGTGGAATGTGTGACTATGGATTTGTGGAAGGAGAAGAGAGAGGGGGTTCGACGTTCGGATGTGTTGAAAGGGGACGGGTACGGATGTTGATAGGAGAGAGAGAGAGAGCGAGCGAGGGAACGGATGACACGCGCGCGTCAAAGGTGACGAATGGTTTCGGATCGGGTCAAGCCAAGCGAAACGGCGGTCCCGCCAATTACCGGACGTCGCGGACGGCTCACCTTGACAGACGGAGAGTGTATGCACAGTCGGTGGAAAGGGAGTGTCGAGGGATCTGCAAGGATGTCAAGACAGCGGTCTCGAGAGATCACCTGGACATCGAGGAATGGTGGTACGTGGTAGATGATCGCTGCGAGGTCGTTCTCGAGATAACGATCTCCATCCAATTCCGTGTGTCCAATCACTCACACCCCCTGACGGAAGCAATTTCTCATCCACCGTGATCGAGACAGACCCCGGCCCGTGCAGAGCGTCGCCTCGCTTGCGATTCGACGAAGCGATAGAGTCGAAAGACCGGAGCCCCCCGTGTCGCAGCGTCGCATCAACAATATCCCGAACGATCGTCTTTCATCGATTCCGCTACCCTTGACATCGTGCATCGTGTTAAATGGGCCGAAGCGACGGCCCGAAGGTGATGGACCCGCAACACTGGAAGATCGAGTCAAGCTGCCATGGCTAGGGATGCGTTTTCTCGCCTGGTTCACATCGATGTGATTGTCACTTGCGAAGGAAGATATCAGAAGACGCTATCGTGAGCATGTCATGGTGACGGGTCTTACGATCTGACATGCGAGTCCTGATAGGTGTGATACCACGCATTTATATGTAACAGAGCTACACACGTGGAACGAGACAAGGAAATAATGTACGTTTATGAGGCGTTCAGTCATTTCAGATACCTCTCGCCGTTTCTCGGGAAACGTCGCATGAGAGGATGTTGTCGAGATATGTAGCAGGTCTCACTGAAACCGCCTCTTGATGATCATACTGCTGCATCCACATGCATGTCGTCATTTGATGATCATGTACAAGCTAGCAAAGAGCGGGCAGAGCCCTAGGCGGCCGCAGCGGCCACTTTACCCTTTTCCTCCTTGAGCGAGACGATCTTGTTCAGGATGAGCTTGTCGCCCGGTCGCCTGCCCGCCACAGTCTTGTCGTCGTCATTCAAGCAACTCAACACGGCTTCTTTATCGACCGCAAAGTACGCCAACCTCATCCCCTGGAATCGGATGCACTCCATCCCCACAAGCTGAGCGGCGGTAGCTACGGGCGTATCGCTGTCGTGCGGAACCTCAATGGTGGTATCGTTCGTGCCCATCTCAACCTTCACGTCGGCCTTGGCATCAACGTTGCTGGACGAGAACGTCGCCGCGGCCTTGGTCCGCTTCTCGGCTTCATCCTTGGCTTGCTTGATGAGCGAGCGGGACAGGCTGAAGAATGCCGGTTCAATCAGAGCCCCAGTATACACCTTGAGCGAATCGGGGTTGATGTCATCCGTGTAATTCTCTAGCTTGGCCGGATTGTCACTCTTGAAGAGAGGTTCAAAGAAGCGGACCTCGTCGAGCTCCACCTTGCCCTCGGGGGTGTCGGGTAGCCAATGAATAGCGACCGTGTCCTTGGACTTGAACTTCTTGTCCTCGTTGGGCCCGGTACCGTTCTCGAGTGCGCATCGGATCGAGGTAACGTTGCCAGCGTCGTCAGTCTCGTAGCCGGTACATGTCACCGGGCAAGGTCCGCCCATCAGCATGACCGATTTGCCGGGCGACAATCGAGAAAATTCGGCGGGAGGGGTGATTCGGAAATCGTCCTTGTCGATGAACATGTGTTTGCGCATGGTCAATTGAGCCTTGCCCATCTCGGGGATTTTGGGATGCAGCGGCTTCTCGACCGTATGAGACCAGTCCTCGGCGACGTTTTCGATCACCAGCTTGACCGGTTCGAGCACCACAAACAACCTCGGTACCGTCAGCTCGAGCGTCTGTCTAATGGCCGATTCGAATCGTTGGAGCTTGATCTCCGAGTCGCTCGTCGAGACTCCTAGCTCTTCGACGAATCTGAGCATAGCCGCCGGGGGGATACCTCGACGACGGAGGGCGATCAGGGTGAACAGACGTGGGTCGTCCCAACCACGCACGTAGCCGCCCTCAACGAGAGCCCGGATCTTCCGTTTAGACAGGAACGTTCCGTTGAGCTGGAGCCTGGCGGTTTCGTACTGCCGGGGCTTGTATACCTCCAGGGCGTCACAAAGCCATTCGTACGATTGTCTCGCTTCCACGAATTCCAAAGTGCAAAGGGAGTGACTGGGAACGTACGGGTTAGTCTTGATGTCCGTCTGATAGAGACAACGAGTTGCTCACGTAATGTTCTCCAAAGAGTCACACAGCGGATGGGCGAAGTCGTAAGCCGGATATATCTCTAAGAGAAGAGTCCGCCGTGACATGAGCACAAGCTCGTCTCACTGCATTTTTTGGCTCGCAACGACATCACTCACTCCACTTGTCTCCCGTCCTGTGATGGGGCGTCGTCTTGACACGGTAACAGACCGGGTCCCACATATACGGATTTCCGCTGGATAGATCGATCTTCATCCTCAATGCGGCCGCCTTTTCGGGATAGTCTCCATTCTTCATCCGTTCAAACTCTCGCACGTTCTCCTCGATTGGTCGGTCCCGGTGGATACAGGCGGTAGGAGTTCCACGACCGTTTCCTTTAGCGGCCTGCATGGTCTCCTCTGGAAGCGTCAACGTCAAGCAGATTCAGCATACCAAGCCTGAAGCTGTTGGCCCGTCCGAACCTGTACTCACTATCGCAATGGCACACAAAGGCCTTTCCCCTCTTAGTCAGCTCCATGGCAAAGTCGTATAGCTTCTGGAAGTTGTCGCTCGAGTAGGTGATTTTCCAAGGTTCGAAACCTAGCCAGCGGACCATCTCCAAGATCGAGTCAAAGTAGACTCCTTCCTCCGCATCCGGGTTAGTGTCATCGAAACTGTTAAAGCCATATCGTAAACAAGTCAGCTGCTCCGTCTCTGTAAGCGATTCAGGGCGAATACTGACCGTAGATAACAACAACCGTTGTGGTGCTTGGCGTAACCGAAATCAATAGTGATGGCCTTGGCATGGCCGATATGCAGGTAACCGTTGGGCTCGGGAGGAAATCGCGTCATCACCCGCTTCCCGGTAGCCTCGAGATGTCTCCTCTTGTTCTCCTCGTTGATCTGGGGGTTCTCGCCGGGGGCATGTAGACGGGAAAGGAAACCCTCGGTGAAAATAGAAACAGGGTTGGAAGCTGCGGCTGGGTTGGTGGAGACTTGTTCGACAACGGCGTTACTCTTGGAAGTGGTGGTTTTGGCGGCAGGCTGTATTATCGGGCAAGCGAGAATTGGTCCTCAGCACCGGGTGGTGGACGCTCATAGGACAATGCAGCTCAATAAGGCTCACCTTGGCCTTCGCGGCGGCATTGGCGGCAGCTCGAGTGCCGAACAGCCCAACAAAAAGGTTGTCAACGGCGGAGGCGAGATCTTTTCCATTTGCCCATCTGCCATAGCAACGCACGGTTTCAGTGCCTGGCAAGCTCTTGGCGAGCAGCAAGTCGAAAACTCACCTTAGATCCGGTACGGCATTCATCAGACCTCCTCTAAACGTCTTGAGACTGTTCCAATCGGTTGGGGCCTTGCTCTCACCGCTGTCGGTCCCGATAGACAGGCTCGAAAGGTAGGAGGCAAGGGAATCGGCGATAGACTCGGGAGTGAAAGAGATGCCTGCATTGATCACGATCGGGATAAATGGTCAATTCAGTGTCTAATACTATCAAAGAACGACCAACGACGACTCACCGACACCGCAAGCTTTGTCAAAGGCATCTTTATCGATGGGACTGCTGCCTTCAGGTCGAGTTGCATTGGTGGACTCGAGGTAAGTCACAGCAGCTACAGCAGTTCAGACTCTTACAGACATCAGCCTCCAACAACAAACGATATGCCAACACGCACTGACCTGAAACCTGGTCTGTGCTCCTCAATCTCCCTTCCTTGATCGCATCAGCGACGTAAAGCACCTCCTCCTTGCGCAACTTGTCCTTTCCCGCCTCGTATCCGCAGGCCGCCGCCAGGTCTGCACACAGCCCAGCCTGCTTCTCATCCAACTTGGTGTTCCCTCGAGCTAGATCAGCTTCGTCGACGAGCCGAGAGTAGGCAGAAGACGATTTGGTCGATTGCACTGTGTTACGAGCTCGAGATTCGCTCAGCCCGGTCGATTGGAAGAGGGTGATGAGAGCCACGGCCTCGGGCGAAGTCAGGTCGACAGCGCCTTTCTTGGGGGCCATGATGAAGATGTTTTGATTTGTTCTATGTGATTTGAGAATCGGATTTGAGGTTGTGTGGGTAGATTAGAAATCAAAGACAAGATGCTGATATGCGAAGGATCTAGGGCTGCGACATGACGAAGAGGGTAGTGAATCCTAATTTCTAAAGATTGCTTAGCCGGTACGCGACGAGTCTATGGTCTTCCAGCTAGCAGCGAGCTTGCGATCCGTGTCCCCCTGAGCTCAACCTCGAGATGGCAAATGTATGTGTAATGATATAACGTACAACCCGAACAGATTCTGATGACCAGAAAAGACCACTGCGCTCTCACTCTGTCTCCCTTAACAACTCTGCTCAACACGAACATCCCGATGCCTGCGGTACCTCGGGCTGTGCAGAGCTGGCGACATCGATCTCTGCATGATCGTCTCGATCAGTCCCCGTATCGTCGCGTATAAGGAAGCCGCACACCATCGTGATACTCACTCGTGGTCGTTCCCTCTCCTGCACCCTCGGCGTTGGCTCCTGGCAGAGCCAGGGCGATCTTCTTGAAAAGATTCTTCACGTTGTGTCCGGCCTTGGCGGATGTCTCCATGTACAGGACACCGAGCTCTTTGGCTCTTGTCTCGAGGGTCTCTGTTGTCACTTGTCTACGAGCAGTGACGGGAATGAGAAATTGTCCACGATGCCGAGTCGAGGAAGTGCTGGTCATGATCGCTCGACGTACCTCTTGTCGTTCAGATCCGTCTTGTTTCCTACCAAAACGATAATGACATCTTGTCCCCTCTCGTTCCTGACATCCTCGACCCATTTATTGGTGTTCTGGAAAGACACCCTGCCTGGAGACAGGGGCCGGGAAATTCGCTAGATCAGCCATCATCGCGCTCGGGATAGCTGGCGAGTCCTTGACCTACTGGTGATATCATACACGATCACTGCCACCGAGCTGTCCCGGATGTAACTGGGAATGAGAGATCGAAATCGTTCCTGGACAAACCAGACGAAGACCAGACGAGCGCAGAGGGTCAGTCTGCCGACCCAACGGGTACGATGCATCGTAGAAAGAGCTTACTTGGCTACATCCAAGATCGACCCGTCCGAACGCGATTACGAACCCGTCGTCAGCCCCTCTTTCTTTGGACCGGTATCAGTCTGTCCCACCTACCCAGCTGATGACCGCAAACGATATCAGTCTCCGACTGACCACGCCAACCTGGATCAGAGCTGCGACTTACCCGTATCCCACAACTGCAGCCTGACGGTCCGGTCATCCAGGTACATTGTCTTGCTCAAGAAATCGATCCCGATGGTAGCCTGGTAGGTATTATCAAAAGTGTCGTACATCTGATTGACGCATCGTAATGGAAATGTTGTCAGTACTGGGAATAGCACCGGTCGAGGACGAAAGATCAAGCTCGACTTGCGAATCGAGTAATAAGACTGGTCTTGCCCACGCTCTGTTCTCCAAGAAAGACGAGCTTATACTTCTTCATCTACGGTCCGTGTGATCGCAAAACAGCGTTGACAGTCCGAGGAAAGGATGTTTCGAGAGCAGAGAGATATGGTGGAACGAGAATCAGTTTCCGGACCCAAAACGCAGCGGTCAGGATCGTGAACATACCGGATTCGACGAGGAGAAATCCTGAGATGCCGCAGCCGACATGTTTGTTCCTTTGACCTGCGCTTCTGTCAGGGATTCAGTTGCAAGATCGGCAGAGATAGACCAGACCGCCTTCAATTCTATCCTATAAAGTCGTGATTCTTGGTTGACACGGACCGGCGATCAGTTGTGACAATCAAGTGCCAGAGACTTGAACCGGCTTACGAGGTGGGAGCCAGATCAAGTTGTGCTGCGTGTGGCAGAAAAGACAGGCTGAGTCCAATTGCTAATCGTTGTTTGTCGAGGGCGGTGGTAAGTGGCCTAAGCGGGGAATGCTCCAAAGGTGAGGTTGTCTATCGTGATTGTTTGTCCGGATTCGAGCAGCGAAGCTAGCAGGCCAGGCCCGCGCGACCCCCGTCACCTACGCCGGCCTCCAACGTCTCGAGCGGTAAACTTGAACGACGTTCCCATCCTGATATCCTCCTCAACAGCCCGCAAGTTCGTAGACCGTACGCCAAATTAGTACCCAGCTACAGGACCACCTATAAATATTCACAGGATACTCTACCATGTGCGGAGTCGGAAGGATCGCGATGCCCAGCCGGGGCAACGCTTCGAGGATTGAGCCAGCGGCCGCGGCGAACAGCGGTGGGGCTTCGAGTCGGGGAGGACGCAGGGGTCGAGGTGCTCCGATTCGAGGAGGAGCCAGGGGTGGAAGGGCAGGAGGGATTAGAGGAACAGGATCGAATCCATACGCATTGGCATCTATGCGGGGAACCGTCCGAACGGCTACGCAAACTCCCACGTCTACCTCGAACGTCCGAACGGCTACGGAAACTCTCTCGTCTACCTCGAACGGCCGAACGGCTACGGAAACTCTCTCGTCTACCCCGAATTCGGTCTCTTCCCCAATCTCCCTCTCTCCCTCCGTCTCACCCTCTACATTCTTCTCGCCGATCTCGCCTTCTCCTCGGATCGACGCCGCAGGAGGTGTCTCGCCCTTTACATCCATCTCGCCTTCTCCTCGATTCGACGCCGCAGCACCTCCAGCGATCCCGGGAAGGACGTTGAGGTCGACTTCGAAAACTACCCCGAACCCGTTCTCGTCACCACCCTCTCCTGCAATTGCCGCCACAGTACCTCCTGTGATCCCGGGGCAGACGGTTTTCGCGAACTTGGGCCGGTCCGGCGAGCCCAATGCTTTCGGAAACCTCCCAGATTATTCCAAACATCTCAAAGGGTTCACAAAGAAGGGTCTTGACAAATGCAAAGAGGTGGTGTTTGATGGGAGCAATGGATTTAGATCTGTATCCCATTTGGACCTAGATAAGTCAAAACCCGCAAAAAGAGATGCTACGCAGATTGATGCATTGGCGGATTCGATGACAAGGTTGGAGCGGGGAAGTTATCGGCTTCGTTCGGCTGAAGGCTTAGACCTCGTGTGGGTTTTTGAAGGGCTGTTGAGCTTCAACGTTGCCGACTTCCCTAAGATGCCGGAAGGTTTACGGGAACAAATCCGGAATGTCGTCCCCGACGCTCTTCGCTACCTTACCGGGATCGACAATTACGATCAGAACGGGACGCCTCATTACAGAGTCAATCTCGGTTCTGCTTTAGATGCTCGCCATCAAGCACAGAGGGAAAACAAGGGTCTGAACGGCGCTTGTCAGGGGTTAGGGCACTTCGGGCAATGGGTGGATCCGTTTGCGACAACGTTCGGAAAGACCAAAGATACTCGTCAAGACGGTAAAAACAAGGCCCAGACACATGTCGGTGCTTTCTATGCGGCACTGGCTCCAGCTTGTCACCTCATCAACACTATGTTTGCTAGAATAGCACCGGACTGGTACGCCTACTACGAAACCATCTACAAGATGGCCTCAGATCGACCTGGCGTCAAGGACCTCCTCAACAGCGATCGTCAGGTCTGGTGTACCATGGCCATCATCCACAACCTTCAAGTCGACCCCCACAAAGATTCGAAAGACATCCCTTACGGCTTCGTGGCAATGACCTGTGCCGGCGACTTCACCAAGGGAGACTTGGTCTTGCCTGATCTTGGAGTCAGTATCCCATACCAACCTGGCGATGTGGTCTTTATGCGGTCAGCCATTCTAGAACACTTCATATCCACCTATCACGGCCTTCGCACCTCGCTCGTGTGGTTTACACATGACGACGTGCTCGAAAAGTTGTTGGTGGAACGGGAGATGAATGCGGGGGTCAAGACCGAACTACACAAGGAGTTCGCTGCCACATGCGCAGCGGTCCCTCCCCGTGATCGGCGTCGACAATAGGAGTTCGCTGCCACATGCGCAGCGATCCCTCCCCGTGATCGGCGTCGACGATCGGCGTCGACGATAGGATAGTGATCGGCGTCGACGATCGATCGAATATTTTCGGCGTCGACGGTAGCGTGCCGACGCCGATCACGAGCGGCGGGGTCCGAGTCCGTCGAGGCGCATGCCTATTTGCCCGGGAGTTTATGTATTCACTAGCGATGTCGGGTCATTCCATCTCATATATTTCATGATATTCGGCTTGGCGAGATCTACCCGCTTCAGTATAGGCCTTCCAGGTCTTCCACCTTGAATCTGATTTTTTTCAACTTTTCCAGCACGAGGGCGACGTGTTTCGCTCTGCAAAGGCAAGTTTGGGAAATAAGCAGCGGCCGGAATCGAAAGCCCGTGAGAGATGACCTACTCTTGTTCAAGACCGCTTGTCGTTGCGGGAGGCACCTCGGTCTGTCGTGCTCGCAGTCGTGAATTGCTGTCGCGTTGTACCTGCTGCAATTTCGGCTTGATCGCGTCGAATTGCTTTTGAATCTGTTTTTCGGGTTAGATTGGTTGGCAATCTACTCGATCAATTGTAGTAGCGCAATCTGATGACCCACCTCTTGATACCTGATGATCAGTTCCGGAGTCTCTCCCGTCTCCTTCATCATCTCTGCCACGCGCTCCATCTCCGCGCGCCATGCCTTTTCCGTATCGCTCAAATCGGGTTGCAAGTTGTTGATCAATTTGCCTTGCACCTGGGCCAACCGGCTTCCGAGGTCTTTTTGAGTGCGTACGATCCTCTCGTAGCGTTGCTTTATGTCGTCGACGCTCCCGCCGGTCCCTTGACCCAGCAATCCTTCGTCCTCGTCGTCAGACGAATCTCCCCGTAGGTCGGCGACCTTGCGCATGGCGTCCTTGATGCGTTGCAGTTGCAAGGCAACCTCTTTGACCTGAAGATCAGCGCGGCCCTCGACCCGCCCGGATAGTTGCTTCAGCTCGAGGACGGCTTCGCCATACCCTTGCATCACGTTGCCAATCATCTTGAGATCCTCTTCCGAGACCGAGTCGATCCGCTTGCCGCCCAAGTGTCCAAGCTGGACGCTGCCCTTGAGCTTTCGCATGACGGCATCGAAAGACATGTCCGTGATGTTGTAAGGTTGACCACCGAGATATGACGACGGATCAACGATAGGTTCGTCTCTACCTTTGCTCTTGTCTAACTGAGCCATAAGGAGATCGTCCTGCTCAGTCTCTTCGACGTCGTCAAACTCGTTGAGCTGGATGATCGCCGCTGTTTTGTCCGAGGCTATTGTCATGAACGCGTAACCCAGCTCGATATCTGCCAAGACGGCTGATCCGACCGCTGGTACAAGAGACGATTCGCTGTGGGCACCAGGATTGAGGTCAATAACCTCACGAAGTCAAAGCATGCGTTTAAAGCCATGAACGTACCCTTCTTGACCCGACCAAGTATCGATAACCCAAGCACACTGAGATGTCGACCTCTTCTTCCACAATTCTCCCAGCTCCTTCTCCTCCTCATCTGCATCCTGCATCTGGACCACGTGCGATAACGACGTCTTCCACGACTTGAACCCGATCCAATGTGCTCCAAGGACGTGATGCACGAACAACGACGTCGAGTCCATAGGATCGATGGTGAATGTCGTGCCGTTGCAGACGAGCGGAGTGAATGATTCCGACGCCGATTCGAGAGATTCTAGGATCTCGAGATCGATTGAATCGAATGTCACGAGCGTCAACAGGGGTTCTTCAGCCCAATCTTGGTTCTGCGGGACATCCGAGGAATCAGCACGAATTCGAGCGACAAGCCGATCGCGACCGGCACTCACATCTTCCATCTCCCATTCTGCCTCGACCTTTTGTGCTTCAATACATAAGTCTACCCGTCCGTCCACCCAAGCGATCCCGACCACGTTCATTCCCGTCTTCGGTCCCGCAACGTGTCCCCGTCCTACCGAGTTCTTATTCTTGTCCGCGACGACGACGATATCGCTAGCAACACCTTCCACCCCCCATCCGGCTTCTTCTGACAAGGGCAGCTCCTTGGGTTCAGGCTGAACCAGGTAAGGTCCTTGTCGTTTCAACCTCCTTCCATCCCTAGGCGGTCGAACGGCATACTGTCGCCCCTGACCATCGTTATCGTTGAACCCGTCCGAGCTGGCTTTGTGAGCGTCGATCTGTCGGGAAAGGCTTCTCGCCCATTTCTGCTGGGCGGCAAGTTTCCTTCCGAGGTTATCGTGTTCCGAAGCAGAGAACCCAATGCTTTGTCGCGAGGTGGGTAGCTTATCAGGCTGGGTCGAGGAGGACGAAGAGGAGGAAGGGTTTTGTAGGCGGTATTGTTGCGCTTTACTACCAAGGTACAGGTTAAGCGTTTCGATGTAGACCTCGGGGACCAACCTATCAAGTCACACTCCGGGTGTAAGCGTCTCGTTCCCTGTGCCGAACATGAACACAGTCGACATCCCGAAAAACTCACGCAAACTCGGGCAGGAACGGACAGATCGTCCAGACATCGCCGTTCTTCATACACCCCCAGACCGCCAACGCACCCCATTCCCCATCCCCTTTACCCAAATCGAAAGAGACGGCCGTCTTGCTCGCAACGTCCTCGGCGGTGAAAGAAGCTTTCGGTTTGTGTTGGGTATGATTCTGGGAGGACGACGAAGCTGTCGACGGGGTATGCAGGGAGGAGGGTTCCGGAGGTACTTGGACGGATGGGTGGAAAGGGATCGCTTGGAGAGGCTGGGTGGACGAGTGTGAGGTATCAAATTCCCTGTCGAAAGCACATGCACCATATCGTTACAGCTCCTCAGCATCTGTATTCCACATCCTGTCCTTCAACGCTAGCAGAATCTCAAGATAGGCAGACTTACCGGAGGATGGTATCATCGGTGAGTACCAGCAAGCTCGTTCCATGTTCCCCCCAGGGATGCCATCTCGACTTGACAATCCTGTTCTCGGCCCGAGAGTGGTAGATCTCGGGAGCGATCTTTGTGCCCCTGATCGACCAGAACGACGATGCGAAAACGACAGCATAGCAATCCGAACACATCAGCACTCGAACATCTCGCCTCTCCGCGCAGCGCTTTGCGGCAGAGTATGAAACAATCAAGCCCCGGACTCACTTGCACCTGACCCATTTCCCATCTATGACCCCTCTCCCTCCTTCCGCCGGGGTCAATCCTAGACTGCCTAGAGAGGGCAGCATGATGACCCCGATTTGTTTAGTACCGACGAGAACCAGCAGCTTGTTGGTCGGGTTGAGGGAGATCTGGTGGATGGGAAAGTCTATGTCTGGGTTCCGAAGGATCTGCTCAGGCATGACCAAGAATCCAGAAGTAATTTATTTCAGCGTTCGTCAGGAAAAGGAGTGCAGCTCGAGGGAATGACGTACCCAATATCTCGCCGGTCTACCTTCCTTGACCTCTTTCAGGTCGACTAGCCTGATCTCCCTCCCGACGACCGCGATCAACTCTTTACCACCCCGGACGACCACCCGTTCTTTCCTCTGCCCGACCTCGTCCCCGTGCTTGTCGTAGATCATCTCCGTCTCCTCATCCTCGTCGTCTTCATCTCCATTTGCTGGATTCTTCGAGGTGGAATCGTTCAAGGAGGACAGGCCAAAGGCGTTTTTGCGCCCAGAAGGAGCCGAGGTGGTCGTCTGCGGTTGCGAGCTCGAGCTTGCCGGAGGAGAGGTAAAGATGGGATGGGTCGAGAGGTTCTCGAACCAAAGTTCGGGTAAATGGGAACCCATGAGGTTCAGCTATTACTCCTCGTTGTAGAACTTGGGTTGTAGCTGGAAGTAGAGGTTTCAAGTGGACATGGGATGGGATGTAGCAGGCAGGAATGATCAAGGAGCTCAAGGAGATATATCATCGAAGCGTGAAATCGCACCACCAGTCTCACGATCTCTCGCGCGCTGGCGCATGAGCCGGCCCTCGGCAAAACGCGGGGGGAAACGGGGGAACTGCTACATGCTACTACTCGTAACTTGCTATCGAGACTGAATACTCAAACCCCCACTCATATCCCTTGTATAACTAAGTTTGGACCAGATATATCAATCTACAGCTCCGATGGACCTTCCCTCATCCTCCCGACTTGCCTCCCGGCTGGCCGTCGTAGCACAACCCAATTACACGTCGTTGGACGTCTTCTGGGCTTCACACCCTCGATGGCCTTTACCTCCCGGTTCACGCAACACTTCCTCAGACTCAGGTCATGGAACGACGATCAAGGCCGAGGAAGAGGCGGACGAGGATGAGGATATTCATATAGGCATCTTCGACTCTTCCTTCAACCCGCCTACACTCGCACATTTCGAGATCGCTGGTACTTCTTTCCCTTCGGCACACCCTGAATCGTCTTTCACCACCGCCGATTCCTCCGCAACTTCATCTTCGACGTCAACTTCATCCTCATCTAGAAATAACGCTATCGACAGCAAACGAACAGGCAAAGGACATGGCAATGACAAGAGCAGACAAGGACGAGGCGGGTACACGGCCAAGCTTCTCCTGCTCTCCGCTCGGAACGTTGACAAACCGCCCACCCACCTCGGCGATGAAGATGCAGAGGGTCAAAAAGAGCAAGAGAGGAAAGTCAGGGAGAACGCTACAGCGGTAGAAAGGGTCGAGATGATGGTGCTTCAGGCCAGACGAATGGCGGCAGCGTCATCGTTACCAATGGAGGAGCAGCAGGACAGGAATGACGTGCAGGAAGAGGAGTCTAGCAGCAACATCGCCGTAGCGGTCCTCAATTTCCCTACATTTGTCGGGAAATCCCGGATCATCCATTCTTGGCTCGATCAGACGTTTCCTGGATTACTGCAAGATCCAAAACCAGAATCAGCATCGCCCGCTCGTACTCCCAAGGTCCGACTCTCCTTCCTCATAGGTAGCGACACCCTGACTCGTCTCTTCCGCCCTGCCTACTACCCTCCTTCTTCCTCCTTCCCCGAGATTGGCCCGGACATGGAAACGCAACTAAAGTACTTCTTCGAGCAAGACCGATCGAGGATCGTCTGTGTGCGGAGGTATTTGAAACCGGGGGAGAGAGAAGAGGAGGAGAGGTTCGTCAGGGAGGATGACGGGTGCAAGCAATGGGTGAAGAGTGGTGGGATCCGGTTCGTCGACGAGAGCGAAACTGCCGGAGGAACCGGGGCGGGAGCGGGTGTGAAGACTGGAGAAGAGATGGGATTGATCAGTAGCACCGTCATCCGACAACGGGTCGATCAGGTTCGACAGGAAATGCAAGGACCGGACGACGACCTGGAGGAATTGACGGTGAAAGCGCTCGAGGGGCTGTGCATCGACGATGTCTCGAGGTATATCGCCAGGAAAGGGTTATATCTACGATCCTAATGTCGGTCTTGAGGCGGAGGTCAGGCGAGATCGCCTGTGGTTGCCGCATCTCGACCACCCTCATGCCTCTGAGAGGTCAAGTCGGCTACTTGCCACAGGGAACCTCACACTGGTGGCGAGCGAGCAAAGGAATGACGAACGGGACATATATGGATCGCTCATTCGAGCGGGGGCAGACACTGGACCTCGTATACATTCGGGAAACCGAAGCGAAGTTGAGGAATACAGGCAAAAGTCAGGCTCATTGTAAGCAGACCTAGTTGGGAATCGATAAATCATGGAACATTACGCCATCGACATGTCACGCAAAGGACTTGAATCAGTGCGGTATCAGTTCGGGACCTGAAACTCGGCCAAGCTGCAACGCGAATCTCCGTGACCCCTACCACCATCCTTTGAGCGAGTTTTCCTGAGGAGGATATACGTTTCACTCTCGCCGATCGACGACGATATACTCTAGGTGAAGAAGGGCCTATCACCGTCTTCCATGCCTCTAATCGTAACCTTGGCATTCCCGGCAACATCTGCTATCTATATTTCCCTCTCCCAGCACGTTCGGTCCGACGGCGTCTCGGCCAACCAACTAGAACAACCTCTTCCTCTCGATTCACACCCTTCTGAAAAGAATGCGCTTCTTCCGCTTCCCTTCCCTGCTGGTCCTGGAAGTCTACCTGGTACTATCACTCGCCGTTCACGGTCGGCCGACTCCAGTGATTCAAGGCCGACAAGGCGGTGCCGTCACTGCTGTCGTCGATGTGACCGTATTCGAGACGATGACGCCGTCTGGTGGCTCTCCACCAGCATCCAATACCGATTCCTCGACCCATTCCGAAATCACCTCTACTACGAGCCGCACACAAGCGGCCAGCACCACCACGACCGGGGCTTCTTCCACCGAAAGCCTCCCGATCACTACGCTATCAACATCAGCATCATCAACAACAACAGATGCGTCCTCTAAACCCACAAGCCTGGCAGACGAGGAGGTATCAGCAACGACAGAAACGACATCGACTGGGACCAAGGAGATGACCGAGACCGGCGCAGTAGACACGAGCACCGGTACAAGTAGCGCCAAGGAGAGCGTGTCCGAGGTTGTCTCCACGGTCACAGCCACGTCGATCTACTCTGAAGCGGGCGCCTTGATAACGAGCGCCAGTATTCAGGTGGTCACCGTCGATCGACCCGTCGGGGGTATGGTGCCCGCCCCTGTTGCCACCCCGGTCCAGGTCGTCACCGCCAATCCTATCGCCAACCCTGCCGCCAATCCCGTCGGCAACCCGATCGCTCCTCGACCTAGCACCGTCGTGACCGGTCGACCCATTACCGCCAGCACCACCTTGTCAAGTCGTATGTCTCGACTCGGTTCATCCACCACCGCATCAGCCTCGTCGACTACTGCCACCGCCATTGCCCTCGTCCCGCTCACGACCAACAGCGAAGGAGACGCCGCTCCGGCTACCAAGACCGAATCCTCTTCCCAGAACAAACCCCCTAAGCTCGCCGACATGCTCGTCCAAGGCATCTCTAGCACTTGCGAATTGACCTGTGCCGCGTTCACCGACCTCGTCGAGGAATGCAAGGGACCCAATGTCATGGAAGATTTCCCCAGCGCCAACGAGGCTGATGCACAGGAGCGATGTCTCTGTAGTCAGCCTGATCCTGTCCGCGAGTGCGCGGAATGCGCCTCTGGGCTCAAGATGTTGGGTTTGTATGGGAGCTTTATCAACCGGTGCCGAGTGGACGGGTTGTTGACCGTCGAATCGACCAAGGTGAGTTGAGCCAATCTTTACCGCTAATTCAGACCATCCGCTGATCGTCTCTTTTCGCCACGTCTTGCCGCAGAGCATCACCGTCACTGACGTCGCCAAGGCCACAGCGACTACCACCACCATCGACCCCTCGTCCTCGACTACCAAATCTACCGTCGAAAAGGCCGAATCCGGCAGCAAGAAGAGCGGTTCCCAGACCTTTGGCCCCGAGGAGATCTGCAACGTCGACGGACAGTCCATCTCGAACCGAGAAGCTTACGATCAATGCGTCACGGACACTCGGGCGATGAACCTGTCGATCGGGCCTGATGGGACCATCCACCAGGACCAAGATCAAGCTACTAACAAGTCCAGCTCGACGTTCTGTCAAGATGCAGGGTCGATGAGCAGCGCTTGTTACACGACCATCTGTGAGGGACAGTTCAGCGCCGAGTGTTTCAGAAAGCTCGAGGGCGGGGCGTTGTCGGTTCATGGGGTCGGTAAGGGGATGGTCACGACCGTCTTTGTCGTCGTGGCAGCGTTTGCGTTGTTGTAGGCTTGTGTCAGTGTTCTAACGAGTCAGGTCGCCGGGCGATGTAATCGGGTGCTTCCCCATCAGAATGTCTGTTTTCATTATATGCAAGTCAAAATCCGAGGGCAATGTCGACGAGAAGCAGGAGATCGAAGGAACCGGGAGTATCCAATTCGGGCAGTCGGTCTGATAAAAGCGCGTCAACTCTTCAGCCATGGCTATCAACCAAACAGCGGATTGAGCGAGTGCTCTTGTTGGAGGTACGAGTAAAAAGGGACAGCCGTCTCGGTGCATTTGCGTTTGGGCCGATCGTCGTCGCCGGTCATGGGCCAGGGTATGACCTTTGGACTGAGAGATGGGTTTGGGAAGCTCGACGATATGGCGGATAAGGACGAGGTGTATATGACGAATGATGCAGTGATATGCAGATGACGATGGGTGGATGGCTGACTTGTGATGCTTGTGACTCTGTAGAGGAGCGGCGTACCAAAGACCTTTCTGGCTCTTCTGGCTCTTCTGAGCTTCTGAGCTTCTGATCAGCCGACACTCGACCGTTCGTGACTTTGGGCCCTATACTTTCGAGGCGCGCGCGCGCGGAACCAAAGGTTACATCAGCCTCCCCCACCCACGGCACGGCGGGAGAGGGAGCGGGAGGGGGAGGGCGCGCCTGCGTCCTTTCTGAAACATCCTTTGATGATCGTCGACCAAAACACACATCATTGTTATTCCCACGCCCCTAACCCATCGCTTAGGCTATCTTTCTATCGCCCTTAACCCCGACGGAAGATCCTGCGCAAGCCAAAGGGAAGCGCATTTGACGGTGCCCCTCCTCAGTCCTCAAAGCCGCATTCGAGGTGCGAGGTCGGAGGACGCGAGGCTGTTGATGAGGATCTAGAAGCGACCAGCAGCCAGCAGCTAGAAGCTAGAAATCGAAGCAGTCCAAGAAGGCTCAACCCAAATCGATGGAAACGGTAGTAGTCAAAGCGGAGCCACGCAGCCCCGGTATCGGCCCTGAATACAACAACCACCCCGACAGCCCAATCACCGTTTTGAGCGACGACGAAGGCGACGACGACTTCGTCGTCGCATACCAGGAGGAACGAGGGAGCCAAGGGGAAATGGGTGCAGAGGTTGGATGGGAAGGTTGGGGAGACAGAGACGATGACATGGAGGACGAGGAGGACCAGGAAGATGAACAACTCGCTATCACCACCACGAATTCCAAGAGACAGCGCTTGGAGGCCAAAGACGAGCCTCTCGCTACCACCGTCAAGCGCCCTCGCCTTGAGCTCCCGCATGGAGGCCTCCCTCGCCTTGAGGTCCCGCATGGAGGCCTATTGCGATGGGAAGGCAAGAAGAAATGCGTGAGGTGTTTCAATAACAGCGACTCGCATCCTCCTTTCATCTGCGAGAGTCAAGTTCGGAAAGGTCGTGCGTTCGGTGGTTGTACGCAATGCCACGACGACGAAGTGGAATGTCGCTGGTTCTCTGAGGTCGGACAGACTCAAATCCCTGTTCTCCCGAAAGGGAACAAGGACGTTAAACTCGTTCCGAGCACAAAGGCCTCGAGCTCGAAGGCGACAAGCTCGAAGGCCTCGAGCCCGGAGGCGACAAGCTCGAAGGCCTCGAGCCCGGAGGCGACAAGCTCGAAGGCCACGAGCTCGAACGCGACGAGACCATCCGCCTCTTCGAGCATGAAAGCCTCGAGCACGAAGAGTTCCTCGGGACTCACAACAAAACAACTCGAATCCTGGAGACCGATACCATCGAGTCGGACACCGGATCGTTACAGGGACATCAAGCCGCCGATACCGAGCAGTTCCGTGTGTTACGGCGGAAGTCGCTAATGGGCGATAGGTCCTAAGTCGTAAGGCGTAGGGTGCTTAAGGTCGATCGCAGGTAGTCGGGAGAATGTCGCAAGTTCGCTTAGATGAAGCGGGTTCGGGTGCGGGATACGAATCCAGAGATGTATGGATAAGGAAGGTGATCACTCGGTGTGAGGTACCAGATTCGGTCTAAGGTAAAACGATGAAGCGTAGATACTTAGCGACGTCCTTGAGTTGTAACCTCTCCGCAACACGTCTTGAAGATGTTGTAACAAGTCAGATAGGCGTGTATTGAATGTGATATCGGAACTTGACCTCTAACTATTACAGAGCGTCCTCTATCGAATTCGGTCAAGTTCCTCTAGCTATTTATACGGAGACGAGTACGTAGACGGGCTGGCAAACACTGAAAAGACCCAAGAGAAAAGAATGTCGAAAGATGGCGAAACTGGGAGAACGAGATGGCGAACAGACGAATCCTGTCGAGAGCAGCCGGATTCGGTAGAGGAGGCGAGTTTGAGTTCTCATTTGTCCCTAGGTACGTCGAGTAAGGTTGTCGAGGTCCTGAGTAGAGTGTCGTGTACCTCGAGGTCCCTGTACCTGTTTGTGATATGTGTCGGGAAGGTTTGTTGTTTCGGTGAATGGTGAAGGCGAATGGTAGGGGCGACCGAATCTGTTCCGAGGGAATCGGATTCGCCTCGTCGAGCCGGACTTAGGTGTATGCTGATGTCCGTAGATCGAGCCTATGTGTCGGTAGTCGACTCACGTGATGATCCCGTAACAGTATATCCCCCTCCGGAATGGCGCGCCCCGAGCCATCGTGTTTCAAGTATTGATCGCATCAATTTGTTTGATGATCGTCTACGACGCGTTTGTTTTGATTTGATGGCGACCGAATTTTCCATTTCGCTAAGGCCCATCGACTCGCGTCGAGTGGGGGGTATAAGCCGGATCCGTTTCGATTGAAGCGAATTGTGCACTTCCTTTCTCGAAGATACTCAACGATGCCGTCTCCTGACGTATCTCCCAAGATTGAGGAACGCTCGACTCCTTCCCGAGCCTCAACCGTAAATCCAGGAGACTCGGCTTCTCGTTCGTGCGATTCGAGTCGATTCGGTTCCTTTGCGTGCACTGATCCAGTTCCGCTTTGTGTGTAGAAGTCAACCAAGTCTTTTCCGGAGGAATTTTTGATTTCGAAGAACTCCGCAATATGGACGACACGGACGAGGTCGACCAGAACCTGGCCTCGAATATAAGGGGGCTGTCGGTGACCCGATCGGGGTTGGAAGGTAAGCAGATTCGGTTCCGAAAGGCGGTTTCGTTTCGCTGAACTTGTTGGGTTCTTCGCAGGTGGTGAACCGGCTCGTCGGGAAGGGCTCTACGGGGAAGCTCGTAGGCCAACTGGACGCCCGGTATCGGGCGAGGATGTTGCCATGACCGGGCAACCTTTAGACTCGGTCGACGAGGAACCGGTTGCGGGGCCGAGTGCGGGTGAGTAAAGCGAATCTGCTTGGATTCTGAATTGATAATTCGTAACCTGATGCTATGTCTATTCTTGCTCGATTGTAGCTGTCGTGTCGCCGCCCAGGACTCCTCGAGGGAGGTCGATTCAGCGGAGTCGACAAGGCCGACACAGCGCGAGGTCGAGTCGAGGGAGAGGAGCCGCATCGGCGGGTGCGAGGGTCGATGTCGAGAACATCGATTTGGGGGGTGCTCTCGTGCGCCAACGGTCGGTGAGCCCGGAACCCGGTAAGCGTTTTTGTTTGGTTTCTACCGGATCCGGTTCGACGAAGCTAATTTGGATAATCGCGTTCCAGCTCGGCCCATCGACTTCGAGGGCGTACAGCCGACTCGGCGAACGGGTGCAGCGCCTGCCAACTTCTTTGACGACCTGTCGGAGAAGAAGAAGAAGAAGAAGAAGGTGGTGACGTCCGAGGATGAAGATTCGGACTACCGCGACAGCGGTGTACCGGGTGAGTCGCCCAACGCGTCTCCAGGGTCAGCGTACGAACGGCAGATCGAGAGTCGCTATCAAAGAGCGTTCGGGACTCCTGAATTTGCTGGTTCGTACTCGGTACCCGTCGATCGAACTCGTTTCGCTGAACCAGATTTGCTTGATTTTAGCCGAAAGCGAGGGGGCCGACTCGATCATCGACATTGGGGATGAGAGCGTGATCAACATCGGCACGGTCGGCACTGAAGGAGACGAGTTGGCGTCGACGCCTGAGCCCGAGTGGTGGGATAGTGAGTAATATTCGTATTGTTTTAAGCGAAACCATTTGCTTCGAGCTAATCCGCTTTGTAGCCCACGCTGGTATCGTCAACGCTACCGACCAAGAGATCATCGATCACGAGGCGAGGCCCGGCGAACCTCCTTTCTCGACTCGAGTTGGGACGGCCAGCGAGGTGAAGACCAGGAGGGCGGTGGTAAGCTCGTTTCGCTTGCGTTTAAGCGGATTCGGCTAAATCTTGTTCGTTTCGGTAGTTGCAATCTCGTCGCCTGGCTCGCGCTCAAGCCAAGGAGGGTATCATGAACGACCCTAAGTGCGAGGACTGCGAGGGGCTCGGGGACGAGGAGTTGAGTTGGGGATGTCGGTCCCGTACGAACGAAAAGTCTGGGACTTTGAAGGGTTGTGCGGAGTGCACTGGTCGGCGAAACACGTGTTCGCTTACTGGACAGCCGATTCCAGAACCTCCCGGCCGAGTTCCCAGCCCCAACACCGCGGCTGCTGCAAATGCAGCCCAACCCACTACTCCTCCGGCGACGAGTAGTCTGCTTCCTCGAGCTCGATGGGAGGCGCAGGTGGTGAGTCGAATTTGTTTCAACGAACCGAATCTGTTTTAACGCAACCGAATTTGGCAGCAATCGGCCAGAGACCGTATTCAGGTCTACGCCGACATGCTCGAAGATGCGGGCATCAAAAAGGGTCTCTCGAAGGCCTTGGAGGACCTCGACAAGGTCCGGGAGGCGATCGCGGCGGAAGGTGACGCGGCCTTCAAGAGGGTTATCAACCCGTTGCCGGCGCCCACACCCAAGAAGAGGAAGACCGGAGTCGTGTCGACTCCGAAGGATTCGAAGAAGTCGGGGGGTAAGTCGACTCCGAAGGGTAAGGGGAAGCAGAAAGAAGCGGATCCGGACGAGGACGAGGAAGAGGAAGAGAATGATGGTCGCCCGCCGAAGCGAGCCAAGAAGGATTGAAGCGGTTCCGCTTCGTCTATAATTTGTTTTTTGGGTTTTGTATTTTCTTTCAATCCGAGTCGTTTGATACGATGAATCCTATGCGAGCGAGAAGTCCGAGACGAGATCCAGAAGAGTTCAGAACATATGTTTATCCGTATCTCGGTCCAGCCGGGATCGGTTCACTGAAGCGGATTCGGGAAAGTTACGCTTCCCAACCTGGAGGCTTTGGCTTAGTCGGGAACCGAACGTGGAACTCCTCTTGTGCCTCTGCTGTATTGTTGAGATCTTCGAGGGGTACCCAATCTTGTCCTTCAGGTCCCGAATATCCTTTCCATTTGATTAAGTACGCGAATTGGCGTCTCCTGATCCTGCTGTCGATAATCTCTTCGACCTCATACTCGTCATCGTGAGGCGATTCGACAATTGGCCCAGGAGTTTGTACTCGTCCTTCGAATGGATTCTCGTGGTGTGGTTCCAACATGTCGATGTGGAAGACGTTGTGAACCTTGAGTGTGGCCGGCAAGCGGATCCGGTACGCATGAGACGAAATCGCTTCAATGATTTCGTAGGGACCGTATCGCTTGTGATCCAGCTTCTTGGTAGGTCGTTTGGTTGCGATGTATTTCGATGAAACATAGACCTTCGATCCTACGGTGAATTCGGGAGGGCTTTGGTGTTTCTGGTCGAAATACTTGGCAGCTCTTTCGTTAGCTGCAGTCATCTGTACTCGCATCTGTTCCCAAACTTCTTTCATATCCCTGGCTTCGATCCTTGCGACGAGAGATTCAGCCCTGTGTTTGTCGAGACTGACGTCGAATCGTGGTTCGTAGCCGAAGGTTGCCATGAAAGGAGAGATACCTGTAGCGCTATGCTTCGCATTGTTGCAAACGAATTCGGCTAAGGGAAGCAGATTCGCCCAGTTGTCTTGGTGATAACTGCTATAATGCCGAAGGAATCCCTCGAGGGACTGGTTGACCCGTTCGGTGGCTCCATCACTCTGAGGGTGATAGGCTGTAGTCAGGTCGCTCGAGATATCGAGAAGCGCGGTAAATTCTTTCCAGAATTTCGAAGTGAATTTGCTTCCCCGATCCGAAACGATCCTGTCGGGTAACCCATACTGCGTAAAGACCTCTTTGAGGAAGATCTTGGCTAAGTCCTTAGCTGTAGAGGTTGTCGTAGTAGGGACGAACTTGACTCGCTTGGTGAAACGGTCGGTGATTACCAGTATCGAGTTGAATCCTTCCGAATTTGGTAGTTCTTCCACGTGATCCATGGAAAGATCCGAATTCGGTTTAAACGGAACCGAAAGTGACTTCAATAAGCCATAAGGCTTGTGTCGATTGGTACGATCTCGCTGGCACACCTCGCAAGATGCGACGTAAACCTTCACGAAGCTGCTCAAATCGTTCCAGTAGTAATCCCTTGAGATAAGTTCGATAGTTTGTTCTCTCCCGGGATGTCCAGCCAGCGAAGCATCGTGTCGTGCCTTTAGTACCAAGAGCTTGATCTCCTCGCAGTCAGGGACGTAGATAGCGTCCTTGTACTTGAGGATACCGTTCTTGGTCCAGGTCCAGATTTGCTCGTCTGAAGCGGTTTCGCTTCCGGTAACCAGATCTGTTTCGTCCTGTTTCCAGATTGCTCTGAATGCCGTGGAAGCGAATTCATCAGTCAGCGCGATTGTCTTTACCTTGCTGATGATGCGGTCGATGATATCTCCATCTCCCCCTTTTTCTGGATTCGCTTCCATCTCGCGGATATACTCGTTCATCGCAGCCATATCCTGTTCTTCAGCTCTTCGGTAGAGTTCCGATTCTCTAATGCTGTTGAGCCACAATGTTTTGGGCAAGAGCGTGGTGA